AAGGTTAATCTGCATGCCCTCGCTCCAGGCGCACGGCTGAAACACACGGCTGCACCCCGGCTCTCGTCGATGCGACGCTGTTGTTTTCTCATCCATTCTCCGTACTTGCGAATCACGGCGCTCTTCGCACTGCCCTCCCAACGGTTCAACCTCTGCTCGGAGACTGGCCACTGCGACCCCACCGCGCCTTGTCCAGCGCTGCGCCTGGTATCATCACCAGATGCGATACAGCGATGAAACATGCGACGCATGTCAGAGCCCGATCGCCGAGCACCTTTGCTCTTTTTCTCCGGACCGTGACATGGATGGCCTGAGTATCGACGGCAGCCCGCGGGCACCTGTTGCTGAACGGGCTCTGGCCGTCTACCTGCAGCTTCTCCTCCGCCTCTCCCCTCTGGCATACGCTCTGCTGCAGTACATGGCGGAAAGCTTGGCTTGGGAGGATCATTGCGAACTGCCAACCGAGAATCGTCAAGCCATGGCGAATAGGACCGACACTGCACGCGTTGGCACCTCACCTCGGCGCAGAAGCCCATCTCCCGCAGCTGCAAGGCTCGCCGCTACAGGACCTTTGATGTTGCGCAAGGCCCGCACAGGGCAAGCCTCGAGAGTGTTAGTTTTGCTGCCATAATTCCTCCCGCAGGACTTCCCCTTCCTGGCTTAATGGCGACGCTTGTCAGACATACCTGCTTGCCTCACTGGCACATAGCCACATGGCACTCCTTAGCGTGATGCTACGCTGGATGGAGATCCCCTGTCGCCATGACATGTCGCCTGCTTAGAAGCGCCACACACATCCAGAAGCTGTACAGTACTTGCAAGTAAGTATCCATGTACTGGCACTCAATGCCTCAACGGATTTTCTTTAACCAACCACGGAAGGCATTTTAGGAACCATCGAGGACGAAAGCACTAGGCTGTTTCGCACATTATCGCAGCAAGGTTGGTCCAAGTCACGGCCGTTCCCCGAAGCTGAGCACAGGCATTGGGCTCCGGAGACGTGCGTTTCGTCATATCGGACCTAACCACCATGCTGCTCACGCAAATTTTCTTCTTTGACGATCGACGCCCTGGTCTCATGAGCAGCAAGGCTCAGAGGAGCAGGGCCATGGAGGCCATTTTTGGAGTCATTCTGCTTTTATCCAGCTTCTGGGTAGTATGGGGTTGGCCATGCAGCATCAACTCTTTACCTGCCGATTGGACGATCCAAGACGAGCATGGTTTCAAGTTGGGGATGATATAACAGCTCCCAGGCCATGTTCACACCCATTTCGTGCCCCCCCCCCCCGAACAAAGAAAGATGGAAAGGAAGAGGGCCTAGTCGCCTTGAAGGGTTTCACGCCCTGTTGGAGCTACCGAGCCAACAGACCCACGGATTGCTGCACCTTGGGTACAGCTCGGGACCGAGCTGATGCTACTGACCTGCAAGTAACCAAGCCGACTACGTGACTAGCCATTCCTTTAACCCGCCCCCGCTCTGGCGGTAACTAGATTTAGTGTGTACAAGGATTTTGGGGACTGTGGTTTGCGATATGGATGCAAGGAAAGGGCGGCTCAGACGCAATTCAGAGGTATTCCTTTGCGGCTTGTCAAGGCATCTCGTCGCTTAGCCACCAAAGCTGGATTGTCTGCGGGTTCCCAAATCTCCTCTACTGAGTGGCTACCTATGCTCATCATCAACCGCGCGGATAATGGGCGTCACTGCCACATGAATCGTCGGCTAGAATTCTGAATTTCGTCCTTCTCAATCTGTGAGTGTATGCCGGGCCTCTTCAGTGCCCGGTTCGTAGCTCTACCTTCATCGCCAGTATCATGTAGCCTCAGCCCTCGCTCATCCTGATTTCGGCCAAAGGACCCCGATATGAACAGTACGACTATGGCATGGTAAACGTCTGCACAGCTGCACAGCTGCACAGCTGTTCAGCGTGTCATATGTACGTACAGCGTTGGGCGTCGGCCCACACTCTTGCTGGCCCAGGCAATGTGCTGTCTTCTTGTCTTACCCTCTTCTCCTTTCAATTATTATCAGTGCTGGCAGAGAACCCGGCTCCCCGGTCTGTTCAAAACGGTCGACTCTCTTATTTTGTGCTGTTCCCGTTCATCATTTGCTTTGCTCAGCCCTACCTGCCTCTTGTTGATCAACGACATGCCTAGCCTAGCATCCTGTCGCACCTTACGTCTCATCATCTATTAAAGGCCCCACGCCTCAGCACCATCTGGACTTTTATTTCGCTGTTTATAAAAATAGAACAGCACGGCTCACCGCTGTCCTGTTTGAGAAAAAGAAAAGGGACTTTATCAGACAAAGATTAGTTCTACATCGCCATGCGATCTTAGTTTCAGCAAACATAAGACTATCTGGCGCGACACCGATAGGGTAAAGGCCTTCAAGGGCCCCAGCCATTTTCGTCTTCAGTGAGGAGCTATTCCTACGAGGCTTCTTTCTTTCGGAACGGGAGAGATTGTATGCCGTTTTTTTTGCTAATGGCCGTTTTCCACCAGCGGAACCCAGACCGGTGTCAAAGAGTTGTATTACCATCTACCAATCTTTCAGGCTGCTTTGGACTTTCATGATCAACATATCATTGTCCTTGCACTAGTAGCTATTCTCACAGCCGTTATTGGACAATAAGGAAGCATTTTCCAGAGTCAGAACAAAGCTCCGAGACGAGAGACGCTTCAGTCAGCATATTATCTACCACACCATCCTATACAGCGCGTAGGCTATCGACTTACTTGGCGGGAAGGCCTCCAACAGGCCATTTATATCTCATCAGATACAGCTGCTATTGATCAAATCAATTTGGAATAGGCCTTATTTGGAAAAAGTTTTATTCGTCGCCGCTGCTCGACATTGGAGGCCGCAGTTATCACAACCCAAATGAAGCCTCTCACCAATTAGTCGGCTTTGTATCCTTCTTACAGCACCCTTGCCAACAGCCACTCCGTCTTAATTAGCGACGCTCTACGATAATCCACATTGAAGAACAGAGAAAATGGATGTAACATCGCTTCTTAACACTTGTCGACAACCCAGCTACAGTGGAGGCAGTATCGAGGGCTCATCACCCCATCCTGGCCATGACAGAGTTGCCTCTGCCCCCAACATTCTGCCAAGCCCTTACACCGAAGATGCAAAGGATGGTCTGAATAGACCTAAGTGGGGAAATGTTAAATTGTGGGATGGACGGGAAACAGCAGAATCTCGGATCGATGAACTAGATGCCTTTTCAAGAAGAGCAGGCCTTCCCGTTTCGCCGAAAGATATCCATAAATCAATCTTCGAAACGAACGGCCGGTCAAGACAGCCTTCAACCGATTCTATATTCGCAGTTATATCTCCACCGTCGATACGTCCAACAAGGCATAGCCTACCTTAGTGAGTAGGATTGAGTCTTTTGGATCATTGTTGTCGAACAATGATGGCACTATTTCACCGGACTTTTGGCTTACAAGCTGTATCTTTTAGTGATAATGCTCGGATATGCTCAACTCGGTAAGCAAAGTCATTCTTTCGGGGCAAGCTCTTGTCTCCTTGGCTAATTTAGCAAATCAAGACGAAGGTAGAGAGAGAAGTGTTAACGTAAATAATAGGCTGCCGCATCGAGATCACCGCGCTAGCTATTCGGGAGAGAGTTCGACGATTCCTAAGCACAAGATCTCAATCAGCAGCAGCAACTTTACATCGCCGGACTCTCCGCAGTCGGAGGAATACCATTCGAGATTATCGTCTGTAGCATCCGTCAGCGGGATATCGTCAATGAGCATACCTATTGCGGAGATACCCTCGATCGATGCTAAGCTTTTAGAAGCTCGAAACTTCCCATCAAGTTATGGCATCGCATCGCAGCCTCCATCTCCTCCACTCACAGAGAAGAGTTCAGCTGCAGTGCAGAGCAGGACAAGAATAATGAAGCACTTCCTCGACAACTCATCGACCGCTATTCTGAATTGGCACAATTTGGATAAGCCTGCACTCTTTGGTCAAAATTCACGGTATGTTTTCAGATTTTTTTTTTCAGTCATCCAGGATAGTAGTATAGATGTTGTTCACTTGGAGAGCACAGAATGAGTTTCTGAAATGATGCACAAGGCACGGATTCTCTTAGCACGGCTCATGATCTTTTCTGGCTCACCGCCCTTGTTTTGTTCACAAAGAGTGGCGATTCAGTTCAGATCTGGATTTTGAATAGCGATTCTTTGAGCAAGTGCTTCAATATCGCAATGGATATCTTGGGTATTGAACTCCAGATGACATGAGCTGTGAATCACCGATACCACCTAACCCCTCGCCCACGAGCAGTGTCTAAGCAGAAGGGACTGATAGGAGACGAACGCTATGAGAACTGCTTCGGATGCTCGCGTGGCCGGAGGACAGCTGGTGTGCTGCGTCACTGCGAAGAAATTTCGCTGCGCCAGCTGGCAGAATTTCCTGCTTATAAAATCTCGGTCCCAAAGTTCAGGCTCCTGTTTCCTCATCATCCTCTTGCCAGCTTTCTATTGTCAATGCACAGTCCCCTACGGTTCTCGAGTTCAAGTCGCACGTCGTGTTGTTTTCTAAACATTTGAACATCTTCGCCTTCACTTAGCTCTTCGAGGTTCAAAAGCTAAAGTTGTTCAATAACAGTCCTGACCTGACCACTCGCCCTCTATATCACAGAAGAGCCACATCTGCTCCTATCCCTGCCTCCCGGTTTCCAACATCAGTGCCACACGGGTTGAGACGTCGCCATCTCATGCCTTCATCTACTCGACCAGAGATGGACGAGGCTGCGCTGAAAAGCCTGCCGACCCAGGCAGAAGCGCCTAGACCAGCCATACCCAGCAGCTACCCGAAGCTCGATGCGGACCGTCATGTACTGAGCCATCAGGCAACGAGGAAAGGTCACACAAAGGAAGCCCTTAACCATTTGCATGCCCGTGAAGCTGACTTACAATGTGTAGATCAAGTCTCCGACCCGACGTCTGACATTGTTCCTTTGATTCAACAAGGCCGCAATATGGGCGGAGAAGTACCCCTCGATGTCTTGAGCGTGAGGCCGGTGACTCCGCTAGAAGAAGAGCCTCGATGCATGTTTGTTGATGACTGTCAAACCGGCTCGCAGCTACGCAAAGCCATCTCACATCTCTTTGGACGGAACAAAGCATGTACTCTTCGTATCCCAAAACATGTGTGGGTGTACTATTGCCGCAAACATTATCAACGAATCAGATATCGAAATGCCAAGACGTACCCTCTCAACCAGATGCATCTCGTGAAGATGCAGATCACTCGACTCCAGGAGTGGAGCGAGAACAACCGACGCCAGGGATCAGGTCCCTACATCAGACTCTGGACCCTGACATTGCGCAAGCGAGAGCAAAACCGTCTTGACAAGGAAGGCGGTCCGGCAGATGAAGGCGATGATGATGCTTTGGGGGCTCAAACCGGCTCGGCCGCTCCAGATTGGGTTATCCACCGCCTAGGAACCGGATATACAACCGAGCAAATGCTTGAGGTGGCAGAACGCCTGTACCAAGAGATCAAAGACGAGGTCCTTACGCGGGTCCCTGAAATTGAGTTCTTGCCTGACATCGTCGAGTCGGATGGCGGAGGTATTGCGAAGCTTATCAGAACCCGCAAGCATATTCGTCCGGTTGCTACCGAAGCACAAAGCAGAGCATCCAAGCGAAAGATTTCTGAGATGGCAGAGACTGTCCCCCAGAGCCGCTTCACGTCTTTCAACCAGCACGATACGGGAGACTTTGAGAGCCCATCGAGAAAGCGAATACGCGTCGGGCCCCCTCAAGCCTACCAGCGCAAACAGTCTCTTCCCATGCCGCTTCCCTCCATTGTTATGCCGTCTGCCGATTCTCAATATGCTGTGCCGCGCATTCTGCCCGCTATTCCCAGAATGCAGGCACTGCCTCCAGATCATGCTTATGGATCTGATGCATACATGCATGGGCTTTCTTCTACCCGCCCCGGTCCTCAAAATAACTTCTATGGCCACGACTCGCAGCAGTATGCAGGCCACTATCAGACAGGCGCCGGCTCTGCTCAGCCACCTCTCTTTCAGCGAGAGAGAGATTATCACAGGCTACACCAAAGATTGCCGTCCATCAGTGATCATTTGTCGGTGGCAAACGGCTACTCAGCTGCCTCGCCGTATAGGAGCTCCGGGCCATTCAATGAGGGCCCAAATATGCAACGACCCCTTCACTTGCGATCATATAGCGCAAACGTTGCGACGACTCAATCCGGCTTTGAGTACCCCCGTCCTATCAGTTCTAGCGGAGCCGTGCAGCCCGATCTGGCATCTTTCGACAATAGAGAAACGGTAAATTATCCAAGCACTCGCGACTATGCTATAGAGCAGCGACCTGACTCAAGCCACGCCTACACCACGGGCTGGCATCAGAACCCAGCTCCCCAGCAGCAAAACTATTACGCATCTGGCTCGGCACACGATCATGTCGCTCGCTCTCAGGTGGATGACCGGCGAACTCCGACCTATTATGGCTCAACGGCTCATGGAGCTACCTCGAAGAGAGCTCAGCATGAAGAAGTTCACTATGGCAATACCTGGCCTCACACCGACCAAGCCGTTACGAAGGCGGCTAAAGACGTGCGCGAGGATTAGTTGTTGTGTCTTCCTTTTCCAATGGCAAGCTAACTCTTTGCTGCTTGGGAAACCATCATTGCGATATTATTTTTCTTTATGTCACGCATATGTGTTGTTATATCTCGTTCGCTTGTTCAGTTTGGCGACCTCCTCTCTGCTCTCTCTCTTTCTTTTTCTTCTTCTTCTTTTTTATGGCGCGTTGTCTTTACACATACCATTACGATGAACGGCCAAAGAAGGTTGCATCAAAAAAGCCTAGATTTTCTTTATGCCACTTTTGTGATTGATGTTTTTCTCTCCATCTTATTGTTCGCGCTTCTTTCTTTCTTATTATGTTTTTTTCTTTTTTCTTTACTCATTTTAGATCTTGAGTTGACTACAATGTCTATGGCGGATGGACATGGGCTGATAAACTGGCTTTAACGAGAAACACTTGGGGGATGTGGTTATCTGAATCAAATCGAGGCTCGGCTAATTAGTCGGACGAGGCTAGCTAGGGAGGCGGCTCTGAGGAGCGTTCGACTTCAACTTGGGGAGGCAAGACTGTGCTGAGAGAGAGAAAAGGTTTTGGTTCGGAACAATCGCAGATGAGGCGTTTGATTTGTTTGCAAAGGGCTCGTCCTTTCTTCTTCTTTTTATCCACGACATGGGAATGGGAAACGAGAAGAAGAAGAAAAAAACGGCAAAGGGCGTTTTAACAGTGCCTTCTGATGAAGTGAAAATATTAAGCGTGCATTTGGCTTTTGTTAGGGTGGCTTGGAATTGGTTGGTACATGGAGAATATCAGGAGATGAAATTTAGATGTCGCCATTTGGGCCTGCTTATTCTATGAAGTGGACGCCAAAGCTCATGTTGGTATGTATGAAATAGATGAAATAAACAAAACGGCTCTTGCTTTTTTCTTTCCTTCTAATGCTTCGCTTCGCTTCGCTTCGCTTCGCTTCTCTTCTCTTCTCTTATTCTTTGTTCTTACTCCCTAAACATGACAATGCCTCCATCCCACTCGCTCAACTCTCCCACATTCGCCCTCCCGACCTCGTTGAATCCAAATCTCGTATAGAACCGATCCGTCCCCCTCAGGCCAATCAGCCAGACTTTCCCCCCTCTCACTTCATCATCTTCGTTCTTCTGCTTCTTCTGCTGCTTCTGCTGATACGCATCGGCCAGATCCAGGCCTTCATTCATGAGCAAACCGCCCAGCCCATGGCCCTGGTAGGACGGATGCACGGCCAGCGTGCTGAGGTACCACCACTCCTTGGGCTTCTTGTCTGCGAAGAGGGCTTCTTCGATGGGCGGGAAGCAGCGGTCAAAGGCGGTGGCTGGGTAGAGGTCGACGGTGGGGAAGAGCTTGGTTTGGAGGGCGATGAAGTTGCGCACTATGGGGGCGACCCAGGCAACTGTGGAGAGGTATGAGTTAGTTGCTGCTTACTTTCTTTCTTCTTTCAAATGTTGACAATTTCATAGATAGATCTCGTATAATGATACATGAAACAATGGCAAGTCCCAAGAAACCACAACGAACGATGAGATGAGAAGGAGAAGAAAAAAAAAAGACAAAACTCACATATACTAAACCACCTCTCCACAAAGCCAATCTCCCCCGCCGGCTTCTTCCAGCACGAAAACCCAACAACCTCCTCTCCCTGCCCACCAGCCGCCTCCCTGACGACAAACGTAAACATCCACTCCACGGACCAGAACCGCTTCGCATACAGCCTGTACAAATGGGTCTTGAACGCCACTGGATCCTGCTCCCTCTTGCCCGGGAACAAGAGCTGGATCAGCTTGTCCGAGCCGAGACACGCATCGTAGAGACGCACCGCGTGGTTGAGGTCTGAGACGGAGCCTGGGCGGAGGCGAAACTGTGGAGGCATTTTATATAACCGTGTTTTTTTTTTGTGTATATACAATAATATTGTATGAAACTGTGCCAAGAAATTGATATGAAAATACAGTTGTCGCCCGTTGTTACCTATACACTACAGAGTTGACAACCCATACATGTAGATACAGGAGTATATGAATTACTCAGTATATATACAAAAAGTAGCGAAAACGGACACTCGGTTTATAAGCTAGTAGTCAAAACCCATTTCTGTCCCACCCCTTGCTTTGCCGAATGAGTCAAACTAACCCTCTCTTACTGGCCGGACAAGTGCTGATACGGGGGAGAAAAAAAAAAAAATCTTAGCAACGATAACACCACTTGTTGAACCAGCTTCGGTCCCCACTTGCTGTATTTGGTTAAACAGACCTACTGGGTAAAGCAGGTGGTTGCAAGACAACTTTTTTTCTTCCCAAGTTATATACTTTTTTTTGTTATTGATGCAGGGATTCTCCAGTAATTCGCCAATTGGAAGGATTTAGAGTGCCATTTATGGAAACCTCAATCGTCAACTAGTGTCAAGTTTCTTGTGGTGTTGTCACATGTAAATAGAGTCACAAAACGCACCAGACGCCTGGATCGGAGCAAGTTGAAGAACGAAATATATTCGAGTCATCTTTTGTATTGTAAAATATCCTCATCATTGTATCAATTACGCAATATAGGTTGAATAAACTCCTGTCAATAATCATCACCCAATCGAGTTTCGCTATCGCCATCATTCACTCTCCTTGTGTACAAAGGCCCTCTTGAGTCATATCAATTGCACGTTACTTTACAAAGAAATCCTCGCAAGAGAACCATACGTTTTGCTTATTTGTTTTGTATTTTATTTCAGTTAGGGCATGCTGTCGTAGAGACGATATATACATATACCGATGCAAACTATTTTGCCCATAGTGCTACAGAAACAATAGGCCTCCTCCGAATATGCCGATACTTCGTCCTCACCTCCATCATGCATCAATACCTATACATGAATCATATACACGAAGAAAATGCCCACTCACGGCGCCACCATGCTAGTAATTTGAAGAATGCCGTTGACAAATCGCACCTTTGCCCTCCTTCCGTCCTGGAAAAAAGGACGCTGGAATATTATTGAAACGCTGTGATCGAACCCAAGACCGAAAAGAAATAGAAAAAGAAAAGCCCTACAGAAAGAGCCAAGGACCCAAACACCGCAGACACGAGTCTGATGCTCCGCACGTATGCATTCGAGAGAGAATATAAAAGATGAAAAAAGAAATGCAAGGTCCCTTGCTGGAGCTCCAAACTTGTGGATCTCATGGGGCATTCCCCAGGATCAGGATGAGCAGCATGCCGTTGAGAAGACATGAAGCGATGAAGATTGCCCAGACCCCCAGGCGGTAAACTAGCGATAGCTGGTCTTCTCGGTAAAGCGTCATACCAAGGCCGGAGCAGGCACAGAATAAGCTGACCACTGCTCCAACGGTAGCGCCGGCATCAACCTCGACCCGCAGCTTGTGCCGGCCCGTCGAGATGAGAATGCCGGCAATGCCGAGAAAGATGAAGGTGGCACCGAAACAGCCAATGGTGCCCCAAAACAGGACGCGCTCCCTGTAGCGTCGCAGCTGCTGGTTGTTGACGCTGGGCAGAGCATAGTGCGCGGCATATCCTCGTGTGGGGAAACCGTCGGAGCTGGCGTATGCCTCCTCTTCGTCGGAGTCGGTGTGCACCGCCGTCGTGGAACCGTACCCCTGGTTGATCGAGTCCCCGGATGAAAAGGATGAAAAGAGGGGCTGTCGCTCGGCAGCCTGAGGCTTACCAAACCACTCCTTGGCCTTTTCAAAGGGAAACGATACAATGGCTTGGGCGTAACTTAGGCCGGGGAAGCTCGAGTCTTGGTCGGGGTTGATATAGATTGCGTACTCTTCGTCGGCTCCGCCCGCGTCGCTGCCGTCATCGTACTCGTTCCAGTATTTGGGCTGCGTATCGTCGAAACATGATGGGGGCAAAGGATCAAAAGCGACGCGATGCGAGCTTGAAGGCTGATTCGAAGGAGCGACGGGAGTGTCGACGGATGAGGGAGAGCTCGGTTCGCTAAATGCCGGTGTGGCATGCCGAAGCTGTTGCTCAATTTCGTCATGTCTCTCCTGAAGGTCTGTAAAGCTGCGTCGTGTAAAGCTCTTTGGGTGACTTAGAATCTCTTCATTGAATCTGGAGCTTAAAGATGATGAACCAGTCCACTTCTGTTTACGAGGTTAGCCAAGGGGAAGTCTGGGATGTTAATCGAGGCAACATACCCTGTATTTCTTGAGAATCTTGCGAAACGCAACGACTTGCGCATTAACAAAGCGCGACAAGGCCTGGGTATCCTCTCTACACCGCAGCAATTCACGCTCATATTTTATGAATTTGCGCTGGTATCGAAGCGAAACACTCGGCGAGTCGGCGTGGAGGTGATGGCTCTTGGCGGCAAACCGCCTGATGTTGGCGGCAATATGTTCTAAAGCAGGGTCAGTACCTGGAGCTTGAGTTTGAATGGGCAATCGCAAAAGTCGTACCTAAGCGTCTTGATACTTCATCCGCCTTGCTGGTAACAAATAGATCTAGGCGATCGTGCTGGTTGCAGAGCTCGGTAAACAGGGCGTCCTCGAATCGGCGCAGCGCGGTGTCTTGGTGGCCGGGAATGGCCAGAGCCGTGGCCTGGTCGCGGGTTGTATGGACCTTGATCTCATGTTTCAGAGAATTGTAGTCGAGATTGTCTATAGTCGGGCCAAATTAGACATGATTCTCATTCCTTTTTAGTTTTCCCTCTTCTAGCGGGACACAGCTGGGGGCATGACATACGCAGACTCCATTCAGGAACAGACTCCCTCTCCAGCTGAATGCCGTATTTCATAGTTTGCTTTAACCACTATGCGCGGAAATGTTTCTTTGAGTCAACCGAGAGAGGTTATCGATACAATCGCATCCTCTTTCTGCGGAGGGCGGTTCGAATTCAGAGCGTTGACGGCAGCGCAAATGGAAGAGCAAAGAAGCGTTGGTGGAGCAATTCAATTGGCCGCCAGAGGAATTGAGTTATGTATGATTCTTGTAAGAGGCTGATACGAGAAGAGGAAGAGAAAAGAGGAAGGTTTTTTTTTTTTTTTTTGGTCTTTGTTCTTCGGTTCCCCGGGCCAGCTACAAGAGAGTTGCGACGGACTTGACGGGCGGCATGCACATAGAATGGTCGACCCAGTCCCGTCTACTGCAAAACAAAGCAAAACAGAACAAGAGCCAATCGAATGTCGCTTCGGCGTCGGATGGCGGAAGTGGCGTTCACTGAAAGGAGCGGGAAAAGCACCAGCGTAGGTATTTTAAAAGCAAGAGGGACAGGTCCTTGTCAGAGATGCGTAACCAAGAGCCAATCGCGGACGGTGCGATAACGGCCAACTTTAAAAAGAGGAATGAAGGACAAGGGGAGGAGGAAGATGGCTTGGAGGGACTCGGGCTAGAAGCAGAGCAGCGCAGCGCAGCGGTAAGATAGCGTGGGAAGTTCGTATCAGATTAGATTAGCCCTGGAAGCAGACAGTGTTGGCGCCGCAGCCGGAGCGTGGACGGCGCGGAGGAAGCAAGGAGGAAACGGCAGAGGAGGGTTGGTGTCAACCAGAAGAACGTTGCGACTGCGATGTTATAGTAGCACCTAGGTAGGGACTTCTAGGGACTATACGCCGTACAGGCCGAGTATTGCAGCAGCTGCCCGGGGCCCACGATGACGCACAGGAGGCTAGAGGGACACAAGAAGCTCGCGAGCCGCAAATCCCGAGGGCTAGAAGCGAGGCAGAGGCAGAGGCAGAAAAGCAGGTCCAAGGTCAAAGACGACGTCGATCAAGCGTCCAGATCAACCAACGAGCAGAGCAGGCCTGCGCACGGGGTCGAGCGGCGTTATATCATCAGCCCTTGTGGAGTTTGATCGTTGTTCGGCCGGCGGCGAGCAGAGGCAAAAGAGGAAAAAAAAAAGATGGAGATTGGATGGATGCCGTCGATGTCTGGTGCCATGCACAGTAGAGTAGCAACCAAGGCAACGCACCCTGGGCGGCATGGCAGAAAGATAAGGTGCCCACTATGGAGAACGCATACGTAGGACCGCCAGGGTATGAATGGCGCCCCTGCAGCGGATTCCGCAGGCGCTCTGGGGGGACTGATGGCCTGATGGGGCACTGCCATGGGGCAGTTGGTGCTTTAGGCATGGCCGCCCTGCTGAGGGGGCCTCCCAGCGGGCAGCGCAGGCTTAGTGTAGAAACGGTCTAGACGCCTCCCAACCCAGAACCACTTATATAGAAGCACATCGTCAATAGTTATATAGTCGACGTCTCCATAATGCTATTTACATGCAGGCGGCAAAACCTTTTGCTGTTGTATGAGACTAGACCAAATCTATCTGTCCCGTTGCTGCTTGCCACGGCGTCGAATACGAGAGTGTAGTTGCAGCGAGCTAGGACATGGCGAATAGGAGCCGCAGAGAGGATAAAAAAAATCCAAGAGGGAACTTAAAAAAGATGAGAGCAATAAGACGTGCGTGAATGATAATGGCGGGCTCGAATAACACCAAAACCGTCCTATTACATGCCAGCCAGCTACAGCTAATCCAGCCAAGGAAGAAAAAGGACACAACCATCGAACCAAAGAAGAATAATCACACACACACACACACACACAAAGTATCTTTCTCCCTATCCTCAGAAATAGCCGCAAGCAGCATCTCTCTCCTACTTACTCGCACATTGTTGCACAGCAGCGCCAAGCACTAATAGCTCCAGTCGTTCCAGACCCCTCCCCATGGAGAAGGGAAAGAAAATCAACGGCCAACAAAACACCGGCCCCTCTATCCGAGTCGGGGAGAGAAGAGGGACGGAGGAAAATCGTTTAAACAGAGCCAATTGCCCGAGTCAGTCTAAGATGGATTTGTCAAAGCCCCATCCCCGAGTTCGGCTATTGAGCGCAGCTTTTTCTTTGCTTCCTAGGTATGCATTTCGCTGCTCTCTGCTCAGTGAGTAAACCACAAGTTCGGCTTACTTGTTTAGGACTATTCCATCGTACATTTCTACTATGTGTGTGTAACTTGCCATCTGGTGCTAATAGCTTTCGTGCATCAGTAGCTGCTTGGAGAATGACGAGAAACTCCCGACATGCTGCTGGGCTTGAGAGTGGTCCCGTCCCATCCGACGATCGAGTCGTTATCGACTGATTTTGAACGAGGTTTCAACTGCAAGAACTAGTGCTGCCAATGGCAGCCATCGTACATACACAGAGTAGACGCAAAGAAACATACATGCAGTAGTGCCAACAGCATGTAGCAGCAGAGACTGGATTCTGTGCCGCCTGTGCTGTGCGGAACAGCTCCCCATTGGCGACCAACGGTGGTTTGAGCATCCCTGCTTCCCGCCGCCCTACGGAATTCGGCTAAAGACGAGAGCAGAACCAAAGCTCCGCTAGTGCCTCCGCCGTGCAGAGGGGTGCTTTGGCCTGTGAGAGGCTGATGCTTGCGTTGCCGGCCACTTCGTACAGAGTGGTGCATGTGCATGTATGTATATGTAGGATGGCATACTCGTATATTAGCCAAGCTGCCAGCTCGGATAAGCTGCGATGCTAGACCCTAATCACTGGCAGCAAGAGGGTATCATCAGCACTCCCATTGGATGCTGGATAGAACGGACGCTGTTACTTAGATAAGAGGTTCCAAATGCCGCCTTGACGATGCGATTCTAGACTGCCGATGCCACTCCCGGGCTCACTTGTCGAGCCAGGACCAATTTACCCAAGAAAAGGATGAATTAATTCGGATAATAAGAAGAGAAAAAAAAAAAGAAAAGAAAAGAAAAGAAAAGAAAAATCAATACTTCTACCGGCCTTGACATGTGCAATTTCAGCTTCAAGCCAAGAACCCACCCGCTGTATATCAATCCGACCCACAATCTGCAAGGTCCCCTGTTTCCCGTCTCAAGCTCTACTCAATCCGTTCACCGAGCCTGATTCAGCCCAGCAGCTTCAGTTCGAAAACAGCTTGTTTTCTTGTTTAAAGGCACAGAAATCTCTGTTGACCCCCTTTCTAATTTTTCCTCCCCTGTACTAGAACCGATCGGCCCGTATGGACGTGCCCTCCTTTGCCACTGGTGTCGCGTGAGTGCTTTCCCAAGTCGGTTTGCGCTGCTACTGTAGAATTTTTTTTTCCCTTTGTTGGTGTGCGTAGATGAATGAGATGAAGTGTGGGTGAGTCTTTCGACACACACCCTGGTTGACTGGGCTATAGCTACTGTTTAGGATTCCGTCCGTTATCCTTGCATTCATTCCATTGGTTGGTTGATTGATTTTTCTTGCCGTTTGACATTTTGCAGCGCCGAGGGCGATCACGCTACATGTTGCCAAAAGCAGCGAGGAAGCTGCCAGATAAGACTGCATGTTCGACTGCATATGGACCAGACAGGCTATAAAAAGAGACGCACCCTGCAAGCACCCAAACCCTCCGATCACACACAACTTACGCCGTCCATATCAATTGCTACATCTTCATCTCATGCAAAGACAATAATTTTCTTCTTTTTATTTCTGTGCCCAGACAGCAACGTTTCGCTGGCGCAGCGGCCAAAGATGCGGGCCCTGCAAATCTAGATTTGCACTGGTGGATCGTCCCTCTGCCAGAGCTCCATTCCGAGCCGCTCAACCGCCACTGCGCGCGGGCCAAAAACATGTTGTTGAACTCCATTCTCAACTCCCATCTCGGCTCGGCTCATTTTCTCTCTGTTCGTTTCATTAGACCGGAGCCCTGCCGCGTTTCTAATAGTGGTGTTAGTGGTACTAGATGTGGATTGATGTGTGAGCGCTTTTTAAGATGCTACCCTTTGCCGTCTACCGAGGGGACAAAGAGGAGATACGCTTGGCAGGGTCGTAGCTATTTTCTGCTCTGTCTTGGAGCTGCCGCTAGTCATTTACCCGTTTCTTCCAGCTCTTTTGTCATGCTAGTTTTTGGTGTTTTTGCAGTACCGGCACTAATTCCTAGTAGATATAGCCTCTGATGGTTGCCTTCGGCAAATGCTTAGCATCACCATGGCTCATCCATTTATGGATTGTAGATCCCTTGGTCCTTGACCGTGGTATGCATGGAAGAGTAGCAATGCCGAGATTCCATGGACTTCTCGGTAATTCCACTCCTGTATAACATGGAGCGCGGCAAGGGGAGCCAACAAGAGCTCATTGATATGATTTGGACGTAGATACGCAGTACCCTGGCCGATGGAAATCACAGCCATTGCCATTCTCCTTCCGCATCCCAACAAACCTGCAGATGTACAGACATACTTGTACATGCTTGACCCTACCATGTTATCGTTCTGCCTATTAACACGCGCACACACACACACCTTTTGTCTTCCGATAAGAACAACTCCCTTGCTTGCAAACCTCCGTGCATGTATTCTTATCTCTGGACACAACCAGTGTCTTGGAACACTCCGGTTTCATCGCCCAGCGGTGGGGGACACACACACACACCTTCGCTCTGCAGCTCATGCACGGCTTGTAATCCAACAGGATTAAGTGAATACTACTGGGTAATATAAACCAATGGATCACACTACATGTACTTACTGCTGGAGCCATCACAAGCAGCTATAACACCATCTCTCGCGATCTAGCCTCTTCTTGACACCACTAACACATCTCGCTATTCCGAACGTACACGCACGTTTGTCTGTTTGCGCAATAGCAGCAGCCCTGAGCGTGTCTAAGCACGCCACAAGCCAGCCCCAATTCGAAATGTCATCCCCATAAAATCCAAGCATTTCTTCCTCATCCCGCGCTTTTCTCCGGACCCTGAACCAATCGCGGTTCCCCGGCGAAACATTAAAAACAACCTAACAAAAAATCTCCATTGTGGTTCCTTATCCGGTAACACAGCACGAGCCGATCAAAGTAGATGCCAACGCACACACGCACACACCCAAACGGCACACTCGCGTTTTTCTCGGCGAGTCCCCAGAGCTTTTGCCATACATACCTCGTAGCCTGCCTACACATCTACCAATTCGTGGGAAACACGTGTATAAGCTGCTCGTTCCTATTGGATGCTGCTCTATGCAGGCATGTATGCACGGTGAACGATGGACAAGGCTGCTGTCACATATAACATCGGTAAGAAAAGCAGTCACGCGACACCTTTTTGCTAGGGACGCACACCTACCCAGCCTGGTAGATGTATGTAAGCCTGCAGGAACCTCGTCAGCTCCGGATTATACCATGGATATATATGACTTGACCCTGAGCAACACTGCTAGGCCGTTGATAAACCTGGCCTTCCTGGAGATACGCAATAGGTAAAAACAATTGACCATGGACACCCTCTCTCCTTCATTGAGCATGTCCGCTTATGCTGTCGTTGGAAGTGTCATCTTTATGATCCTCCGGCTAATATAAAACCTGGACCCTGCACGGAACTGCACCCATCCACCCACCCATCCAATCCACTGGCCAGTCCGGAGAATGTATTTTCGTGTCCTAGACTAGAGAGCTAAGGTTAATCTTTAGTGCCACGTGTGTAAGGCATGGCAACTACTCACATGTATGGACCACAGAGCACTGTCTTTGCTGTCTTATTTGCAATTGTAGCAATTCGTGCTGGTCGCTTAGTGCCCGTTTTTTAACTACAGATCATACATTCGCATTGTGTGACGGTATAACGACAACAAAATCACCCCAACGTAAGCCGGATAAGGGGATTGATTTGCGGAATAGTGACGTCTGTACTGGAATTTGGCGTTGGGGCTGCTGCGGAGCACATCTTCTTGCAGTAAAAGACTATAATTAAAAGACCCCATGGACCAGCGTCCGAGTATCGGATGGCTTGCCTCGTCTCTCATCAATATAACACGTATAGGTGTGTGAGTGTGAGCATGCGATTAAACGCATAAGATATGTGTAAGTGGGCGATCAGTGGGCAGCTTCATATGCATCGAGACCCATCCGAGTTTTTTTGTGCTTCTTCTATTATTCGGCTCTCTACCCGTCATGCCACAAGTCAAAGTCACACTGAACACAACTAGACACGCATCGTGTTGCCGGCCGAGGTCCGAGATGCATATGTGATATTGCCGCATGCCCATGTATTCACATGCATCTCGCTGCAGCGCAAGAAATGCACGTTATATGAATCAATCAATCTTGCAATGCTATATGGTACTAGATATATATAAATAGAAACTTGTATATGATGGATCATAAAAATAAAAGATGTACCAATGAATTCTTGCGTGGTATCGTTCAAATTGGACTTTCAAAAGTTCCTTTTGTTTAATAAGTCAATGCCCCGTCTCCTAAAACGAGAGTTTGGTCGCCACATCGTCGCACGAAAGTGGGCGTGGAGAGTCCCATGATTATTTTTGCCCATTCTCGTCATACATCATACATCCTGATACTCGAGGACTTGCTCAACTTCCAAAACGCCAAAAATGCTCCCGCTGTGTGTTATTGCAATGACTGATCCGGTTCCGCCAATTCCTTGTTCCTGTTCTTCGATTGGAGACGACTGCATGTCTTCCAAGATATCTCGCGCCTGGCGAACCGTAGTCTCCGACGACATGGCCAGCATTTGACGGCGGGACACTGTGATGCCTGGTACGTCCTTGATTGGTCTCATCATGTCTGCGTCGCCCAATGTTCGGATCATGCTTGGGACGGCAATCTCGTCGCCAATTCTCACCCACCCCGTCTTTGAGCTGTACGCTGCCCGGAGCAGGCTCAGCACAAGATCGTCGCCACTCAGCCCCTCGGTTACATCAACCTCGTCCCATGGGACGGAAATGTGACCCAAGGTCTGCGGCCCTCGAGCCACTGCGGCGACTGCAGCGCCAATAGCGCCGCCAGGGTGGTTTTTGGCAAACATTGTTGAGACATTCGAGTGAAGCTCGTGAGCAGCCGTGAGAGCCAACGCGTCGCCCAATGCCAGAGCCGCTGTTGTTGAAGACGATGGCGCCGGGACTCCAAACGATACATTTTCAGCCTCGGGAATGGGTGCCGGTAATAGAATCGTCTTGGGCCGATGCTTGAAGAACTCGCAAGTCTCTCGTCTCATATGAGATGTCAGAAGAATTGTCGGAAGATTTTCATCCAGGTGAGGTAGCATCAGGAAAAGCTCCTGCGTCTTTCCGGAGTAAGTGATGAATAAAAGTGTGTCTTCGGGGCCCACAATGCCCAGATCCCCATGAAGAGCTTCAGTGGGATGGAGAAACACAGAACGGATTGCCAGGCTTTGGAACGTCGCAACTAATTTTTTTCCAATGTGGCCGGATTTGCCGACACCGATGATGACCAGCTTCCCTTTTGTCTTGGCCAGGCGAGTAATGGCTTTGATGGAGGCATTGAAGCCGTCCCGCGCGACCGCGTCAACCTCGTATAGCTTTGTGAGATTGGCCAATGCGGCAGCCTCGATATTTAAAACGTGGATGCCACTGTGAAGTCTCCTCTCCTGGATGGATTGCTCCCGTGACAGCTTCCCGTCTAAGCTGAAGCCATCAACCGGGTCGCCAATCTCTTTGGTCGATGGTGAAGCCGAAGGCGTTGGTGGAGACGGCGGTGGGAAAGACTGACATTTCGAAGCGCCCAGAACGATGACGGCACTCGTCTGGATGGGCCTGTGGTCGCCGTGCCGTGAATCAAGCATTTTTATATGTATTCAAGCGATCGAGCTGGACGTGATTGATAGGAATCAAAAACTAGAAAAAGTCGGTGGCAGCCGGTTTGATATCCAGACAGGCGTGCGACAAGATTCAATTGAAGAAGCGCCGAGAACTTAAAACCGCGCAGATCTGATCGCCCCGAGCTCAGGACCACCCCCGCGCTTCGCAACGCACTGCTAACCTTGATCTGATGTATCGCTGTGGCACTGCTGGAGTCGTGGGCCGTGGGAGCATGTCCGATCCAACCCTACACGTGCGACAAACGCCAAGTGTCAGTGTCAGTGTCGGTGTCGGTGCCACGCAGAAGACTGGAAACTCTGCACGCGGTCAGGGCTCAAGCCATGGTGAGTGAACGCCGTGGCAGAGGATTGAGCTGAGCTGAAAGTCTTGAGACAAAGAGCTGATTGCGCTGATAAGGACTGGATCCGATTCCATGTAGGCAAGGAGGTATATAAAAAAGTTGCCGGTCAGCGAAATGCGTGTGAGTGGACGCGGCGACGATTGGCGGACATGTCAAATTGTGTGCTCAGATCCTAGCGCTCAATTGGGTGAAGGCTCGGCCAACGGACGCATTTCCGCTCGGATAGCCTACGGAAGGCTATCTGGGCTTAGAAATCCACTATTCTAGGCCTAACAGTTGAGCCGATGCGTGGGCTTGGCTGGTGAACGGCGCATCGTCGGCATCGGCATACAGACTTCTGCTCGTCATAGAACGTCTTGTGGCGTTGCCTATTGAAAAAAGCAAACAAAAAAAAACGTGGTCTTCACGTTAAGAACACGAGAAATACGGACATAAATGGCCGTGTGTGGCAAGCCAGACGCGTGAACTTGGGATGCACAATCGCCCTGTCGCGATTTCACATGATCAAATCTCTCCCCACAGCCCTCCCTGAGCTCCGTAATGCAGCTGTGCTTTGCGTTCAGACAGCGCCGGCAGTTCCAGGAGATGTGAAAACGCTCGTTTTGGCCTTAAATTCCGCTGCTCGTGCAGCCCCCGCATCGTCACGTCATCAGCACTGCAAATGACTGTAGAAGAGATGGTTGACGCAGCCGCTTTCGGTAGGGGAGAATAAAAGTCCGACGACACCCGTAGATAAGATTCATGAGTGCTCGGGAACTGTCTCGTGGCCGCACAAGGGAGCCGAGGGGAGCACCGTGCTTCCGTAAGTACCTAACTTGACTGTTCGAAGTCGTTTGGAGCCGGTCGTTTGGAGTTGCAAGGCGAGAGAAAAGGGTGTTGAGCAGTCACGCGAAGAGCAGCAACTACAGCTCCTATATATGTAGTCTACCTACTAGCCAGGTAGTCCCCAGGCCGCTGTCTGCTTACTGGTACATTTCAATGCCAGCTGACTGCATCTGCTTGATCATGCCACCAAGCTTAGGCGGCTGACAGGCCTGGAGAACCCCCAAACCTTCTGCCTCGTCTTCTCCCAGAGGCCTAGCCAGGGTCTGGCAGCCGCTAATTGGCCCGCCCCTCACCCTATTTTCAGGCCTTGTGTCTCAGCGGCAGCTCTCAATGGCTGGTTTGGGCCTTTCATCTCCGGATCTGGCATCTCGGGCGACGACAGTCCATGTCCGCGTGGCCCGCAAGCAGATTGCGAGGGAGACACGAGGGTATATAAGAAAAGTGCAGGAAATAGTACAGCAGTCGTTGGCCTTAATACGCCACAGAATCTTCACAACTCCAAGAGGTTCCGGTTTAGTTTTACAAGTGAGCACAGCCGGGCAGAGTTGACATTGCTCTACGCCGTCCACCCCGGCCTCTGCGGGTTTAACTTTCTGCAATATAAGGAGAGCAGCAGGCTTATCACTATGACGAGGGCCCCGAGCAGAAACTCCAAGTCATCTCTGTTGCCCCGGCTTCCCGGACTATCCGCCAGCTGGCACACCTGAACCTCGCTTGTGAAGAGAGCAAACGGAAGTCAACAAGCAGAGAAGTGAGCTTTTGAGATTTGACGTCAATCCTCCTTACGTAAGGAAAGCTTCTGATAAATTTCCTTCCGCAAGCAGGCTTTGAACTCTTCTTGATTTAAATAGAATACTTATCTACTTCTTCAACCTCCGAGCAACTCATTGTCAAGGCACACTCTGTTTCTTTCTTTTCCTTACTGTTCTCTTCTAAACAAGAATTTTTGGTTTATTCTAAGCGACTTTTTGTTTGGTTCCCGTCTCCACGATGGAGTCGGCTAAAGCCGCAGAGAAGGGCCCCCTTCTCGAGCTGCTTTCAACACCGCCGGACGCTGCGCGCGGTCAGCACGGGCCGCGGCGAGGATGGCGATACTATGTTGGGCGGTCTGTGATGATTCTTTTTGCGTTGTTGATAGGGTCATATGCGTTTCGCTGGGTCACAGCGCCCGGTGCCGTTTACAGCAGCCATATGCCGCGGCAAATCGACGACGAGCTTATGGCTAAAAGGCTAGCGGCATCGCAACGGACACAACCTCTACTGTTGCATCACCAGCATGACGGCCAAAAGCAGGTGAGGCTGGGGGGCAAAGCTCAGGCCTATAGCCCACCTGGCAGTGCGAAAGATGGCCAGTATCTCATTGGGGTTGGAAAGGCGGATATCACGGGACCCGTTGTCGAAATCAACATGATGGGCTACGCCAACTTCGAGCAGGTCGGCAGCGGCGTCCGCCAACGCCTCTACTCGCGGGCCTTTATCGTTGGCGACCTTCACAGTCCGGAAGACAGATTCATCTATCTCGTTCTGGACACGCAGGCCGGCGACACTGCCGTCCGATATGGCATCCTCCGAGGCCTTCGGGAGCTGGGGCCTGATTATGCCATGTATGGACACAACAACCTGGCCGTCACCGCGACTCACTCTCACTCTGGGCCCGGCGCCTGGCTCAACTATCTCTTACCCCAAATCACCAGCCTAGGATTCGACAAGCAGAGCTATCAAGCCATCGTGGATGGCTGCTTATTATCTATTCGCCGTGCACATGAGAGCCTGGAGCCGGGTAGCTTGACCGCCGGCACCACAAAGGTCTTTGGCGCCAATATCAACAGAAGTCTCTACGCATATCTTGCCAATCCAGCAGAGGAAAGGGCCAAGTACAACGTCAGCGCGGAGGACGATGGGTCTGTGGAGAAGGATCTGACTCTGCTTAAATTTAGAAGAGCATCCGATGGCAAAAGCATTGGCGTGCTTACTTGGTTCCCCACCCATGGCACTTCGATGTTGGCCAACAACACCCTAATAACGGGAGACAACAAAGGCGTGGCCGCTTACCTATTTGAGAAAAAGGTGCGTGAAAGAGAGCATGAGACGGACGACTTCGTCGCCGGCTTTTCTCAGGCGAATATGGGCGATGCCAGCCCCAATACGCTTGGTGAGTGGTGTGACGATGGCTCTGGCGAGAGGTGCGACTGGATATCAAGCTCCTGCAAGAGCACTGGCAGAAGTAGGAAATGCCACGCAAGAGGACCTTTTTTCAGAGAAAAGGATGAGGGAACGGCGTCTTGTTTTGAGATTGGCACGAAACAGTACGAAGCCGCCCTCGACTTGTACCTTTCGATGGATGCCATGCCGGCAAACGTAAAGGGATCAGGCGTCAAGGCATTCCATCGCTTCCATGACATGGCTGATTTCCAATTTCAGCTGCCCAATGGCTCGACGGCTCGCACATGCTCAGCGGCGCTGGGCTACTCTTTCGCAGCCGGCACCTGGGATGAACCAGGTCACTACGAGATCACACAGCATGGCTCCAATGAGTCAAACACAAATCCCGCTTGGAAATTGATACGATGGGTTGTTGGAGCCCCCAGCCCCGAGCAGATACAATGCCATTCCCCAAAGCCCATCCTCTTGAATGTTGGCAAGACTCGCTTTCCGTATCACTGGACACCGGATATTGTAGACTTGCAGACTTTCAGAGTCGGCCAGTTTATCATCATTGTCAGTCCTGGGGAAGCAACAACAATGGCTGGCCGTCGATGGAAAGAAGCGGTTGCTGAGAGCAGCAAAGTCCAGTTGGCAGACGAATTAGATGGCAATGAGCCCATTGTCGTTTTTGGAGGACCCAGCAACACGTATACTCACTATATCACAACAGAGCAGGAGTATGGGTAAGTTTTCTTCTTCTACTTTGTTTTATTGATGCCTAGTTCAACTATCCTCTACGGTTTTTTTTGTTTTTTTTTTTTTTTTTTTTTTTTTTTTTTTTTTTTTCATTTTCTTCAAAACTAATCTTCTGAAATATACAGTCGCCAACGCTACGAAGGGGCTTCGACTTTGTATGGACCACACACCCTAGCGGCTTACATTGATCGAACCAAGGCTCTACTTCCTCTTTTGAGGGATGATGCTCCTGGCAGAGATTCCAACTCCAGTGATACTGGACCCTTACCCCCGGACAATAGCGATAAATCCATTGGCTTGAACACGGGCGTCTTGTTTGATACGACACCACAATCTCGTTCATTCGGGGATGTGATTATCAACGTTGGCAGGTCTCAGTTTACACGCGGAGAGAAAGTAAAGGCAACATTTGTCGGAGCCAACCCAAGGAACAATTTACGACTAGAAGAGACGTATGCCGCCGTTGAGCATCGCCATCCCGGTGAGCCAGAGTGGAACACCGTGCGCGATGACTCGGACTGGGCACTCGTCTACCAGTGGAAGCGAACCAGTCTGTTCAAGGGCACCAGCGAAGCGACAGTTATATGGGACATTGAGGACTGGGCGAAGCCAGGAGAATACAGGCTCCGCTACTTTGGCGATGCCAGATCCATTGACGGCGAGGTTACGGCGTTTGAAGGTAAAAGCGCGGCGTTTACGGTCAGTTAACATGGGTTTCCCGCGGGGAAGGTTATACATCATATCAACTACAGGTTTATAAGCGGCTGTCATTGGAACATGAAGTTATTAGATATTTTTAAAGGGAGAGTACAGCGACTTTATTGGGAAGAAATATTTCTTTCTGATTGTTTTATTAGACAGGCTTTCAGATGTACAGCACGAGGCAGCGGTCTTTGGCATTCTGGGTACCATTACACAATGGCGTTTGTAGGTATCATGGCTTTTATCATTCTTCCTTTTCTTTCGTCTTTTACGGCATATCGCATACAGAATAAATTGAATCATTTACTAGTTTTGTATTGGCGAAACTTGAAAGGCGATGCTTCCACGAATCACGAATGGCCGGACTCGGGATACCGAGAACGTACGAAGCGCGCATGTAGCAGTACTTTCACGTTTTCGCTGGTTTCAGCGTTTCGTCACTGTCGATCCCCTGTAGCGTTTTAATATGGAGCCTTTGGGAGAGAACCAAGCAAAGGCCTCGCTGGTTCAACGTGGCTGGGCATTGATTGGCTGCCGGTGAAAGAAAAAGGTCTAGAAGGCTCCGGCGAATGCGGGCCGGGGGGGGAACAGCACTGTATTGGAATTTGTACCCCGTACCTGTTACGCTCCAGTCTATCGAAACCACTTGCAACGGTTCTCCAGTTCAACTCCAGCGGATACGAACTTTCAAGATGGCCTAATCCTGGATTGGGGAAGAGCCGGAACAAGGGGAGGCATTTTCGGGCAGTGCAGCTGAAAGGGCGACATGCAGCTTGTTTGGCAGAGCACGCATATACGAAGCAATAAAGCGGCTGCTATCAAACGAGTTCGTATTGCCGTACATGTATGCACATTCAAGCTTAATATACACTTACTTGAAACAAACAATGCCAAGCTTTTTTTTTTGTTTTGTTTTGCAGCCCTTGCTGTTAGGCGGTTGATGGCTTGGCAAGATTTTGAGAGGCGCGCGGCAAATTACCTGCCATTGGAATAAAAAAGACAGTATAAGTACTAGCTTTTTTTTGACGCGTAAGTGTCAAGGGCAAGATGCGGATGTTCGGAATACTGGTTGCTCGCATGCATGCATAACAGAGGCTGGTGCATGCTTGTTGCATGGGGGGAGACCAGGGAGCTATATTAAGACTGCCAAAGGAACCTTTTAGAATAAAGGGCAGCCGCCGACACTGCCACCCCCCTTTGTCAGCTGTCACGGCAGTGTTGGTACTTGTGCTTTGCATGCAGCGAGCAACACCTATATAAGTCTCTATGTATAATCGACCTTTGGAAGCAGCAAGCAATGAGATGAAGAAACAAAAGGGATAAATGCATAAATTCAGAGAGGTGATTGTCGCATTTTCCTTGTAGTCTCATGCTTGCGAATGCTTTACTACCAATAGCGGCAGTAATCGCGCCGGCTTCTACCTACTATTGATGTCATGATGCCAACTGTGGTTGTAGCGGCATTAGCAAGGCTCGTAAATGTGGATTCCACTGTGGATAAGCTTCTTCGTCGTCGTCTTTGTGGTCCATCTACAGCGTTATCAATGTACATCACGTTTCAGAACTCGGGGTTTCGCCGCAATCCCTGGCTCAAGTGGTAGGCATTTATTCATCATGGTGTTTTTGCTTGTAGCAATCTGGTCAACCATCGCCAATGCCCATTCTTCAGCCGAGAGAAAGAGAGCGTTCGAGGCCCTGCATTGGGCTTTACCAATGTAATCGAAGTATAGTATTTCTCATCGCCAGAGCCCCATTGTTAACTCCCGCCAAAAGCCGAGGGTGTATAGAAGACACGCTCATAAAATTGTCTGTAGACTGTCGTGTCTTGGTGTCTCACCAGGTGTCAGATCGATCTGCGTTGATATGCTAGTCCGTGCTACCGCGTGCTCTGCACCATCAGGCACAGCAGCATTCCACATCCAAACGGTGGCACAGACATGCTGTAAACGCGCGCCGCACGGACGATCCCCGTCTCAGTCTGATTCACCGCATCATATCGTTCTCGCTTGCGTCTTGTCAATTTGTTTTCCTTGTTTTGTCTCGACTCTTCTTTCTCCCTCGGCGGCTTCCCAACTCGTACGTACGACCCGCTGCTCTGGGAAATCTTGACAACTTTTAAAAGTCCAAGTACAAACGGCCCCATCCAAGCAGTAGCGGTACAAGGTACCTCTTTATCACTGGCGCCCTACCACTAAAATATTTCCGGGCCCTCCCTTTTGGCAGCCAAGCCTTTCAGCTGTCGTCATTGCTTGCCTATCCCCCCTTGCTGCGGCTGCAAAAGAGGTATCCGTCCGTTTACAGGGGCGCCAGAAAAAAAAAATTGAATAATTCCCATGTGCTGGAACGCTCTATTGCCATCATACTTAGTGACTTTAGCGCCCTGCAAAGCAGTGAGTGCCGAGCCACCCCGTCCGTGCATTTTATTCAGGAAACCGACTCGAACCTGAAATATTGATCGCTGACAGCGGGTCTGGGCTGGTCTGATCTTGTAGCACCCAATTCCATTCCCAGCTCTCTGCGCTCCCTCTCCGGAAGCCGTGCTCCTTTATCTACCTTTTGTTGCGAGCCCAGTTTTTTTCTTTTCTTGGATCCTTTCCTTTTTTTTCCAATTCCTTCTTTCTTGGCTTTCCACTCCTCGTCGTCTGCAGGCTGGATCCGGATACCAACTGTGGCGTCTATCAAAAACGCCAAACGACCAGTGGCGGATTGACTGGAATCAACCCATCCTGGCTATCTATCGCTGCCGATAAGCCCTGTCCCGAAGTAGAGACACTCGGTATTACGACTCGCCATCATCTCATTCTCGCATCTGTCCATCCCAATCTCACCTCACCTTGCTCGGGGTACGCAATACGAGACGAGATAACTAATCGTGCTGCTCCTCGCCTCGCCTCTCCTCGCCTCGCCTCCCTTCTTCCCTGCGTCCCGGCGACTCTCGCTCTTTCTCAGCCTCAGCCTCGGACCTGATCCTGTCTGCATCTCATCTTCTGTCCAACCCGCCCAATCCAAGGCGGCCCCCCGGCAGAGCTGAATGCTAAGCTTTTAGTTTAATTTTATTCTTTAATTCCCTAATCCCGCCCCGTCCATTGTCCTTTTTGCTCTTCTTGGCTTCTTGGGAGGCGTCTTCTGCTCCGTCTCGATCTTGATCTCCATCTCCATCTCCATCTCCATCTCGCTCCTCCATCGTCTCGCCTCCTCGCCCGCTCCTCATACCGTCACGCCAAGCATGGGAGCCGACGGCATGGGCCTCATCAAGCTGCCGTCCCGTCACTGGCGGGCCGCCGTCATCGTGGGCTGCACGCTGCTCTTGGCCCTGCCCCTCTACCAGCTGCGCGACCACCAGGCCGCCGGCTACTACAAGCAGTACATCTACGACCATCTGCCCACCTACCTGCAGGGCCCGGGCGTCTACAACAACACGCTCTATCACGAGGGCACCGAGGCCGCCGTGCACTCGCAGTGGAACTTCAGCTCGCCATGCCACGGCTTCCCCAACATGGACAGCATCATGCTGGTCATGAAGACGGGCGCCACCGAGGCCTACGACAAGCTGCCCACCCAGCTGCTCACCGGCCTGCAGTGCATCGACGACTTCCTCATCTTCTCGGACCTGGTAAGCCTCCGCCCATCCTGGAGTTGGAGTTACACGAGACCATCACATACGCTCCCGCCTTGGCAGCGGCATAGCCCGTCCAAGCTTCTCAAGTGCCAAGACTAACACCCAACGCAGGAGCAGCAGGTTGGTAAATATCACATCTACGATGCCCTCGACCGCGTCGACCCCAAGATCCGCGAAAAGTACGAAGAGTTCAAGCTCTACGAGGCGCAAAAGGAATGTCCCGTCTCGCAAAAGGACTGCACCGCCGACATGGAGGGCGGCTGGGCGTTGGATAAGTTCAAGTTCCTCAACATGGTGGTGCGCACCTGGGAGCTGCGTCCCGACCGCGATTGGTATGTCTTCGCCGAGGCCGATACCTACGTCGTGTGGCCGACTCTGGTCCACTGGCTGCGCAACAAGGTCAACCCGCGCGACAACGTCTACATCGGCAGCGTTGCCATGATGGCCGGCTTCCCCTTTGCCCACGGCGGCAGCGGCTACATCGTCTCCGGCGCCCTCATGCGCAAGATGGCTTCGATCCCGGACATTGCCAAGTTCGACGACATGGCCGGCGACGAATGCTGTGGCGACGTGCTCTTCTCCAAGGCCGCCAAGGAAGCTGGCACAAAGGTCTTGAACGCACACCCCATGTTCAACGGCGAGAAGCCCAACACGCTGCCTTACGGACCCGGCCACTGGTGCGAGCCTCTCTTCACCATGCACCACATGAACTCGGAGGAGATTAGCGGCGTGTGGCAGTATGAACAAACACGCACCAACAAGGTTTGTGCCCCCCCCCCCCCCCCCCCCCCCCCTTTCTAATTGGGGCTTCAAGCTCGATTGACGATGGAAATTTTGGACTAACAGAATGCAACGCAGGACCTCATGCAAATCCGAGAAATGTACTACGCTTTTTTCGCTCCCAAGATGGTCCAGCACCGCAAGGACTGGGACAATCTGTCAGATGACACTTGCTACATTGCTCCCGATGAGGAGAGCCAGAAAAAGGCTCCGAATGCCGCCAAAGACCGCCAGAAAAAGGAGGAAGACAAGAACATTGTGCAGAAGAACGCGCACAACTCACCCGCCGCTTGCGCCAAAGTGTGCGAGTCCGAAGGGCTCGATATTCCCGCAGACAAATACGAAAAGCTGGATACAGAAACTGATCGCAGCCAGCTGATCCGATCAAAGTACGATGAAAAGACGGGAGACAAGGGCTTCAAAAAGGATCGCAAATGCTTCCAGTGGCGATTCCAAAAGGGCGTTTGCTGCACGAGCAAGAGCTTCAAGCTCGGCAAGCCCAAGAGGGAGAAGGAAGATAAAGACAAGATGACGAGCGGGTGGTTCGTCAGGGGCATCAACGACTGGATCGAAACACAAGGAGAGTGCCCCCTGGATTGGAGAAATCCTCACTAAGAAATGTGAGGGATCGCGGAGAAGAAAAAAGAGCATCTTTCTTGAATCTTTTGTTTTTGGGTATAGAACTGGGATGGGATAGGCACCACACAATAAGGCGTTTTTTTTTCCCGAGGGCAATGGAAAAAAAAGGGAAACGGAATGACATTGGGGGCTTGATTATTTGTTTTTTTGTCTCTTTGTTGTTCGATTAGCATCATTAACTTTTTTTTTTTTTTGTAAAACCACTCCCTATTTCCTTCATTTTTTTATCAACTATGAATCATGAGGTTAGGAAAGATTGGTTTCTGTTTCCTCGTCATAGATGCGCACACACATAGGTTGGACAAGTGTCTTTTTGGATCAGAGAGCGCAATCACGCATGCATATATAACTACATATACATATATCCATTTGCATATACATATGAAGGGCACTTTATTCACACAGATGGTTAGTTATCAGCGTCTTATACTTGTAATGCACGGGTCAAAAGACAATATGTGTGATTCATGCTTCATTCTTGTCAATCTATCATTTAGGTTGTATTGTTACACATCTGTCTTGTCTTCTCTACTTGTAATTCGCAACGAAGCAATCCGCTTGATTCATCATTCTCAAAAGCTCGTCTCCCTTGTAGCCCACTTGCAGTCCAACACGACTCCGAAAAAAAAGAAGTTTAAAGAAATTCCAGGCCATTTCGTGTACCGTAGTTACCTCATACACACATGCATATATATTCCCCGCCCCTGTTATCAAAACCTTCCGCTTGAATTCAAGACAGGAAAAAAAAAAAAAAGACAACTCCAGTAATTCCAATGTCTCAGTGATAAGCGCGCTCTTCAAATCTCTCAAGATTATTCATTTAAGATGCCGTTGTCTTGGCCCCATGACGCCCGCACCAGTGAGGATTCTTGGGAGACCGCATGAAGCAGTATCCCTTTGCATTAGATCTGGCCGGTGGGCCGTACATCTCCTTGATCTCGCAGTACTCGGCGTCCTTGCCGAACCAATCTTTCAGGTGCCTGTGGAGTTCGCAGCGTGAGATGCCGCACTTGCGACAGTATACCTGGCCCTTGACCCGCAGGCGCTCCAGGTCGTTTTCAGTGTTGCTGATGTTGGAGTGCGGGTGCACAAGAGGTCCGGCACCCCGCCATGCCCATTCGATGTCGTTGGGGCCGGAATACCGGCTAGACAGCGGGACAGTGCCATTCTTGCGGCGGTGGATATCATACAGCTTGGAGTGTGTAAGGCCGAGGCATGCGCCATCGATGGGGTCGAGGAAGTCAAAGATGGCGTAGTGCAGCTCGGAAGGAAGGTCAAGAAGGGTGAGGCGAGCAGATGGTCGAGGTTGATTCGCAGGTTCTGGCTCCTTGTCTGTGACAGAGTACGAGCGGCGAGGCGGCGGCAGCTTCGGGCGTTGCGGCAGCTGGACGGGCTGCTTCTGGACGGGCTGCTCTTGGATGGGCTGCTGCGGTGCCGGGCTTGCAGGGACGGCCGCATGTTCCGGAATGCGATCGATGGTCGTAGGCATCGCGGCATGGAAGTGATGCGGTCCGTCATTCTGTGCTTGATACTCCGTCAAGGACCACCCCCGCCGAGGCGCCCTCATCATGCCTCTCTTAATCATCAACTCCCTAGCTCTCTGAGCGTGCTCCTCCCTCGACACGACCTTATTTTCAGATCTGCCGCTGCCCGCCTCGAGCGTGTCATTGCCGCTCTGGGAGAGGGATGGAACTCCATGTACTTGAACCATTGTTACTCAGTTCAGATATATCCGCAAGCCAACTTGCTGAGTGGTGATGGTCGAAATCGGCTGTGTCGACAAGAAGCAGTTGAAATATGCGGGTTGCGACAGAGCAGGCGATAATCGGGTGATGCGCGAATGATGTTGACTATGAGGTTGGTATAGAACCCCCACGAGTTGCAGTAAGGGGTGTGATGCAGGAAGGTGTTGACTCTTGTTTTGTTTCGTTATCGTAGTTGCGTAATGCGGCACAATGTTTTATGATGAAGTGGCAGGCTCCTCACTAACGACTTCATGAGATAGCTAACACGATGCCGTGCCGATGATGTGTGCAAAGTGATTCGCTCTTCCCCCCACGCTCTGATCCGGGGCAACGGCTGGTGGTCTTTTATACTTGGCGTGTGCAGAATCTGGGCCGAGGGCTGGAAACGCCGAAAAAAGGCGACTTCGGGGGCGTGTGTGAGTGACGAAGGTGGTGGTGTGACGGCGTCTGTCGCTCTCTGGCCTGGTTCTTGGCTGGGTTCCCCGTAGCATGGCGCGCAGCCCCATGGCCAACTAACAGCCATCAGAGTTTTCCTTCCCCTGGGAGGCGAAATTCTTGGTCATCCTGGCCATGTGCCACTGCCTCGCTTTGCGTGCAAGTGGGTTGTTAGCGCGAGGTACGGCAGGCCACCCGGGGCGCCATTGGGGCCAGGATGGACTGGGACTAACGCGTGCGAAAACCGGGCTTGACGTACGACGGCTGCGTATCACCAGCAGATCATGTGGCCGGTGCGGATTCATCGCCCATCTCTGTCTGGTCGCTTGCGTCGGGGATGGACGTCCTCGTTCAAGCTTCTCGCGGGGTGTGCCGGATGGCCTGATGCCTCTCGAGACGTCTCGCCAGCGGTGCTGCGGCCGGGAATGGTGGCAAGACAAGGCCGAGATGGGATCACCGGGGGCAATCTGCTACCTGCGCGCAACATCAGTGGCCCCGGCCGCATAGAGATCTTGTCAGTCCCCGGCCATTCATCCAGCCATCCACACTCTTGCTCAGGTATCACCAGCATATTGACGGGCCGGCCGTACTGCGGATGCTGCGCAGTCTCTGCATGCGGATTGGCCGTTGCAATTCCTGCCGACGTTCTCGATCCAAGGATGCCACCATTCTCCATGCACATCTGATGTCGCAGAATTGTCTCGAACGTCCATCGCTGCTCCCGGGCGGTACTGCCGCAGGCAGCAAGATGTGGTTTCTTCTCTTCTCATTTCTCCTTGTCGAGTCTCTTGTTGCCCTACGCAAGAGCTGCTCCGCCCCCTCACCCGATCCCCTCCGCAATCCCTTCGAGACCCTGAAATCTTGTATCACATCGTTGCCTGAACCGACAAAAGATCGCACGCCTCATGTCAGCGAAGATGGGCGCCCAGAGACCAACGCCGCCGCTCTCCAGCATCTCACTTCTCTATCTGGCATAAAAAGGCCCCTTTGCCGGAGATGATCCCGATCTTCGGTGGGGTTTTGGAGCTGTTAGCAGTCCGAGCCGTCGTCGCTGTGACTCCACACGGCGCTGCAAGCTTAGCATCATAGCGGAGACGGAGGCTTGAGGGGACCCTGAATGACCTCGAGGAGCTGCTCGAAATGAGGCTTTGTGGGAAACTTGCACCTGTAAAGTTTGTATCACGTAGCTTGTTGATTTTGACGAGGCAAAGGCTTGGATAATGGTGGAGGGTGGAAACCCCTCTAATCTTAAGCAGATGTGAAGAAGAACAAAAAGCGCTTTGCCCAGCGGTGTACCGGGCAGAGGTCAGGTGCGGCTGATCGCGTGGCACGTCCATTCCTGCTACTTCTTCTCCCTGCATGTGCTGGCGCAGAACGAGCATCGTGAAGGGTTAGCAGTGGTGTTTAACGGCAGCACGCTAAATTAACGGCCCTGTAGCTGCATACATTGAGCGCATCGTAGGCATCGTGATGGTAATCAGTCGGGCATGAAGAGGTAACCAACAATACGATTATGCACTTGTAGTGGAATATACTGGCGGCTAATGACCCGGCCTTTGCCTTGTTTGATACATACCTACTACTTGCGCAGGCAAGGCCATATAATTGCGAAAGGTTACCTGCGTGGTGAGATGATCTTGGCTAGAGCTACAATATCTCATCAGTGCCTATATCAGCCTGGCAGGTTCCTCCGAAATCGGGAGGTTGCCGCTTTCTGCATCATGCGTCGAGCATCTCATCGCAAAGAAACTTTGGAGAGTGAATTGCAATTTCATACTATCCATCTTTCCTTTGTAGGGGCTGTAGGAGAGATGTAATTGCCATATGGTACATATAAACGCTACCATTGTGTAGCTGACATTTACCAAGACTCGACAAAGACCGCCAAATGCTTCGCTCAAACAGCATCTTAGGGGTCGACTGGTGGGAGAATGCACTTTTTCTTCTTTTATGGTGGCTGGTATTTCAGCAGCTATTAGCAGACAGCTTGGACAAAATGCCAACATTGAATAATTGTGTTAAAGTGTAAAAAAAAAGATTAATAAGCTTAAATGACAATCGACTCCATAGGTATCCTTAGCTTGTTCTTCCATGCTATGTTTAGTTGCTCATCCCGTCGCAGCATCCCGTCGCTCGATATGCAAGTATTCCAGCAAAGGAGCACATCACAGACGAACACATGGCAGCAGAATTGGTTCTCCTAAACCACCACACGTCTATACAAGTGCAATTGGCCCAGACCTGACTCGCCAGATGCTCATCATCCAAAAGCCAATGCTTGTTCCATCGAGATGTGGACGAGAGACTTGGTCCATCACTTGTCCTCTCTCTCCTCCTTCTTCTCCCCTCTTCAAACAGCGATCCAAATCAGCATGATAACCACGTCCATGCCCTTGCCCTCGCCTCCGTCAAACTTGAAGGTCCACATGCCGTCCTTCTTCTCGTCCCAGTATGCGCCAGTTGCGCTGTGCATTCCTCGTCTGCCGACATGTGGCTTGCCGTCCGTAGCGGTGGCTTCCGTGCTCGTCGACACATGAGGCTCCTCGGACTTGGTGTCGGTGCCACCGCGGGACTTGTTCAGCGCGGACGTGGGGACCAGGTGCTGGACAATGGTGCTGTTGCAAGCAAACTTGTATGAGGGGGCGCCATTGGGGCCTTGAGGAGTGGCCTCGGAGATGAGCGCCTTTAGCATTGAGCTCTGTTGTCGAATAAGTCAGTCAACGGCCGTACAGAAGGATATCTAGGCTTTTGAGTTGAGGTATCTGCCATACAATGATGGTTGAGTTCCATTGCTCCGTCTTTGCGTGGTCGTAGAATTCCGCACTGCCGATGGCGTTGTTGCACACCTTGGATTCATGTTAGCGGCGCGAGCTCCTGATAGCTTGCACGGTTAGGGGGGGATGAGAGCGGCAGCAACATACATCTGTGGCGATCTGCTTGAGTCGGTTGAAGGGCACGGGCTATCTTCCCCATCAGCATGTCTCACAATTAACCCCTCTTGGAGCTTTTTAAAGTTTTTGTAGCCGTACCGGGGTAGCCATCTTGGAGAGTTGGTTGGTGAGCGTTTAGGGGGAGTGAGGCTGCAAACAGGAACGATGCGACGAGAACAAGTGAGGAACCGCTGTAGCTTCGTAGGAGACGCCAATGATAGAAGATACTGCTTGTGCGAGACCGCAATCTGAGATTAGCCAACCATTGACAGCGAGTCCAACTCGTTTCAGCGATGATCCAACGTACCTGTGCCACGATGCTTGTTGCTATTGTGCTTCCGGCCGCGAACAGGTTGCTTCGTTCGCCCTGCGTTGGCTTTTCCCCTTTTGGCACAGGCAAAACCGCGCCTCCAGCGGCTGAGCTTTGCACGTGACCATGCCAAGGTAGGTTCCCAAGTACTACCGCTATTGTAGACCACTGGCACTAGAAGCCCACGTGCTCGTTGTCCAGCTCCCCAGGAGCCAAAGGCGGCCTGCAGAGGTGGAGCCTTGCCGGCAGCGACCTCCATAGCTTTCGCTTGCAGATACTGCCGGCTCATCCACCCGAAATCTTGCTTTTTTCCTTCTCTTTCTCCTTATCGCAACACCTAATTCTATCGCGGGAGAAAAACAACTCACGTTGTTTCTTCAAAGCTTCAATCGCCTCTGTTTCTATTCTCCTCACGTGTCGCGTCATCTTCCAGCGACTCTGATTTGCCAGCGAGCCTCGCGTAGAAGCATCTCTAGCTCTACTCCTGGAGCGGCATCATTATCCAAACTAGCGGCAGTTCGAGCCTCCTGGGACAAAAAACCTTGCTTCTTCACGTTCGCTTCTTTCAAGATCACAATGTCTTCTCAACCTCTTCTTCAAACTGCTCCTGGTAAGTAGCAGTAGTCTACTCAACGCCCCCCCTACAATCTGCACGCGTGCCAATTGCTCATCAACTCAACTAGGCAAGCGCATTGCTCTGCCCACTCGAGTCGAGCCCAAGGTCTTCTTCGCCAACGAGCGTACGTTTCTGTCATGGCTCAACTTCACCGTCATCCTCGGCGCCCTGGCCATCGGCATGCTCAACTTTGGCGACCGAGTGTCTTTCATCTCAGCCTTTCTCTTCACCGGCGTGGCCATGCTGACGATGATTTACGCCTTGGTCACATATCACTGGAGAGCAAAGTCTATACGAGTGAGAGGGCAGGCGGGCTTCGACGACCGATTTGGCCCTACCTTCTTGGCCATCATCCTCCTGCTGGCCGTTATTGTCAACTTTGTTTTGAGGATTATGGATCAGTCGAAGAAGCAAAAGGGCAACCCCGCCTACTAAACGCTGGTCTTTCTATTATAAGAGATGGAGTTTTAAAATCAACAACAAACCGAGGTGTAGTCTGGATCGTAGTGCATGTAAACTATGTTTGAGAGTTGTCAGGTCGGATCGTGAAGCTTTGCTGGCCTTGTCCATCAAGATCCCAGGTGAAGAGGGCTTCTCTAAAGGTATTTAGCGCTGTTGCAATTAGTGTATCATATGTTTCCTGGGTATCGGACTGGAGATGATTATTAGCTTAATAAGATTGTTTATAAAAGCTAGGGTATCATAATGCTGTATCCATATATAAAAGAATTGCCCTCCAGATTCAAGTAGGCGTAGCCCAAATTAAAGCCTTTCGTTTTCCTTCCGTGGTAATGCTTGTTATGTTGCATCCTCGCTCGTTTGCACCGTTACGTTTTCCCTTGCTTTGAGGTCGGGGATTGGCTGAGACGAGATAAATATCCTCAGAGATTTGTACGCTCGAGCTCGTGGAGGCGGCAGCACAGCTTGCTCGAATCGGTTTTGCATAGTCTCAAACGCATTGTCGTCGCTGTCGGATTCATCATCGTCCACCTCCTCCAAATCTACCTTACTGGGAGTGGATTTTCTCTTTTTAGCCTCTGCAGGAAGGTCGAATAGTTCGTTGTATTGATACCAGGTCCTCCCCTGTTCGCCGAGCGTCCTCTTGCACTGCTCTGCCACCGTAATCATCTTGCACACATCCGCGGGTCGCGCATGGAGCAATACTGCACGCGGATCTGATGTCTTGTCGAGGAGGTGAGAAGTAGCGCTGGAGACGCGCTTGCGGATCTGTGTAGACGATATAACTGAGAGGGCGAGGACATTGTGTTTCGTGGAAAGGTCTTTGAGGACGCCCTCGTGCGGGCCTATGAGGGTGGCATTGCCCTCGGTGCGAGGCTTCTTTGATGAAGCTGTCTGGCTGAAAGATTGCTGCTTTCGCTTCTTGGAGGCATTATCGGCTGACATGACAGAGTGTCTAGGGATGGACGATGGATGCGACGTTGTTGATATAAAGACCGAGATGCAAATTCAAGGATTACAGCTTTTGATCGAAATGTGGGCTTGGTGCTTAGTGCTACATGAGGCTACGCTAGCACTGTATCGGCACTAGCACGATGTGTCTGGACATTAATCCGTTTCTGGCGCAGAGCCTCCGATTGAACCAATGGCTGTCTGTCTACGTTCTATGCAGTACTTTGTGTGTGCGTGTGCGTGTTGCTGACAAGTGAATTAGAATGCAAATGACATACTGGCACTTATTACTTGCATATTAAAGCCACTCTGTGTTTTGTTCTCATCCAGGCCATACACGAAAATCCGAATCCCGCCATTGTCCCGCCATCTCGTTTGATTGAGCCAGTTCCGAAGGTAAGCCGACTGGCGGTCCAATGGCCTAAACCTTGTTCCTTTGTCCGGCAACTGGCGTGGACCGAGTTTGACCAGTCAAAACGGGCTCTGGCCCGCATGTTCCCAAGAGCCGCTAAAAGAGTGCCAAAACGCAGCCGTTCCCCAAATAGAAAGCCGGGCCTTGGGAGGATTGGTGGTGTGTGTATCTGGTGATAACTGATAAACTCTACTCTGGCCTGCCTTGGAGGGGGGGAAAGAGGGTACGCTACGGGCGCATCGTAACAGGCCAAAATGTCAAGTTGTTTTACGGCATGGTACCATGTAGACGGAAACTAGAAAAAAGGCAGTAAATTGTCTCTCTTTCTGAGCAGGTTTTTTTTGAATGTCACTGATGGCCTTGACTAGACTTGTTTGATGATGGCCTGGTTGCGAATGGATGACGAGTTTGCCAGCTGTTGAGGTGGAGACTGTCAACGCAGTCCTGCGGCGGTTTTTGATACTAGGGGAGTGGATATGAGCGAGTACGATCGGCCCACAGGTCGATGCAGGAGGATGAGTTGGATAGATGGGCCGTGTTAGCTAGTCAAGCTTGAACAAAAAGAAGCCTCGTAGAAGTTGCTAGACGGGGCTTTGGAATCGCAGTGGGTGTTGGTTTCAGCGTCTTCACATTGAGTGTCGACTGGTCAGATGATTCGCCAGACGACGTTGGATTTGTGTTGGAAAGATGTCGAGCAATCGATCTCGAATCCCGGAATCGAGGTTTCTACGCCGTGGATTGGTCAAAGGATTGGGCTGCATTGGAGACATCAATGCACTAACGGCATTAGCCCGACCCTCAACAGCAGCGACGCTTCGGTGGGTATTGTTTAGCAGAGAATACGACGCCCTGAACAAAGTACAGATACACAGTCAAGACAGTGTGCTGCCGCCTCGGGCTTGTGTAAGTGCCGTACATGTAGCCTGCCTGGGTGGAGCGGGCATAGCGTTGGGCTACGGGCCGCAGGCGATAGGCAGCTGTGCATTGACTTGAGAAGCATGAGCTATTAGGTACATGTAATGTTCGTAATGGTAGGTATTCAAACGAATTCGTGAAAACAAAGGATTCGCCTCCAGTCAGCCGTTTTGCTCGTACAAGTACAGATGTGCTCTCACACTTCTCTTATACGGGTCTGGTCCCTTGTGCCGGTGTCTCTCGGCGCTAGACTTGGGTACCGGGCCGTGGCAGCCGTTGTACTGCAGCGGTCATATTGATAGACACTGATGTTTTGTTATTGATTGTCAAGTGAATAACAACTCAACCGAACCCGCTTCAAGTGGCACCCGCTGATACAAGTCTGGTACTCTACAAGCAAAAAGAGGCTCTGAATCGCTGCCTGCCTTACTCCACCCTCCCTCCTCTTTTTGCATCCGCGGGGCTGTCAACATGTGAGAGAGAAAAGAACCACCAGTGGCGGCATACGCACCCGAGTCCCAAACGTATACTGCGGCAGAAAAAAAGACAGGCGGCTGGCTGCCTGCGCAAGTAGGTGGTACAAATAGTAAAACAGTCTGGAAACAAAAAGCCGCCAGCGAGTTCCCGGATCCCTGTCCCACGGGCAAACAAGAAAGCTTGGTTGGTGCATTTCGTTGGTAGCAGTCTAGCGGCTTACTGCTCTTCTCCTCGGACCACTTCCCCGCTGGTATCGAACGAAGAGCTACAAGTATGGAGGTCACTGGTACCCTGGCCGGTCGTTTCTTTCAACGCTTCCTCCAGTCCTGTCTGTGTGCATCCACTTCACAAGGGACTTTGGCTCGGCTGCTGCAGGCCGTGGAAGCGGAATTGCTTGCTGTCGTCCTGCTAGCGCTGCGTCTGGGCGTCGACGAATGGCTGCAGACTGGAAGTAGGCAGTACGGGGTAGCAGCAGTAGCAGTGATCCATATCTCTGTAGGTGGACAGGGAGATGATTGATACAAACGACGAGTCCGTCAAGATAAGACGCCTGTTGATTATCTGCCCACCAATGCTCAAAGATCGGTAAAGCAATGGGACGATCTTATCAGCCACAGCACTCACGAGCCCATCCCATCTCGCAAGCGATAAGGTCCAGTCTTCTCGAACGTGTACCCCAAGGCCAAGATGCAGTAGCCAGCAGCTGCACAGCACGAGTAAGTCTACTTGGCCGCATCTGTGGGGTACTTTGCGCCCCGGAGACGGAGGACGGAGCAAAAAGGGTCCCAGCGCACGGAACGCTGAGCTGGATGCTGCCAAAGTTCCTGTACTTGCGCCTGTACTTCCAGCGCCTTACGTTGCACCTTGAAGCAGCGGCATGTCGCAACCAGATCCACGCGAGTTGTGTGCTGTCCAAGTACCGCTACACGCGCATGGACCCCCCTTGCAGCACCCGTCCCAGCTGGCAGCAACAACAAAAGCACTCCAGCGCTAGCGGAGGCACATGCCGCCGGCGGCTCTGCCCACTCACAGCTGCACTGCCAGCACAGGTACCGGTACTCGCAGCAGGCCTACCGTAGCTCTAGCGTAGCTCAGGCGCCAGCCCAGCGCGGCCCACCGCCAGGAAAACTGGCCCGTCGAGTCACAGGCGCCTTGGCCTTGGGCAACTCGCCTCCGCCTTGGTTCGCCGCCCCTGCTGGCTCTGCTGGCCCTGCCCTTTGGTCTCCTTCCAGGTGTCAGACTCGCGCAAAACAAACCGCCTCTTCTCACGCTGCGCTTGAGTCGCCTCCCCCCTTTGCTTTTTTTTTTTTTTCAAACTTCTCACCTTCCTTTGCCCCCAAGCCGCCTTCTAATTCTCCCCCTTCCACCTCAATAACACCACTCTCCCTATTCTTAATTTTTTTCTCACCCGTCCTCTGTCGCGCTCTCGCCCAGAGGCTTTGCTCGAGGCTTTCGCTAGCACTCGATCTCCCCCAGCCCTCGGCCCCTATTCCAGGCTCGCGCACCGGCGCTCATTCACCCCTTGTCTTCCCTCTCGCGCGCTGCCTTCACTGCAGGTCAGATCCAGCGTCTCTCCGACCTCTCCGCCGGCCACAGCAACAACACCAGCCGCCTTCACAAGCCCCCCTTTTTGCCCAGCGCCACCCCAAACCTGCCACGGCCACTGCCTGGGCGTTACGTCAGCACGCGCACTCCCTCGCCCCACTATCTGCCTCCCTCGCTCCAGTCTAGTGCCTTCATTGTTTGCGCCCATAGCGCATCATTACTCATCACCAACTTCAACCTCTCGCTAAGGCCTCTCGCCGGTGCGCCTTTTGGTCGCGTCGCATCGCATCGAATCGCAGCGCATTGCATCGCAGTGCTTCGCTCGCTTTGGCGCAGTCGCACAGCAGCAGCCGCCATCATGTCCATGTTTCGGTTCTGGAGCTCCGAGTCGCGGGGAAGCGAGAAGACCATCAACGGGTCGCCAGCTACCGCCGCCAGTCAGCCAAGCAGAAGCTCGTCTGTCGCAAGCGATTTATCGGCACGACCAGTGCCTTTGAAACGAGCGCATTGCGATGACGACGGCGACGAAGCCCTGAGCTATGTTGCGCCGGCAAAGCGCGCAAAGACTGGGTCCGAAGCGTTGGCTGAGCATTCGTCATGTCCGAGATCTGAGCCATGTGCCCTCGAGAGCGCCAGAGACTTGATCCAAGCTGAATTCTGCCAAGAAATCCTGCTCAAGCACAAAGAGTTAAGATTGATCAACCAGGAGCTGGCCAAGTGCCAGATTGCGCTTGAACAGCTGCGACGATGCCATCTAATCCCGTATCCTGTGAATTGTCCCACCCCGCAACAAATGTTAGATGTCAGCGCCGGAAAAGGTCCTGCAGTAGTGGCCAAGGCCGGTGATGCCGTCCCTCGCTGGGCTCCTCCTTTCGGCGTCGTTGATGGACCCTACTCTCGGCACTATGCCAAGTGGCTCATCCCTGATCCAGCCTTTGACGGCTTGCAGCCGGAGCTGCCTCATGCTCCCACCCGCGGCTTCATCGTGGAAGGAAGAACAACCAGGAACAGTAATGGTGACTTTGGACTTGGACTTGTCAAGGGGCGCCGTGGCAACGGTGGTCAGAAGTTTGAGTCTCTGTCGAGCGGTTACCCTCCACCCAAGGACAAGGTAGGCCCATGTGTGCTGACGCGCTCGGATGGCCAAACCGTCAAGCTTGTCTGCCTGGACTGCCATCGTGACAACTTCTCGAGCACTCAAGGCTTCATCAACCACTGCCGCATAGCACACAAGCGTGATTTTAAGAGCCACGAGGAGGCTGCCGTCCATTGCGGCCAGCCCTACGATGCTTCCGAGGGGGGTAACACCTCCAAGGACAGCAAAGCATCTGCCCCCTCTTCGGTTCCGGCCGCTGCCGCCGCCACTACCACCACCACTGCCTCCTCCACGCCCTTTGTGCATGCCTTTGCGCGTCATGACCTGGCCGATCAAGACATCTTCAAGTCTCTTCGGATGAGAATTTCCGACTCGCTCAATCTTTACAACCAGGGCAAGCTGTCGGTTGTCAAAGTCCCGCGCAACGTCAACGCTGTCGCCTATCCTGGCAAGGCACGTCCGGGCAAGGCACCGGGCAAGGCGCCGGGCAAGGCGCCGGGCTTTGGTCCTTCAGCTGATGCGCCGCACTTGTCTCGCCTCTTGAAGGCTCGCAACTTCCAAGGCAATCTCCATGATGTTGTTGCTGATGCAAAGAAGAAGATTTCACTGGAATTCGCGGCTGGAGAGGAATCCGACGCCGAAGGCTCCATCTCTCCTATGCGGAATTCACCTCCTGCTCGAGCGTCGGTTGTTATGCGCATGCCCGCCAGAACCGCAAAGACGCCCATCACCATGGGCTCCTCAGCCCGTCCAACAAGCAGCAAAGGCCGTTCAGCCCACATGCTCCTGGCTTCTCCATCAGATTCCGACATGGGCATCATGTCTGGCAATCACCGATCGAGCGCGTTGCTGTCGGATGAAGACATGGACATGGAGGACGCTGACTTGAGCCCCAACACGCTCGTTAGCAACAATGCGCCTTCCCTAGTTAGTGACGACGGGGAGTACGATGATTCTGATGAGGGCTCTTCCATCTCTGGCGCAAGTGACCAGCTAGAGGCGGAATCGGTGTCAGATGTTGCCGAGTTTGCCCTCGATTATGAGGCAGACCCTCGAGGCCTGCGCCGTGAATCTGCGAGCATCGCAGGACCTGTGCGTCTTCGCAAGGAAGAAACCAAACCAGTCACATTCATCGGCCCCGTCAGAAACACTGCCAAAGATGGACGACAACGACATGTCTAAAGGCATGTCATTTTACACACCAACATCACCCACTATTATCCCGGACACGAACTCTTATAGAGCCAAACTTCCTCTTTGGATTCTCCATTTACTTCTTATCACCTTTTTGTTCGCCCATTAAGAAATATAACTCTGCCTTTTAGTTGTTTACGACCTTTTTTTTTATGACGTCTCTGTTTTTACTCTCAATTTGAAATCTCTCTCAAATGGTTATTGGTTCAGGTTGGGTCTCGGCTTGCATTTTTTTTTTCTATACTTTTTTTTTTATCGGCGCCGACAGGTTATTATTTGAGGGTATTTTCGGAATCTTTTTGCGTGTTTTTTTGTACTAGAAGTTCGGTTTCTTCTTATCTCTTTTTCTGTTCAGATGGTGTTGGCGCATTTGGTTAAAGCGAAGCGTGCTTAAGGACTGCTCCGGCCCAGAAATATCAAAAGGGCGGCCGAAGCATAAAGCGCGACCTCTTACGGGTGGCAAAGCTATGAGAAGACTGTTTTATTTCTTCTTCGTTTTTTTATATCTCTTCTCTTGTATGATACAGTTAATGCCCGCGAGGTTTTTAGCGATGACGGAAATAAGACTGATGGCGGGTCGAATGGCCCCGTTTCCTACTTGCATTGGCTGTTTGGCAATATTGCGTGTCGTACAATTGTTTTTGAAATACATGATGTTATACAAGGGCAATATATTGTTATTTCATACATGAGTGTCATGCTGTAACTTGATTAGGTTGTACAGCCCATGTAAACCCTGCCTACCCTCGCCAGAGACGAAGACTCAGCTGCTCTTGGTACAGAATAGCGTGCAGCATCAACACTTCTCTGCACCTTAACCGCGGCCAGACATATACTCCTACACATGGCTCCAGACATTGAGTGGCATCACTTTACGGCATCACAAAGAACAAGTCTCGTCAAGAATGTGCTCAGCGTCGAATCCTAACATGATATTAAGCGACTAAACTAAAAATACAGGCATCATGTGCCCAAAACAGTTCCCAATTACTCGTATACGCCTGCTAATTATACCCCTGTGCCCAGCATTCCCATCCCTTCAATGATTTTTCAGGTCCATCTCTCTCTGTGTGTGCCCCGCTCCGTCTCTCTTCACTAGATCATGACAGCAGCGGCAGCAGCACCGGCGACAGCCATGAAAATACCAGCAACGCTGCCAATCATAGTAGGAGCAGCAGCTTTGGAGCTGGTTGTGCGGGCAGCGTTGGAGGCAGTTTTCGAGCCACCGGAGCCGGTCACCTCAGCCTCACCACCAGAGGTTGGAGTACTGCTGCTCTCCTCGGTGGTGGCAGCCTCATCGTTGCCGGGAGAAGCCTCAGAAGCAGAAGTCTCGTCAGGGCTAGAAGAGCCTGACGTCTTGGTCTTGGGGGCAGCCTTGGTGGTGGTGGCCAAGAGAGAAGCAGTTCGGCAGTATGAATCAACCTGGTTCTGGACTGACGGAGCGCGGATGTCATTGGGGCAGTTGTTGTAGCAGCTGTTGATGTAATTGTCAGTATACAGCAATGTTGAAGAGCGAGACAGCGTCAACAAGGAGACTCACGTGAAGATGGCCTGGTAAGCTGCACAAAGACAAGTGTAGTCTGTGGGGTTGCAGTTGTTGGCCTAGGAAGAGAGCTTGAGGTCAGCGAATGCAGTCTTGAATGGGTATATGAGAGAACCGCCGTACATTGACAGTAGTTGACTTCAGACAGTCCTCGAGAATGTAGTCAGCCAGACAGGTAGAGCCTGGAGCATCCGGCGATGTAGCGGAGCTAGCGGCAGAAACGCCAGCAGCAGCGAAAAGAAGAGTAGCGAGGAACATCATCTTGGATGGTATTAAGCTGGATGTATCAAAAAGAGAAGAAGAAGCAATAGACAAATGCTTTATCCGATGAAAATGATGAGGATGTTGATTACAAGTCTGCGTTGGAAGATGAAGAAGAGAGAAGAAAGAAAAGAGACAAAGAACAAGAAGAAGAAGAAAGTAAAGGGAGAGCACAAGAAGGAAAGAAGGGAAGAAAAGTAAATAAGAAGCCAGGGGAGGAGAGGTGAAGTCCGATCTGGCAGCAACGAGCCGGGGGGTGTAAGTGAGAATGGGCCATTTTGGGAAACCCAGCATGCCACCTTCCACCTACCACGCCCCCCAGATTCTCATCGTCGAGGTAGCATGGGGCCACGGCCGAATTCGCGGCGATGGGGGGTTTTTTCTCTTTCTTTTCCTTGCCAGAATTCCACTAGCCTGCATTTCGTATGTAAGGACAATGCCGGGTGCCGAGGGATAGAAGTATAGGTATTCAAGGCTGCTGTTTCTACTGCTACTATTTACATGTACATGGGAGGATAGGTACACGGAGAGAGATACCTGTACAAGGAAAGAGAGATGCTCCTGCCTCGGAAAGAATTCCCTTGGAAGGGAGAGACTGATCTCCGCAAGGTTGGAGAGCACTAGCCGGTGAACTAATGGCAGCTACTGCTTCGTGCTTCACATGTGCGCGTAGTTAAAGTTTGCACGAGTTTCACGCAAGAGGGCCCTAGGACGTGATATCGCGGCTTGTGCGACTGGCGGTGATACCAGAAACTGCATATGGATATCGGAGCTCCATCGAGAGAGGGGAGAGAGCTCGTATCTGGCCGGTGCCGCTCGGTAGGTATGCAGGCAAAACTCCAGCAAGAAAGAAAGGGCAATCCCTGCTTATCGTGTACTGTACAGTACCTGTTCCGCGTCTTGTTGTCAATAATGATCTGTTACTATCCGTAGTCATGCCATGTCTCTGTCGTCGCGTAGGCAGGAATGGATCGCATATTATGGATCATTGAAAAGGGAGGTCGATGATAGTGGTGCGAGCCAGTAGCAGGCAGGTCTGGAACAGCGAGAAATGGAGCTGCGGCTGTCTGCGGGGACGCAAGTCCCACTGAGATCTCCATCACTGGTTCAACACCTGCTCGGCAGCGCTTTCTAGCACCTCCAGTGCCTTCGTAGCGAGCTGCCGTTAGTGGGCGACGGCGCTGTAGGTCCGGGCTGGGGCTGCCGGCGGGCGAGAAGCCAGCAGGCCCGGATTGGCCAGGGGAGCAAGGGATAGAGTTCAAATAGCTGCGAGCTGCTGTGACGGCACAGAGTAGGATGAACTCTGTTTCGCGCCGGTGTTGATCTTTGATGGTGCTGATATTATTCCAGTGTTTTTTAGCATCCATGCATCTTGTTCATGAGCAGGGCAGCATCTCTTCTTCGCCAATGTTGGCGATCCCCCAGACGTTCCTCTCCAGGGGGCAGCACCTTGTAGAAAGGCGAGCACAGGTCATGGAGCAGACTGGACCCTTCGCTTCTCGTCCTGCTCAACCAGGATTTGATGTCAGCCCAAGAATCGGTGTGCAAGCTTCGCAGCGGTCCGAGCTTTTCTGGGGATGATTTGTCGAGCCAGCTCATCTGCAAGGGAGGTTGGGGTCGTTTATGACTTTCTTTGTCTCTTGTTTTTTCTCTTTGTTGCATTAAGCTTTTGGCCGGATGGTATTGTACCTGTACATCAGGCACAGACGTGCTCCAAGACACGGGCTGCCGTTTTTAGGTAGTCTTGCCCCTGGGAGGCGCAACGCCACGGGGGTTTGGCATTGGTTTTCGTTGTCAGCGAGCAAATCGGGTGGCTTGTCTTGCGAAATGAATGTGAGTCGGTGTTTTCTGCAAGGGGCTCTCAGGCGATATACGGGGCATGGCAAAGGTCCTCTTGCTGCTGGCAACAGGTCCTTCAACGTAGCATCTTTTACGGAGCAAGCTGCGGTGGGACTCCGTATTACCCAGTAGGTAGTTCCCAGAAAGAGTTGCCTTTGGGAGCAGCTACAGCTCGGTGCTGACCAGGCTCGAAATATCCATTCCCCTGCTGGATTAAATACCGAGCATCAAGTCCTTCATGGCGTGTTAGTGGCGGTTTATGCTTTATCTCTGCATTAAACTACGAAGAGGTCGTTACACGTCCAGCTACACCTCGAAGTGCTGCTACAGTGCATATTACACGTAGTGCGCACAATGATGGCATGGTCGTGAGGCAGAAGCTTAATAGCTCTGCTGCCTTGCCTGGTGAGCGTCTAAAAATGACTGATGCTTTGGTTTTGTTATTTGGTAGCTTGGATGTATAGGCAGCTTGTGAGTGGCATAAATTCCTGGTGCCTAGTGCTTCAATCACCAAGAGGGCCCTCATTGACAGCCACGATGACGACAGCGCAGCCAGGCAGAAATAAAAAAACCCAATGCATGGATAATTTATAGCGAGCCGACAATCAATGACTTGCTAAATTTTCAGTCTATAAAAACATCATCTCCTAGCAGTCGTCCAGATCATCAAGTCGGTGATAAGGTGCTCTCTACTGTCATAGGGTAGCAACGTCACTGCTCACGATTTTAGCTTGCGGCGGAACCTCTCCAGCCCCACCATCGACTTACACTTGGTCGTTTCAACCCCTCCTGAGCTCCCAAGCTTCGGTTCTCAGAGGACCAAATCGTTTCGACGACAAAGTCAATCACTACCGATCATCAGAGTTCTGCTAGTCCCTTTCACCATGGCGTCCATTACGATTGAGCGAATCCTGGCCGCTGCGCCCGTCACCACCCGAGGCCAGGCCACGCTGCTCTCGGCCGATGCCAAAGGCACCAGGATCGCCTATGCCGTAAGTTCAACGCTTGGCTGACCGTGTCTCCAAAGATTGGCTTCTACGAGGCAAAAGGTGCTAACTTGGTGCCCGCTCTGCAGTCTGGCAAATCCATCTTTGTTCGATCCATCGACGACCCCTCCAACAGCAAGGAATACACCGGCCACACCCACCCCACCACCATTGCTCGGTTTGCGCCGAGCGGCTTCAAGATTGCCAGTGGTGACTCTGCCGGTATCTTGAGAATATGGGAGCCCGAGTCTGTTGAAACTACTCGGGGTGAGTATCCCATCATCTCTGGCCCCTTGCTGGATATTGCTTGGGATGGCGATTCCCAGCGCATCATTGCCGTGGGCAACGGCCGACAGAAGTTTGGCAAGGCCATCATGGCCGACAGCGGCAACTCGGTGGGAGAGATTATTGGCCATACCAAATCAATCAACGCCGTCAGCATCACACCAAAGCGTCCCCTGCGTGCCGTCACGGTCGGCGATGACGGAAACGTCAACTTCTACCACGGAGTCCCGTTCGAATTCAAGAGAGTGACGAACCTGCACACTGGCTTTGTCTTGGGCGCCGTCTACTCTCCCGATGGATCTACATTCGTCACTATTGGACAGGATAGACGGATACAGCTGTACGATGGCGTTTCTGGCGAGCCTATCAAACAAATCGGCGAGGGAGAGCACACTGGTAGCATCTTTGGTGTCTCGTGGGCCCAGGACGGAAAGAAGTTTGCAACGGCCAGCGCGGATCAGTCCGTCAAGCTGTGGGACGTAGATTCTGGCAGCGTCCTTCAGACCTGGAAGTTTGGTGAGGGAGTTAGCGTGCGTGACCACCAGGTCGGCGTCGTCATCCCTCACGGCAGAACAGATGGTCTCATCATTAGCATCAACTTGGCTGGCGAGCTGACATACTTGCAAGAGGGCAAGAATGAACCCGTCAGAATTGTGCAGGGCCACGACAAGGGAATCACGGCCTTGGTCGGAACTTCAGATGGCCAGGGTGCTCTGACTGGCAGCTTTGACGGTCGTGTCTGCTCCTGGGACCTTGAGACTGGGGTCGCAACTGTCGTGGATGGCCAATCTCATACAAACCAGGTCACCCAGTTTGCCGTAAACGCAGGCAAAGTATACAGCGTGGGATGGGACGACACTATCAAGGCGATTGACGAGTCTGCCAAGACCTTCCTGGGAGAGTCAGCGAAGCTGCCTGGCCAGCCAAAAGGTGCTGCTTTCGCTGGTGATGTCGTCTACGTGGCCACCTTGGCCGGCGTCGCAGCTTATTCAAACGGTAAGCTGCTCAAGGAGACTCCTCTTGACTTTACGCCAGAGGCTATTGCGGCTCATGGATCCTATGTTGCCATTGGAGGTCAGGGAAGCACCGCGAGAATCTACACCGGCGACTCAAGCGGCATCCTCGAGTACAAGGAGTCAGTGTCAAGTCCCCTCGGCACCATCACTGCCCTAGCGTTCTCCAAAGACGGTAGCCACCTGGCTACGGGAACAAGCGTGGGAAAGATCTTGGTCTTCAAGGTCGGATCATGGGAACTCGTAACGGACCGCTGGTCGGCACACACTGCGCGAGTCACCTGCATCTCCTGGGACGATTCCGGATCATATGCCGCAAGTGGCAGCTTGGATTCCCACATCTTTATCTGGTGCCTGGAGAAGAAGCTCCAAGGCCAACGTATCAAGGCACCCAATGCTCATTTGGACGGCGTCACGGGCATCACTTGGATCGCGGGTGGCCGGGTAGCAAGCTCCGGAAAAGATGCGACTGTCAAGATTTGGGAAGCCAACAATCTGCCTTGAAAATTGTAAATGGAATTCTTGTCTCCTAGCCTGTTATGACATCCCATTAAGATTCCCAGTCGTTATCTAGTCTGAAATATATGAGGAAAAAGCCAGCTCGCAGTTGATCTAATCAACTTCCAAAAAAGATAAAACTCCATGCTTCAGAAATTCCCCAAAAAGAAGATGATACCCCACGTTCCGAAACTCGATTGCTAGTCTGTCAATACAGAGAGGTAGCTGCAAGTGGCGAGAACCTAGTCATTGACCATTCTTGCGTCCTCCTCCTTGTCGACCTCTTGAGGGTGAATCTCCCAGAGGCGAAGACTGCTGGCATTCTTCTGAGACTTGACTGAGTGGGGTGGCAATCGAGACTGGTTTTCCTCCCAAAGTAGATCCGCCTTATGGATTGCGCCTTGGAGGTCCGTGTACCTATGACGAGAAACGGGTTGAATTTGAGCATCTCAAAGCTTTTTCAAGAATTTTGCATAAACGAAACTTACCTGGCTGTGCTCATGGTTGCGTATCCTTCGCTTGCGAGGTGCGTGGCCATCTCGGCCTGGTGATTGTCCAGCAGCTCTTCGTTTGGCACGACAATTACTGGGAGACCGACTTTCCAGGCATCGAGAATTGTTCCGGTTCCTAATAATGTTAGAATTAGCAAGAGTTCCTTAATTCAATGGATGTATAACCTTCATTGAATGGAAAAGAGGAACCTGCCTGCATGAGAAATAACCAAGCCAGTGGAGCGTACTCCGCTCTCAGCTCTACACAGCAACATTTCATCTTTCATTAGATTTTTCGTAGCTTCAAAAACGTTTACTGTCAGTCCCTCTGGTATATCAGCATTGCGATTATCCAATAGGGCCGTTGCCCAAGAAATGTCTGGACCACATTGGATGCGTAGTGAAGTAAAGCCCTCTGAGGTCAGGAACTGCCAGAAAGCGGGTAGCAGCACTTGTTCGGTCAGCTGCTTGAAGCCGACGGTTGCGCCTACGGTTACTAGGCAATATCGTTGAAGAGTTGCCATTTAGGAGAATAGGCGGCGCAAGACATGTGAGAATAATAGAAGTCGCTGTTTGGGTTACCTTCTAGAGCTTCTGTATAAGTCTGGGGCGTTTTCATACCCGGTGCCTTTACTTGGTAGGTGGGTAAATGCTCCATGCCTAGCGGGAGCCACGGTGAATGGCAAATGGCCGAGATTTTGCCATGGTGAGCCACCAATAAGAGCTGACACGGAAGAATCTCGGCCGCGATTGTCATCCCACCAAAAATTTGAGGTTCCTGCTGCAGTCCCGCATCCCGCGCAACGATAAAACTTGGGCCGGGCATTGCGATTTCGATTCTATTTGACATGGCTTCCGCATCGAGCGCCGGAAGGCTGTGCGCGCTGGCCTGCCGGAGGGCACTTCGGGTACCTCGGATGCCTCGAACACAACCAATTGCCTGGCGGGCACCGGCAGCGAACCGCGCATTTACGTCCTCCCCGCGACAGTTGGCGGACAAGAATGCCGATCAGGACGGAGAGGATGGTGATGGTGGATTATACAAGACTCTGGACCTGAAGCTCATGAATAAGTCTTTCCTAGAGAGCGTCACGCCCGAGAGCTTAAAACAACTGGATGAGCTGGCGAAGAGCAACGGCTACACATCCGTGGAGGAGTACCTCGAGGCGACATTACGGGAGACACCAGGCTGGGCGTCAGAGGACAGAGCACTGGAGGAGGATCTTTACAGAGATGATGTTGGCGAGAAACCGAATAAGTCGTCTTTTTGGTTCGACGAGGACGACCCCGAGACGAACTCGGAGGAACACGATGAGTTTGATGAAGACGATATCACGTCCATGGCACACGGGAAACTAGACGAGATGCGAGATATGAGACATTATGCTCGATTGGCAATTTGGGAGATGCCTCTTCTTGCCAGTAAGCCACCACCACCAGCGACTACAGATTTTACAAACCACCATGTATATGCAACTAACACTTGAGATTGAAGAATTCGCGAAACCATTCGTTCCCCCTACAGAGAAACAGGTTCTGAGGTGGAGATACACGACATACATGGGCGAATCCCACCCTGCGGAGAAGAAAGTGGTTGTGCAGTTTGCTCCCGACGACCTTGGACTCACAGACGTCCAGGCAGAGAAGCTGAAGAAGCTCGCCGGCCCTCGATACAACCCCGAAACGGAGCTCGTCAAGATGGCCTGCGAGAGCTTCGAGCACCAAGCACAGAACAAGCAGTACCTGGTCAATCTGGTCAACGACCTAATCACCGCCGCCAAGGACCCCAAGGATACCTTTGCGGACGTGCCGCTGGACCTGCGGCATCACAAGTTTGAGCCGAAGCCCCAGTTCCCCAAGGAGTGGCGGCTGACGGAGGAGAGGAGGAAAGAATTGGCAGAGCATAGACAGCAGGCGGCGATTGCGGATGCGAAGAGGGCCGAGGATGGGTTGCTGGTGGATGGACAGAAGTTGATTGACAATTTCTTGATACAGAAGCTGGCGGAGGAGCAGGAGAAGGAGAAGGTTGCGGAGCTGGTGGCTGCGGCGCCTAGGGGGAAAGCAGCTGGCGGAGCGGCAAGAGGAGCCAGGAGGTAGAAGGGGAAGGGGGAAACTATCAAGATGATATGCGTACGATTGCTTTTACGAGCAGGGGATGAAGGAAAAAAAAATGTATAGGAAATGTATGTATAATAGAGGATACAGGCACTACTTGCTTGGGCTGGGGAGGCGATTGGATGTACAATATGAAGAAAGCCTGACGCCGAAAATATTTACGAAATGTATGAGAAGAAGGGTTGCTTTGATGAATGTGTATTTTGTGATATGGCGACTAATTGTTGCGTGTACAATTTGCAAGGAGTTGAAATGAAAAGGTGGGAACTGTGACGCCAATTGAATGAGACTGTATCCTACAGCAATGAAGTAACACTTGGCAACATGTATACAGCAGCTAATATATTTCCATCATGATGTCTGATCAACTCGATTGGAACAAAAAAAAAAAAAAAAATTGTCACACTCTCTAAGACAGTGTACGATAGCCAGTGAATGTTTGAAGTGCCAACCCTGTGTACAGAGTTGCTTTTATGACATATCAGAATCTGACGACGTTTTATCTGTCCGTTTCATCCGAATTGCCAGTGCATTTATTCGAGTTCTGATGACAGATTCTGCCTGAAGAAAAAGATTGTATAATTTTACAGAATACTAATAGGAGAATCTAGAGTATCCATTATACTCACATACTGTAACCTCGACGCATACCTTGCATGCCCACGACTTTAAGAGATCTGGTATAAGAGCCAAGCAGAGGTGCTAAGTGATGCATCCGAGTTCCGCTACGGAAGAGCAACCCGTGGTATACACACAACCGTTTCCATTCTACGAATTGTTTATGACGGGTAGCCTGCAGTATTTAGTCTGTATTTGCTCATATCGTGAATTCTGCAAACTAAGAGTAGTAGCTTTGGGGCATCGGCGTAACTGTAATCTCGTGGTCATGGTTTGCCCATATCCTTCAATGCGGGGCTGCTTGGCTAATTGACTTGGTTGGGAGTGCCTCGGCATCTTGAGTTGTACTACTACCTCATGCTAGTTCTCATCCTACACACATGGTTGTGACAAAGAATTCATTTTCTCTTCTGGCCTAAGTTGAGATGTATAGAGCAAGTCTAATGCCTCGGCGGAGCTATAGAGATTCTCGCGCTGTATACTCATTCGAGCTTTATGTGTGTTTGTCGTGTGCTCTAAACTTCCAGTAAAAGACAAAGCAAGCCAAGCCGATGCACCCTCGGAACAAGCACCATATTCGGACGGAATTCACAGCAAAAGAGCAAATACAACATGGTCTGAAACAGAAACCAAACCGGACTGCACACTTAAGCCGGGGGTCCGGCCAAGCACGGCGCCGCACGAGCAAAGTGAAATTTGAAGCTCCCCATCGGGTCGTAGTTTAGACTTAAACTGCAGCTGTGGAGAGCGCAGAGCTCGAGCCTAGGCACAGCGCCGAGGGGCTCCGTAAATACAGGCACGTTCCCCATCCGAGCTGCGAATAGCTGCCCCAATCCGGCCCTAGAGGCACATCCCTCCGCTATCCGCAGTCCGCGGAGCCAGCCTAGACATTGCCAAACCAGCGACTCGCAGACGGAGCATACGGGCTGTTTTGTCCACCGGTTTTGGCTGAGCGGGAGCTGCCACATGCTAGAACAGAGGCGTCTCTGCCGCGGTCTGCTGCACGGGAGGAGAGTCTGGATATCTCAGCGCCTTATCTAAGATCTGGTATCAACCATCCATCTGCTGTACACCACACTCCGACCTACACCAACTTGCCGCCAACACCATCATCGCCATTGCCATTGCGTTGAGTAACTCGCCTCTACGCATTCACACCTCTCTCCCGAGCCTCGCATACTGCATCTTCCAGCAGCCATGGCGCTCAAGATTGGCGCAATCCCGGAGCTGCAGCCCACGGCCCTCGACGAAATCACGGCCCGCTACAATACGCTGCGCGCCACCTTCAAGTCCGGCCGCACAAAGGATGTCGAGTACCGCAAGCAGCAGCTGCGCCGCCTGTACTGGAGCTTCGTCGACAACACGGAGCTGATCGAGCTGTGCCTGAGCCAGGACATGCGCAAGTCCAAGTTCGAGTCGCACATCTCCGAGATCGACTGGTGCAAGCAGGAGTGCCTCGACGCCGTCCAGCACCTGGACAAATGGGTCCGCGACGAGACCATCGACAACATGCCGCTGCAGTTCTGGCCCATGAAGCCGCGCATCCGCAACGAGCCGCTGGGCACCATCCTCAACATTGGCGCCTACAACTTCCCCTTCCAGACCAACGTCACGGCCCTCGTCGGCGCCATCGCCGCCGGCAACACCTTTGTCCTCAAGCCGTCGGAGCTGTCGCCCGCCTCGTGCATGGTGCTGCAGAAGATCTTTGACGACGCGCTGGACCCGGAGAGCTACGTCTGCGTCCAGGGCGGCCTCGAGCAGACCAAGCACGTGCTGGAGCACAAGTTTGACAAGATTGCCTTTACCGGCGGCCGACGAACCGGCACCATCATCGCCAAGAAGGCGGCCGAGACGCTGACGCCCGTGCTGCTGGAGCTGGGCGGCCAGAACCCGGCCTTTGTCACCCGCAATGCCGACCTCAAGCTTGCAGCCCGGCGGCTGCTCTGGCAAAAGGTGCTCAACGCCGGCCAGGTGTGCCTCTCGCACAACTACGTGCTCATTGAGCGGTGCGTCCAGAACAAGTTCATCGACGAGCTCAACAAGCAGTACAAGGAGTTCATGCCCGAGGGAGCAAAGGCGAGCCCCGACTATTCTCGTGTTGTCAACAAGACGCACTATGAGCGGCTGAAGAAGATGGTGGACAACTCCAAGGGCAAGATTGTCATGGGAGGGTCCATGGACGAGAGTGATTTCTTCATTGAGCCGACTGTTGTGCTGGTTGATGATGTGAATGATAGCATGGTGGTGGAAGAGTCGTTTGGTCCTGTTTGGTCTATTCTGCCGTATGATACCCTGGACGAAGCCATCAACATGGCTAATGAGATTGATCCCACGCCATTGGCTCTTTTCACATTTGGCTCGGATAAGGAGAACGAGAAAGGTATGTCGTATTCCATATACAAGCATACAAAATCTATATATAGCTTGAGTCGGCATATTAACATTCCTTTTTACAGTACTCAAAAACGTCACGTCAGGAGGAGCCACCATCAACGACGGCTTCTTCCACGCCATGCTCAACCCCCTCCCCCTCGGCGGCATCGGCACTTCCGGCATGGGCAACTACCACGGCTACTTCTCCTTCAAGACCTTTAGCCACCAGCGCTCCATCGCAAAGGTGCCCGGCTGGGCAGACAAGCTCCTCCGCGTGCGATATATGCCCTACTCGTGGGGCGACCTGAAGCGCCACCACCGCATGGCGGCCCCGAAACCCAACTTTGACCGCAACGGCAACCTGACCAAGGGTCTGAGGTACTGGCTTACCATGCTGCTGAGCCTAGGCTCTAAAAGCGCTGCAGGGTTCGTGTTCCGGCTCGGAGTTGTGCTTGCTATGGCTGTGACGTTGCGTCTGAAACGGGATTTTCTAGGACTGTGAACTAAATGACGAAGAAATAAGAATAAGAGATTAAGAAGAGAAGAGAATAAGAAAAGGACCATGTGTAGCGTTGTGTTCTCACATGGCTGGCTCCCAACAAAACTGCGTGGAAAGCTACCAAGGTGATGTCTGGTTGGAAATTTTACTGCTCGAATCTGGTAGCATGCAGCTATGATATTGTGGCCTCTGTTTAGGCACACATGTATGTATTTGTAATACTCCTTACCCTCTTTATGATGGGTAATAATCTATCAATGGCGACATTTTTTTTTGTGCCTTTTTCTACCCATCTACCACCAGTGATCAAACGACCTTTTGGTGAAGCAAATGCCCGCAGGCGTCTCTTTCATGTGTCCAATTTCTTGAATTGAGCCCGTAGCCTTGTTCCTCTTTCTGCCCTTCTATCGTCCAGCCAACGCTGCAGCTAGTCTTTGCCCCCTCTCGCCTCCCAGGTAGATATCATCCTCTATCGACTCCCTTCCAAACTCAACCGCCTCGTTGTAACCCCTCGTCACGGTATCCTCATCCACCTTGACGCCGTTCTCCACCAGCGCGAGAATCACGCTCCTGCACCGGGCAATCTCCCTCATGGTAGTAACGTCCATGTGGTTGTTCTGGCTAGAGTAGATCTGCGAGCTGACGCTCTCCTCCATGCGGTTGATGCCCGCCGCCTCGGCAGCAGCATCGCTCTCAATGTGCTTGCTGATCCAGATGTACCCGTTGACGCCCAGCAAGACGTCAATCTTGCCGCCGCCGTTGGCCGCCTCCATGGTCCACAGCTGGCGCTTCGAACGCACGACGCCGGCCCCTCCGCCAGTGCCCGCCACGGCGACGAAGACGCCGTTGCGCAGCTTTCCGTACTTGAGACTGCGGGTGTGCAGGCTGGCGGCGCCGTCCTGGTGCAGCTGCTGGACCTCGGCGACGAGCAGGTCGCCCTCGGCGAAGAAGCTCCGGATCTGGAGCTCGTCGGTCTCGGTGCGCTTGCGCAGGATGCCGCCGGGCAGGTTGATGGCGGAGATTTGGAGGATGGCGAGCTGGGCGGCGGCGACGTCGACGCGCCAGCGCTTGGCCTGGACCTCGACGATGCGGCCGACGACGAGGTCGCCAATCTCAGGGTTGTAGCGCGCGCGGAGGGGCCGCACGGAGAGGAGCTTGTTTGTGCGGGTGAGGGTGCCTGCGAGGGAGGAGGTGATGGAGGAGGTGTTGAGGGGGAGGTAGGTGCCGTGGCCGCTGGGAAGTTGTTAGCAAGTTTGATGACTTTTATTATGTATTCATGAGTGGGATAGATGCATTTATAAGTGGGTGTGAGATGAGAATGCATGTGTTGAGAGCAGTTGGATAAGATGAATACCAAAGATTGCTGGAATAAGAGAGAAAAGATGAAACAGAAAGGATTGATGACGCAAATGAGACAGATGGGGGCAGCAGTACCGCATCCATTGAGAATTCGAAGTGATTACAGTTCCAGGCGTAAGAATTTCGTCTCTGGCATCTCCGTGCTCTTCAAATTCATCGTCTTGGTCCTGCGCGATGCTCTCGTCCTCGTCGTCGTGCATGGGAATGTCGCCCTGGATGGCAGCACCGCCGGTTCCTGAATCTGAATCTGAATCTGATGCAACATCCATATCGATATCTACTGCCCGTGGCCGCCGAGGAGCCGGCGCGGCTGGCTGGGGGTTGTGAATGGTGATGGGCATATTTGGGGTTGTGAGATTTCGATTATGATTTTTTTTTCTTCTTCTTCTTCAGGCGAAGTATGAAAGGCGAAGGGCCGCCTATATGCAATAGGGTGGCCTCTGCGATCTGCTGATCCGGAGTTTTGTCAATATATGGTTATAGATTATGTGTAATTTTGGCGCGGTGAATTGACGTTGTGCTATGGCGATTAACTTTTTCTTGTGAAGATGTTGATATGAGAGGTTGTATGAAAAGTTGGCGTGGGAGGTTGAAAGTGGGGCCTGTTCGGTGAATATTTTCGAGGCCTTGGTGCCAGTGGTTGGCCGGGCCTTGCGCTCTACGAGACATGCGCGACGAAGACAGAACAATCAGTGTGCGCAGAATAGTAGAAAAAGAATGTTAGAGGCGTATATTTATGTAGGAAAAGGAAGTCTTTGATAAAACTTTTTTTTTACGAAAATATTAACTTGTAAATTATTAGTTTGTTGAAGACTTGGGCTGCTTGCGCTTCATTTCGTGCTCGACTTACATGGAGGGAGCAATGCAGGTCGATTACTTTTAATAAAGGTATAAAGGTAAGAAACATCGAATATACGCAAACGAGTTGATAAAGCAAGAGATTGCGAATAAATCAAGAGAAGAGATATATTTTCATGTTTATCCAGTCCGTTTCCCTTCCATGGGGTGTCATCTTTGTAGAACCCATGCCACTGTTTTCATGCTTCGTAATAAATAGTACAATAATATACATATCGACAGTTGTTGAAATCTCAACGAGGCAGCGTCATTCGAGTAAATTCTCTCCTTCATACATGTAGTCATAGATAGTTGAGTTCAGATGGTGCTAGGCAGAACACAGCCTGCTCTTCATTCAAATTTCAGCATCTCCGGGGTGTCTTTTTGAGATTCGACGTAGATAGCCTCTTGGCGCGTAGCACGCAAGGTTGAAATATTCGTGGAATTCACCACTTTTCGTTTCAAATCCATGCTCAAAGTTTATTTGAGAGCTCTCCAGAGACCCATCCAAGCGAGACCTGCAGAGATGGTGACAATACCAAATCGTCGGCTGCGCATGCCAAAGAATGACTTGCTCTGAAGAATGGCAGCTCTTTGCTTTTCCAGCTGTGACATGCCAGAGAAATAACTATATCCCGCAAGTCCGAAAAATGCACCGCTTCCTGCTCAGCAGTTGGATCAGATTTCCAGTTACTTATCCGAGAAACAGGGCCTTGTGTGTATAAAGCATTACTGACTGACCTATGATTTTGCAGCCGAGACAGTCATCACCGCGGTCCTGGCGCAAGACATCTTGGAGCTTTTCAGGCTTCTCAAGCGACTGCAGGGTCGGAACTTTGTCGCCAGCCATGTTGAAAGACTGCCGCTTGCGAAGTTGAGGCGCGCAAACTCGAATCGGACGATTTGATAAGAAGACGCAGCTATTGTAGGTTTTCAAGCTGCTACAGCGACTGGCCGTGATTGGTTGGTTGACATTAGTCAGCACAGTCTGCCATTGAGCTTCGTCATGCTTAGTCGCGCGACTCGACGCTTGAAAGTGGGATATGGCTGCGTCCTTGGAGCTGGAGCTTGAGCTTCTGACAACGCTTGGACAAGGCGCTGGGCCGTTACCATGAACGGCGTTATTGAGGCGCTGCACATCTACGATGACAACAGGTAGGCGGTGCTGGTGCTGCTTTTGCTCACAAGACTGCAGAAACGCTGATGCGAGGCTGCTTGGCTTAGGAATCCCATCCTGTCGCATACCTACACAGGAAGGCCGCTCTCGGCCGCCCATCTTCTGCCTCTCTACCTGGAACATCCTGCGCCTCGGCCGAGCCTGATCTATCTCCCCAATGCGAACCCGCCGACCCTCGTCTTCAGCTTAATCCATTCCAACCTGCTGTTTCTGGCAACTTCATCGACCGAAATCGAACCCCTCCTGGTTCTCGAGTTCCTGCATCGAATCATTGACGCCTTCGAAGACTTCGTCGGAGCGCCATTGCTGGCCGTCAAGTTGGAAAACAATTACGATGTCGTTGCCCAGCTTTTAACGGAGATGTGTGATGCAGGGACCGTTAGTACAACGGAGCCCAATGCCTTGCGAGAAGTGGTGGAGATGGAGGGATGGGTGGACAAACTGCTGGGCAGCATCAACTTGCCGGGGTATGTGAAAAAAGCAACATGCTGTGAGGCGCAGAGGATGTGACTGTGATTGACAAACTAATGCGAGTGCAGAAACAATCCATTAAAAACAAACTTTTCAAGCTCACCCTCACCGTCCCTGATGGCTTCCAACACGCCGGCCCTGCCATGGAGACGGGCCAACGTACGGCACACGTCAAACGAGCTCTATGCGGACGTTGTCGAAACCCTAACAGTCACACTTGCCCCTTCAGGTAGACCTTTGGCTGCGTTTGCCAATGGAACCATTGCATTCACGTCAAAAGTGTCGGGCGTTCCAGATGTTCTGGTGACGCTGGGCAGCCCATCGGGGAAGCATAACATAGGTGGCATCATGGAGCTGCCCGTCTTTCACCCATGTGTGCGGCTAAACAAGTGGAATGAACGACCCGGAGAACTGAGCTTTATTCCGCCGGATGGACGATTCATCTTGGCTGGCTACGAAGTTGACCTGTTGCCTTTTACGAGCGGAAAGAGTGGGAGCATGGCTTCGAATAACCTGAAACTTCCCGTTAACCTCGAGATGAAGACTGGTCTTGGACCTGTAGGGTCCGAGTTCGAAGTCAGGCTACAGACGAATAAAATCTTTGGAACTCCAAGCTCTTCATCAGCAGCAAGCCAGTTAGCGCGTGCAGGAGGAGTCCCTGGACGATTGGGATCACCGCATCCTGGCACCCCGAGCTCGCCACTATTGGATGACTTGACGGTCACTATTCCTCTGCCCGAAGACGTGCGGAACCTGTCGGACATTAGGCCGAGTAGGGGAGATGCGAGCTTCAACAGGGCAGAGGGGCGGCTGGAGTGGAATATTCCTGCCAAGGAGATATCTGGTCCAACGTCTCATTTCGGGCTGCGATGTACGGTGGTGGGATCACTGGGTGACGATGCAGAGGAAGCTTTTGATCCCACGGGCTTTGGGTTTGGCACAGACTATTCATACAACGAGCCTTATCAAAGCACGCCGGCTGCCAAGACGGGCAAAGAAAAGCTGGGCACGGACGACGAACAGGATCCCAAGAAGGCGGCACAGAATAAGATTCTGATGCCAAGCTCGGCATCCGTGAGCTTTTCAGTAAAGGGATGGTTGGCAAGTGGGTTGAAGATTGAGAGCATTGTATTAGATCCGAGGAAAAGTCGAGGGCTGAGCGAAGGTGTAAAGCCTTACAAGGGCGTCAAATACTTGACAGTTAGCAAGGGAGGGGTAGAGATTCGCTGCTAATAGACGCTACTTAGACTCGAGCTGAATCACGCTGCCCAGGAGAGTCATCGGGCAGCATATATATTTAAGCGTATACCTATATATACTTGATAAACTTGCTTGAGCTTGAATACCGAGTCTCCCGAGCCAATTCCGAAGTCAGTACCCAAAGGAAGGTTCAGCAGCAGTTTGACATTTCTGGGGGATCTTCCAGCGGCTGTTAGTGCAGTGCTCCAGCTCAGCTTAGCTCGGTGACATCCAAACTGTACGCCCCACGTCCTATTCCGGTGCGTCACTGCTCTTACATCGACAGCGGCTTCACTGGCTCTTATACATTCCGCAACCACCCGCTTTCTGCCGAGTTTGGCCTCGCAAAGTGCATCTGCCGCCCCGAAGCACGGCAGAAATCTCGAGGCACAAACATTGGCCGTCGCGAGGCCATGAAGCGCTTCGCAGGTCCTGCGCTCCAGTGCCGGCCTGGCGCGAGGGTCAGCCGAGGTGCGTCATCGCTGACATGGGCGCCTTTGCGATGCTGCGCGCCGGTATCTGGGAGATTCGAATGCACGAGCGATTCTGCGCGGACAGCGCGGCGATGGAACTCGAGCCTGCCCAAGAGGCCGCGCACAGCTATTTTCTTCCCTGGTGAGCCTGCGTTTTTTGCATTGCCGAGGTTGGGAGACGAATGGCCTTTTGGAAGCTGATGGTGGATAGGCCAGGGAGTGCAAAAGGTCGGCATGCTGTCGCCCTGGCTGGAGGCGTTTCCGTCGACAGCCTCGCAGATAATTGACGAGATCGATCATTGCGCGGGATTCAAAATCTCCGACATTATACAGAATGGCCCGTCCAAAGACCTGACAAAGACAACAATAGCGCAGCCGGCGATCATGGCCACGTCCATATTCATACTGCGCATTCTCGAGCGCGAATTCAACTTTCGAGTCGCGGATCACTTTGACTTCACGCTGGGCCACTCGCTGGGAGAATTCACCGCTCTGGTTGCTGGGGGGTACATTACGTTTGAGGACAGCTATTACTTGGTGCAGCGGCGAGCCGTGGCCATGTCGGAAGCGACGCAAAAGGCGATTCAGGAATACGGAGGCGAGTACGGCATGGTGGCGGTGATTACGGAGCCGGAATACTTGCAGGGCTTGATCAAGGCGATTCGAGATTTCGTGGGGCACTCGAGCGACGGGAGCAAGTCGGAGAGCAGCCAGGACGTGCCGCCGATCCAGCAGGTGTTGATCGCGAACATCAACAGCAAGAATCAGATCGTCTTGAGCGGGAGCATGGAGAGAATCAAGACACTCATCGCACACGTTCGGCAGTTTCTGGGCCATGACCCGCGGGCGGTGCGACTACACAGCGACAGCCCGTTCCACAGCCCCATCATGAAGCCTGCGGTAACAGTCATGAAGAACCTGTTGGCAAAGAAGAGCCGCGTTCCTGGCCGAGAGAAGGAAGACATCATCACCTTCCCGGGCCTGATGCCCTGCATAAGCAACGTCTCGGCCAGGCCGTTTCAGAGTAAAGAGCAGTTGAAGGATCTATTAGCGAGAGGATGCCTTGAGACGGTCCGATGGTGGGCAGCCATCAAGTATCTGGACCAGGAAGAAAAGGTCAGACGGTGGGTTGGCATCGGTCCGGGCAAGGTTGGCAGAAACCTGGTGGGCAAAGAGGTGGGCATGAGAGGGAAGGACTTGGTCAAGGGAGGAGGCGTTTGGGCGATTACAGATCCGTACGAGGTGGAGGAGGTGTTGCGAGGGTTGGAGGAGACGTCGAATATATTAGAGGATGAAGAGGAGGACGAATGAATGAAGAGGAACGGAATTGGTGGAAAAAGACAGAAGACGACCATAGACAGGCGTGGGCTTGCTTGGTGTAGTATATAAGACTTTATGTATCAATGGGTGGGTATGGTGATGGGCATATATGGCGATAGGATGCGTACGTATAATTGTGCAACATGGTAAATATGTTGAATTTATTTTATATTATTTCTCTTTCGAAAATGATTTTTTTTTTAAAAAAAAAAAAAAAAAACAAGTCTTGTAGTCACATCTGATGCAGCAAGGTGCAGCTTGCATTGGACGTCAGACTCATTAAGTGCCCCCACCACGATTAATGAGGTACTTGTACGTGCATATATCCTTGCCCACTGCAGCTAGAGCTCCTGCACCTCAACACCACACACACTCTCTCTACAAACTACACGCAACACCATGTCGGCCGCAATACCCTCCGTCGCCTGCCTCGGCGTCATCGGCCGCAATGTGAGTCTTTTGTTCTGCTCGTTGACGCTCTAGATTATATAAAACAAAGGGGCAGAGCCACTGACACGCGCCCAGAACAACCCCCTGCACATCTCCATCTTCCCATCCTACGATCCAACAGCCAACGCCTTCACGCCCGTCCGCAACCCCCTGCAGTTCTCCCTCCTCCTCTCCTCGACAATCGACGTCTTCGACCTGCGATCCAAGAACAGCACGGCGTCGGGCGACTTTGGCCTGCTGCACGCCATCGACGACCGCCTCGCAGCGTACGGCTTCGAGACCAACACGGGCGTCCGGATGGTCTGCATAGTGGACATGCGCGGACGACGCGTCGAGGCCGGAGGCAGCGCTGGCGCTGGAGGCGCAGGCGGGCCGTCACAGTCCTCTGCATCTGCTTCTTCGTCTTCTGCGGCTGCGGCGGCGCGGGCGTCCATGATCCACGTGGGCGCGGGCTTGAGGGATGCGGAGCTGAAGCCGGTGTTTAGGGCGATGCAGAGCGCGTATGTAGGGCTGCTGCAGAATCCGTTTTACGACCCTGATGAGCATGCTCCGCTCGGGGGCAAGGGCGGGAGGAGGATCACGAGTAAGAAGTTTGGGGATGATATGAAGAGGATAGGGGAAGGGTGGACGCCTGGGGTGACGGCTTTGTGAGGTGAGCGCGAGGATGAGAGAGAGAGACGAAAGGGATGAAAAGAGAAGAGAAAGGGGTAGGAGAGCGAGAATGAAGAGAGAAGAAGAAAAAAAAAGGCATGGCGATTGGGCATTGCATTGGCGTTTTAGGGAAGGGAGGCTATTTCCATGATATCCGTTGATATATATCGATTTGCTTTTGACATGGTGTAGAACTGGCTAGATTGCGAGATTCGATTTTGATACTGGCGGATAGTTACTATTTTCTTTTTGGGTGTCTGGACGAGCTTTGTAGGATTTTTGTAATTCATGTTATAGTCTTTATCTTAGAATACACCTTGGTTTAAACGTCTTTATAAATCTCACACATGCCCTCCAAGTTTTCGCTTTTAGAAGTCATCATGCCTCCTCGCTCTGCTTCTTCAAATGCATAATTCTCCATTTCGACAAGCCTGCTACCTCGTCCACCTCAACGCTCTCTCCCATGCCCTCAGCAGAATCCGCGCTCTTCTTCTCCATGGGCTTCACCTGGTACGGCTTCGACGCCTCACCCCCTTCCCAGTGTCGCGCCTCCATCGCCAGCGGTTGCCACCAGTCTCCCGTCCTAGCATGCCATCTCGCGCCGCATAGCTCCCACAGCCGTGACGCGGCTCTCTTGTACGCAAAGCGCTCGTCTTCGCCCGTAAAGGCCCCGGCGTTTGCAAAGTCCACGGGGCGCTTCTGCAGGCCGAAATCAGAGTCTTGATCCGGATCGTATTTTGACGTTGCGGATTTGGTGTCGTAGTAGGATACGTTGGGGCGAAAGGGGGATATTGAGTCTTGATAGACTTCGGCAATGGTTTCCGAGTAAGTTGCGTCGTCGTCGGCGGCGGTATTGGTGTTTGGGGATCCATCACCATCTCCGTTTTCAGAGTTGTTTGATAAAGGGCCTGGGACCGCTGTTGTTTCGGGAAAGAAGAGATGGTCGGGGAGACTTTGGGCGCGGAGGACGAGTTTGCAGCGAGCTTCGTACATGGCGTCAAGGAGGGTGATGAAACGCCGGGCTTCGTTTTTGGCGAGCAAGGTCAATACGGGGACTCGGTCAATGATGAAGGTGTGGTACGTGGATGCCATTGTAAGGTAGTCCGCTGGTCCAAACGATTCAACGAGCTTGTCGAAAGTCCACAAGACAACACCTTTGTAATGATGTGGTGTAGTAACTGGACGGCCATAGACTATGATTTTCGACGGCTCCCATGGGATTGGGCTGCTACTTGATCCCAGAACAATCTCCCGATTTTTGCGGTCAAACGCTTGGTCGTCCTCATCAAAGAGATAGTAATGCTGAGGCCTCTTTTGAGATTGTATTTCGCCGTCTTTCGTCTCAATTGGAGTACTGGTACGCAACAACGCACCATGGGCATCTCCTTTCTGGCTCGTAGAGGCATCGGGGCTTGAGTCCTCGTCTCTTCGCCTCCAATCCTGAGCGCCCTCCATCTGCCAAAAATCGCATCTCGCTTTTAGAACTTCCAGAAATGCGGCAAAGTCACTAGACTGGCCGAAAAGCTCTCCTCTACTGCGCGTCACGCCACCAAATATCTTGCCAATAATACCTCTTGACGTCGGCGCGTAATCGATGCCTGTGGCTTTCTGTAGCTCTTCGGGCATCCGGTTTGAAGACGCAACAAGGACTCCGCCTAGTTGGAAAAAGGTGACGAATAAGTTGCTGAGAATCTTACTCGCAGCTCGGTCTGGAAGCTGAAATTCGTCTAGGAAGAGAATTGGCGATTCATCGATGAGCTTCTTGGCCATCCATAGAAGAGAGTATTCTGTGGCTGCATTGGATGACTGGAGATTCGATTTCCGGTGCTTTTCAAGTTGAGATACGGTGTAGAGCATAAAGGTATTGAAATGCCATCGCTTCTTCTTCTGCGTAGGCAGTCCTTCCGCCAGTAGATCAAGAAGCATAGATTTACCCGTGCCAACCTCTCCCGAAAGGAACAGTCCCTTGGGGGAATCGATTTCTATCGCCGTTTGGTGGTTGTTAAGAGCTCGCATAAGTGCTAGACTCTCTTGCCCTTCACGAGTGCCAAGCAGATGCTTGAAAAGGGGATTTCGCCATATTGCGTGGTTCCGCAGTGCGAGGATGCCTTCACCAGTCTCTTCCTGGGGCAGCGTTTTGGGCTCGGTGAGGCGGGTGAGTTGATCCAGCCGCTGGCGGTATTCAGTCCGGGGAGAATAATCCTTTATACGGATGTATATCTTGTGTAAATGGCGTGCGAGGCGGTGCTGTGCGGGATCAGGAGAGTATATGCCTGCGGCTACTAGAGACTGGTATTTAACCAGGGGATCGGTGATGGTGACTGCGGTCGAGAACTTTCTCATGCTGGTTAAAACGCCCATCTGTTTATGACTGTCTACGGGTGATCATTTATGCCGCTTTCTGTTGTCTTACAAAGCTCAACACTGGGTTATAACATGTGTTGTTGGGTGGTAGGAGGATATCGGTAAAAAGGGCAGAGGTTGGAAAGACGCAAGCTCGGGAGGGAAAACCAAGGTAGCCTGGCGAAGATAATGAATGATTAGACGAAGGCGACAGGGACTAAAATGTATTCATAAAGTCCAAGGCCAAATATCCAATTACAAGAGGGCTGGGTTGTATGAGCCGAAGCGTCGTGTAAGGCAATGGATCTATTGAGATAGCGATGGGATCTGCTAGTGGCACTTGGACAATTCCCTTTGCCAGGCCTACAGTATAAACACGTAAAGACACTCACTCAACGCCACAGCTCAGCTACAGAGTCTAGGCACTTGGACCGCTATCATTCAAGTCATGTCCATCAAGTCTCTTGAAAGATTGGTGAATCAGCATCTGATATTTGTTGATTAACTGCAGATGCATGCTATTATTCCGCTCGTATAAGATAACAAGTACCCCTTGACTACAGCGAAATTGTATGGCACCGATTGTACACGCGCACGGCTGCCCCAACAATCGCTGTATTTCTCCTGTTAGAGATCTCTGACGACAGTGTGATTTTTTTCTGGAGCTGCTCTTGACCCAATCTGCGAGTACTTTCTAGCGTATCAAACGCCTTGCAGGTACTTGCTGTAGCGGTACCTCATGGGCGTGCCAGATGCGCTGCCGACCGAGCAGCTGTACTTTAGCGGTACACCAATCTACGGCTTGTATAGGTACGTGCCAAAGTACCCGTAAGGTCCACCCCCGTGCGCCAGCAATTCTGCCCGTTTGTTTTTTGGCGGTGGCCGAGCCAATGAATCAAGCAACTGTTTTGCTTCTCACGCACTACACCATCTCTACTCTGGCCCATCGAGGTCAATCTTGCATCGCTCATTGCCCAAGAACAGGCATTTGGCATGCGCATCTGAGCCCCTTTCCATCATCGAATCCATCTCTCGACGACGCCTGGAACCCTCAACAGCTGCCATCGCGACTCGCGCGCCCGGCGCGATCCCTGCGATCCAAAACTTTTTAGTCCAGCCTCTTTGTCGAAACCATCCACCATGTTTTCGCCGTCTGCGAACGAGGGAGGCCCGGCCACGGCGACTCGCTCTCGTCGGCGGCTACGCCCCAAGAGCCAGGAGCAGCTCGTGGCGGCCCCCAAGCCCAAGAGACAGCGCGTGCCTCTGAGCGAGCAGACTTTGAACAACACCGACGCCCAGCCGGAGATGGCTGAGGTGAGGCCCGAAAAGGCTGCAACGCCTGCCCCCGAGCCCAAGAAGGACGCCGCCATCGAGAATTCGCCTTCAGTACAGACTGTTTTGCGCAAGGAATTGATTGTGCGGACGAAGAAGCCCAAGCACGGCGATCGTGCTGCTCAAAAGGGTGACGGAAGCCTCGTTCTGGTACGCTGCAAGCTCCATCTCCAGCTTCCATCTTGCGTGTCGCATCAAGCATCATTATGAGACTTTGTCATTGTCTGGTGCTAATATAAACTTCTTCTCCATCTCTAGACAAGCACCAATGCATACACTGTTAGCAAATTACCAGCCTTACCCGATAGAATCCGAAGTGACTGGTCTGGTAAGTTCTCTTCGTCTCTCTTTTTCTTCTAAGCAACGCTTTCGCGTACTAACCCGAGCAGGGAGCCAACAAGCCGACATTTTCTCATCCTCTGGCTATGCTTTGTCATTGACGCCTACTCATGCTGTTGTATGGCCTTATAACTCGACCTCACAGTCTCCCGAGACCTTCACCTTCACCCTCCCATCCTCTTCGAAGCCCAGCGATACTCTTCCAGTTGGATGTCTCGTCTCTCCTTCTGCATCATCAACCGAACCCGGTTTGGTTGTTGTGATGGCTAGCACCGGCAAAGTCGTCCTCTGGGAGTCTATATCTAGCGCTGCTACCTTCGCCTTTATCAAGAAGGATAGATCCGGCGTCGAATACCAGATTTCTGGATTGTCCTCGGGCGAAAAGGCCGTTGCCATTACTAATGCAGAGACTGCCGGATTTCTGCTTTCCTTCAACAGCGGGCGTGTAGCTTACATGAACGTGCGAGACAGCCATGGCCGGCCAGCAATTTCTGTACAGTTTCTTCGAAACAACCTTGCGACCACCAACAGCGGCTTATTTGGAACCATTCGACATGCCTTTTCGCACTTGAGCCTAAAAGGGGATATCGCGGCTGTCAGAGCTGATAGGTCTGCTAGAGTAGGCGAGAAGAATGTGATTGCTTTGACAACTAAAGGCAAGCTACAATCATGGAGAGTCCACCGTGGAGGACATAATGAAGCGTTTGGCGAATTCGACGTCAGAGAGTCCATTACTTCAGCACTTTGGGAAGCCGACCCTTTCTGCCGCGATCTACCGGCCGATTCCTTTGAAGCAATCGATTTTACCTTTGTTCCCAGAGGCCTAGAACACAAATATCTAGACCTCAGCAAGCTTAGCGCCGCAACATCTTCTGATGATCCGTCAGTGCAGCAACTGCTACTGCTTGTCAGCTTGACTAGTCGCGCTGTTTCTCGTTACGCCCTGGTTGAAGTCGTTCTTACTCCCAAAGGTGGCCAAGTTGGCATGATTCGACCAATTACCTCCTACACCACGCCGTTTTCTCAGACAGATTCTGTCCAGGCAGTAAAGCCGCGGCTCTATCTCCCGCGTCCTGCACTCGTGGCTTTTGCAGTCTTTGACCGTGCCGCCGTGATAGCGTCCATCGCCGTATCTCCAGAGTCTCCCGACTATCAGCTCCAATCCGACACGCACACACTATCTCCATCTTTCGAGGACGTGATCGATTTTCGCGAAGATAATGTCCACGAGGTTATCGGATCTGGCTTCGAGGAGATGTTGCCTGTGTCTCAATCAAACGAGGAAAGCCGAGCAGCTCGAGCGAAGAGCAAGAATCCAGCTGTTGTTTTGGTAGTGCGAGGCGCCGGAGTTGTTCGCATTGCTACCACCGACGTGGACAAGTTTGCCAGCGATCAGCCCCCATCAATTTCCGCCAAAAGCAAACTAGAGCAAGCAGTCTTTTTCGGCACCAAGAAGAACAATCCTCTGGTATTCAATGTCCGCCAAGAAGTTCAGTTTTCCGAAGAGGAAATTGCGCAAGCAGCGCTGGAAGTCAGCAACGAGATCCTCAGCTCAACTACTGCATACATCTCCACTTTGCCAGCCTCTTTAGAAGAAAACCTTGTGGCACGCGGCAATGCATTAGAAAAGCTCATCCTTCACCTGAAAGCCACCGGAACTCACCTAGACCGCAAAACCCGCTGGAATTTGCTATACAATGCAGAAAAGATGCACGTAGCAGCCCTCCTCTGGAAACGACAAGAGGCCTTTGTTACGGCACGCCCATCCGATAGCAAGAAGAGCCTGATTGGATATATCGTTGAATTCATCCACCAAGACCAGAAGAGCAACCCTAGCGCTGAAGTTGGTGAGGTGGACCGAATCCGCCATTGGTTTATCAACGACATATTCCGCCTTGAGCTTTTTGTGGCCTGGGCATACGAAGTCATCAAGATTATGTACAAAGACAAACTGCTGGATGACGCTAAAGTGACCTTTATGATTTCTGAGGCTATTCAGATCAACGTATGCACTCTACTTGGCGCCTTGGACTTCCGTAAGAGCAACCTTGCATTCTATGGATTGGGCGATGAGAAGCTGAGGCTGGGTATCCTGCGCGAGGGCTATGATGGCCTCCCTGAACCGTGGACTGGCTGTCACTACGTTGCCAACAACGTTGCTCGCCTAGTCGAGCTTTCGGACCAATGGTATCAAAAGTGGTCGAGGGCAACCGCTGGCGAGGATAAGACAAAGCAGTCGACCAAACCAGATCCTGTTATCATCGCGCGGATATATAAGGATCTCCCTGCCGCGATTGATGGTATGCTCACCTCGATTTTGGAGTATGCGCGATGGGCCGAGACGACGCCGGACCAGAAATCAATGGGCCAGACCTTTGCCAAAGAATACCAGAAAGAGCGATACAGTAGACCTATCAGTCTCGCACGAGCAGGCAAGTGGGAAGAAGGAGCCTCCATCGCCGAGAAGCATGGCTGCTTGGACGGTTTGGCCGTTATTCTACTTGACCACATTGAAGAGCTGGAACTGACGGTCGCCGAACCTGGACTCACTACTTTCGATTCACAAAACCTGAGAGCTGTGAAAGAAAGAAGAGAAACAGAACTGGAAGAGCGTTTCACCCGGTATGGCCAGGAGTTCGCCTTTCCGGTTTATGAATACATGCTTGAGAAACATGGAGTTGATGCCGTCTTGGCATTTGAGCTGGAGAATTCAGGCTACAAGACGCGATTCCTCCGCAGCCGACCAGAGTTGGCGCGGATTTCGTGGATCAACGACATCCAACAGGAGAAACAGGTCGGCCACGCCGCCGAGACGCTCATGCATCTTGCTCTCAAAAAGGAGCAGCAAGTATGGAGCAAGAAGATTGAACTCAGCCTCGGAAAACTTGCCCTGCTTGCCGAGAAGGAACAAAAGTCTCCAAATAATGGCAATCTCAAGTTAAATGCAGACGAAATTCGGATCGAGCAACAGCTCGCGCAGGTTGACAAAGAGCTTATTACGGTTAAAATCCAAGACCAACTCTACGCTCAAATCTTCCCTAGCACTTACGACGCCGTTGACGAGGCTGCAGCTCTGAACTTTGCCATGGAGGCTCACAGCGCAAATGTGCCCAAGCGCCAGAAGACTTTACGTCAGCTCTTTGAGGATGGCATGGAAAGACTGCTTAAGCACGAGGCTCTTGATCCCATGACCCTTATTGACCTATTGACTCTTGTTGATCTCAAACAGGAATCAAGAGAGGAAATTGCCCACCCATTTTGGCTGGCTCTTAAAGTGGCCGACAGCAGCTGCCATAGCGAGGAAGCTCGAGAAGCCAAGCGACTCATTTGGAGGAGGCTATTCATCCGAGATGACTGGTCCAAGATCAATGACACACAATTGAAGGATGATCGTGAAGTTACAGAGAGACTAGCATCTACCGAGCTTTTCGCCATGCTGTATGACTGCATTACCTATGGTAAGTTTACTGCTACCCGTTGTATACCCCTTACTCTCCCGCTAGCGTGCTAACGCAACCTCACAGAAGAAGAACATGCACGTGGCACATTCAAGCCCATGCTACCGAAAGATGCCCTCGGCGCCTTCACGGAGCACGTTGATCGTCGTTTCCATGACTTTGAAGCTGGAATGAAGACGAAGCTGATCGACGCCATGAATCATGAAGACAAGCTTCTTAATCAATACATTGAAAAGAACCGTCTAACGGAATGGGTCCGCACCGCTCTGGAAGTGGCACAGGCCCAAATCAAGGAGGAGCGGGCGAAACCCAACGCTATCCCTCCCATGGCGTTGCCAATGTCTCTATTTGGCAAAGAAATAACTACGGAAAACCCTAATGGCACGGCTTAATATCGTCATGCGCAAGAGGAGAAAAAAATAAATGAGGGAGAGCAGAGCAGAGAAAGAAAGTCAGAATAAAAAGGGGAAGGAGATGTTTTTATGTGGAAGAAGGGGGAAGGGGACTTAAGGGAAACTAAAAGACGTAAAGAAGAAACGATTTGACAAGATTGTTTTGTCATTGGGCGGCGTTTTCGGTTTTTTTCTTTCTTTCTTTTTTTTTTATAATATGACGCATGTTCCATCTCTTTGTCTTACTGATGCTGTACAATAAATAAATAGGAGGGAGCGCGAAAGGGGGAGGAAGGGGGAGAAGGAAGAAGATGAACAAAGTGCTCAAGAGTACTTGGGTTTTTTCTTTTACGACACAGAATGCCTTGTCTCTTTTGGCTTTTTTATACAAACTCCTCGAGGTTGGAGAATACAAGAAATGAGGCGCTTGAGATGCCTTTTTTTATATCTTATTTGTTATGTTTGGTTTAGCATGGAGCTTCCAACTGCGATAACTACCTAGATTTAATGCATGTATATTTGGTCTTAGGAGAGACAATATGAGGACATTGGCGTGATGTTAGATTATCTACTTTGTTTTTTCATCATCCTTGTAAGTCACTTTGCAATGGTATGTTTGTTCTCAGACAGAAGGTATCTACATCATCATTGAATAGTTGCTACATGTGCTTTCCACATCTGACTTATCGACATGCCACTCTTCTCACATGAACTTGTGGCATACACATCTTTTCAAGTGGAAAATAGACATCACTCCAGCCTTGTTCACGAATGGGCAAGGTATTGACACGCTTCTCTCTAGAAGACGTCCCTATGTCATCAAATAATCATTTCATTGCTAGGTGACGACCGCTACATCAACTGTCTGTCCCTTTTTTCCTTCATAGCTGATTGAGAGCAGCTCATACTGCTCCTTTCTCACAAGTAGATACAGTCTGCTTCGCCCTTTGGGCGTTACGCTCCATTCCTTCTTCCTGTAATCTGATGCCTAATTTTCGCTATGTCTTCCGACACATCATGTGAAGACTATGAGATGTAACTTGGATGTCTCTGATCGATCCATTAAGGCAGAGTCATCGCCGCAGAAAGATCGCTTTTTGAAAGTCAAGCATCTTGCTGAATCCCAAATATTTATACGCGCTGTAGCAGGTTGAGAATTTAACCTTGCATCTTCCTTCTCTTGCCGATCTGGGCAGAGAAACCAGTCTTGATGGCAGTGACACTTCGTCGTGAAGCACAGTTGTTGCAAGTGATGAAGTACAGACGATTTTCACCCTTGTTCAACTCGGTATCGGGCGACCTGCAAGTTTTGCAAGTAACATACTCGACTGCAAAATTCTGTTAGTCAACTAAATCTCTTAGAAAAAGGGAGGGATGAGAATGTTAAGGGAGAGGGTGTGGTAGCAGAGTGAAGAGTCTTGATGCTGGTCGAGGGGTTTTTGAGGTACTCTATATCCTCGTACGAGCAAGCAATCCAGTCAAGACCAAGTTGCCAGCCAGCCAGCATTGCGCCTCTTCGCTCCATCACCCGTGAGTGATGATTGGTAGACGTACTGATGTATTTTCTTACGACGTTCTCAATCTGCTTCTGTTGGAAACGACCCTTGATGACCAATCTTCTGCTTCCGTCCACAGAGCCGTTTGTACCCAATTCGGCAAAGAGATAGGCAGTGACGTGTTCTTCGGTTCGCTTCATGCGCTTGCAAATATCGGCGATGTTGGCGAAGACGGTTTTCCTGTTGCCTTCACGCATGCACTGGGGAGGAGGAATCTTGTAGCTCTTGGTGCCACTGAGTGAGTGATCGGGGTTCTTTTGTGATAGGACGGTGAAGAAGCGAGAGAGGAGCAGGGTGTAGGGGATTGTTTTTGACTCTTGGTGGCTCCAGACACCAGTGCCAGTCTCCATGTCACCCTCTTCCTGTGCTGCCTCCTCAGCCTCCTCGGCGTCCTTGACCTCGAGCTGCTTCAGCTTGGCAGTGAACTCGTCTTCTTCCGTACCCTCAACCTTCTTGGCCTTCTTCTTCTTCTTCTTGATGGTCAGGTCGAGGCCTCCATCCTCGGCAGGAGCAGCCTCATCTTCGGCATCACCATCACCATCAGCACCCTCGACCTTCTTCTTCTTCTTCTTTTTCTTCAGGAGAGACAGATCAAGACCGCCATCTTCGGGAGGGGGGACTTCGTCGGCAGCGGCTTGAGAGGGATCAGTATTAAAGGCACCGAGGGCGGCAGATAAGGGCGGCGTACGAGGCGTGTGTGACTGGGCCGTCTCTTTGGGTTCTTCGGCGGCGCTCATGATGGTTATTGATCCGTCGGTCTCAACAACTAGTTGTTCGTCGGTAAAAGCAACAGATTTTCGGGACGCTTTTCGTTCCGTTTGGTCCTGCGTAGTGGGGAAAAAAGAAGAGGGAGAGGTTAGCCACGATTTGGAATTGAAACATGCAATAAAAAGAAATGAATGGGAAAAATAGCAATGTTGAAAAGGGTTTAGGCTGGGGAAGGGTGCAGTACAGTCCAAATGCTTCTTCTGTTGTCTTTTGCTGCTCTCTAATGGTAACAGGAGCTGTGTGACTCAGAAGTATGACAAGGGAGAAGGAATCGACGGGTGGATGAGATTGGTGGGGTAAATTTCTTGTGATTGGGGCTTTTTTTTCGCGGTTGTGGCCGGTGCTGGACCTTGTGGGCTGTGGGAGAAGGCTGGGAGGGGCAAAAAGGAGGGAAAACAGCGGCATAGAACAGCGTGGCAAAGGCCAGGGCTAGCTTGCTTGGGTACAGTAGGAGAAGGTTTCCGCAAAAACGGAGCATCCTTTCCTAGCAGCCAGCAGAACAGTAGCAATGTATGCATGCCGTCGTAGTGGATGTAAAAGATGATGGCAGCAAGACGACGGTGTAGCAGCGATCCAAACTTACTGGCACCTCGTTCTCCATGATTGCGGTTAGCTAATCTGCCGAAGCTTTGTCGTGCTCGGTCTCTTCAAGAAGTAGCCCCTCTTTGAGTGTCCAGTGTCCCCCTCTCGGAATAGCAGTCCTTCTCCAGGCGGCGATGACACACTCCAAGCTGACGTCTCTGCCTCGCAGCGTCGTGTTCAGATAGAGCACGAGAAGCGGATGCTGGTCTTCTCAGCGTTGAATCGGGGATGATGGCTCGTGATCTTGCGGCCCAACTATGCGCGTATCTGCACGAAGACGAAGACGGTGTTCTGCTGCAAAGGCTCACTGGTCCTTTTCTTGGGTAAGCTGCAGAGATTCGCAGCAGGTGAGTGCTGGGTAGAAGGTCGAATAGTTTTGAGTCAGCTGCACGTCATGAGCCGTGGTTGGGCCGATATTCAAGGACGCAAGGCAGGCAAAGTGAGGCCGAGCTCAAGAGGAGGGGTATCACGTGACTGCAGAGGCAGCCCGACCTGTACGTACCAGAAGACATGCACCGACAACAAGGCGATAAGATTGACGATAGTGATAACGGCACAGAGAGGTGGACCGTTCGGCATTAGTCGATCCCGTCGTCGGAATAAGCTCCACCTGCCAACCGCCCGTCAACGTTGCTGCGACTGCGAGAGTCGAGGATAACCGCATCGCATTCTTGCGGAGAGAATCAGCTCGGACGTCGGCCGCTTCATCTCCAAACCACCTCAATTCATGGCCTGATCAGCGTCCCCAGCGAACGCCATTCCATCCCGAACCGCCCGCTGCTGCTTCGCCCGGCGTCCATTCGGATATCTTTCGCTCCACTACCGCGCATCAAAGGACAGCATCCAACATCCTTCACTTCCGCCGCCATGGCCGCCCCAGACGAGTCCCTCATCGACCTCCACGCCTCCTCTCTTACCGACACCAGAGACGATGTCGATTCCCTCCCCTCCGATTCCTCCAACAGCGACATCTTCTCCGAGGCCGATTCCGAGGCCCAGGAAGAATGGGAGCGCAGCCTGGAGCAGGTCCAGCTGCTGCTGACCATGATACTCGTACCGTGGATCGGGAAGCTGTTTGGCCGCAAGTTTGCGTACTGGAGTGGGTGCTTGCCTCGGCATTTATCCAATGCTCTTTATCTCTGTCATCTTGGATCGCTAACATCTTTCATTAGGCTGGGGCAAATACATGAACTGGGTGCACAACGTAGACGTTAAAGTTACGGGCAAGAAATCTTTCAATGCTGCTGGTGCAGTGGCCGCGACGTTATAGCCAGCCGTCGGCTGGAAGACCATTCAACGACTTTGGATCAGCTGTTTGTCTAGGCAAGCTGGGAGCGTATAGACTGGCTCTAGATTGATGCCAGAGGGTTGCTACAACAACAACAATTGATCAAGTCCTATCATGATGGTCTTGCACATGTGAAAACCGATTAGTGTCAGAGGACATGATATTTGTAAAATAACACCAAATGTAGCGCATTATCATTTCACATCACATTATAAACCACGAGCAATGGCAAACAAGAATATATATGTACAACGTGGGACTCTTTTATTCATCATCACTCAATTACTACATTAGCTATCGTTTTCATACTACGAATCTCAGCCCCGTCAACCTTTGACAATACCAATCCAATCCAATACCAACTATCGATTTCATAAATGTACGTATTACCTCAACGCAACTTCATAACCCAATCGCCAACCCGCCTGACCGATACTCACAGGATATCCACCTCTCCAACCCGCTGCTGTTGTAAATGAAGTTTTCAAGCGAAGAATCCAGCTCACTCGTTTGCTAGAAGGCATCCACCGGGGACACGACACCAACTATTATAGACAGCAGCAAAAATGTTTTCATGTCGGTAGAGCGAATGAAAGAACGTGCGTGTAAGAACGCTCATATAATCATGGGTATACTGTCAACAGGACCATTTAGACCTGAGACATGGTAGGTGCAGTGGTGCGAGTAGAGCGACTTGAACGCGAGAATCGTGAGGAGCCGCCGCCGAAGCCGCCAGTCCGTCCGTCAATGATGCCGAAGATGAAGATGACCATGAAGCACACCCAGAGGAACCACATGAAGGCAGTGCTGGCCTGGATCTCGCGGCACCTCTTCTCGTCATGAGGGAAATCGCCAAAGCCGATCCAGCTGGCGGGCAAGTGCTGGTTAGGAATGTTGCCACAGTTGGGAGCACGCAGCTTGGCGGACAAGACTATGGCGCAGATGAAGGTGAGCACAGTGGCAAGGCCGTCCAGGAAGAGGAGGAGGACGGGCACGAGGATGCTCTCGATGAAGGTTGCAAACATGCCATAGAGCAGGGCAACCCAGGACCAAGCAGCCACGAAGATGGTGAAGTTGATGGACAGCATGTGCCCATTTCGGTTGGAGGCGATGACATTGCCAATGAGGGCGGTGATGATCAATGTCCAGATCAGCGCAATGCTGCGCAGGATGACACTGACGAGCTTCGACATGGCGACGGTGAGGTTTGCAGAGAAACTGTGTGCTGTAGATTGACGAGAGATTGATTCTAGATTGCAATCTCAAGAATTGGCTGGCGATGGAAGGGTTTTATTGTTCCTAACCAGACAGGGGAGGGCGAGTCTATTATTCCCTTGAATTGCCTTTTTTGCTCGGTGGATTTCTTCTGCCCGTGACGGCTGAAGTTGTAGCAGCTCGGGACGACCGGGCGAAAATGGCACAAGCCGTGGAAAGCTAGGAAGCTCGGAAGCTTTGGCGTGATGGAGCTATGAGCTGCCTCTAAACCAAAATGTGGAAATTGTAAACTGAGACGATGATGATGCTTGAAGCAAAGATACCTGAGCAGAAAAGTTTCAGAGCTGCGCAGAAACTGGCCAAAGAATTCTCCTTGATTCTCAGCTCCAGGCAAGAGGTTGGTGCAAGAGTGTCGACCAAGCAACCACGGAAGAGGAAGCTTTTAAAGCAACCAGATGCACGACGCGGGGCATTGAAGCTTCTGCCTGATTAGCTGAAGAGAGAGAGACGTCCAAAAAAAAAAAATGAAACAATAAAGAGAACAAACTTCTCCGCATGGATCAGACGGCAAGAGTACACGCTGCTGCAATGCATATGCCATAGCAAAGGCTTGTAACCCGTCTCGGAGCCGTCGGCACTTGCTAGGCCCTGCATGACGTTTGCGTCTAAAACGCTCTTCCCGCTGGGAAGCTTGTTTCGCCCGTTGCATGGCAGCTGCCACTCGAACGGAGCTTGTCATGCTATCTTGGAGTCTAAGCTTTGCGCGCGCTTCAATCGCCAACGAAGCGGCATATACCTGACGTCATATAGATCTCAGAGGGCACATTTTAGCACCATTATTTTATATACAAAGCGAAAGCCACAATTCTTTAATCGTCCAATTTGTTGTCCGAGACAATTTTGTGCGAGCCCCCCGTCAGCTGCTCTTGGCCTAAACGCTGTCTCTGATCGTCCATCCATTGTCTGATGCTTCTGCCGCTCAAGAGCGCTTATTGGCTGGAGCTGTTGTGTGATTGCCCGTCTGGGAATAGCGCGCTGCTTGAGCGTTGGCCGGTGGACCGATGCATGTCGTCATCGCCATTATTGGACGGGGAGGCTTTTAAGCTCAAACCAGGTCGGGTTTGACAATCTCAAAAGTCAATGGAGGAGGGTTAATTCCAGCCTCGAGTTCGCTTCCTTATCCGTATTCTTATTCGATCTGGTTGTGTGTGACGGTTCATTATTATCGCAACTTCTTATTATCATGTGTAGGGTGGAAAAATGTATCTTGAGCACAGAGGTTCAATGTTTCAATATCTAGATCATTCAAGATACACGTAAATGTAAAAAAAGGCCCCGGGCAAGTGAATCAATCGTGAATTAGCTTTGGTAAATACACTCAGAAAAATTATTCATTGTCCAATTGAATGCAAGAGCCCGCATGGTCTCTTACAATGCCGGGTCCCATCTCTCCTCCGAATCTTCCGGCTAGGATGTAGGCCTGGTATCCTCATCGGCCTCGTTTACTCATCCGGCTCATGCTCCGAGCTCCGGCATAAGAGCGGGGCGTCTTCGGCGTTGGAAATCATCGCGAAATGAGCGCCGAATAGCTTCATCGAGGCAGGTAATAGGAAGATGTGGTCTATCGAGAAGAGCCTCTAATTACTCCAGAAATGGCCATCTTCTATATGTATTTCCGACTTTATATACATCCATGTCTTCTATATTTACACCATTCTAGTTCTATGTATTACTCCTATGCTCATCTTCCACTGTTACTTGATTTTAATATACAAGATTTCCCATGAGCAGTTACATGCGTTTCATCTTGTTACTCAGATAGCTAACCCCTTCAGAGCTTTTGACCACGCCAAATTGGCACTTGATTTAGAAGCTGACGGAATAGGTGAGATTAGTTGATTTCCAAACAAGAAGGTAGTAGCAACAAGACCAAACTAACCTGGAATGATTTCAACTACGACCAAAGTGGCCCATACTTGTTCTCTTTACCCCTCCATCTCTCTATAGGTACATGGAGTTTATGCATTCTCCATGCTAGCTTAGCTCTTCCTCCCCCCTCCCCTTCTCATCATCTTCCTCCTTTCATGCAACTGGATCTAGATTACGAATGCTACAAGATCTCTCGTGGTAGCTTCACTTTGACCTATCACTTATTTGGTAAACACTCTTCGGAGGATTTACTACTAGTCTGGCGCTTGCTCCAACGATACGTACGATGGATCAAGCTGCTATTTTCTAAGCGAGCTGGTAGTTGGAGGACTAAAATACGGGGAAGAATCTCCACCGTCTCATCTATATGACCACGTTCCTCTTCATCCCTCCCTCTCCTGTCGTTCTGTAAATGTTGATATAAAAGGCGATGTATACATAGATACATATATCCTGCCTTGGCATGAATTATCCATCTCCTTGCTTACTATCTTGCTCTTTGACAATCATTAGATCCTAGCCATGTTCTCACCACGTGTCCCGCTCCGTATCTGATCTGTCACATATTGGGACAGCCTGCTTGAAAATCCTGCTCGGAGCTGTTTGAGCGGCCTAGCATTCGTATAGGAAAAAGTCTGCGTGAGTCATGTGCTTATACTTTGATGCTCTTCTCCAATTCTATCCAACAAACTCGCCGCCAAGCTCCCAGTCTTTTTCTTTTTTTACCATCAGTCGCCTAAACAGCTGAACGCGACGAAATGCTTCAACCAAACTCTATTGCTAAAGGGAAAAAGTTTCTTTCATTTAAGATTGTTAGGGCATTGTCCGTCCACGCGCCCTGCGACAGAAAACGGCAAAATCCGTTCTCCACAACCTTTGAAGCGCGCAAAGCCACATCTAGAGAAAGTATGCAGAAAGGTGATGGCATTGCGGCATGGGGGTCCTGGGGGTGGGAGCGCGGCTCTTTGCCTTGAACCTTGAGCTGCCCCCTTTTCCTATTCCCTTCGCGGGGATGATGGAATCAAATTATCCTCTCTGAGCTTAATACAGAAGAAATGCCTGCCCGATTCCACGTGGTGGCTTCGCGGCAGCACGCCCCCCCCTCTTTCATTCTCAGCTCTTTGGATTTGATCAAAAATCATTTGCGACGGGGGGTGTAAACGATAAAAAAAATCTCGCGCGTGCGCTACCACACCATCTTTGGCTTGTAAGAAAAAACCTTGTTCCAACCCAGTTTTATGTGCGTATATTTTATGGACTTCTAAATTAGTATGATACTCCGAAGCATGCGAATTGAAAAAAAAAACAACAACAACAATAACATGACAACTCACCTCCTTCAGCCCGCCTGAAGCAGATTGCCGACGATCTGGCTTCTACCCTCCATCTCGGCCCTATACAGTAATAGCACGAGATTCTACCACGCTTTCGGGACAGACTAGATAACCGACACGTTGGATCGAAGATCTGGACACGTCCACAGTATAAGAGGCTTACATATGATTGAGCTGTGGGAATACCGCACTTGATCTCCAATTCCTCATCCCTCTTGACATGAGCTGTCAAATTTCACACTTGACCTCTTCTTCCCTTTCTTTTTGACATGCTTGAAAAATTTGACTTTATTTTTAGATTTTTTATTTGAAGAGAGTTGTTGCTCGCATTAGTCTTTGGCGGTAAATCAACTGAACTCTCTTCCTGCGAGCTTAATAACATTGTCCACAGTAGAAACTCTGCATTCGATACAATACACAAACATTGACTGCTAGCCAAAAGCCTACATAGCAACGGAGAATACTGGCTTCTCTGATGTCACAAAGAGCGTGAGTGACAAAGCAGGCTTACTCAATTCGTTGAATCCTAATGAGAAGCTTTGAACAGCGCAAAGGCTACTTAACAAAAAGTGGTCGAAGCGTTTTCTCTACAGCCTTTCCGAAGCCTCCGTTTCCAACAACAAAAATTGAACAATTTAGTGAAAACGTAAACACAGCTCTCCGGTGTTATTAAAAAAAAAAAAAAAAGACCTCTGCTACTGTTGGATTACTAAAAACTTAAAAGAAACCACCGCCGCAACCGCCACCTCTCAGCTGCATTCGCCTCTATATAAACTCTGATTCAGAACAAGTGGCGACCGATGTATATTCTACTTCTTTTGTTGCCAAATGCACATTGCGCGCGCGCCGTAAACAACGCGTGTAGCCGCGTATGTTATAACACAAATATGACGCTCTTCTGATTCAAAATTGATATCAAGATTGAGTTCCATATTTTTTTTTTAAGAATATCTGTAGGACAACTTAGAACAAGAGAGAACGACGTAGAACCCGGAGAGAAGCAGTAAATCCAGGCATGAGCCATATCTCGATACCGGCGACGTACCCTACAGACCCCAGCTTGAACACAGATGCCCTGTCGATTAGTTGAAAATCTAATAGAAAATCTTGGAAATATCAAATAAAGGGCCGAAAAGGGCGAGTCACATTGTCTATGCAGCCTCGGAATGCGTCCACATGTTGAAAATTGTCATCAATTTGTCATCGCTTTGTTATATGTGAATCGCATCGGTTTCTCCGTCGAGATCAAACTCATCTATGAAAACACGTTTTATTTCCTTTTCTGGCTGTGGAGATTGCCAACCGGCTATATTAGCTCATTTCGAAAAGTCCTATTTCGCAGAGTCATGATTGTAACGACCTAGTTGCTGGGAGTAAGCAGTAACATCTCTAGGCTCAGCGATCGTATTGCGATAGCTGCAAATAGTCCTAATCCAGTTAGATTGCTATAGCAACAGAAAGCGCCGCGAGGCATAGTTCTGCCCAGTAGAACGGCTCAAGAGGGATTGATCCCAATAATACTCCAAGCCGTTACATTGTCGATGAGCTACTAGTAGTAGGTATTACACGCATATCATCACACGCCTGCCCCCTCGGCATCGAAATCAGATCAAGTCTCACACGAAGCATACGAGTTGAAAAGTAAAATGTAATAAACAATATATATAAAAAAAAATTGAAACCAAAAAAAAAAAAAAAAAGCAAGTCTATAAGCCCCTCGCTTAATCTATAAAGATAAAGAAATTCGTTACAGCATCAAGTTATATATACCAATCCAATATTTTCAACATCCATCCTGTTTTCGTTTTTTTCCACACGCCACAAACCGTATCTTCTTGAGACGAAAGTGGTGGTGGTAGAGTGGTAAAAGAGGGTCGGCCGTCATCCAGCCAATCTTGTTCCATGGTTTGAGCCTCGTATATCAAAATGCTTGAGACATTCGGCCTCTTAAATGGCAAACCGGGTAATGTCCCAATATCTCGCCGTGCTGACGAGGTGCCCACATAGCGGAAGAAATCCGCTGCCCTAAAGACCCTAATCTTTAGGGGCGGAGGCAACGCCAGGGGCGCCGAGGCCTTTTTGTTGAGCTAGCTGCTGAGCGGATACCCGCCATGGCAGCGCTCGCACAATTGACCAAAGAAAGAAAAAAAAGTGTAGTGATACTGAACTTTCCAAGCATAAGGAGGAAAGAGAACCGTACCGCCTGACACTTGGTATGTGATACGTAGGGTAATGGCCGTTGTAATGCCCGTGGCAGCAAGACATGCTAGCACTGAGCGCGTCTGAGAGAAAGAATTCGTTTCCAGTGCCGTCATAGATTATTCTGGCAGGTCGTGAATTGAAGAAGAGAAAGATGGTATCATAGGTAAAAAGGTCATGTCCCGTGTATAGCATGCCCAATGATATTCAAGTCCCATCGGTAAAGTGAGATGTAGAGTTCGTGAGGGACAGCGGCGTTGATGCTGGCTGGCTTATACATGGCAGCGTCTGCCAAGCCTTGCCAAGAGCCTTGTGTTGTGTATATTTGATATTCTTTTTTTTTTTGTCTTTTCTTTGCGAAGATGAAGAGTGGTGTTCTTGGATGGGGTCCAGCGTGTTCAAGACATTGTTGGCCCTGGGGATTGAGTCGCCAAGTGTTATGCTTCGACGTGAGGTAGGAACCAGGCTGGCTTCTTTTGGAAGCCACCCATTGGTCTTCAGCACTCGACTCTGGTATGGTCCCAGTATCGCTTGCGCGCTGTGACGGCCATCTTGTTGCCGTTGAAGCGGTGCTGGAAGAAGTTGAAGACGGCAAACTCGTCGCGTGACATGATGTAAGAGTCGGGCTGGGCTTCGACCTTGCGCCAGATCTGCTGCAGAGCCTGCTCAAGGATGGTGCTGACGGTTGGATCTGAGGCGCCGTCGGGACTTTCTCGAGCAATTTCGAGGGCCTGGGCAACCGCAGCGTCTTGCTGGGCCTGGTGGTGTTGGGCAGCGGCCGCCTTAGAGGCACGGCTGGCACTCATACTGGCATAGCCCAGCGAGACGTCTGGCTGGCGGTGAGGCATGGGGCGGATGGGAGAGTGGTTGAGGTGTTGCTGGTACTGGATTCCTGATGGATAGACAGACAGCATTGTATTTGGAGGCTGCGAAGAGGTAGGGGCTCTGGTCATATATGCGTGGGAGTGGGAGCAGGTTGGAGGAAGCTTGTACGGGGAGGGTGCCGGACGGAGTGCGTCAGTGACCGGGGTAGGCTGGATATATAGGCTGCTAGGGGGTAGCGTGTATGGAAAGAGGAAGGCAAATATATTGGCTCAAGCGTTAGAAGCGGCAGAATCATATATTATATGCATGCACACAATATATATGGGGTGGAGCCGGTAGGCGGGAGTATCGATCCACACGATCAAACGCTGCCAGGGAGGGGAATCCCTGCTTCCTTTGCACACACCCGGCGAGAGTTGACGGCTTGGCGTATACGGACCGTGAGTGGGGGCGGAGAGGTGTGTGTGCTGGACTCTGGAGACTTTGTCCTGTGTCGTCCAAGACGAGCGAGATGCAGCCGCTGCTCTTGGCCTGTCTAGGCAATCTGACGCTGTCCCGTTGCCAGGGGGCTCCTTGCCAGCGAGTGCGTCGCGGTATCCAGGCAATTGACCGGTTGTGTCAGTGTCAGGTACCTGTAGGGATCGAGGGAGACGAGAGAGCCGATGTTGGGCGTCCGGGGTGTTTTAGGAGGTGTTTGGAAATGTTTATAGTGTAGAATAAACTCAAACACAGGGCACGTGCTATGTTATGGGCTTGTGAGGTGGGAGCCGGAAACCAAAAGCCCAGGAAGCGCTGGATATCTCTTATACTTTATATACGCGCGGCCCCGAACCCGGCATTTTGGATTTCGGATCTCTCGCCATTGACAACGCCTGGCAAGATTCGCATCCTCCAGCAAAAGCTTTGGCTAGCGCCCACGCAAAGGCGAAAACACCGGAGCTGAGACATTCTGCTAGGGACTGTTTCCCCAATCGAGTATCTCGTGCGCCTACCCGTTTGCCGCCAGGCTAAAGCGTCTCCGAAACAGGAGACACACATGGAATTTTGTTGGCGCGAGCGGTAGAAGAAAGAACAACAAACTTCGGACACTACATACACGCAGGTCTTCATTGGTAAGCACAAGATGACTGGGTCCCAAGGCATTGGGTCTGAAGCCCGACGCTAGAGTTCAAGCGATACGAAGTATGAGGTACAAAGCATCAGGCCAGAAATAGTTTGATGGCCTTTGTTTCTGTGGAGGATGACAAGTCCGGCCCTAGGTACGGCTAGTCAGGACGACCAAGGGACGTCTCGTCCGGGCAGGCCAGTCGGTGCGAGCAAAATCGAAAAAAAGTCTAAACGCTCGATGGCAAACCAAAGCCTCGACAGCCGATTCCAACGAATTCCACGAATTCCGTCCGACCTTCTGCGACCTACCGGCAGAAGGGCGAAGAGCGTAGGCGCCCCATCCTTGCTCGATGCTCACTCCGTCATCCGCAGCGCAGCGGAATCATGCACACACACAGTGACCGTTGACAGGCTTTGAGAGGCCGAACGTTGAAAGACCGCGACGTCTTAGCGCCTGGTGGCAGCATGACAAGGTGGCTGCAACCCAGGGCCCTGTGCTCCGGACTTGGGACGTCGGGAAAAGACACCCTTGCGGCCTTTGGCGATCTGCACGCTCCAGGCTGGGCTCCAGTTGGACTCCAGTTGGACTCGAGGCCGGATTGGCGATGCGATACGAAGAGCCGGCCGGCCAGACTAGAGACGACGAAGCGCCAAAGGAAATGAGATTGGGGTACAGACTACAGTAGAGGCAGCCTCGCTGCTAGTTCGAATGTTCGAGCGCTTCTACGCCCTGGCCCTACACCGCCTTTGTTCTGATGCTAGTCAGGCAGTCTTTGGCTGCCACACAAGCGAGCCAATTCGTTGCGACTGTGTGTTGCAGCGATATGCGCGTGTTACTTTGTGAGCGCGTGTTACTTTGTGAGCGCGTGTTACTTTGTGAGCGCGTTGCACCGCGTACGAGTAAGATGGTTGAACCTTTGCAAGGCCAACAAGGTCTCACGCAAATCTCGATTCGCCAGAGGCAAACCAAGACAAGAAAAGTTTTTTTCTCACCAGAAATGTTAGAGAAGGGGGGCGGGGGGTTCAAAGCTAGAACTGGAACACAGGCTGGCTGGGCTCAGTCTTGTGCCTGCTCTTGACTTTGGCCATCCGCCGAAACCCCCACCCCTCAAAACTGACTTTGGCACCATCTGGGTCCTGCTCCAACCCAGCCTCAGCATGGCTCTCGCTGCATTGAAGCGGTGAAGACGCAGCGTCGCCCGGCGGGCCAAAGGGGTGCGTCATGGTTAGGGCAGTGCGGATTGCCCGGTGCGTGTTTTTGTTGGACGTTTCTTTTTTTGGTTGCCGTTACCAACAATATACTTTGGCAAGTGCCTCTGTCCGAGTAATGCACATGCAGCCTCTGCTAACAGTGCCTCAGGAGCGAAAAGCATCTACGGCCGGAGCATGGTGAAACGCGCTACTCTATTGGGAGAAACCTTGGCCCATCTCGAGGAATGCCAGCTCGAGTCTGGCTGCGCTGCCTTGTCCGTCATGGCGGATCCTCGTCACGCTGGCTGTTCCACAGAGACCCGCGTGCTCGGGCAGGTATTTTGTACACTCTCTATTCCACAGTACTCTCCACTTGCCGTGACAGACGCCTCATTGCCCATAATTTCAGCCAGCTGAAGTGTAAAACGTGGTTTTGCAAGCCATTATCAGATTCTTAAACCATCATCACACTCGTCACAGATCACGCCTGAGAGTCTAAGTTGGGGACTTTTTCAGCTCCCCATTATGCTTGTTTCTTTTGGGAGGTATTTGCCTTGACTTTTTGCCTTTCTTTCTCTCTCTCTCTCTCTCTCTTTTTTTTTTTTTTTTTTTTTTTTTTTTAACGAGTGACTCCAGCTACTCGGTGTCTAGGTAACAGCAGATTGGGCCAGGCTTGCGCGACGACAAGAGGCTGAACTCCACCAACAATAGCTGTCACCCAACATTCATGACGCCTCGTCTACATTCAGACCTGAGCCGAATACTAACAATAAAACGGGCAATGCAATTATGGATCAGTGGACTTTTGGGCTTCTACGATAGGCTTCGGCACTTGCCAATCTCCCAGAACCAACGGGCAACCGCATGCACAACAACGCCCTGGACTTGATACTGTATGATGCAAAGCTTTAGCCTCCATGTTTTCAATGCCCCCATTCACCCTCGTTTTCCTGCCGGCAGTCGCTCTTGTTGATTGACTGCTCCCCCACAGCCGATTAATCGTTCGGGTATAATGTTTTCACTTCCACCAGTGAGTGGTTGAGAGTTCGGTATCCATTGTGTCATCTAGTTCGACGCTCTAGCGCCTCCAACGCCCCGATGAGCGTAGCAAGCGTCTGTCATTGAAATCGAGGATTTCAACAACATTTCCTTTTGGCAGACGGTAACGGTCGGAGACAATCGGCGTCCAGCGGCCTCTTCCCGCACCCACTGGTATGCCTCCTTGGAGTCCTCTTTTGTTGTGCAATGATTAACCGGCAATTGGCCAAGTTATGCTATCAGCAACCTAGCTGAAGACGCAGCGTCTCGAATCTCCAAGAGGTTCGTACTTATTGACAACTGGGAAGAATCGACAACGGCATCAGCCATCGATGCTTAGGTCGTATCCAGATGCTACTACTACCCCTACGCCATGGTTGATGCTGATCAAAATGTCGTGATTGCTCCCCCACGATCGCCGTGGAGCCATCTACTGGCACAATGGCCTATGAGTAATAGATTCTCTGGTTGGACAATAACATGCTTGTTCCTTGGGTTTTCCATGCACTAAAGGGGCCCACCTCTGGAGATACTAGCGGGCTAGATTCGATGTTGCGCCTCGTTAGATTAAGCAGCCGCCACGCCAAAGTGATGCGAATTGCCTAATACGGCCAGTCCAGGGCGAAAATGGATAGCGTCTCTTGACAGCAGCAACGCAGACTTGATCATGTCGGCAATTGTTGACGAGGCCGGATCTCATACAATGGTTCTTACTAGACAACTATTCGCAGCGTTGCTTGTGCTGTGCGCAGTGCACGTCGGCGTTGACGTTGCGCAGCGCGGCATTCAAGTCTGAACTCAATTGCTGTTGGCCTGCGACGCTTCCATTGATTATGCTTTACGCTTTGTTGAGACGGCGTGTAATGTCACCAGGTAGCGGTAAAGGGACAATGAGTTGACAACAACTCCTATGGACCACGGCAATGACATTCTCCTTCTCACCATGGCTCGATTCTCCGGCAAGCTTCATCCCCGGTCCTCGTTCCTCGTTATCTCCCATAAGCGAAGTTCGGATGCCCGCTTATCGCTAACAACAGTTGCATGACGCCGCGACGACCAGGAGAATAGGAGCCAGAGGCAGAGAGTACAAAGGGAGGCAGCAAAAAGCTGTTTTGAGAAAATAATGCCAACTTTGATTGGCTCGGCAGTCTGGGGTACGTTCGGTAACAAGACGTTTACCGAGTCAAGAACGCCCAGCGTGAAGATACTACTGCGGCTACTAGTTACCATCTACCTACGGAGTACTAGAATAGGTAAATCTCTTCTTTCAACTCCACTGTTGTGAGAGACTATTGAGAGAGAGAGTTGGCATATTCAGTGGGCACTGCCATGTGTGCGCGTAGACGACTCGTGGGAGGGCATCCAAGGCAGCGGCGGTTTCTCTCCGCAGGGCTCCCACAACGAGGCCGCAATGCCGCAAATCCCCAATGACATGGACATCCAAGTAAGTACAAGTAAGTGTGCAGCAGACTAGCCACGAATCACGAATATGCCATTGTTTATTGCTCGCACTTTTACTCACTGGCCGGTCTGAAGCTCCACCAGCAGTTGCTTCCCAAGGCGGTAAAGCTGGCTGCGCTAGAGCACTGGCAATGCGTGTCAGAGCCGAAACATGGCTGGGCTATCAAAGAGAGATATACTGTATGTAGCACCTACTGTACCCACGCGGCTGGGCTGGCTCTATACCAACACGCCCCGTTGAGACCCCTCCGAGACCCGGAAACCGAGTTTCTGGGTACCCAAGCCAGCCTGCTAAATTGCGCAAGGTGTTGCCAGCTCTGAGACAGACTTGTTAGAAGACGACCAACAAGGCAGATCTATCAATCTGTGCGTTTTTCCCTTTCCTCTCCGTGACGACGTACAAGTCTAGAGTGTGGCTGCACACCAGCAAATCGCGTCAGCAACAAAAAAATGACTTGTTTCCTTCGCAGGCCAGGATCTCGTTGAAAGCACTCTCACACTACCTGCCACTATAGCACGGGCGGGTAGTCCCAAGGACGATGCAAGCACCAAATGGTGCTGAGACACGCAGTTCGCATCACCCATCACACACTAAGACAAGTGCAGATCCTTTAGCATCCAGTGCATACGCCGTTTTGAGACGATGGCCAATTGCTGAATATGCCTGAGCACTGAGCACTGCGCACTGAGCATGCAAATACCTAGCTCGGCTGTTCTGCCCTATCGCAGCCCAAAGCTGGGGCAAGGGTGAAGATTATGCATGACCACGAGCAAAGCAATTGTGACGAGGCCATCTGGTTGGCGTAGCCGCAAATGCCGCAACAATGCAAGCAAAAGACAACAAGGCAGAGCAAATGAAAAAGTTCCCTGCTTGATAGACACATGCGGACGTGGCCATGGTGTGCCGCCTTTCGGTAGTAAGTTTTCCGAGGAGCAAACATGCCATACCGCCGTGCCAAAGCCATACGACGCACACACCACCGACACCAATTGCCCGCGAAGGATAGGCATATGCAAACCGCAACTCTAAATGGGCGAGGCGTGACCCTTTTGGACCGGTCCCTTGTTTTCGTGCCCCCTCGTTGTGCTTGACGCTGTTGCTCGGGGCGCCACTCCGCATCTCTCGCTTCACGTCGCTACGCAGACTCGGGTTGGCTTCCGCTTCGTTACATGCCAGGGAGAAGAGCGGCAGCCCCTTTGGAAGGTTTCGGACTTGCTGGCCGGCCATGGTTATGGTTGGCTCTGCCGCTGCAACCGCAGCTACTGCCAATGCTCCGTGCCTAGCATCCGCGCAAAGGCGCTGGCGATCGAGATTGCCCACGAATGAATGGCTGCCGTCGACCCAGATCCCTGGCCTGGAGGCCGGAGGTTGTGCTGCAGCATGCAAATACCTACATGCTGCTAGCACCGTTGTCCTGGAGGAAGCTCCCTTCCCGCTCCAATCCTCCCGCGGCGACAGCTATTCCGGAAGCAGATTTCCGTGCATATGAGCTCGGCAAATCCTTGACTGCGACCTCCAAATCGCCCGCATATGCGCTGCCATGCCATGCCATGCAATGCGTTGTCGTCCGCAGATTGCCCACGCGAGCATTGCGGGCCACCCACGCTGGAGGGAAGCCAATGGGCATGGCGGCCACGCTGGTGCTAAAGCGGGTTTCTCCCCCAGTTTCCCGCCATTTAGCGGGATGGGAATTAAAATGGGCTTAGCCATCTTGAAAGCATCCGACACCCCTGTTTGTCTTTTTTTTTTTTCTCCTTCCCAGATTTTGGAGGAGGGTGTTTGTTTCTGCCTCGTCCAGTAATCATGCGCACTCTGCATCTATGTACTAGGCTGCTATCAGTCTTGTTTGCAGCATCAGGGTGAAAAAAACAGCGCAATGCAACCTAGCGCCCTCTCCAAAAAGGCTGGAGCGAAACGCTGCTAGACCTAGACGCAGCAGTAGCTTTGCTGCCTGCCGCCTTAGTCCGCACATGCTGCAAAATAGAGTTTAATTGGGAAATTGCGCATGAACATCTAAGCGCCGTGCCAATTGGAAGGAAGAGCCGTCTGGTTTGGGCAATTGATTCGTGAGCAGGCAGGTACGGCACGGCCAATGAATCATGCTGAGCAGATGAGACGGTTTAGGATTTCTGCTTCAAGACTGCCTCGTCAGCAAATAAGCAGCATAAGCAGAACTACAAGTACCATCGCTATCAAAAACAACCAAGACGAGACGAAAACGCAACCCCCCATCTCAACCCCAATCCCAATCCCAACGCCAATCCCACTCCCTGCCATCCCCCTGCCCATTGCAGATGCAAGAGCCGCCCAATGAGGGCCTAGCACAGAAACCCGCCCGCTCAGACATCTTTCGGCTCCACTCCGCCGAACAGATTCCCTGAAAACTCTATTTAATGGGCTTTCCAGGGGGAGGGAACCCCACTCTTTTTTCCCTGGCGTGCCATCAACGTGGCTCCAGTTACGCAATGAGCGTGGAACCATGACTGAGCTTTTAACTTCTGCTTTGCAGTCTTTGTCTTCGTTTTGCTTGTTTTGCATCTGGTATTCCCGACTGCCTCACCTACATAGGTACTGCACATGCTACTCCGTGCACGTCTAGCTCGCCTCTCACGGCAAATACCGCGAACAAAGGGCGGCCCAAGCGAAGGCGCGCTTTACTTCTTCCTTTGTTAGCTGCATGTCCATGTTGCGTTGCGTTGCGTTGCGTTGCGTTGCGTTGGTCTTTTCGCTGCTTGCTTTTCCGTTTTGGCCCCCAGTTCACTCCCCCTTCCAAGGATAACCGCCGGAAGGCTGCATCCGTGGATAATCTTGTTTTTTGATTCGGTTTTCTTTTTCTAGAAATTTTGCCCGGGCCTATTTCTGGCGTCTTGACTATTCCCCACGGCCACGAGAGGTTAGAAGCCCTATTCCCTAAGCAATGATGAGGAAAATAAAAGCCTCACTTCGCTGGCAAGTTCATGCAAGTTCAATGGGTGAGCAGCATTGAGAAAAGAACAGCAGGGCGCCTAGTGTCCGCCGCATTCCGCTCGAGAGCGGCCTCAACAACGTGGCTTGTGGATTCAACCACATACGCAAGACGGCATGTCACTCTTTGTTTGCTCTTTGTTCACGGGGAGTCAAGGCAAGTTGTCAGTGACGCTTTGCTATACTCCATAGCCCACGCCGTTTTGGCGAGTCCCAGTAATACTACTCACTACCTGCTGCGAGCTCCATATCGTTTGAGTAATTCGGTCAAGAGTTTGGTAAAAAACGAACAAGTTTTTACTGGGTCTGCGAATAGAGTTATGACGCCACCACCCCAAAGCTGGGACCACTGTGTCAAACGTCGACGGTTTCCTTTTTTTTTTTTCTCTTCCCCGTTCTCTCGATCTTCTCCATTTTCGCTCATAAAAACCCAGAAAACACACAGACCATGATAATCCACGCCGTGATACCCGTCTTTTGGCGGGGCTGGGTCTTTTTTAGTATACCCTGACACAGCTTGGTGTATAATTCCCGGCGAAATGGGAATCTAAAAACTTGCACGACTCATGTCTTGACATTTTGACTTTGTTCTAGAAGACTTCTCCCTCAGCTTTGCTTTCCCGCTATTGCTTTTTATTACGGGCCGGATTTTCCTTGGAGGAAAACGCCTTGCCCCCCTTTTTTCTCTCTCTTTGCTAACATGTACACATACATACGCATTACTTTGTTTCCCTTTTTGTGTGATTACTATACGTACGTGACAGCGCATCTAGTGTGTACTGTCGCGGAGTTAAGAAAAAAAAGGCGAGCAGGGGGCTTGTTGTGATGGTCAAGCATGGTTCTGAAACCGGAGAATGGTTCGGTTTCTTAGCAAAGTTGGGGGTTTGTGAGAAAAGGAGGCGTCTCTCTTTTTTTCTACGCCAGTTTTAGAAGAAACAACTAAAGAAAGCAAGGTAGAAAGAAAGATGGACAGATAATATAGTGAAAAGACAACTTTTTTTTTATCCCTCGTCGGTTCCATTTGCTGCCTCGTTTTAAAAAATCTCCTATTCTCTACACACCCCTTTCTCATGTTAGTAATGAGATTCACATCTTCAGACTTAATGACATATGATTGATGTATACACGTACATCGCCGTCATAGGGCCGACTGCCCAAGTTTGCACTTTCGCGTTTTGGATGGAGGGTGGTTACGAAATTTACATAGCATGACATGACTTTTGAGCAATCGCTTTTCCCTTTCTCGGCCCGAGACTTTTTGTCTTTTTCTTCTTTTGCTTGGCAAAATGCTCTACAGCAGGTAGGTAGTTTAGTATAGTAGTATTCTCTCATCTTATTCCCTGCAAGGGCGGGTCGGCGTTTATCAGAAAGGGGAGATTTCACGGTTTACCCCTTTTGGGGGAAAAAAAAAGTTTACTATAACGGATCCTTCCATTTTAAAAACAAGAAACCGGGGATACTACCGTTGTAGAAGACCGTTATGGTAGTATTGTGGCGCCTATACTACATGGGAGCGGTATTATTACATGAACAAAAAAAAAAAAAAAAAAACGGAGAGGCAAGTGTTCAACGCAGGCCGCTGTGCTTGTATCAAAAGTCTTAATCATTTGACGTTTTTTAAATTGAAACATCTTTACGTGTAAAACTTGTGAGACTTGATCCCAGCATTTCCACATCGCGTGACCCAAATTTCTGGGAACAGAAATGGTTGGTTCGAACTCACTCGCTGTCTCCTTCACTCTCTCTCTCTCTTTTTGTGAGGGTTGCATGATACGTCATGAAGCCACATCAAAAGGGCCTTTCCCACACCCCCCCTTTAAAAAATTGAACTTTCTCCAGTGACAGACAGACAAGCAAGTCTTAACTAGTCTTGGTTAATATCCCGAAGCAGCAAGAAGCAAAAAAGTTGCGGCGCTAAAAAAGGGTCCAAACTGTGGCTGGCTTTCTCTCTTTCTGTTGTTGTTTGTTGTTCGGGGTTTTTTACCTAGAAGTTTAATCTTGGGGATCATTCGTTCGGGTATTCGTTCGGCCTGCGACCCTTTTGCTGCGACCATTCTTGTCTCTCTTTCTCTTAGTGAGTCGGGGTTTTTTTTTTCTTTGCTCGCTCGCTGGCTCGGTCTTTATCCGTTGGGGAATAACACTACTGCGGCTTCCTCAATCTTGTTAGGCTTGACACTACGGGCTTTTTCCTTGAAATGTTGTGAGTTGCGCTGCCTTTTTTTTTTTTCTCCTTCTCGGGGACCAAGAAGGATGGGGGCGGTCAAAAGGGGTCGTAAAAAGATACGACAGGAGCCGCAATAGCCGTTGGAGATGGAGTAAGCTTCTCCTCCCCCGGGTTGTTTTCGTAGTTTGACGCAGAGTCTTGCCCTGTTGAGAACTTTTGACGGTGAATCTGCCGCCTTAGATTGGCGAAGAGACAGCATACCGGCGGAGTTTGGGCTTGGAGTTTTGGCGTACAAGCAGGTTATGTTCCACGGGGGGCGATCTCCAAGGCATCATGCGTTGTCTTTGTAATGATCTCCTTTTTTCATGCAGCTTGTAAGAGTACTACTGCAGCTTTGTAATTCGCAACTTGTGATCGTCTCTGCGCCTTCTCTATTCTAGTCTATTTGCCAGCGCGCGCACGCAATCGTTAAAACAAAAAAAGGGAGGGAAAAAAAAAACCTCAAAAGATCCGGTATATGTTACTGCATCTGGCACAGTGATTCCGTACGCTGATTCCGCACGCCCCCGTTATTGGCACTGCTGCATCCTCCTTTCCCAAAAGGAATTGACAATAATGTTACAAGAGAGAGAGAGAAAATTTTTCACACACTGCCGCGGATAAAACCGTGCTTACATGCATATCCGGCAGTGTCTTTCATCCTATGCCTTGTCAGGGTTAGATGATTTTATGATCGTGGGGTCCTTTTTCCAATATCCCAACCCCAGCGTCGAAGCACCTTCACCACCTTGGGCGTCACCGCCGCGGTCAACGGCACCCGGAGGAAGATGAAGCTCTTGTGGATGGCATATGCGAGCGCTAGCTGCGTTGCCAGGCCTGCGGGAAAAGGGCTGTTAGTCTCTCTCCCTTGGATGTCTCAAATTAAAGTACCACCGGGCTCGGTAACTGTCCGTGGATTCCATATGGGGAAAACAGGTTGTCTCTCCCCTCCCTCATGACGTGGAGCTGTCTGAGACATTTCGACGTAGTGAGAGAGAAAGAGAGAGAGAGAGAGAGAGCCATATCGGGAAGGGTACCAAAGGGCAGGGGGCGGGATTGTAGTTCAAACTCACTGGCTTCTTCTCTGTTGCGTTCCTGCGCTTGCTCTACACCCCAGCCTGCCATCTCTACGCTGTCGCTGATATTGCTGTTGCCCAGATGGCTTTTCTCTTCGCTCTTGAGAGATTGTCGCCATTCGTTCCATGCTGTCCGAACTGATTCCGGGATGACCTTTGTGACGACATAGTGCTCGAATTGGCCTGGATCGCCCCCATCCATTCTCGCGTTAGTCTCGCATTATAAAACTTACTCTAGAAAAGAAAAAGGGGAGAAAAGAGCATTCTGAGAGCACAAAGCGAACGTACCTATCCTCTCTGTTCCGACCAACCGCACGAAGAGGAAGCAGAACGGGAAATCCAGCACACTGAGCGCAAAGTAGACACCCACGGCCGACCACCCATACTCTCTAGAGAGCTTCTTGAACCTCTCACTTATCGACAAACTCTTCTTGGCCCCCTGTGCGTTATTGCGCCTCCACGCCGAGAATACAAAGTTGCGTTGCTGAGTCCCTCTCGCGAAGCTGTCAGCTATCCTGGCAGTTGGTCGCATTGGAGCGCCGTGGCGCATCGCTCCTCCCAAGGGCGGGAGTGACTGTAGCCTCCTCCATGATGCGTTGCTGCTGCTCTGGGATTTCGTCACCGGCTGTGATGAGAATAATCTTGCCCAGACATCCTTCAACGCCCCGTTTTGTCCCGGCGCAGTCTTGGCCTGCCGCAGAGGTAACCGCGATTGGAACGCCGCTCGAATCATTGCGTGCGTGTGTATGTTGCGCTATCTGCAAGTCCTCCCTTGAATCGTCCTCCTCTTCTGTAAATACGTAGAGCTCTGCAATAGAAGTTCGGCTTGGTGCGCAGGCAAGTAAATAAAACGGAGTGGCGGTAGTCCCGGCGCAGCTCGGTGATGGAGATAGCGGAGCTTCGGAGCTCTGAGAGTCCGTGTCAGGAACAAGCAATTGGAATCCCACGTGGCGCGAAACGGGATTCCCGTAGAATCGCGCAGATGTATCAGTAACGATGCTGAAGCTAGAACTTGGAAACGAGGTGTAGACGCTGAAGGTAGAAAGAAAGGTAAGGTCGCAAGTCGCCCCTTCGGTCAACCTAAGCTGAAGAGAAAAAAAAAATTGGTGGTTTGATATGCCGAGCCTGGTGGGGTGACCACTGCAAATGCAGATGATCTGTGAGCTGGAATCTGTGTTTTGATTTACTTTTTTTGCAATCTTTTTCGTTTGCCGGGGTCGGCCAAGCCGTAAATATTCTGAATTTCTTGCTAAACTCTTTTTTTACCTTTTTTTTTATTTGAGCTGTCAGGTCACGATGATGTAAAAAACGGCTTTCGCCGGTTCCGGCTCGTGTAAAGGTCGGGTTGGGAGCAGGGATGAGAGGCGCTAGCAGGGCTGACGATGCATATCACGTGCTGAGCGATGCAACGACACTGGCTGTAAGAGACTTGATTCAACGTTGAGCGTGGTATTCGTTGAGAGAAGGCACTGAGAAATTAATTGACATTGGTAAAATGCTTGACGAATATTCTTTTTTATCCCTTCTTTTTTCTAATATTGCCTCAGCCTCATAAAGCTGATAATCCAACGATGTGGTGGCATATTGAGCTCTATTGCTTGCTTGAACGTCTGCATGCCAAAGCTGACCATTTCTCTCCCAAATTTGGGATATTTCGTGGAGATACATATAGAACAACGTACATGTAGCTTTCAAGATGAAGCAATGCATCCTAACTGTTCAAACGTATAGTTTTCTTTTAGCTACTGGGATCAGTCATCACATTCTTGGTCAAGTGTTGTACGTATGCATGTATCAAGCTCCAAAGTAGGTATCAAAGTGCGTGCCCAGAACATTTTTTGCGATGCATCTTTTCCGCACCTAATCTTTACAGTCTACAGTTCTGCAATATTATTATCTTTATTAAAATGACATTCAAGAGCCAAACTGCACATAATGATAGATTAAAATGGAAGTTGTTGCCTTGAGTAATATCTCCAACGAGGTCCTGTCCCAACTTTCGACAATCACTCTTCTCAACATAAACCTGTTAATACATGCCAAAAACCAAGTAAACAGATGCTGTGTTCTTCCTTCAGCGGGTCCATTTGCACAGGCAGTGATTCAGTGACGCGGGGCTGGCTGCTCCTTCCGCTCTTTTGCTCTGTTCAGTGCCACTATCCCCTGAACAGCTGTTCAACAGCTGCCAAGTCTTTTACCAGCAGACCAGCTGCTCCCTGAAAGCCTCTGCGCAGTAACTCTGCCAGCCCTCGTGCCTTAGATGCCTAAATTTGGTATTTATTTTGCCACCGACATCGGCATCTGTTCTTTACTTCTCCCTTCTTCCTCTTCCTCCTCCTCTTTTCCCTCCTCCTCCTCTTCCTCCTCTCCAGAATCGGCCCCAGTCTCCTGGCACTTCTCCCTTCTCCTGGTTGCACTTGGCTTCATCTTCTTTGCAGAAAAGACTGGACTTCGCTTACGGCTCGCCTTTGGGATATGACATCCCCCAGCTTCCTCGCCAATCGTCCAGACCATATGTATGATCCTGGCGGCCAAGCTTAGGACTCCTTGGAGCTGCTTCCTTCGCCCGAGGCTGGCTTCATGAGTGTCCTCTGCCATCCAAATTTCGCCTGGTCTCCTGGTAAATTTTGGCTGCGCATCACGCCATCATCCGTATTATTCCCTCGTCACTCGTTCAACTGACCAACTCCAATTCACTCATTTTGACATTTGTCGTTCTTTTCGTCACTCGTTTTTTCCTTTGTCTTGTCTTTTATGCATCTCTGTCTTCTATTTACTTGCTTATTCACTCCTTTACTTGTTCTTCTCATCTTCTTCGCGGCCGTCCAAATGGCACCTCCGGTGCGCACGTACGGAAAGAAGAGAAACGCGCTTGGTTCTCTGCGTTCTCGAAACCGAGCCCAGATTTCGCCTGAGCCATCGTCGGCCAAGGACTCAGGTATGCTGCTTTGGTCTACCGAGCATAGATATAGTGCAATGCTAACTATATCAGATCCTCATTCGCAGTCTGTGAATACCTGCTGCGAGACCATGACGCAGACTACTCAGAATAAGGATAATGTCCAGCCAATCACTCTCGAGAGGATTGCCAGTGCTCTACTCGATGACAGCAGTTCAGACCTGGCGGAAGAAGAGGTCGTACAACAAACAGAGAAAGAAGCACTGGAAACTTCTACTTCTACTCCTCTGGCTCCCGAGGACACCACGCCCGAAATTGGAGAACGACGCATCTGCTCTCACTCGCCAAGCTCATCCAAGGATAGGACATCCAATAGCGGTCGAGGTTATCGACCCGGCGCTCCGCGAGTTCAGAAAGCTTCTCCCAACAACAGGTTTGCAAAGTCTTCTAGGCCACGACGGAGCTCAACTTCGTCTCCAAAACGGAAAGATTATAGTTTGACCCGACCCCTGACGAGCCCGTTGAGAAACTCGGCCAACCGCTCCTCATATATCATCGTGAAAGACGCAGAGGCAGTTTGCCTTCTTCCACACAACATCATGGATGGAGCTCCGAGAATCCTTCTCCAAGGCGAGATGGCCGATGAAAAGTGTGCGATGGCGGCCAATCCTGATGATATTCAGGACAAGGTATGCGCCATGTTGGCGGCCACCGACACTCTGAAACCGTCGTTTTCTCAGCCATGCAAATCACCTACTCCCAAGATGTCGCGCATGCCCTCGCGAATGTTGGCCAGGGTATCAAGTGCATGGGACCGTTTGCAGACCAAGTCATCTAATTCGGGATCCAAACCGCACGCCAAGCTCACGAAGCAACCTACTCATGATGATGTCGATGGTCCCCTAACTTCACATCCTGTGTTTCCTTCTCCCATCTTACTCAAGACACCTCTAATTGATGCTATTGAAATTCGTCTCAACGAGGGCGACAACCTCAACAGAAAGAAAGTCCAGCAAATGGTGGGCGGCTGTGTGCCTCGCAAACCTGTCGCCAACGACGGAAAGGCTCTCAGGAGTGGCCGATCCATAGATGACCCTTTTGCCGAGCCTGCTTTGCTACAAAGCCCCAGCATTGTTGAAAATCATGCGAATCTGAAAATTATGATTGGATCAAACAGAACCTCTCTGCTCATCATCGATCCATTCGAGGCCGAAAGGGGATTCGACAGCAACCTTGAAGATGGAATCTTGAGTTCTTCCCCAGTTTGCGCCTCAACGCCTCGAATTCATCTGCATCAAGTTCAAACTCCTACGATGGATGATAGTCTCGATGGGCAATGCTCCAGGCTGCGAACTCAGACGAGCTTAGAGAGAGTGACTACAGACTTGACTGTATATCAACCTCAAGAAGCTATGTCGCTTAGAAAGGCTTCAAGCCAAAGTGGACATGTGCGGCCTCTGCCAAATACCGACCGCGTTAAGATTGATTTGATGCGAGACAAGCCTTTTCTGGATGCAAGCACAACAAAGTGGACGAAGAAACACCCATCCCCTAGCAAGCGAGATTTGGAAGAGCTTGAAATAGCTTTTCGATGCTATAGCGAGCTCAAGAGGCGTGGAATCGGTGAAGAAGCGGATGAGCTTGCAGCGCACTATACCCCATCTTCCCGGTATTTATCCCCCAGGGATACGAACAGAATGATGGGAGTTCGTGAAGAGAGCACCAAGTCTGTGTCTGTCTACGCGGATCAGTCCCCTGCGAGATGCCAGACAAGGCGCCCAACTGATGATCTGAGAGGCCATCAAATTCGTCTCGTTCCCCCTTATCGGCCGATGGTTCCACAGTCTGATGAGACTGACGAGCTGGTATAAATCTACCTCGAGGCGGAAAAGCTTCTGGGGATGAAAGTGGGCTGGAATCAAAGCACGCATGTAAGAGGGGAAGAGTCGAAGCAGCAGAAAAAAAAAAACAGAAAAAAAGCGTTGAGACGAAGATGATGAAAAGCTACAAGCTGATGCGATTAGGCCATGGAGTTTCCAGGAGATTTCTACACATAAGCTCGTCTGGACATTGTGCATTCAAAATGATGCTGCTACGCGAGCCATATCTACAGTTTGGTTTTGATAGAGTATAATACACGGGACGTTCGAAAAAGAAAAAAATGATGGTCGGCAGGAATTTGATGCAGGAAGAGATATCAAAGTAATTATTCAATAGATATTATTAATCCAAACTTTAATTATACAGTGTTGAGAAGTCGTGTCGCAAATAACATCATTATAGGGTATCATAATTCGTGCCACCGCGTCTTCTGCAAGCCTTTACCAAAAGCGTCTTCTGGGGCGATGCGATCCACGGCCATCTGTGCCTCTCATTCTGCGAGTTCCAGCAGCCTGTAGTTGACATGATTAGCCATTTGATCTTTTTTGGTGTATTTTCGACTGTATTACCTTTACACCAGGACGGTGAGTCAGGCTTCCCTTGAGCTTGGTAAGGGCGCCGCTGACTTTGTCCTTGAGGGTGGGTTTGCGCTGATGGTGCACGCGAGGCTGACGAGGAGTGCGACGAGAGAAGATGCTGCGGCGATAGGGCCGGGCGGTGGTTGTGGTGGTGGTTGTGTGGTGATGGCGACGGGTCAAAGGCATTTTGGCTGATTTTGTTTGTGTGTTGATATAAATGGTATTGTTGATGGTGATTTATTCTGTTTTATTTGCTTGTAAGGAAGAATGGACTCTATGATATGGGGAAAGAAGGCAGATTTATATACTTGTGTAAAGGCCATGAAATGATTGCAGCGAACAATGAATGAACGAGCTGATGATGTAAGTCAAGACCTAATAGTGCCCTGGCATGACAATGAGAAAGCAGCGACGATCAAACCGTAATGGATGTGAGATACGAAGCTTGCAAAATGCAAGAAACAGGGCAGATCTTGGTCTTTCTTGTGCAATGTCCGATGACTTTCTGCGTGTAAGCTTGCGTCTATTCGCTGGGGCTTGTATTAAGGCATCGGTGATCTAATCAAGGGTCGTCATTGTACGTCACTTTTGCAACGAAGATGAGCTTGTTTGTGGGGACAAGCCGGTTTTGACTAGCGGACGTTGGGGGACCCTGTGGCTGGTAACGTCATTTGTGGCTGTTGGGTGTGGGTGGCGGTGCGTCACTGGTGGGAAATCGAGATTCAAGCAGCTTTTTTTTTTTTTTTTTGTGTTATTGAACTTGATTTTTTGTTGTTTGCTTTATTTCTTTGTTTATACTATGTACTTGAGACAAATTCTTTTTTGGTTGGCCTAGCTCTAGTCTAGCTGCTCTAGATAGATCCATCTAGATGTCTAGGTTCGTGTGAATCATGATTGAGTCCAACATGCCCCTCTTGGCTGTATCCTAGGTATCCAGCGTCTATTATGGTATCACAAACAGCAGCAACAGCAACAACAACAGCAGTGTATAAAGCAAAAAACAGCCCGTTTCTCCCTCCACACTAGGAACGAATGTTCTTCTTCACAGTGTTGAGATCCTCCTCCGACAGCCCCAGCTCCTTGGTCACGTAGCCGTCCCAGCCGCCATAGCGCTCCGTAAGGCCGTCGACAAAGGCGTTCCAGTACTGCGGCCGCAACTCGACGAGGTTGTAGAAGCCGGGCGTCTCCATGTCGGTTGTTCCGACGCTCTCCAGGGCGAAGTGGATGAGCTTGTCGCGGGCAACTTCGGTGCCAATGCGGGAGAGCATGTAGTCGCGGACGGCATCGTCCGAGGCCGTGCCGGCGAGGTGGTGGAGCAAGCCGGCAAGCACGCCGGTGCGATCGCGGCCAGCTGGTTGTTATTTCACGTCAGTATTACATAGTCGTAGTGAAAGATTAACGACTCACCGGTGCAGTGGAAGAGAAACGGCTCGGTGGGCGTATCGCGGATGTGCTCGAGAACGGCCTTGTAAGTGGGCGCATAGCTCAGAGCCACGGCCAGATACTGGTTTCTCCAGGCCTCGCTGCCATCGCCCTTTGCAAACTCAGCCAGGCTCGGCGTCTGGTAGTCCTTGGCCGCGGCCCGCCAGACATTCTCGACGCCAGCAATCTCCGGGTCGGGCCCGCGCTCCACCTCGTCGGGCTTGCGCAGGTCGAAGATGCGGCGCACGTTGGCCCCGATCCAGGCCAGGGCGTCGGGATCCTGGCTGGCGTACTGCAGCGTGCCGCAGCGGAAGATGCGGCCGGCGGGGATGTTGCTGCCGGGCACGGCGCCGATGTCGCGGGCGTTGATGAGCGACTTGGAGGGCACAAAGGGCGCCGTGGAGAGGATGGGGAAGAGCGTCTCGGCGGGGATGGGGTCAGTGACGCGGGTCCTGACGAGGGCGTCGAGGTCGGCGGTGGAGGCCATGGCGATGGGCGTGTTTGATCAAGTTCTTGTGAGGCGTATGTCTGAGTTGAGGGTAATATATGAGGAACTGGGGAGAAGAATGAGGATGAGGAAAAAGGCAACCAAAGTTCCGAGGCTGGCGCTTTATGATGGCTCGGCCTCCGAATTGCCGTTGCGACGACAAACGGAAAGTGCTTAAAGCTGACGACTACGGGCTCCGCTTGCGTTTGCAGCTTGTCGTTTGTTTTCTCTCACTCTGCTTTGGACCATGATTCAGCATCAGCGTCTTGCTCAACACACAAAACACACATCAACAAATAACCTGAAATTACAAACATGTATACCCCATTCAACGATAAAACATTCACCTTGAACTCGAAACCCCAAACTCATCGCGCAAAACATGATCCACCAAGCTCCAACACAATTGAGGGGTTCTTCAACGGCTTTCGCCCCTCCTTTTCGTTTATACAGCTATTAGTATTTGCCCTTTTTCAACCCCGCCATCCAATCCCGCTCCTTTCCAAACCTTTTAGCGCCCGCATGGCTTGGGCAAGTTCCTGATTGACAGCCAACCTATCAGAGGCAGCCGATTCATCTTTAGCAAATTAAAAAGAAAAAGGGCGGCTATGGATTTTGCAATTTTCTAATCTAGAGATAAGGACTTATTGGTAGACAAGACAAAATAAAAAAGAATGGTTGACGCCAAAAGGCGCACTATCAACATTTACAAGAACCACTTTTCGTGCCCTTCATGTAAATCTACTCTTTTTTCTTCTGCGCCAAGCATAGCAAACATGACGAGGTGAATTGAACCAACAGCACATAAAATATGCTCAATCTCTTCTATAGACTTTCATTTTCTCTCCCTTGTCATCTGCTTCACTGCTGCTGCTGTGACTAGACAGACAAGCAAAAAATGGCTCCATTGCCGCCCCTCGTCCGCTGGGGCTCCCTCATCTCGGCCATCGCAGCCGTGGTCCTGGCCTATTCGTACCAGCAGCAGCACCCGCTTCTCTTCGACCCCCTCCCGGTGTACTGCTACAACAGCATCAGGACTCACGACAGCCACCAGCCATCGGCCGAGTGCTTCTCGGTCAAGGACGGCGTCTTTGCCGGAGTCTGGGCTCGGGATGATGGCGATGCAGCAGCAAAAGACACCGACGTGACCGTCTCTGAAGGGCATGTCATTCCGGGGCTGTGGGACGGCCATGGCCATTTGCTGCAGTACGGCGAGTTCCTGCACTCGGTCGATCTTTTTGGGTCGCAGTCGCTGGACGAGGTGAGGCTTCGCATCAAGACGTATCTTGAAGCCAATCCGGAAGCGGGCACTGAGAATCACTGGCTTCGCGGCGTGGGATGGGACCAATCGGCCTTTGGACGAATGCCCACCGCTGTAAGTGGCCTATACCATGGCATGATAATAGAATGGCACGCATGTTGACCCCTTACAAGGACGACATTGAGCAAGACGAGCAGCTCAGGGGCATCTTCATGATGCTCGACAGAATCGACGTCCACTGCTCCTGGGTCTCCCAAGCCGTCCTCAACCTCCTCCCAGACGAAATCCCCAACGTCCCAGGAGGCGAAGTCATCCGCGACCCCGGCCCGGGCGTCTTCTGCGACAACGCCATGGACATGATTATGGATCTGTGGCCCAAGCCCGGAGCGGAAGAAAAAGCCCGCGCCGTCAAGTCCGCCATGAAGGAGCTCAACAAGGTCGGCTTGGTGGGCATGCACGACGCCGGCGTCACTGCGGAAAATGCCAGGCTGTATTCGGAACTGGCTTCTTCGTCTCCGGACTGGACGGTTCGCGTGTATGGCATGCTGGAGTGCGACAAGAGAAACACGTTTTGCCCAGAGGACGCTCCCATGTTGTCTGATCAAGACGCCAAGTTTACACTGAGGAGCGTCAAACTGTTTGCCGGTAAGTTGGCTATAACGAAAGCATCCATATGAACATATAAACTTATGCTAATCTTTCTCCCTTTTCAAAGACGGAGCCCTCGGAAGCTGGGGCAGCGCCATGCTCGATCCTTACGCTGACCACCCCTGGACATCCGGCTCCCTCCTCATCAACGCCTCCGCCCTCACCCAAGTCACCAAATCCTGGGCCAGCAAAGGCTTCCAAGTCAACATCCACGCCATCGGCGATCTCGCCAACCGCAACGCCATCGACGCCTTCCAAGCAGCCCTCGAGCAGCAATGCCTCGACGAAAGAGGAGACAGCGACGCTCTCCTCCTCGCCGGGTGCCAGTCCAGACACCACCGCTTCCGCATCGAACACGCCCAAATCATCCACCCAGACGACCAGAAGCGCATCCGCGCGCTGGGCATCATCCCGTCCATCCAGCCCACCCACGCAACCTCCGACATGAGGTACGCCGAGCAACGACTCGGCCCCGAGCGCACCAGCAGCGAAGCCTATCGCATGAAGACTCTTCTCGACATCAACCCCGTGCTTGGTAGTGATTTCCCCGTCGAGCCACCAAACCCTTTTCAAGGAATCTACGCAGCCATGACGAGGAAGAATCCACAGACGGGACTTGGACCGGACCCAGAAAACCCTTCTCGGGGATGGCACACAGAAGAGACTCTTAGCTTGGATGAAGCTCTTCTGGGATTCACGCGGAATGCTGCCTATGGAGCCTTCTTGGAGCATAGCGCGGGCATCATCAGACAAGGCTCATTTGCGGATTGGGTTGTGCTTGATGAGCCGCTAGAAGACATGGACGTCGAGAAGCTGCGGACTCTCAAAGTAAAAGAGACTTGGGTGGGAGGTAGAAAGGTGTATTCGCGGGATGAACGGGATTAACAGCCATGTTATTAGGTGCAACGCCAACTGAATGCGTCCTAACAATATTCATGATTCTGGATTTTAAAGTCCCAGGACTAGCGTTTCGAAATGGGAACGTATTGATTTTTTTATTTTTTTATTTATTTTATTTTATTTCTTTGTACATCTGAGAAGATGCTGCAACTGTGCAGATCAGAAATTATTGACGTTCAAACGGCTGTATAGAGACAATATGGATTCCAAGATTTAGATTTCGATATTGTTCATAACGAACTAGAAGAGAGAAAATGAAAAGATTGAAAGAGAAGAAAAGAAAAAACCCGCTATAAACGCCATCTAATTGCCAATCCTTAGTTCATGCATACTAAACAAAGAAGCCGCTTGCCCTCTCCGTACTTGTCCGCCTCTTCTGCCTCTTATGCTTTGACAATCACCTTGCTCTCGAACCATTTGGCAAACTTGACAGTGGGAATATCAACTGCCCTCCAAAACACATCTGCCCACCACACCACGGTGGGAATGCAGAAGCACGCACCCAGGACGAATCCAGCATTAAACCAGTATCCTTCCACTCCAGTCACACCGTATGCCCACTTCTCGAAATGGTAGCCAACAACGTGCATGGCAGGTCCGTGCATGAGGTAAAGGGCATATGAGATCTTGCCAAAGTATTGGACCACTGGCAGGTTGAAAAAGCGCTGCCATCGAGGCGAGTGATTCGCCGCAATGATGAAAATGACAGCACCCGTCGATTGCCAGTAGCGGTATCTTTCCTCCTTCCACCACTTGGGAATGAGGGACGAGAGCCATATCCATCCAGGAGTGATTTCACCTCGGCCATCCGGCTGGCACATCAAGTACAAGCCAAGGATGCTGAAGAGAGCCCAGAAGATGGGCCAAAGCTTAGCCTTGGTTGTCCGTGACTTTTCGTCCATTGGCAAAGCTGGATTGGGCGTTGGGACATGCGCACCACGAATGTGGTCATTCTCTGCAATGAGCATTCCAACAAAGAACAATACCAGCTCCCACCGGCTATTGCGGTATGAAATCCACATGACCAAAGCAACTGTGAGCCAGCGGACAGACGTGCGTAGGCGGGCCGTGCCGATGATGGTGAGGAAGAGATAGAGCGAGCATCGAAACTCGACGGGAATCGTCCACAAATGAACATCGTAAGCTACGTAGCAGAAGCATGTTAGTACCCAACTTGCGGTTACAAATGGTAATTGATCAGCTGAAACTTACAAGTACTTCCACCGAATTTATCCCAGCTAAACACCTGAATAAACCTAAACATGTGCAAGAGCCAATCCTTGTACTGAGCCAAAGCGTGCTCCATGCGAGCCGGATGGGGCTCTACGATATTCTTCATGTACTTCTTATCGTTGGCAAAGTCACGAGTCCACTCGTAGGCGCCGATTCGCAAGAGGCAAATGATCATAAAGGTCGAGATGGCCGTGGGTATATACAAACGGAGGCCGCGTCGAAAGATTAAAGAGCTCATGGTGTTGGAAAAGTCGGGCCATGCTCCATTTCGAATCAACTTCATAGGTCGGTATGAGAGCGCATATCCAGAAATAACAAAGAAGACACAGACGGCGGGAGGCCCCTGGTACCAGAGACGCAGGAACGGCAGCTTGAGGATGTGGTAGTTTGTCTCGCCGCAGCCCCATCCCTCGGCAATAGTGAATGCCTGGTAAAAGTAATGACAAAAGAAGACGACCAACGCTGCCAGGCCACGCATGCCATCAAGATACGCCGTTGGAGCCAGCTTGGCCGGGCATATCTGCTCTCGAGCATGGCGGCCTTGCAAGAAACTGGGTATCAGAAAAGTAAGAAAGCGAACAATGAGAATCCGCCACGGCGTCGATCGAATGAAGCCAAATGGTGCCTTGAGGGTATCGGCAGAAGGGCTAAGAATGCCAAGTTGAAAGCGACTGTCGGCGAGGGATAGGGATGGAGTCGTGGCGATACCGGCGCCAGTTACGGTGCCCGAGCTGCTGTCACTAGTATCAGTTGCAGCATCTGAGCCCCGTCTCTCATCCAGCAAGCCCATCTTTTCTTCTTTTGATGGCGAATAGTTGGGAGAAGTGTGTTTGTTCATTGCACAGCAATGAGACAAGTAGAGCTTTTTGCTCTTTATGCGTCAAGGAGCAGACAAGTAAATCCAGAGACGATGTATTTGGCAGAAATTCAGAGGCACCGAGTCTGCAGAGAATGAGTGGCTGATGGAGCGAGCGGTGCGAGCTTTCCTCGACTCATTAATCCGTACGTGTATACTCGCACAATCTTGGTCAAACGAAGGAACACCGAAAGGCAAACAGAGGACCGGAGTCAACAAAAGGAAGGATGCGACCGGTGAGAGAAAACAAGGCAAGCGTTTAGGAGGGACGAGAGAGAAGAGATTCAATCTCTCTCTTTGCCATCAACTTCCCTTGGGACAGATGAGAAGGCGAAATGGACAAAAGCAGGATGGAGATAAAGAAAGACAGGACGGAGGAGGAAAGGAGAAGCAAAAAGCAAAGATGTCAAAGGACAGACGAGAAACGAGAAGAATGAAGAATAGCGACAGAATGGGAAATGCCCCTTGATGGGCTCCAGAAGCAGGAGCATCAATCAGTCATTCTTTGCCTGGAGATCCGTGTGAGGTCACGCCTTCCGCACGCTGGTTTCGGAAGTCCACAATTATTCGAGGCTTGCAGCGATAGCTGAGGCATGGGCGCCCCAGTGTCCACCTTCCACTGTAGGTCACTGGCTCTATGAGTGTGATTGCAGTGGTCCATGGAGAAAAAGGCCCAAAGGAGGCTTGAAAAGGTTTTAGGAAGCGGCCGTCGATCGCCATTAGGCGCAAAGTTACGTTTAAATCTTACTTGTATCAGCGTCCGTGCATGCCGGCAGACATGTCTGGATCGACAGGCTGATTGTACAAACCGAGAGACGTCGGAATTAGACAATAAACAAGAGTCAAGAGCTAAAAGTGCTAGAGAGATGCTAAAATGCAAAGCACGCGGCGATACTGTAGAGCACGGCTTGTTGTTGCATCGTGTGATTGCTTCCTTTTTTGTCCGTGGCGGGCATCCGAAAAGGGTCAGCCGAGAAATCAAGATCTACGCCTCGCATCTTGGCCAAGACGGCTTCCCTGCCGGCAGTGGGACTCGAGCAGCGCAGCACAGCGTCATTGTTCCACCGCTGTCACAGAGTATAGCCGTTTGCCCTCCAATTCACCACCGTCAAACTTCAACTCGCAGCCTGCGCCGTCTCAACTCTAATGCAATACCCGGACTGCTTCATCTGAACATTGACAAGGCCCCCAAAATGGGCAAATGGGTGGGCGGTGGTGCCAGAAATACTGAGCATTAATGATGCCTCTCCACCTGGCTCGCCAGCTCTGTAGATCGGTACGCTATTGAGCTCTGCTCGCATTTTCGCTGCGCTATCCCTTCCTAAATGGTAGAAGCAAACATCCTAGGCCGAAGGAGCAGGAACCTGCAGAGGCATTGCCACTGGCTCCCCTATTTTTCTCATCTTCTAGACTATATAGTATGTATTTTACGAGACCGCTCTTCAGACAGCCCCGACACTGCAGAGTCTCCAAAATCTCTGCTGCAGCCTCTCCTCCCACCAAGAAGCAGCAAAACCTCCTGCAACCACCGACCTTTGCCGCCATCCATCCACCCACCCAAAACTGTAAAACATTCCATCTTTCCGCTACTCCATGCACGCCGCCGGGCAGAAAAGCTTGTTTGATCGCCCTGGCCAGGTCCAAATATAGCTGCCGGCCTGCCGCGCTGATTGGCTCGCCGGCATGTGCTAGCGAGAAGCTCGCCATGGCCTCACACCCTGCCACGAGCTCCAGCAAAAACTCCCCTCCAGAAGCTGCTGTCCCTGGAAAAACCCCTGGACCCACGGCGGATCGCGCTGCCCAGCTCCCTATCACGGCGACGAACCAGCGGTCCGTCGTCTGACTTAAACGCTGGCTGATTGCGGCCTTCTCCGTACAGTATTGTCTTACTGTATCTAGTCAGCGCCGTATTTTACATTGGGCCTGACTTTTGTCCCTGCATTTGCATCATCATCTCTCTCGACCTGTCGCTGCGGCTTGATGATGATTGAAACCTGCAGCAATGGCTGAGCTGAGTCTTGGAAAGCGTCTGTTGCCAGTTCAAGGAGCTGAAAGCAACAAAGTCCAGAACAGACCAGGAACATTGTCACTCTAGACCTTCCTACCTACCTATGTATGTACCTACCTAATACCGAATGGCCAACTACAGGTAAGCACTTTTACAAATGCAGCAAAGAGCATTTTGTGACTGGAAAATGTATCAAAAGATGGAATGATTAATAAACCAAGGGTTGCCGACATCAATGTATTGTCAACATCTCTACCGGTAAGAATGGACATGTAATTACATCTCTCTTGTGGAGGCCTAGTGCTCAATAACGACTTGATGCAGATACCGGACACATGAAGAGGGCAAGTTGTATTCGAATCCAAGGCCATGACAACACTACATTACTGGCATCCAGTACGTACACGGCAATGCCTGTAAAGCTTAGAGCTGTCCAAATTTCGGGATACAGATACGTCAAAAGTAAAAAAAATGCGTGTTAATCCAACGAGTGGTATTAAGGGCTTTTATAATAGAAATAACCCTATAAGCCATCACAACCTCATACGTCTCTCAATCATCCTCAATCTTGAGGCCCATCCCCAAGCTTTTGTCCAACTTCACAGCCAATCTGGCCAAGCAAAGCCGTTCCAACATCCTCACAGCCATCTATCGCCAGTAGCAGCCCCAGTCATAGGCGCCGCCTCCCTGAGGGTCCGCGTAGGCGGCATTGCCATAAGTCTGGGAGCAGTACGCGTCCACGTTGATGGACTTGGAGTTGCCGCTGCCATCGACGCAGGTCTAGTCATTGGCACTGCTTCCGTTAAGCTGGGCGGTCCATCCGCCGCCGTACTGCTCGCTGCAGGCTTGCTCCATGTCGACGCTGCTGGCCCAGGTGCGTCACATCCCGCAGGATGGGATAAGGTAAAAATTGCAATTAAACAAAGTATAAAGGGCTGACCAAGACAAAGTTAAAAAAAGAACAATAAGGAGAGGAAGAAACACTATCTGAATAGGAAATTGTAATCCTCATACTATGTATCACCAGATGCCTATTTGGAGGATGTTAAAAAGGTAATACAGAATTCAATAGTCCCGTAGATCATATACAAAATAAACAGTTTCAAATCCTATAATCCCAGAGGATCAGGTGCGCCACCTCCCGCAGGATGGGATAATATAAAACTTGTAATTAAATTGAGGATAAGAGGCTAGCTAATATAAAATTAAAAAAAAAAAGAATAATAAGGAAAAGAAGAAATACCATCTAAATAGGATACCGTGATCCTTATACTATGTATCACCGGATGCCTATTTGGAGGATAGTCGCATTGGAAAGGTGCTGTGGAAGTCAATAGTCTCGTAGACAGTATACCAAATAGATAGTTTCAAGAGCGAAAAGATTACGAAATAGTCTGAATCTACTATCGCAAGCGAGCATTTCACAGGCATCGCGGCTTACTTTGAGCTGAGGCCATGGCCAAGAAACGAATTATAATGAGTTGGTGACATGGTCAGCTGCTTGATTGTTTGCCACGTCTTTGGCTAATGTTCCCAGCCCGGCAGCGCTGAGCAAAAGTCCCTTGGATCGAACAACGTGTATTGGTTAAATTACGATGTTATGCAAATCCCCATATTCTTTGTAACTAGACATCATTTAATTATATATAGATTATAAGCAATCCGTCTTGTAAGCGACGCCACGCATCACCTTTTCAGGGCATTCTATATGCATGTTACCGTCCAGCCCGTACCAAAAGTCCCGGGTTCTCCTCACTATCGTATTTCCTAGCATCAATGCCTCTCTGCACCGCCGGCCTAGCCTCTATCCTTTCAATCCACCGCAGAAGATGGGGAAACTTTGGCCGCATATCATCCTCCGAGAAGCCCAGGGCGCGGTAGCCTCGAACATGGGGCCAAGTGCCCATGTCAGCCATCGTATACTTGCCGATGCCGTCACCGGCTAGATATTCGCGAGGCGTTGCGGATGCCCCATGCTGTCCGCTGAGATGGGCTTCGAGCACGGAATATATGCGGAGCATTGCCTTTTGGAAGTACTCTGCCGCATCTACAAGTTTCACTATTCAGCGTTGACATCTTTTTCGTATGCTACCGATACATTAGAGTAGAAAAGGTGGGAATGCTTACAAGGTATAGGCTCTTGGACCCCCTTGATGAAATGTCTGCCGTGTCCTTGCACCGGAGCAGACGAGTGCCAGAAGAACAGCCACTGCATTACTTGGCTTCGCTCGGATGCAGAAGTGAATCCAAACAAATTGTTCTGGTCATAATTTTCTTGCAGGTAGGTGAGTATTGCTTGGCTTTCCATGATGGAGATGACTGAGCCTCCTTCAGACCTATCCAGAAGGACCGGAATTCTCCCTATATGACCAGGATTAGAGCTTTTAGCATCTTTATAAAAATATGCATCAGCGGATTAGGAAGGATGTGTAAAATGCTACCATTTGGGTTCAAACGAAGGAACCAGCTCTTCTTCTGTTCATCCGTCTCGAGATCGATGAGGTGGGTAGCCCATGAAGTTCCGTAAGCGTCATGGAGCTCTTCCAGAAGAATCTGCACCTTTTTGCCATTTGGGGTGTTCTCTGTTAAAAGTTGAAGAGCGTGCTGGTCGAGGGATAAGATGGCAATTTAGCATCTGAGTTGAGGGGCTGTAGCTTCAACAAGGTGAAGTCGCAGAAGGGAACGCCGTGGAAGCTCACCTTGGACTCTTTCAGTTGTCTGGGAGTGTCTGCAGTATACTCCATTTCCATATTGTACTAGGATCTCTTATTGCTCAATATAAAAAAAAAAAAAAAAAAGTCTTTCTAAGCCTAATGTTCTAATCATGGAGAGAGGAGAGCATAGAGAGAAGCGCCACGTTTCATGAGAGTTGTCGCATGCAAAGTGTCCAGTTCACCATTTAGCACCATCCTTGACTCATTCGGCGAATCCTTCCAAGGACCCTCCCCCGCGTTGGTATAAGTGCCGTTGACGACCAGAAATCTCGGCACTTGCCGTAGTTATAGGTACGAAGTACTTTGCTACGCAGCTACCTTTATATCAAATATTGCCTCTTTTGGCGATGCTCCGCTCAATGGTAGGTCATATATGCACGATGCGCGATCCAAGCGGCTGTGATTAGCACGAGTTTTAGGTACCTATTCAACCAATTAGATGCGGGAGTATTGATCCATGGATATCATAAGTTTTGAAATGCAGGCAACTTCATCAGATTGCATGCAAGTACGAATACTAGTACTGCTCACAAATCTTATACACACCGTTGGCCGCTCATACATGCTGTTGGCCGCATATACACCTCGGCACGCCTCGGCACTGTCCAAATTGGAAAGAACTTCATATAGCCAACAGCCGCTCTCTCCATAAGCCTCGGTAACCCTCTTTTCTGACCACAAATCTCAATGAGAATAGGGATGCAAGCAAAATGAACCGAGGAGCAGTGGAGACGTTTTCTAAGGTGAATTAGGGGAGGATACATTTCGAGATCCGCATCACCGCTATCCGCCTTACTTTTAGCGTGTGGCGCGAGTCGAGAGCTGAACAAGCTCTCCGCTTTGCTTTTGGTATATAGGTATATGTATATCCATATTCATCGATGCCAACTATTAAACAGCTTCTAGTCGTCATAAAATTCGTCTATTTTTGTCGTCTAGTGTACGATAGTTTTACAGTGCCTTTCTTCAACATGAGCATCACTCACCTCATTCTCGTTGCTTTCAAGCCCGAAGCCGAAGCCGAGGCCGTCAGAAAGGTTCGAAATTTGGCAAAAATCACCAACCAGCGCCCCCCTCTGGAGAGAAATATTCTTGAAAGTATGAACAAGATTAAATGCTAATTGAGAAACTCTCTTCAGGTCTGCTCAGGCGTTCTGGCTCTCAAAGACAACTGCCTCACTGCAGACACTAAAACTCCCTACATCAAGTCTATAACTGGTGGAATCAACAGCTCTCCCGAGGGATTCACTGTGCGTTTTAAAATCTTTGTATAACATAATAGAGAGAGAGAAAGCTAACAGACTCAATTGCATCCAAAGAATGGTTATACTTATGCTTTTGTTGTCGAATTCAACTCTACCGAGGATAGAGACTACTACGTCAAGCAGGACACTGCTCACCGAAGCTTGGTGGACGGCGCGCTGCCTTATATCCAGCAGCTTTGCATTGTGGATTACACGCCTGGCGTGTTCTAGTTTGCGAGAGTAGCGATAGAATCATAATTGAGTTGAAATTCTGCGGAAAGAGACTTTCGTTTCCAGTCAATCAAATACTGTAACTGATTAGGGACGAAACATGCACTTGTACCGTTGAGATCCAACATCTCGGCTCTTCCAATAGAGACACAGAGGCAGGCCCAAAGTTGTCACAGATGCAATTCTAGGTCTTGGAGAGAATGTTTATTAGAAAACAGTGTGATTATACATGAAATTCATATGTCCTTGACAAAATTATGTCCTCGCTCTAAAAAACAAAATGCGTACAGAAATGTTACAAATCCCTTTTTTGTTCAAAATATCAACACAAGAAAACGCCCGCCTGCTCTTTCTACCCTGGTATTTATATTGTCTTTTTCCACATTAAACCCCGTCATGAACTGTCCTTTTTTTTTTTCTCGCTTCGATTATGATTTAGTTGTCTAGCCAGTCGAGAAAGTTGGGGGTGAAATAGCTGATGACAATGGTTGCGCCAGCTCGGAGGATGCTCTCTGTTGACTCAAAAGCCATCGTCTTAAGATCAAAGACACCGGCTTTGGCAGCGGCGTGAATCATAGAGTACTCGCCACTGACTTGGTAGGCAGCGATGGGCAGGTCCTTGCCCAGCTCCTTGGCATCGCTGATAACGTCGAGATACTGACCGGCGGGCTTCACCATGATGATGTCGGCGCCCTCGTTCATATCACGAATGATGGCTCGGCGAGCAAGGCCGCGGCCTCCGGGGGGAAGCTGGTAGCATCGGCGGTCACCAAAGGACGGGGCGGAGCCGGCTGCGTCTCGGAAGGGTCCGTACAGACAGCCAGAGAACTTGGCAGAGTACGACATGAGCAGGGTCTTGTGAGCAATCCCCTCCTCGATCAACTTGAGCTTGATAGCACGGATACGGCCATCATTCATGTCAGAAGGCGCAACGCAGTGTGCTCCAGCCTTGGCATAGGCAAGGGCAACATCGGAAATGCGATCAACGGACATTTGGTTGTTCAGGCTGCTGTCGTCCCGCAGGATACCGCAGTGGCCGTGCGAAGTATACTCGCAGAGGCAGACATCGGCGCAGATGAAGAGCTGAGGGAAACGGCGAAGGATGAGTTGAATGGCCTGGATAACAGGGCCCTCGGGATCGTCAGCTGAGCTGCCCAGAATGTCCTTGGAGCCGGGCTTCTGGGGAACACCAAACAGCATGACGGATCGCAGGCCCTTGTGGACAAGAGGCTCGAGGAAGGCCGTCAGCCTGTCGATGCTGACCTGGTACTGGCCAGGAAGAGAGGGCACATGGATCATGTCATCTTCGCCATCAGTGACAAAGATGGGGTAAATGAGCATAGACTGCAGCGTTACACAGTCAGTAACAGTCAAGGGCAGAGCCAGCATTCAGCATATAAGCGTACCTTTGTCAGCTGGCGTTCGGCCTGCCAGGACCGGGCCAGAGGGTGGAAGTATCCTCCATGCAGCTGGCTTCCAATGTCTCCGGAGATGCTCACGCTGGTGGCGGCCGTGCTGGCGTATCCAGACATGGTGCGAGAGACATGCGATGCGCGGTCGTCGAAAGTCGAGACTGACGGGGTAGGGCCCGGGCGGCGAGGGGCGTTGGGGTCTCGAAGACTGAGTTCCTGGACGAGGCTGGAGAAGGACATGATGGGCGATGGAATTGGCGTCAATTGAACGGCCGGGTGTCCTGTCTTTTTGAGGGGAAAAGTGGCGGGTCGTGATGGCTAGCGGTGGGACCCGGAGAAGTTCGAAATTCGAATTGCGTTAACGGCAAAAGAAAATAGATGCGAGTCTGCAAAACCCCAATGGAGGGATGAAAGGTTCTTGTTTGAGGCAATATCGACAATTCCCAGTGTATATAGAAACGGAGGAAAACTCCAGCACAAAAGCCACAAGCCAAGATTGTTGAAGATGGACAAAAGAGAAAGACAGTTAAGAGACGAGGCGAAAAGGCGCAAGTCGAAAAAAGTTTTGGGGGATGTAGTCAGACTTTTGTCGTGTGCAGCGGCGTGCTCCGCGGAGAGAACCAGAAAAACTTCTGGAACAGCCTCGGATGGCGCGCCAATCAGCGAGGGGCGTTTTACAATTACCTGCGCCGAGGCCGTTTTAGCGCTGCTTGTTAGTACCTGCTTAGGGGCTTACCGCTGCAATGGGGGGCTGTCCCGCAGGAGTCGATTGCATCTCACAGAAGGATCTGCCGCTGGCCAGTAATTGTCATCTATTGATGCCAAATTACCTCTCTAGGATTCCAGCACAGCGAATCCTGCAGTTCCTGAATACTTGCACGCACTCTGATAGTACACGCAAAACCGGCAGAATCCAAAACGCACGCAAAACACTCCAATCCCTCCCTCCAACTCCAGCGCTCCATAATAGCGCGCCGCCCTTGACGCACTGAAACTTCTTACCGGCACGCCGGTCTCTGCACAATCCCAGGGTCCTCCGGTTGCCGGTGCTTTCAATTCCCCCACCAAGACTACGGGAATACTCGTAGCCAAAAGGCCAGCGGGCGTCATCCCAGTCCCAGCCGGGCTCAGCTGCCGGGATTCGCTCGGGAAGCTGCTCTTCGCCATCCGCCGAGGAATCCCAGTGCCGCTCAGCTTCAGCGCCAAGGGTATTTGCTGCAGCACGTACATAATACGGCGTATCTAGCGGCCCGCCGGACGATTCATCGTCGTCACTCCCGCGGGTGGCCAGTCCTAAACAGGGCAAAACAGCATGGAATATTAAACAACACAAATACTAGTACCATGTATGTTGTAATAATAGGTACATGTGATCCAAATAGGACGGGCAGCTGCTAAGCAATGGAGTAATTGCTCGGCGTCTCCTCCCCTTCGGTTCATCTGCCCTCAATACGCTCTGCACCCTGCTCTTCACTCCCGCAGCCTAGGCAATTCCTCGCTCCACATTTAGAAGCCTAGGCTCGCTTTCCGGTGGGTTATGAGTTTTGCTGGGAAAAATCATACCATGTGCTCTGGCACGAGACGATGAGTAATTCGCTGCGAGGCCAATCAAAGGCACGGGCGTATTACTCGCACATATACGTTACATACGCTAGGTATTTGCGATGCAATTGCTGGTCTCAAGCGTATTACCAAGTATTCGTCTTCGTATAGATACGCCTTATCTGATGCCCGGCAATCTACAGCATAGTATATCGCTACAAAGAACAGAACAGTAATACTCGTTTTTGTTTCAGATGCTCATAACAGTAGAGGATGTAGTAATACATTATAACGTCTATCTGTGCGCCATACACAAAGATGCATGGATGTTCACAGCCTGGTCAAGCCGTCCGGTGGAAAGGCCATGTTCAGGTTCACCTTTTTTTGTTGGTTTCGCCGCCCTCGTTCCTCCCTTGGATCTCCCTTGGATCCATCTCCCTTAAATCTCCATTGGGTCCTCTTATAATCCTCGCAGGACAGTGTTATCTCGTTGGTCCATAGGAATATACCTCTCCTTGAGAATCTCTGCCGTTGTCCGTGTCTCTTTCGAAGGCTTCTCGTATCGTTGTCTCAGAGCCTGTTGCACAGGGCTCAGCCGTGGCTTCGCCTTGTCGCCCGCCATCTCTTCCACCTGCGCCTCAGCCAGGCCAACAGCCGTCTTGGCCCTGCCCACAACCTCCTTTGCCTTTTCCCGACCCTTCTCCAGGGTCGTGCTGACAATGTCCTTGGCCTCCGCTGCGGTCTCCTCAATGAACTTTTTACTCCTCAGCCTCGCGTCCAGAGCCCTGTTCTCGGCATTCATCTCAATGATCTCTGCTGTTTCCTTGACCTGACCGAAAGCTCCTCTTGTAGCAGCGGCAATCTCGCCACCGGCCTTGTTCTGCTGCGTCCTCTTGACAGGCTCGAGAGAGCGCCTTGCCTTTAGCACCTCCTCCACAGACTGGCCCGTTGCCTTTGCGTATAGGTATGCAATCCTGCTCTCCAAGCCCTCCCGCACCTCGTCCCAGTCCGTGTGCTGCGCCCAGCGCACGGCGTTTTCAACCTCCGAGTTCCATCGGTTCTTGGCGACCTCGACGGCAGCTTCTCGCTGCGCGGCGGCGACTTCGGATCGGGTGGGGGGAAGCGGCTGCGGGATCGGGTCGATGAGATGCTGGATCATGAGCGTCTGGGCGCGAATCGATCTGCTTTGGGTTTCGCGATTGCGCTGGTGCGCGAGGACGGAGAGGTAGGCGAGCGAAAGGGTGAGCGTCACGCCACCGGTCTAGATTAGAAGTTGCTGTCAGCCTTTTGCATCGTAGAATTGAGCCGTGAAAAGAAATGCCCAGAGTGTAGAGACAAAACTTACAAAGCCGGTTGCGAAGCCCATGTTGGCAAAGATGGGAAACTACACGCTTTGTTGTAGAAGGAGAGAGATATTATTTCCCGGGAGGTGATTTCCGATCCAAGGCTATTAGCTTTCCGTTAAAAGAGCCCCCCCTATGCGCAGCTTCGCATACTGCAATTGAGCTTCCGCACAATTCCCAGCAGAAGCAAAAACTGCGTAGCTTAACCCAGGGCCAAAACTGATTGAATTAATTTTTTTTTTTCTGTTGAAAAAGAGTGACGATGTTGGAAAAAGCTCTTGACGTAGCTCCGGCTGGCAGTTCCAAAAATGGCCCGAGATTCGCCGCCACCAAAAATTCACACTACCGCAGAAAAAATTACAGCCAACCAGATGGCAGCCCGCCACGAAAGGCTTCAAACCTGCAGCGAGACATTCCAAAGCCTTGTCCAGCACAGCAACAGTGCCTACAACCCGAAAAGAACAGCCAAAGAAAGAATAACGGCTATTTGTTTAATCGAATAACCCTTTCAACGCCAGAACCCTCAATTGCTACATCAGACATCAGACTTCTGCCATGGCGGGTGGTCTCGTCAAGTACCGGCATTTGAGCCGCAAATCGTCCGCCAGACAAGCTCTGCTGCGCGGCCTCGTCACGCAGCTCGTCCAATATGAACACATCCAGACCACATACGCAAAGGCCAAGGAGACGCAGCGCCTGGCGGACAAGCTAATAACGCTGGCCAAGAGGAACAATGAGCCGTGCAGGAGATCAGCGCAGGGTATTCTTTATGTCAGTTCAAAATGTCCTTGAGGCCTGCATTACTTTAAGAAAACAATTTAGCTAATAAATGGATATTTGTATAGACCCCCGATAGGCTCCTACCCAAGCTCTTTGGCGAACTCCGAAGTCGATACCTGGCCCGCGAAGGCGGCTACACGCGCGTCGTCCGCACCGAGTCCAAGAACACATACGACCAGGGCGAGAGCGCAATCCTCGAATTCGTCGACGGCAAGAAGGACTCGCGCTTCATGATGACGGCCAAGACGCTCGCGCGGGACCGCCTGCTGGGACGGCAGTCGACGCCGGTTACTCTTCAAAACGTGAAGAAGGTGACCAAGTTCCGGGACGAGCATGAGCTGGAGGAGATGGTGCAGAAGTTTATGATCTTGAGCACCGAGGGCGAGAGTGCGCTGGAGTCAAGCCCCCAGGAGGATGAGAGTGTTGAGTCAGCCAAGTTTGCTGAGAAGGAGGGTGCTGCTGCGGAGGCCATGGCGGGAGATATTGTGCCTAAAAGCGTAAAGTCTGGCAAGCCGGTTGAGGAAGCAAAGAGGTGAGAATGATTGTATGATGAGGTATGAAAAAATGATGGATCAAAACACCATGGAGAGAAGACAGGGGGGGAAAGTGAAACTATCTAGAATTTCCGGTGCGGTCTTCCGTTGAGCAATAGATGCACCATGTACAACACAGCATATATATATATAAATATCCATTTTATGTCTACCAATGATGGAATGTCTGCCTAATATATACTAGAGATCCAATACGCCGAATTTTGTGATATTACGCCGGCCACTTCCATCATGCTTGCGCCCGAAAAGCGTATTCTACACAAAATCAAAGGTATCACCACGATCCTGAATCATCTTCCCTACTCTCTTCGACCCTGCCACCCTCTCCAACTTCATCACATCGTATTTCGAAAATATCGCCCGCACAGTCCCCTGCCCAGGCTCAATCTTCATGTCCTTCTCGCTCTTGGCCAGGTACCCGCCCGCAATCTCCTTATAGAAGATGGGATTGTCCGGCAGCCCGTAGAAGACGACTCTCTGCACCCCGCTGAACTGATACCGTCGGAAGTGGTGTGCTCTTTCGGTGTAGAGCAAGACCTTGTGTCGGCCGGTTAAGAAGTGGGATCGAGCTCGGGAAGCTTCTCGAACTTCCGTGTACTCGGATATCACGCCAAAGGTGAGGCTGAAGACTTCGTCGGCGGTAGCGAAATAGTTCCTCACGCGAACAAAGTCAAGATACGAGGGGATGAATATGAGGGTCCCGCTAGTATCTTTGGATCGCTTCACCAGAGAAGGAATAATGGTAGAAGTGAAGTATTCGAATCTGGCTTCGGGATCCTTTTCCACGGCGTTTGATTGAAATCGAGCAAACGTCTGCTTGATCTTGACACCCAGTTGTCCAAGAACGCCAGGGTACTCCGGCTGGAGTCGAACTCTTCCAGCCCAGTTATGGCAGTATACTCTTTGCAGCTCTGCCAACTCGGGGGTGTTGAAGGCAGATAGAATCACCGTCTGCCTGTAGTATTTTGCCTCGTCTTCCAGATACCAATTGCGGACGCGGCTGAAATCACAGTCATGCGCATCCTTGGGCTGAAGGTTGAGGTGCTCAAAGATGTGCTCAACGTGCTCCCAGTTCTGCATCAACAGAGCATCTGCCTGGTCCATGACAACCATCTCAATGGAACTGAGAAAGTCAAAATCGGGCTTCTTCTTCTCCTCCTCGGACCCCATAGCCATACGCAGGCCAAGAGGACTAGCGAAAAGGATATCAGAGCTATAGAACTGCGCAAAATACTTGATCGTCTTGCGTGTAAACTTGATGCCGATGCGGAACATGTCGTCGTCATTACCACCAAACAGCTCCTTGAAATCGGCAGGCCGATCAGCACCAAAGGCTTCGTCGCTCTCAGCGTAAGATTCATTGAAACGCTTAAAATTCTCTTGTTGGTCTGGTTCAATCAAGTCCTGGATCACCTTCATAATCTGGGCGCATGAGTTCCGGGTTGGTAGAAGAAACAGGACCTTGGGTCTTGTGAAGCCTTGGTCTCGGAGTTCAAGTTCCGCATCATCGCCAGCCTTTGAAAGTTTATAGTTGTTCTTGATTACTCTGTCTCGAGTCCTGTAATGATAATTAGCATAATAGTCTCTCAGATTCGCCAGGTTTAATCCTACTTGAAGATGTGGTTCAGCGCATGGAGGCAGACTGTCTGTCGCATTTTGTGAGAGTTCTCCACAGACCGGTCGCAATACAAGATGTCCTTGTAACCGAATAATAAAGGTGCAAGTGCCTTTTGGGCTGTATCCAGATTGCTCATCTTCTCCTTTGCTGTTTCTCGCAGCTTCTGCTTAAGTTTCAGCCCACCAAGTCCCGATATTGGCTGCGGAATGGGATCAGTGCTGTTGGTATCAGGAGAGACCACAACTGCTCTCCAAGGCTGTATCATAGCCCGACTTGTAGCCCATTCTCCCTTCTTCGCCGCTGTTACCGCTGGCGCACTTATTTGTTGGTCTGGATTGGCGAAATGGGCGTCAAACGGATCCGTGGCATCAATCTCGTCGTCTGAGTCGTCTGCAGCATCTTCAACGCCTCCAGTCTGGTCTTCTTCTCCTCCCCCCTCTTCCTCGTCAGCTTCGTCAATATCCTCTCGCTTGGAATTCGATTCTTCCTCCTCCTCGTCTTCTGACTGCTCCTGCGCGGGGCTTGGGCTTGGGCTCCGGCTTGAGGGTTCGGCGTGTGAAATCTTTCTCCGTTTGGCGCTCGGCGCACTTGATGCGCTCGAATCGTGGAATTTCTGCATCAGTGCCATGTATGGGCGTGCGGTAGCCTGCTGCTCGTCGTCATCTGAGGCTACATCGTTGAGCGCCCCGTATTCCACGTCTGAGGCGTCTGATCCAGATCCGCTCTCACTATAGCCAATGGGAAAAAAGTCTTGTCAGTTACACATGTAGACAAACCAATGATTCAGGTATTAGGCTGAGAATGAATGACATACTCCTCTTCTTCGCCATTTTCAGCCAGCCGAGCACCATCAAATTTTCTGTCTGGGCCCCATCGACTGAACTGCTTGCCTCTGCCTCCTCTGCCTCTGCCTCTTGCTCCACCTCTTGATCCGCGACCTCTGAAACTTCCACCTCTTGGGCCACCTCTGGAGCCACCTCTTGAGCCGCGGCCTCTAAAGTTTCCGCCTCCTCTTGGGCCTGCCATGGCAAAGAATCGCAAAGAATCAAAATTGACTGCAAAAGCCAATGCACAAACGCTCTCTCAAGGAAGCGAACGACACCACAAGGCAAGGTAGGGAAAAAAGGAAAAAAGTTGGATTGAAGCTATCAGCCTTGCATGAAATTATGGGCCTTCTTCACCAGCCACACTATGGTGGGGTAAAACTGCGTCTGCGCCACGCAGCCTTATCGCAAAGCAGCGCATTGCCAATTTTAGTGCGCACAACCCCAGCACCGCCCGCCAAAACCGTAAATCACAAAATCGGCGAAATTTAGAGGACCATCGTAGAGGTGTGAAAAAAAGAGACGAAAGAACACCACGCCAAAACTTCCAAGCCGGAGCCACTCTTTTTTTTTCCTTCCCCCCTTCCCCTTCCCCCCCACTCTTCGATCTTTTTACATCCTAGAAGTCGAAAAAGAAAAACTAGTCCTTCGACATCTCTTTACGTTGTCGAGACATTTTTTTTCTTTTCGCCCAGTATGGCTGCCGCAACGGAACGGTTTTTGCACCTCGCTCGCCCGCTGGCTCACACCAACGTCGGGCTCCAGACGAACATTGCCCCGCTCTCTGTCCAGATCCAACCCCAGGTATATATGATCCTGCCACGATAATAGAGCGTCTGCGGAAGAGGTCTTTTAGTGTGGAGGAATGCAAAAGGGAAAAGAGAAAGAGATTGAGAGGGGAGGGCGAAAGCGGAGAGAAAGAGAAAGGTTTAAAAACTATGTTCAATGGCTGACACATTGCTCTTCCGGCTTCTAGGCTGTCCTCTCCATCCTCGACCATGCCGTCCGACGCGACATCCGTGAAAACTCCCAGTCCACGCGGGTCATTGGCGCCCTGGTAGGCACCCGCTCCGAAGATGGCACCGAGGTCGAGGTGCGGTCGTGCTTCGCCATCCCCCACACCGAGGAGGAGGACCAGGTCGAGGTCGACGTCGAGTACCAGAAGAACATGCTGGCCCTGGTGCTCAAAGCCGCGCCCCGCGAGTCGCTGCTGGGCTGGTACACCACCTCGCACGAGCTCAACAGCTTCAGCGCCCTGATCCAGAACTTCTTCGCCGCCCCGGACACCGGCACCTTCCCCCACCCCGCCATCCACCTCACCATCTCCACAGAGCCCGGCCAGGACATCGAGACGAGATGCTATATCAGCGCTCCCGTCGCCGTCAACGCCGAGCGAGCTGCCGAGAGCTGCCTCTTCATCCAGGTCCCCCACAAGATGCTCTATGGAGACGCCGACAAGAGCGCCCTCGAGGCCGTCGCCAGCGCCCGCGACGTCGAGTCACGGAACGTTCCCCTGGTATCAGACATTGAGAGCCTGGGCCGATCCATCGAGCAGACCATCAGCCTTCTCGACCGCGTCAGCGAATGGGCTAACGGCGTATTAGATGAGGACGAGGAGCCTAACAACGCCCTTGCCCAGTACCTCCTGAGCGCCCTGTCTCTGGCCCCCAAGGTCGATGCTTCCCAGATCGAGCACGACTTCAACAACCACATCCAGGACGTCCTCATGGTCAGCTACCTGGCCAACACTATCCGAACCCAGATCGATCTCTCCCAGCGACTGGCGGTTGCCAACCTGGTCAGCAATGAAAAGGAGGAGGGCAAGAATGACGGCGAGAAGGGTGCCCAGCGCGGAAACAAGCGTGGTGGACGTGGTGGCGGTAGAGGCGGCGGTCAACAACGAGAGCCCCGAGAGCCTCGAGAGCCCACCGAGTAAGGCGAAAAGGGAAGAAAAGAAGGATAGAGGGACGGTTATTACAGCAGCTGTATAACTGTCGTTTGGTTTATAATTTTCCCTTTACATCTCGGCACTTGGGCTCTATAAAGAAAGGCCCTTATTGAGAGAGAAGAAGAAAAAAAAAAAGAGGAAATGATGTTGAAGGAGGAAATAGGAAGCATGCCCGTGGCGTCTCGGGATGGATGGGTGGGAGCGAATTTGGACGTGCATTGCGACATTGTCCCAACAATACACCTACACGCGAACGCAGTATCATCTTGGCGTTGTGGTATGCCAGACATAATTTTGGCACTTAAGATATTAGATATGAATATTGATTCGTCACGCAAATTCTCTATCTGATCCTACATAGACACATGATATACGTTCTTAATGTGATGTCATGTCTAGCATTTTCTTTTATAGCCTCCAACAAACTCGCTCTTCACCCGCCGCTAGTATTGAAAGTAAAAGAGTGAGTAGAAAGGAGAAGGGTCCAAAAAGAGAAAAGGAGAAATAGACAAAGTAGAAACCAATCGTCCTTCCCACCGTTAAAACGCCAAGAGTAATATTTTGCTCTAAATATGCCATATGCGCCGGGGGCCTCCAGCAGCCCCGAACACCTGAAGATGCTCATTAAATTCCAGTAGCTGGCTTCTGCGGCAGCGTTGCTGGATTACCGTAAGCAGGTAAATGACTACTACTAGTACTAAACATTTGATTCGGTCCCTGAGGGATGTTTGCTCGGCCCGGAACATGTACCTGCTGATTCTGGGGTATATGCTGGGGTTGTGGTATATGTTGTTGCAGGCTTTGCATTGCCGGCGGCATGTGCTGGACATGAGGCGGAGCGACAAGAGGAGGTGGGGTATGATACGCAGCAATGGAATTGTTCGAGCCTTGTCGAGCCATGTTATATCCACCAGCAGCATATGGATGAGGTGGCATCGCTGTTGGGTATCCGCCGTAGGCCAGGTGAGGAGTCCCGATCTGGGGACTGCCGTGGTGAGATCCCGGTGCCGTAAATGGCGGCTGGAGCGGCTGCATAGGCGGTGGCATCCCGTTCGACCCTGGCACAAAAGATTGCGTCTTGGGATTGAAAGCGTGGTTCCGATTGTAGCTTCCAGGGATTGGATGCTGGCTCTTGGGGTCATGAGGGTTTATATTTGCCGGTAGCTGCCCAAATGCGTACGGAATTCCACCCTGCGCAGAAGGGCCACTCGGAGTAGGTCCTCGGGGTGGATATTGTGCGGGACTGAACCCAGGTTGCCAGTTTGGTGGAGGAGCACCAGGTAATATTGGCGAACCATATGCTGTCATCGGGCTTCCGTTTGGAGGGTACCGTTGCTGCACAGGCTGCGGCGCATACGGCTGGAATAAGTCAGTAACTGTAGATTCGTCTTGCTTGGAAAGCAACCAAATGCACTACATACCTGAGGTGGAGTCGGATAAGGCGCACTTGGTGCCATTCCTTGCGCCGCAGGGTACCCAGGAGGCTGCTGACCGTATGCAGTGGCCACCTGCGCAGGGTAACTTGGAACGGGCTGCGAGTTAAACTGTCCATTCGCAGGAGGGATGAACTGGTTAGGTGGCTGAGACACCCAAGTCTGTTGTTGAGGGCCCCAATAAGGCGCGTACTGGCGCCTCGAGTCGAAGCCATCTGTATCATCGCGCCGCTGTTTAATAGGCTTTGCTTTTTTACTGGCAGTAGACCTATTGTTGGCGGAAACAGAGCTTGCTCGGGACACTCCATATTCACCATCTGCTTCTGATGGAACGAGTAAGTTATTGAGTTTTGATTCTTTTTTCAGGTCTTCACAGCTGTACTCACCAGACGGTGTCTCTTCAGAGTTTCCGAAAATTCGCTGTCTAGCGAGCTTGTACATCTCTTCTCGCTCTTCTCGTGTCAACCTATAAGCGGGTTAATGAGTGGCCGCATACAATATTTGACAACAACGACATACTTTTGACTGATAAGCGGCTGCTTATCTTTAGAATCGCTTCCATTCTCCGAAGTAGCCTTGGAAGCTCCAGCGCTGCCGCTGCCACCCTCCTCGTCTTGGCCTCGACGCATGATCTTCCTTGGCAAAACTGCTGGCGGAGGAGTGCTGCTAGTTGAAACAGTCGTTTGGGGTATCATTGTTGCCAGAGAAGGCGGCACTCGACAAAAGGGCGTTCTGAAAATACGAACAGAGCCGATATGGGGCTCAAAAGAATGCGTCATGTGGTAGTAGTCGGCTAGCTTATGGGTCAACATCCTACAAAACGAATTCGACGGAGGAAGATCCATGTATGGCTCCCTATAAAATCGGTTAATTGAGTTGTTTGCTTGGGGGAGGAGAGGGAAACTTGCTTTGAGTCCTGGACGAAATCGATGACATCTTTTTCCAATCGCAAGAGGAAAAGCCTATCTCTTGGAGCCGCCAAAGCTTCGAGGAGTTTGTCATCAGGAGCTTGTCTGTAAATAACATTCAAGGCGTCCGATGACCCGCTCACGCTTCTCAATGTGCTCTGCGCTGGCTGTTCTGACGATGTACTCTGAGGAGTCAGAATGCCATGTCCGTGACCTCCAGCTACTGGCTGCGCTAGTCGCCGATCTGGCATATCTCCTAGCTGTATGCCTCTAGCTCTGGCAGCAAGATCTGAACTCATACGTGAGCCCGCAATCAGAGATCCCCGGATCGAGAAAGAATCGTCATCCTCGGCGGCAGCTTTGACGCTGGCACTGTCATCCGGGCGGAGAGATTCTTTTTCGTCGAGGGCAAACGTGGTTCCAGACGTGATGCTTTTCCCATCCAGGCTAGGGGGCTTGGTGCCCAAATCCGAGCTGGAATCAGCCTTCTGGGAATCATCAGATCCACTCGCTCTGCTGAATACGGCTTGAGATCGAGCGGCAGCAGACGAGTTGCTACCATCAACAACCAAGCTGGGAATGTTTGACCCGAGACTAAGGCCGTTGAGCGATGCCGCCACCTTCTCCATGGCCCCAGGAATATCAGTCGGTAATGGGTTCGCTGACTGGGGCGACGAGAGAGCCAACGGCGGAGACTGGGTGGGCTCGCCAGCAGGAGGCAGCGTACTGGCGCCTGCTTGGTCCTTTGGCGACATGTTCGACCGGCTAGTAGACGAATCTGAGGGGTTTTCTGGTGCCGCAGACGCAGCTATCTGCAGGTAGACGATTATTGGTCAGTCCTCCGGGCTTCCCCAATGACAGCGTGTCTGGAGATGTACGGCGCAAAATGGCCGGCTTGAGGCACACTTACATTTGCAAAGGAGCGTTTCGGTAAGTCAGCAGGAATCGTCGCCGGCAGGTATTCACGGCCCGGAACGACTTATTCGAGGCCCAATGGTTGGGTATATAACAAGGCAGAACACAAGGCGGAGAAGGGACGTTTTTTCTCTTTTTAATCAATCGTGGGCGCCGCAATCCAAAAGGCACCCGACCAAGTGCGCCGAAATCGAGCGAAAGCGGGTGAGAAAGACAGTAGACAAGACAAGATCAAGAAGCAGAATCAATGGGAACGAGCCAGGAGATCGAAGACAGAGTGCAGGTGCTTCATTGTCGTAACAGGAAGTACATCGTTCGTTTAGCTGGTCGTGTCTTGGCGAAACGAGCGAATCGAGATTTTTTTCCCCTTCGCGGCGGTCGGTTCAAGAACCCGTGGAGGCGTGATCGCAGCTTCGGAATCACCTGGCAGCCTGGAAGGATATTCGGTCAACAAGGCCTGCTGCGCGCGAAGAGCAAAATGGAGTGATGGCCGTGCGAGCCAGGCGAATGGCAGGACTTTCTTGTGGAGGGGTGTTCCCAAAAAAAAAGAAGTTATCCCTGAGAGGGGTGAAACTGCTGGGTTTGCTGCGGAAGGCGGACTTACAGCGACAGGTGGCTTAGTGGCTCCCCCAGCGCCTACGGGACAGACTGACAGGCAGCAAGCAGATGTGAGCGCCAAAGTCGCAGTTCAGGCCGATGTCATCGGGGTGAGGACGACAAGGCTCTGGAGAGGACACTGGAGAATCTGCAGTTACAAATCTCAGAGGAGAGCTCAGATTGTCCTAGCGCCGGCAGATTCCACCCAGCCTGCTACGGAACAATAATGTGTGCTGCTTAGGTAAGGGTTTTAGTACGAGACAGGGACAAGTCGATGGTAAATTGTATGCCGCATAGTGTTTTTTTTCTGTATGGGTTTAGATCTCAGTGGCTGCTTTTTCTTGTGAATATATACTACATTGAACTTTTAAGCGCACTCCTTAGAGCGTATAAGTCAAAAATTCTTTTCTTAGCGATTGTAATTGTGAACCACAGTATATTCAAGGAATCACACCCATCAAGCACGTCTGCTACAATTCAGTTATTCCCATTGCATTTCGTACTCGGTACAGCATTGGCACACAGCACAGATCACGTGCTGAACTGCGGTCCGAGACCAGCTCTCTCAGCGCTTCGTAGGACTCGCGTGCGCCCTGAACCGATGCAAAGTCCACTGTAGAGCTCCCTACGCATACCCCCATAGTAAAATCAGACAATCCCGGGCGAGATTCAAGTCCTTCCTCATTCAACTTGAAACGCCCTGATCTGCATCATCTCAATCACAGCCATCAATTATCGTACAGGGCACTTATACGGTGTTTACCATGTTTACGAACAGAGGACGCGGAGGACCCAGCAGGTCAACTCCGGCCAATGTCCAGTGCCAAAAATGTTTAAAACGAGATATGTGCCAAAGACAATCATCACTCGTGAGATGCCTTAGCTAACACGCTCAGCACGGCACTATTCATATGAATGCAAGGCATCAACTCAGGAACGGCCATATGTCTCTCGTCCTTCGCGTTCACAACAGCTTCGCAATCCTAAGCTTGTCCCTAAACTGACGAGTGATACTCCAAACCCCCTTGAAAAGAAGTATGTGGTTTTACAGCCTCTAACCCATTTGCATATATGCATATACGCCCCTTATAATTTGGATGATCAGCTAGCTAACACTACCATAGGAAAGGCGTTGCAGATGAGGAACTTGCCAAATTAGAGGCCGAACGGGAAAGAAAGCGAGAGCTCGAGGATCGCGATGATGAACTGCTAGATGCAGGTTCCAGGCGCCGGAGATCCATCTCATCTCACTCAGTCTCAACCATCTCAACAGATGCCTCGAGAGATTCTCGCTCTCCACCACCTAGACGAAGAACTAAATCTCCAGCCGCCAAGCGTCGAGATCATAGCCCCAAGCCTGCCAGCAATCGCAGTTACAGCGCAGACTCCGCCAGTGATCGCAGTTACAGCCGAAGCCCGTCACCTCCACGACGACAAAGGCGTTCAGTATCACGCGATAGCCGATCCCCTTCGCGCGAGGGTACTCCAGAGAGTGATAGGAATCGATACGGGCAGCCCTCTCATGCTCGAAGAGATGACGTCTCGCCCCCTCGCCAACGGTATGATCAGGGGCCTGGGAGGCGTCATGGCGAACGGCGGGGTGATTCAAACTCGCGATCCAGGTCACCGCAGCGAGATAACCGGCCATATAGAAGGCGAGATGATGACAACCGACCGCGTGGCGGACGTCGTGGCGGTGGTCATCCGGGACAAGGGAGAATGCCTCCTAGAGACGCGCCTCGAGAGCGAAGTCTGAGCCCCTTCAGCAAGCGGTTAGCGTTAACCCAGTCTATGAACATGGGAGGAAGATAGTAGGGTATCTTGATTTGTTGTCCAGGAGTATATAACAGCCGTAATGCCTCAAAACAAAAAAAAACTCCAGCCCATGCCATAGCAGGAATAAACATAAGTAATTACATACAGTACCTCCAATTCTTTCTTTCCATTTTGGTATCCTTTATAAACCCATCGACTCTTCTTCCTCGCGTTCTCTCTGTTCTTCCTCCTGCTCTTCTTGCTCGCGAACCCTGAGTCCCTCGACGAGAGCGATGCCGTCGACCCCAGCAGCGTCTCCATCTAGATTTCCGCTGTCGACGCCCGCAGTCTTCTGGGCTGCTTTCTGAGCACCCACTACTCTGTCTCTGACCAATTTTGCGATTGCGGTATCCGTCCGCGTGTTCAGCAGTTCCATCTTTTGGTCCAGATTGCGTTTCAGGTCCCAATTCGGCTTCTTGGGCTGCAACTTGAATAGATCCAGGCCCTTGTCGTCTTCTGCCTCTTTAGCAGCCTGTTCCCTGATTTCGGCTTCCACCTCTGCGGCCTGCTCCTCCAATGTAGATTTCTCTAGGGCGAGAGTTGGCGGGGCGTCGAATCCGAGCTTGGGACCCCTTGTCTCCGGATCGTAGTTTCGGCCAGAGAGATGTATCGTCGCAACGTCGGGCTCTTCTGGCTGCGATGCATCCCGTTCGCCTTCTGGAGTGGCGACCTCGTCGGTGGGCTGTTTTCTTTTGAGGTTTTTGAGCTTTGCGAGACGCGCTTTTCGCTCGTCCGCGGCGGCGCTGAGGCTGTTGTGTGAATTCATGTTGTGACGCTCTTGTTATGACGGGCGGGAGGCCAACATCAAAATCAAAGAGTCGATGGTCTAGATTAGCCTTTGGCATGGAAAAGCGAATTGAAGCTTGGTGGGGCGGTGCTTAAGGTGCTGCCAGGGCCACATGCCGAATTTTAGCGGCTAAGCCAACCGGGACGGTGCTAAAATATTCTTTGCGATAGCCTCCAAGAACTTGCAACGACGGAGTCCATTTCGGCTTGCTGAGATTGTCAAGTTGGCAGAAACCGCAGCTCGCAGCAGTGCACGATGCGTACTGCTGGCCGTCTACCGGCCACTGATCCTTCAAAATGTCTGCGGCACCCATGGTTCGCGCCGCCTTGCTGAAATGCAGGTGCTTGAGGATATCTTCCTCGTCTATGACTCTCCTCCGACCTACCTTTCAGTTCGCCGCAAGAACTTCGCTACGACAATTGAGTTCTGCAGCGCAAGCTGTATCGCTCAACGATGTCCGACCATTCGAAAGCGACAATGCATCTCAACGGCCGCAATATCTCACCTCCTATCTGAATCCGCAAGAGACGATCGACATATCTGCCAATTCTGCAGCAGTCAGCGACGTAACGAACAGTCGTGCTGTTTCGGACATGCCACATTCGAAGCACCGAAAAAATCGACTAGTTGGAAAGGAGATTCAGCAAGATCGATCGGCGTCGAACAAGTCCAGGCTTCCCAAGCGAAACCCGAAACCCGAGTCCCATGATGCTCCGGAAAAGCCTTATTTTGTCGGAAAGAGGCGTTATATGATCACCAATAACAGGATCAATCGCTTTTCTAGATCCAATGCTCGGAATACCGAACAACTTTCCCCTGTAGACGAAAAATCACGAATGGCATATAGAGAGCTGCAGAATTTGCGAGGAATGCACTCGCAATGGGGCTACATTCGACATCAGTATCCTACTTCTGAGCTCCAGTCTGCCCGGAAAGCCTTTACATTTTGGAAGACCAAATTTTGGAAAGTCTCGAGACCAGACAAGCCAGAAGTGCCAAAAGTGCCCTGGCCTTGGCGAGATAATGCAAAGTGGCTCTTTGGACTCAGCGATGCCCGTAGTATGCAGCAGGCATGGAAGAGTCTCGATATAGAAAGCCGCCGCAAGCAGTGGCCTGTACTTATGCTTTCGACCTTGGACCTCTGCCCTGAAAAGGCACATGCGGTGCTGGAGGCTACTCTGGACCCTTTACCGCCTGGGTACGCCATTAACGATGTGCTTCTGTTCATTGCGCAACGCTTGCGCATTAGCAGCATTAGAAATGTTCGCGAGCGAACTGTCAAGGCAGAAGAAATGGTGGAGATTGTGGCCAAAGTCCTCGAAGATGCCCCTGCTGGCCATGTGCCCCTTGGCCAGCGAACAGCTGGTCTTCTTGCAAGCAAGCTACCAAGTGACCAAGCTAGTGAGCTATACAATATGTTGCAGAGGGCCAATGTCAAGCTACATCCAAATACCCAACTGCAGTTTGCTGGAAAGCTGGCGGAGGAGATGGCACATAAAGATGCTGCATTTGAGATCCTTAAAGGACTTGCCGAGAGTGGAGTCGATCTCAATGCACCCAGCCCTTCGAGTACCATCACTACGCTGTTGCATTGCCGGATCACACATGGCGGCTTGTCAGAAGAAAAGCCGGCCTTTTCGCCCAAGGATGCCCTAGAGTACTTCATGGTCAAAGGCTTTGTACCCAACGTCATCAATGCAACGGCCTTTCTCGATTCTCTATGCCAGCAGGCAGAAGTTGACGAGGCCATCCGGCTTGCCTTGCTGTTCTCCGAGTCTGGCGTTCAGCTGGATGCAAAAGCCTGGTCAACCATCTTCAGAGGTGCCAAAGGGAGCCTCAAGGTAGAGAATGTGGCCAAAGGCCTTGAAGTTGCCAAAGTAGCCAACGTCCCTTATGTGGATGTGCTCAACAATGCACTTCACACCGTGTTCTATTTCGCAGAGATGGAATCCCGCGAGAAGAGTTTCTCCACACCCTGGGTCTATCCATTGTTTGGGCCGATGCTGCGAGCATACGCAAAGAAATTCGAACTGGAGCCTTTGCAGTGGTGGCTTCCCGACTCTTTGCCTCTGATACTAACCCAGACGACGGGCAATGACGGAGAGAAATTTGACAGTAGCCGCCCGCGACGGTGGGAGTTTCTACACACGATAGTCCCTCTTACTGAAAAGTTCTTTTCCACCCCGAATGTCGGGCCGAAACTACAACCTAATCCAACAACCATAGCCATTATGCTCAGGGCCTACATTAAGACTCTGCAACACCCTTACGATCTTATGGCCTTCTATGTCTTTTTCAAGGCTCGGCTTGAGGAACACAAAGATTTTGCCGCTCAGCTGATCAAGGATCAAGGCAGCTTAGTTCATGATACTATAATCATGACTATGATGGAAAGACGAGGACTATCCCGGCCTGCGCTACAAGTTTTCGGAGACATGCTCAAAGATCATGTACAGAGAAGCGTGTCAAAGGCTGCGGAGGGAGGTGACTCTGAGGCGAATGATGGTCAAAACAGAGCCATTCCTGTCCATCCACCTCCAGGTCTATGCACATTCAGCATCCTTGTGCGCGGTCTACTAAACGGTGGAGATCGAATTCTGGCGGAGCAAGTCATCCAGGTTATGAAGGAGCAGAATGTCGACCCTAACCTCGTGACGTGGAATACCTTGACCAAGGGATATGCGAAGATGCAAAATATCAACAAGACAGTGTCTACTTTGCAGGACATGGAGGCGGCAGGCTTCAAGCCTGACCTATTTACTTTCAAGGCGTTTGGAAAACTGAAGAACCAGGGCCGGGCATTAGAGATGATGGAAGGCATCATCGACACGAATAGACAAAAGATGGCAGGCGAGGATTTGTATGAGTAACGCGGCATGTAACTGTACGTTTTTTTGGCATATCGACGGAGGCGAAGAGGTGCTTTGGAGTTTGTGTTGCTTTGAACGGCGGAATGGCATGATACCATAGAGTGGAAAGCAATTGGAATACTCGTGACGGCTTCGAATATGCATCAATCTATCGAATATAGATAAAGAAGGAATAACATTAGAGTATTTTTTATTTATTTTACGTATACATACTTACCCATACACGAATATGTTACTCTCACATCAGTGCAGTATTTGGGGTGCGAAGAGCGGATAGTGCAAGCCCTCGGATTTACGGACTAACTAGAATGACCTAGAACCTGTTCCCTAAAGCCGTCGATGAGCAGCTTGAGGTTTTCTAGATGACCACCACTCGCTCATTCTTATTGAAATAATATAACTTGCTTATAATTCCTCAATCATAGAGCTCCAATTTGGGAGAAAGAAGAAAGAATCTTAAAGGGATACCTTGCGGCATCACATGCTGTTGTCTCAGTCTCTTACATCTTAGGAACAAGCAAAAAAAGAGACAAAACTCATTTGACAAAAGCCTCTCCTCTCAATGCCCGAACCAGGCATCTCGCAATTCACCTCAGTTTTCCGCGCCACCGACTCGTACCGCGTGAGGCGCTTCCGCCCAGCCGTCTCCTGCACGGCCTGTCAGCGGCGCAAGTCGAGATGCGATCGCCAGCATCCATGCGGCGCCTGCGAGAAGCGGAGCGTGGGCGATGCCTGCTCTTACGGCTCGGCGCCTGTATCGTCAGCGGCTGATAACAGCAGGGCAGCCGGCGGCGGGAACAGTCGGCAGGATGTCCAGCTCAAGCTCAGCCAGCTGGAGCAGATGGTGAGGGGGCTGGCCGAGAATCGCCTCGCAAAGGGGGAGTCAGCGCCGTTACATGATGGCCTGCGCTCTGGAGGAGGATGCGATGGTAAAGAGGAGTTGGAGACGGACTATCACGGGGCTACTTCGTGGACGGCGCTGGTTGAGGGCATTCGCGATATCCAGGACGTGCTGGCGGCGGATCGAGAGCCCGACTATGCTGATGGCGTGGAGGCGACGGAGCCCGAGGTTGTGCTGGGAGACGTGCCGCCCATCACCATCAAGGGCGTCGTGGAGAGTCTGCCGTCGAGACAGGAGGCCGACAAGCTCGTCATGGCGTATTTCAGAGCAAAGTTCCTCGCCGTCATCTTTGTCCATACGCACCAGTTCAAGCGTCGGTACGATGCCTTTTGGACGGATCCCAATTCGGCCGACTTTCTCTGGATCAGCATCCTGTTCTCCATCCTCAGCATCGGCACAATGGTTGTAAACACAAAAGAGGCAGACGCCACGTCTTCCAGTTCGTCGACATCGTCATCGCCCTTGACGGTAGGGCCCGACTCGCGCTGCTACATGAACAAGGCCGCCCAATGCCTCGTCGCAGGGCAGTACTTCAAGGGGCGGCGCTTCTCCGTCGAGGCGCTCCTCATGCACGCCCACTCGCGCAACGTCCAGAAGCTGGACTCGGACTCGTCGCTGTGGTCCCTGTACGGCCTCGCCGTGCGGCTGGCGCAGAGGCAAGGCTACCATCGCGACGCGGCCAGGGTGTCGAGCAACAGGGCCATGACGCCCTTTGAGGCGGAGATGCGGCGCAGGACGTGGTTCGTGATCCAGTCGACGGATCTGCTCTTTTCGTTCCAGAACGGCATGCCCCCCATCATCACCCAGGATGTCTGCGACGTGGGCCATCCCACGAATCTCACCGACGACGACTTCGACGAGGATGCCGAATCGCTGCCGCCTCCTCGTCCACCAACAGACCCCATCCCCGCCCTCGCATGCATCACAAAGTCAATGCTCTGTCGAGTTATGCGCCGTGTGGTGCGCCACGTCCTCGCCGTCACTCCAGCTCCCTATGCCGACACGCTGTCTCTCGACCAAGAGCTTCGAGAGTGGCATGCTTCCGTGCCAGCCTGCTTGCGCAATCGCACCATCCGCAACACGGCCTTTACAGATGCCAATTACACAATCATGCATCGACTCATGCTCGAACTCATGTACCTCAAGAGCCTGTGTATCCTCCACCGCCCACATCTCACACTACACAAGCACGACGCCGAGTATGACGCCTCGAGGCGGGTTTGCAGGGAGTCGGCGCTCACGATCCTGGAAATACAGGCAGAGCTTGATATTGAGACTGGGCCGGGAGGGAGAATGTACAAAGATAGGTTCATGGTTTCGAGCCTAACGCTGCATCATTTCTTGCTTGCGGCAATGATCATGTGTCTCGACCTAAGCGAGTCTACAGACACAAGGTAAGTCTCTCTTATACAAAATACTGTCTGTCCCTCCACCATGCTAAGCAGAGATTGTCTCTCAGCCCACAAGACAGAATCAAGTGCAGAGCCACTCTCCGCACCGCCTATTCCATCTGGTCCGCCCGCCGCACCACCTCAGTCGACGCCCTCCACGCCTCCAGAGTGCTCGGCGCTATTCTCAACCGCATCGATCCCCCAAATATCCTCGCCTCCACAAGCGCTTCCGCCCAAATGACCAGCACGCCAAGCGTTCCTACAATATCAGAGGAAATGATGCTGCAGCAACCGTCAGCTCTCAACGGCGACGACATCCAAGATTATAACGTCACAGACGACATGTCATTTGTAGATGGCGCTGGCGATGCTATGCTCAGTTTTGAAGAAATGTTTGACGATACAAACATGTTTGATTGGGTTCGTAAATTCCTTTCTCCCTCCTTTTACTACCTTGTTTTTTCTGTTCCCAATCGGTAGAATCTAACATTCAGATCTTTACCTTTTCCGCAAATAGGGTTCTTTCGACCAGTATATTCAGTCCGACTCCAGATCATGGAGACAATTCTTCTCCGACACCAGCTTATAGCCCGTATTATATACTATTAACCCAAGGAATAGCTGAAACAGTAAAGAAGAGGCACAGAAGTCCTCCGAGTCGTATATTTAAAAACAATATACAAGGTCAGTACTCTCATCTGTCTACGAGAAGGAATGAGAAGAAATAAATCCACCGTAATAGACTGTCAAGCAGAACAACGTCTCCAAAAAGAAAAGTAGGAAAGTGAAACATATTTAAAAGAAAATAATAATAAGAATAACAAAAAAAAAAAAACTCAGAGCTTGCTTATATGCTCCCTCAGGCACATTATTCATATCCCAATCCCACGCACAAAATACAAATTATTCTCTACACCCCCCTTTCTCAAAGACATAGTTCGATGACAGGCACACACACATAGATAGAACAGCACAAAACAGTAGTAGCAACATAAAAAGTAAGGGCACGCACAACGCTAATACAAAGACAAAAAGAATAAAAATCACATAGAATATTTCCATCACACTCCCCCAGCCGAGGGTCCTCTTTTGTATAAAAAACATCAAAAGCCAAGCCCAGCTAAGCTATCCTATATATAGGTGTGTATATATATATATCCCTTATGAGTTTGCCACTCCCCAAATTTCCATACCTGCCAACGTGTCCCGCGAGGTGCCACGTACATGTCATTAAAACGCAAACGCCAGCACAAAAAAAACTTTTACTCTTCTTATAACAATATCGCAGCGCGTAGGAAATTGAAGCAAGCGCCAACCAGAATAATAAAACAACAGCAAAGAGACAAGAAAAAAAAGAAAAGCCCATGCAAGATGGCGTAATTATGCACAGCAAGTTCCGGTATACGCGCGCGCACGCTTGGGTATCATAACATTAGATGCAAAAGCATGCGCCCAAAGGAAAACACACGATTGAGATTAAGACGCAATGCCGCGAAGCACGCGTGCAGGGTTGCCAGCCACGACGGTAAAGGGAGGTACATCCTATGGGAAAAGTTTCCGTTAGCATCCATATTTTTGGGCGGAAAAGACGAAAAGAGTCACTGAGCAGTAGCAGAAAGGGGATGCGGCATACCTTGGTGACAATTGATCCGGCTCCTACAGTGCTTCCCTTGCCAATGGTCCGGCCAGGCAAGATGATGGCACCGCCACCGATCCAGCAATCTTGTTCTATGATAATGGGCCTTCCAACTTGTGGGCCCTGTCCTCCTTGACGTTTCTTTGGGTCGGTGGGAAGGGAGGCACTGAAGATGCTGACGTTTGGGCCGATGACACAGTTATCCCCAATTTTGATCTCACAAACGTCGTTGATTGTGCAGTTGCGTCCAATGACAACGTCATTGCCAATGGTAATGTTGTACCCATAGTCACAGACAAAGGGCGTTTCGACAATACAATGACGGCCGACCCGTCCAATGTTTGTAACTGGAGACGCAATAGTGGGAGACACACGCACGGGATCGCGAGGCTGCAGGATCTCCAGGAACAGGCGCGCTCGCTCTTCGGGAGAAATACCATTCGTAGGAGGCGTCGTGAGATTGTTAAATCTCCAACAGGCAGCAGCACATCGCTCTCGTTCGAGACAGAGCTCCTTATCAAACGGATAATAGGGCCGTCCGGCAAGCATCTCCTCCTTTTGGGTTCGTCGAGGCGGGAACTGCGAGTGTGAGAGGGCAAGCTGAGCAGCCATCTGGGCGTTTGAAGTTGCAGGAGGCTGCGGGCGGGGTGTCGGGCTATTGGTCCTCGTCGGGTGCAGGATGTTGATTTGTGGAAGATGGTTGCCAGGATGAGGCGTTTCAGGCTCGGTTCGGCTCAAGTCGTGCAGCGGAGGCACTCGTTGATATTCCTTTGCCATCCTCTCTCCAAACGGTGGCGCCTGGGTATTGGCGCTTACAGGCGTAGGGAAGACGTTTGCAGGAGTATAAGGCAATGCAGAGAGTTTGTTTTCCGGGCTCGTCACAGAAGCGCTCGGGATAGTCGATGCTGTTAGACGGTCATCGTCCGAGATGATTATTGGTCGGCTCTGAGGAGGGTCTATCCTAAGAGGCTGGCCGCGGTAATGGGTCAACGACTCTCGTTTTACTGGCTGGGGTCCGAAGGGGGTTTGCATTTGGCCCAGCGCAGGTGCAGGCCCGGGTGCAGGCCCTGCGGCAGGTTGTGGGGGCAGTTGTGGTTGTGGTTGGGGTTGGGGCTGCGGCTGCGGTTGAGACTGCGGTTGAGGCTGCGATTGAGGTTGCGGCATGCCATATGCCCCAGGAGGCACGTAGCTTGGGTCTTTGGATTCGAGTGGCACGGCAGCAGCCTTGTTGTCTGGCTTTTGCCAGCCTGGCCCCCTCTGTGGTGGATAGCCCGCACATATAAATCCACCTCGAATACAGTTGATGCCTGTTCAGTTGTCAGTATCAGGCTCGCACATAAGATGGAGCTAAAAAGGCTCTCCGCCCAAGACTTACACTCTGGCTTCTGCTCGTCGCACTTCTTCTTTCTCTTCCGGCACGTCAGGCAGCCCGTTTTGGTACGGTTACTGAAATTTCGCTTCCGCTTCTTGGGATCGTGCTGCAGAATCGAGTCTCCCCTGTGGTCGCTATATGAGCTTCCGTAAAGAATTGATCGATCGTCACCATCAGGACTAGTATTGGTGTAGTCACTATGATCCATCTGGCTTGTGGCTCGTCGCAAAGCTTCGCCAATCTGCTCTTCCGTGCTGCCATGCGCTGAGATGGCCGAATTCTGCTGAGTGTCATAGGGATTTCTATCATCCCGAGCTTGGTGTGAGTACCACGTTTCCTTATCACGCTCGCGCTGCTCGTCACCATAAGGCCGGTAGTCTCTCTGAGGGGTCCCGTAGTGATCGCGAGCATCAGCGTGCGTCGGAACAGTTGCAGTATCCGGGGTACGCTCTTGCGCTGCAAGTTCTCTCCGAATCTCAACGGAAGCCGAGCGCTTACGCTTATGCGAGCTCTCGGCTTCTAGAGGATATGTTGCGACGTGTATCGTACTTCCAGGCGTCCATGAGTCCCGTTGGGAGTCTCGCTGAGTGTCCCGTTGAGGGGTTGCTGCTGCTGCCTGCGGCTCAGGGGCAGCCGATGTTGGTGCAGCTGACGCTGAGTTGGCGAGGCGTTCATCTGTGAAAGAGCTTTTATCACCCGGCGCCGCCGGAGGTTCTGTCAGCTTTGATGAAGCGCCATTAAGCGCGGTGAAGGTAGACATGTTGGCGCAGTTTTAGTAGAAACAGCCTGAAAAGGCCCTACAATACTGTCGATCAAAGAATGTACCGAGCTCAGCCGGGCCGGATATGAGGATTTTTTTTTTTTTTTTGATTTTTTTTCGTATAGGACAATTATTGGCGATAAGTTATATTGGAGTCTGAGTAAGCCGTGCTTTGTTGAAGACCAATGGTAGTAGGCTGAGATGTTTTCGCTTCACCAATGTGACTGCCAGTGAATGAACGTCTTGTAGACTATGGAGTCTCTCAAATCACGGTTCCCAGGCAATGAAAAGCACTGAGCTGAGCTTTACCAAGCAGCTCGCGCAAGTGAAATTATGATGTGGTATCCCAAAAAGGCGCCGCCGCTATACAGCGAATTTCATCCACACCCCAATGAGGAAATCCAAACGATCAAGGCGCACAGTAAAAAGTCTGGAATCTACCAAACGCTCGCCCATAAAAAGAATAACGAGGGCCCCGTCGTCGCCGTGATGGTGAAGTGAGTGCAAAGCTGGCCGCTGGCACAGTAGCTGAGAGCGAGAGCGCGAGTCGCGCAAAAGCGAATGAGTGAGCAAGCGAATCCGAGCCGACTGCAGGCCAATGCAGCTCGATCAACAGATGCTCGCCCTTTCAGATCCTCCTCGGCCAAGATTCGATGCGAGGACCAGATGGCGCAAGCCGTTTGACGGCCCGAGTCCAGAGAGTTTGCTGCGTGGACGCTGGAGAGGGAGGTGAGAGAATGTGTTGAGGCGGAAGAGCTGGGGGGCTGGCTGAAGGCTCCAAGGTCGCGCTTGGGGGGCTTAGGTGGTAGCTTTTTTTTTTTACACGCGCGATTATGCTGCGCCTGCTGCTAGGCTAGGGGGGGTGGCCGCTTCAGCGCAGAAGCCAGCTGGAGGCGTGTACCTGTACCCCGAAATGTGGGAATTTTACTTTCCAGGTTCGTAATTACTTGGCGGCGCAGTGCACGGGGGCGATGCGTCGAGGTATTAGTCGAGGACCTGCTTCAAGAGCACAGATTATCGAGGCTCAGCAACTATCGCCGGCGATAGATGGAGAACGGAATCGCGAGCAGCGCAAGGCTGGGGGGGAGGATAGGCGGCAGAGGCGGAAGGCTGAGCAGCAGAGCAGCAACAGACACGGCGCAGGCAGGCAGCTGCTGCGGATAAGTAACGCAGCGCAGGCTTCCAAGGTATGGGCAAAGGAGAGAACGGGAGGGATAGGAGGGGAGAATAAGAGAAAAGGAGATGGAAGTTCGTGCATCGGTCAATTCAAAGGACTCGCGGGGAGATATGGAGATATTGGGTCGCTGAGAAGGCCATTCGAGGGCGAGGCGAGAAACACGTTCAGGCAAGAAAGAGACCCGGAAATGTACCGACATGCGCCTAGGGAAAGCGGCTCTTTTCGACGCATGTACCTCTACTCGTACAGGTACACAGAGCGACGAACCACTAACAGGCAAAGGGCGTGCGTGCGTGCATGGAGCTCCCCATACTTGTGCAAGGCATGGCGTATTAGCAGCCCGGAGGGAGCACCAAAAGGACGCACATGATGGCTTCCATGGCTAAGACCTGGGCAGTCAATACTCTTGCAATGCCGTGCCGATCGCTCGACCAAGCCAGGGGGGTGCTCCCCTGCGGCGTTCTACGGATAAGCCCTCCGCGCAGAGAAGAGTGCGGTGAATGGAGAAGGCATCTCAGCCAATACTCGGTCCATGGGAGCGCGGGAGGCGTGAAGGCTAATAGGCGGCGCTTCTCACTGGGTCCAACCGAGTGCGCCAACGCCTCACCCAGAGCGACAATCGCCCGTTGCATGTCGCAGTCCGTCCTGCTAGTACAAACCTAGCATCCTTGAACCTGGGCTCCCTGGTTCCTGGCAGCCACCCACCGCGCGTGGCAACAGCCCAAAGCCACAGCGGCCTGGCCAGGCACGCAGCAAACTTCGCCTACGCTGCCAAATTGCCCCGACATCAGTGCTGGAAGCAATGCAGCAGCGTATGTATGCGTGCATGCGCGCAAAGGTGCAAGTGTGGGTGGATGCCCCAGGAGCCCTCCGAACTCCAGGCCCGTCCGTGTAAGTGGGTGTGATGCGATGGCTGCGTGCGACAAAGCCAGCGCGACGGGTACGCAGCTCTGGAGGCGGCAGTTTTCGGTAGCACCCAGTGCCAGATGTGGAAGCCAGAAGGGAGCGGCGTTCCACAGCCAAGAGGGGGTGTGCTTCAGACTCCGTAATGTAGCTGCAATATCATGGCACAGACGAGATCCTGTTACCACCAGCTACCTATCGTAACTTTTTTGTATACCACAGCCAGTCGCTTGATCGCCAAAGAGTACTGTACAGTACCTACCCAGCTGTACCGCCGAGGCAGTCGCGCCGCTTCCTTAGCCCTCTTCTTGAAGACGCATACCCGGACATCCGTGGCTCAGCTCCAACGCACAAAACCCAGCACCGTCTTGGGGTGCACGCCGGCGCAGGGCGCAATATGCAGTCTGAGTTATCGCTCCAACAGACCAGACAGCGCTGGCAGCGGGTAGCCAGGGGTCCCAGCCGTGACATGTCCGTCGTTTGGCCTGGCTCTTCCCCCCACTCGATGCCATGTCTCTGCCCTCTCTCGGTGCTGGGCTTTGCAGATTCGAACCTGACGTAGCAGCAGCACGAGGCCTTTCGCAGACGAGGCCCTACTGTACAGGCACACGCTTCGCCCTGCGGTGGAGAGAGGTGTGACCGCAGTAAGCGGTGTTGCCGCGGCTCCGCCCACTTGGACCACGAACTAGTTGCTCCATGCGCAGAGGAGCGAGCGCGCGCGGAAACTTCGACGACGCTTGACTGGCCGTCTTCTAGCCTTCTTGATGTCGACGACAGCGCGCCGGGGAGGAGGCGATTGGCACACTGCCGCTGCTGGCTGCTCCTACACTCAAGCACTGGTAAGTCTAGGCGCGAAAGCAAGCAGACAACGCATTGCGCCTTTACTGTACCACATCATGCTGCCTCTGCCAGTAGGTGCATGCCGTACGAGCCAACTCGAGCCTTGTTCGGACAAGCACTACGCAAGAAGGGAGCTGGAATACTAATGAACCGCGGTGGGTGTTGGTGGGCAAGGGTTCGAAATATCCTGGGAGCAGCCAGACAGGGCCTGGGACTAGCTGGAATATTGTTGCTAAAGTTAGATGCAGCTCATTGATGCTACCACAGACTTAGTCATTCCTACATGCATCTTACAGTATTCCGTGGCATCAGCGAGGCAACAGCGAGGAAAAGCAGCGCGAGCCGCACATCACCGCTGCCTCCTTCCCGCGGCCAACAGCCGACAAAGGAAGCAGTTTTTTCCGCGCAGGATTCCCCCAAGGCCGCTACATCTCGACTCCCTCCTTTGAGCCTCTCTTCAGCCTCTCTTTTTCCCCCACGCTTCTGCTTCACAGCTCTGCTTTTCCCTCGTTCGCCCTCTCTTGCATTCCTCTTACAGCTCCTCGAGTGAGACAGCGAGAACCAATTCGACTCGTGTCCGAGGCCAGCCCGAGCTCAAGACTCCCCGTGTCTTTCCTTTGGCCTCTCGTGCATCAATGCCAGCAACAACTGCTAGTACCTACCTCCTGCAACTGGGTATTTGTAGCACTCTGCAATCTGATCCCCTGTCCCGGCGCCAGGTCTGTCGCTGCGCCCAAGCCAGGCTCTAGCCTACGGGTACGGAGCGCTGTTCCACCTTTCGCGCCCAACCGATCCGGGTGCCATCGCAAGGGGTGTCGCCCTCCAAGAGGCGAGCCGCGGCCGCCATCGTCGCCGCCAGGTCTCCATTCCATCAACCACGACCCATTTTTAGCTCCTTGATGCGGCAACGCGGCCACCAGCTTAGACTCGTGTTGGCCAATCCACGGCCTCGGCCTCCAGACGCCACCAGTCATCACAGGGCTGTCGCCGTCTATCCCGCCAGTCGCCGGCCACAATGCGAGCAGCCATCCGCGTGCACGCCGCCAGCTGTACGCGATCGAGAAACAGCGTATGTGACTGTCATTTTTGCGTGCTGCATTCACCATCGGTCCGTGGGCGAGCCATGTCCGAGAAATCGGCGGAATAGCAAGGCGTCCGTCTCGTCTCGAAACCATCGCACACGCGGACTTGACTTGGGCTCCTTCATACGCGGCACCAGCAAATTGCCGTCACACCAGCTCGGCTGTCAAAGCCAGTCCTTTGCCCATACGTGTAGATGCCCTTGATATTACCTGGTAGACAACGGGATCGAACAATGGTATCCGTCCCAGATCTTTGTTCGCCTCTGCCATCGAAGTGGGACAGCAACCCTAGCAGGCGCCATGGCAGCCATGTTCAGTCGAGGTCTACAGGCAAGGGTTCACGGATAAGCTCATGGAATCATTACTACAGTAGAGTCCGTCGGATTGCCTGCACTGCATACTCATCTGTCCTATGAGACTCCGAGACCATTCCATCAGCTTGCTGACTGTGCCGTGCAAGCAAGTGACATCCCCGCTAAGCAAGGTCTAAGAGCTTGCCTCTGGCTGCCCGTGTGCTCTCCAGGGCTTCCCATGCGAGTGGTAGCAGATATTCCCAGGTAGGTACTCTTCAATTACCACAATCAATGACGGAGGCTCAGAGAATGCCTACATCGGCTATTGTCCGATCTCATCTTTTGAGCGCCAATGGGAGCTTGACGGCTACTTTTGTAAGGAGTGCCCCGTCTAGCACCCTGCATATACCTACTTGTACTTGATGGACGGATTAACGCCGCGTTTAGCGCCGCCGTCTCGTATCGCCGCCGGCCGCGGCTGTGTCAGACCACGTACGCCCGACCGCACTACCACAGCACAATTCATTCATCCAATCACTGAGCTGCTGTCGCTCTACTCGTAGCGTTGGCCTTCGCTTCAATGCAAAGTACACCAGCGCCCTCTCAAGACTGTGGCACGCCGTGACGGGAAGCAAATCTAATGTGGAAATACCGTTTAACTGTGCCAGGCCCAAATCATGACAACGGCGACATCATTCTTTAATAGAATGAGCTCCTCAAGGCTGTCTCTGTTGTATCATGCCAGGGACTTGAGGTTCAGCAAGTAATAACAATACCAAGCAAGCCCCTTTGCGTTCAACGACGACAAGGCGGAGCTACAACGTATACGAGTTCTCTTTAGCAACGTTTTCATCACCACGTTATAGTATATTTTTCTCGTCCACCTTGTTGGGCGATGGCACGGCTGGCCAGCCTGAAGGATTGCTTGGCCATGGCTAGTACGGTTCGCTTCTACGCCACGGCATCCTTTGAAAGCTGGTTTTGGGCTCCTAGCAAACCCATGGCCGGACACAGCATGTGGAAGCTTGGCCAGACAATTCGTGATTTGTTTCAGCTTGAAACGCCTGCCTGCGAACATGCGAGCATGTCACACCGCCAAAGCCTTGAACTAAAAAAGATTACAGCCAATCAAAGGCAATCTACCAACATCCTCTAGGATGACCATCCAGCAGACTCCCTCCGCGGCTATGCACTTACAAGTATAGCTCTCCGTTGATCGAGTACAAAATCCTTACCTCATCATTATGATGACTATTCTACGCAGTCTATTCAACTTCCTTCCGCAAGCTCCAACAGCTAGCAGAAGATCCAAGAACTAGCGTGCTACAGGATCAACGTCAGAGCTGTATTTTCTCATGGGCAGAAGCGCACTTGTTAAACTCACTCTGAAGTTGTCTTGACTTTTAAAAGAGAGGGAAGCATACGAATACCAATGGTCACCCCAGTCTCGGCGTATCTCTTGAGGTCATAGACATTGATGCCAGACGAAGCTGCCCTGTTCTAGCTAACAGCGGGATACGTGTTTTGCAAATACCACGCCTGGCAACACAACAAGCGTGGGCAGCTTCAAACGTGCACTCCAGGTAGCACAGCACTCTTTTCGTTTAGAAACGTGATCACTATGCTGTGACACCGTGTCGGATGTTGCGGTTTCTCGTTCCCTCGCCAGGCAGATCGTCAAAGGCCATGGCAAGCAAACATGGAGGCGGCAAAAGCCGTAACCACCCTCCAGCGAAGACGCTAGGCATATGTTGCCGGCAGTAGCGCAACGCTTTGCTACCACATAACCAAGGTCACACTGCTGTGACAGGATAATAACCGTCGTTTGGGTTTCTTGCGGGGGCTCTTTCAGCTCCGGACCAACTGCTCGCAGGATGCCAGGCTGAAGATTCTAGCCCCAGAGGGGAATAGGTACCCGAGGGAGTGCATCCTCACTCGCATATCAAAGCGTGCCTTGTTGGCCTTTGGCAGTCATAGTGCGTGCTACTCGGAAATGCTAGACTGAACAGGATCTTGCTCCAGGAGGAGCAGCTACAGTCGGCGGCCCCAATGCGGTCATTAGTATACCTTTTCTTCATCCGCCCGGTCCTGTCCTGCGCACGGCGAGATGCCAAACATTAAGCCGCATATAAGGTCGGCCATATGCCAGCCAAGCTCGGCCAGCATGCGGCTACTGCTACAGGATACCGCGGCCAAGCACCAGCAGTGCAAAAGCCGTGTGCTGGCAGTCACTGGTTGCGGCACAACGAAGACGTCCCATGTGGAGAAGGGCTGGGAACACGCCGTCTGCGAAACTATTGCCTGTCTCGGCGAGCGAGTTTGCACCTGCTAGCGGCAACACGGGAGGACAAAACGACGGCGATGCTGTTGGTTTGAAGTCTCGGACCTGACTCTAGGCTGACAAAGGCTCCAGCAACGTCGTCTGGACCGAAGGAAAAGGAAAAAGAAGTGGAGATTGGGGCGTGTGTTGTTGGTTGAAGATTTATTTCCGTGGGCCTGTGCTCTGATTTGCTTTTCTTGTTCTTGGCGAGGCTAAAATTAAGTTGGCGGTTTTTGCAAGCGCGCAGCGGGCAAGGGAGCGGGAAGTCGTTTCTTTGCTTTTGCATTACGCCGAGATGCTCTACGGAGCAACCATGGTGATGATGGCCAACCTCAGCAAGCAGCCGACCGACTACAGTACACAGGCATTATACTATGTACCACGAAATACTGTAGCTGGCAGTGCTTTGCTAACCACCCAGATAGGCACCTACCTAAAACGGCACCGAAATAGTGGATCTTCAAATCCGAGGTTGGTGGAGATATCGAGCATTCGTTAACCTGCCAAGTTGCATGATTTCGGTATCGGATTGCCAGGAGTGCGAATACCAAACCGAAGTGCATTCTTTATAAAGACTGCAGACTTGTTTACTTTTGGGGCCAATCACGGCAGGGCACCTACTTGTGCACTTAGCAAGCTACTCAAAGTAAAACAAGCGGATACTGCTGAAGCTTCATGTCACATCGCTGAGAGTCTGAAGAAGGCCGTGGCCAAAAATAGCCATCCGATCACAGGGTTCATCGGATGTGTTCTCCATTGAGAGACTTGCAGCATACCAGGGCAAGTGAGGAAGCAAAAATGGTAGGCCATCAGATTGCTTCCCAGCGCCATCTTGCCCTCTCCACCCGTTCCTTGCTCGGTCCAATGGCCGCTCTCCAAATAGCCGCTTAACTAATAAGCGCTGGCGATAAGGCGCGTCAACTTCTAGAACGATTCTGCTGCTGCCCTCCAACCTCTGGCTCTCGAATCTCAATTCTTTGCTTCACCCCTGAGCGGTAGTTGCAAGTATATAAATAAAACAAAGGAGGAGGGTGGCACCCGGCCTATTTTTATCATCAGGCTCATGCAAGGCATCGTCTTGGGACCTGGGACCTTGCATAATGGCCCCCATTCGTTCTCCATGGTTCATCCAGTAAACACCATTCGAGGGGACCGACCCTCTTACCCGCCCGCGAGAACCATTTATCGTGATCCTGGAGACGCCAACATTCATTTCTTTCTCCACCTTGATGCAGAAAGGGACGAGCAGATACATGGTGATTCTTACTTTGCTGTTTCTATTTCTGTCTCATCTCGTCAACTTCCCCTGCCGCCATATCAAAAGTCCCACCGACGGGCATGCCATGCGAGAGAGTCCCATGCAAGCATCACAATATTTGTCCATTCCACGCTCGCGGTACCGCTTCATCCACGCCCCTCCATCTTCTCCTGGGTCCTCTTCCAGATGCTAGTTCGTAAAAGTCCAGATATAGCCATCTCGATCCCCCGTTTCTATTCTACGCGAGATCCAGGGGCAAAGATGTTATATTTAGAAAAAGCACTCTGTTGCTATATTTATATATCGGTTGCTATATTAAGATGTAGCCTCAATGCAGCTGTCTGAAAACGGCATGAGCCTTATTGTAACATCATTCGTAACCCCGTCAAAGACGCTATCATATCCCTCTCTCCGTCCCTCTCTCCGGACTTGTCCTCATCAATTCGTCTTTCCCCCCCAGTCAAAGCCCCATAACCTGTTTAGTATTCTGATAACTCTGCTCCATACACGTCTTAATACGCGGTTACGCGCCGCACATGTGTGAATTGCCTCTATCTCCCCCCTTTCTAATTTTCGCGCGCCCACACAGACGTCACTGTACGTTGGGAACCTGCAGCATCTCTTCTAGGTATTTCCCGAGGGCGCTTCTGTTCGCTTAAGCAGGTAAGAAGGGGGCTTCAGCTAACCTCGTAAGAAACAAGAAGAAGAAAAAAATATTGTTTCTAAACAAACAGAAGCGCCCACCCAACATTATCACCCTCAACATAGGGGAAGCGAATCGGTTTCATGTGTATGCTCATTTCCGCCCAAGCGCCGTCATATAGCCCGGGGGGGATTGTTATCAATAGCCGCTAAAACAAATGCTGTTGATGGTTTATTGAATCCATTCATGCGGGGGACAAGTTACGCATATGGGCCTTTTGTTTGCTAGGAGTGGGTTCTCACACTCCGCAACATCTCTCGTAGATGAAATCTCGTTTTTCAACGCCAGGCACCTTGTTTTTTTTTTTCACTCCCAAAAATAATCAAGTGAACAAACAGGGATCATCAATTCCCGCTGCTAATGAATGCAGTATGATGAAGATGGAGAATGGGCGCGTAAAACCAAGTACCGGTACTTGTGAATACCAAAGGCAAAGATGAATCATTTCTTCTGTCTCTTTGCAGCTTTATCGCTTGTGTTGCTCAATACACTAGCACTTCGTTTAGGAGCTGCACTCTCTAGCTCTTCATCTTTGCCATTGTCCGCCGCGTTGTCGTTATCATCGTCGTCCTGTTCCACAGACGGCTGGGCTGCCGCTTCGTCAGACGGCACGGCGTCCTCACCGTCGCCCTTTTCCTCGTCTGCGGGATCAGCTCCCTCAGTGGTGCCTTGGTTGTCTTCTTCCTTGGAAGGTTCATCTGCAGCAGCCGTGTCGTCCTTGGCATCGCCATCGGCGTCCTCCGCTTTCTCGGCTTCTTCTTGGAGACCGGCAGCCTTTTCGCGCTCCGCCTTCTTGGCCAGCTCCAGCTTGATCTCCGCGTCAATCTTATCCGTTACTTTACGAGCGTCGAGAAGGCTATTAACAGACGCCAGAAGCTGTTCGAATGCGTGGGTCGTTGCCGCTGTAGGCATGGCCAGCTTAGCAGGAACATCCAGCTCGTTGAGGGTATTGGTGATACGCAGTTGCTGCTGGTTTGATTTGTGAGAGAAGAGCTTGTTGATCTTTTCTGTCCGGAATGTAGGACCAGAGCCTAAGCGTTCATGGTGTGTAACTCCGTAGATGATCTCCTCTTGTTCAGTAAGCTTCTTGCGCTCTTGTGGTTGAGACTGTTGTTGTTGGGCTTGTTGGGCTTGTTGTTGCTGCTGCTGCTGCTGTTGCTGCTGCTGTTGAGCCTTCTTGTTGCCAGGAGCAGGTGCCGCCGCTGGCGCAGAGTCTCGTGGACCAGTAGAAGCCGCGGCACTATCACGCCTAGCAGTCTCTGGAGCTGCCTGTTGTGGTGTAGGTTGGCCAGAGGTTGTAGGTGCCTCGCCACCCATGATTGACTTTCGCTTCTTGGATTTATCAGCAGTCATCAAGTTTTGAAGCAATGTCTGCAGGCCCGTCGATGATTTGAAGGTATTGATGTCTTGCTCCGCATGGGGGTAATCAAGGCGGTTATACAGCTCCCTCCGTTCTTCGTTGAATCTATCGCTTCGAGCCAATATCCGTTTGATCTCTAGTAGTAACGACTCCTCTTCGCGAGCTTCTTCGCGGGATCGCCCAAAGGAATTGAGCGCGAAATCCTTGCGCAACTTTTCCTGCTGAGGGTTGAAATGAGCCATCAGCTCGTGCAGCGCAAACTCAGGCTGTGTCATGTATTGGACAGGCTTTTGAACGGCCATCATTCTTGATGCCACCTCGTAGTATCTCGCCTTCAGGTCTTCCATTGATCGAGATCGGGTAGCTGGGACGATAGCCTTACTCTCGTCGCCATCAGCATCAGCCTCTCCGTTGGTAGCTGGCGGGCTCCATTCGTAACGATCCCATATAAGGGGCCATCTTATATCAAAGTCGCGCACTAGTCCCATCAAGTAATCCGTCTCCTCTTTGGTCCAGTCAGGATTCTCCAGGACTTGATGATATTGGTCATCGCTGTACTGAGGCACCGAGACTTGAACGTTATACTTGGCATATGACGAATCTTCAATCTCCTCTTCTCCCTTTGATCCAGGCACATCATCTTCTCCAGCCTGCCCCTCACCACCCCCCACTGTAGATGAAGGCTGCTTTCCCTCCTCAACTCTCCTCCAATGCCTCAAGGTCAGACTTGCATCTGTCCTCCCAGAATTCTGGAACGGCCTCAGCTCCCATCGTGCGACCGGCTTGCGGCTAGCAAAGCGGCGCTTCTTAAACTGTGTGACCTCTGGAACAATGGCGATGGGATTATCGCCGCCTAGATTGTGAACCTCGCGCGCAAGGCCTTTGAGATTGGGACGTGGCGCCGAGATCTTCTGCTTCTTGGAGGGGCGAGGGCCACCGGCAGCGCCATCGGGGAGGTTGAGCACATCGCGGACGTCGGAGGATGCCATTGTGATTTCGGAGGTTGTAATCGTGAGAGCGTTGTTGTGAGATGCGAGAAGCGTTTCGGGGAAGAATTTATGCCGTCATCGCTTTATGATCTTGAAATGTAGAAATCCAGAAAAAGTAAAGTGTTACGTCGGAAAGAGAATATTTGATTAGATAAGTAACAGACGATCGTCGCGGTCGGGTGTGTGCGATGTTTGGATTTGAAAGCAGCGATGATTGAAAGAGGAGGAGGGAAAAGTTTAAAGATTGAAAAACAGCAGTCAAAGCGCAAGGCTGATGGATAGATTACCGCTTGACAGTTTAAACCTCGTCGCTCTGGAAAAGCGCGTTTGGGCGGCTTGTCGCAAGCACGTGACTCTGCTCTTGCGCTGCGCAGACCCCTGGATTCTTTGAACGTGGCAGCTTTCCCGCAGAGGGACTCGAGTCGGAAAGCGACCATCGTACAAATCTCGAAGGGAGGCTTGACGGCAATTGCATCCTTTCTTTTTTTTTTTTCCCTCCTCCTCAGCAAGGCGACAAGGCACCAATTGCAATTCTCTAGTAGAGAATAACATCTTTTTTTGCCTCTGTCGGGAAGAACCAAAACACTGGGAGCGGATCAGAACTCGGTGGCCCCAATTACACTGCTGAGGAAACGAAACAGAGCTCCCCTCCCCAACGAACGCCAACATGAGGTCCCTATTTTCTCTCGCAACCTTTGTGGCTGCGGCGCAGGCCCTGTACTTCTACGTCGACGGAGGCACTCCCAAGTGTTTCTATGAGGAGCTCCCCAAGGACACGCTCGTCGTGGGCCACTACTCCGCCGAGGAGTGGGATGACAGGGCGAACATGTGGCAGCAGCACCAGGGCATCAGCATCTACATTACTGTCGAGGTATGTGCAAAAGAAGAAGAAACATATATTCCATCGTCCAATGAAAATGTCAATCAACATCGCCAACTGATGCCATGTGTAGGAAATCTTCGACAACAACCACCGTGTCGTCTCCCAGCGAGGCACCTCCTCCGGCCGCTTCACCTTCTCCGCCGCCGACGCCGGCGACCACAAGATCTGCTTCATGCCCTCCTCCAGCAGCGGCCGCACGGGCTGGCTCTCCATGTCTAACCCCAACGGCGGCATCAAGCTGCGCCTCGACATGGTGATTGGCGAAACCAGCCAGATTCAGAGCGACGACAAGGACAAGCTGAACGACATCACCACTCGCGTCAAGGACCTCAATGCTAGATTAAACGACATTCGCAGGGAGCAAGTTTTCCAGAGAGTTAGTGATCCCTCCCCTTTTGTAACTCTGCCTCCCGACCTATAATTAATCGAAAAACTTGTGTAAATCTACAGGAGCGAGAGGCCGAATTCAGAGATCAATCCGAGTCTACCAACGCCCGCGTCATTCGATGGATCATCATTCAGCTCGTCATCCTCGGCGCCACCTGCGCTTGGCAACTCTCTCATCTGCGTTCGTTCTTTATTAAGCAGAAGCTTACTTGAGATGGATGCAAATTGAAATAAACACGCGGGAGCAAACATAGAGCGAAGAAAGGGAAAAGAAAAACCATCCTGCCAAGACAAATGTGGTGGAATTGGCGAAAAGGGATATGATACCAATTGCATCATTTTTCCGATTTAAATATCAGGCAACATTCCAGTCATTGTGCATAGCCAAGTATACATGATGAGAAAAGGGTTGAAGAAAAGAGTTGAAGGTGTCCAATTTACTTAATGCGAGATCCGAAGCCTACCTACCTTAGTTACGAAAGATTGAAAGAAATGAAAAGAAAAAAGTTCGATAGTAATTGCTCCAATTATTTTTTGATACTCTCTACTCGTCTTGCCGCCTGTTTTTTGTTCTTTTCGTTTTTTCTTTTTGGACAATCCTAATTCCATTACAAGGTATACCGATGAATAACTCCCTACCTAATGACGGATCCCAAGCTCTCAAAAGACATCTTCTCGCCCTCCGTACAAAAAGCTCCGCCAACTTCTGAACTGTTTCACGCCATATGCTGCTACTGTTCTCGAATTCGTCTCTATACACACATTCCATTGCCCGCTCTTCGCTCTCCTCCCTCCCCCCCTCCCCTGTCCCATCTCTATCTCATTCTCCACCACTCCATGATTCGCAAATCTCGCAAGACTTATTATATAGACGGTGCAAATAAGAGTAAAAAGAAAAGTACACCCGGACCAGACCCAATGCTGCTGCCCTTCGTGACCATCCTGCGCCTTGCTGCGCTGCACATCGAAAGTGGTGTAGTATGGTGTCGTAATGGAATGTCAGACATAAGGGAAAAAAAAGGAAATAATGAAATAGAAAATGAAAAAAAATGAAAAAGAGCAAAAGAAAAAAAGAAAACAAGTCCAAGCTAAAAATCAAGACCAGTATCCGTCTGTCGTTTTTTTCTTCTCTCTCAACTCCTGCTCGGTTGGTCATAATGGACATTGTGCTCCAATCAGTGTCGCGGTTCTTCTATTGAGTGGTAGGTGTTTATGACATGGAAGTGGTGAATGTATGGAGTAAATCGATTCGCTATTTGTTTCCAAACCAGAGCGTCGTCGCCTTGAAACGGTCCATCGTCTTTCTCTAGTCAAAGGCCCTGCAGCTCGTTATTGCCATGTAGAGTATTTGGCCAAGCCACACGGTTGCTCGGATCTAGAGAACAACTGTCCGCCGTGCCGGCAGGTATATATTTTGAGGAACCAAATCTCCAGTAGAATTAAGGGGGGCGGTCGACATAAAAATTGTCGGGGTACAATGTCGCGGCCAATGCATGGTAAATAAATTCCCGAAAAACTCGCTGAAACAAAAACGCTCACTTTAACCGCAGCAAATAGTCTTGATGAATTTCTGGAAGCCGCTGGGCGGGGGGGCTTCGGCAGGTCGTCCGCTAGGCTGGCCCGCGGCCGCCATGGGGCCCGGCTGGGTCGTTATCGGCTGAGGCAGGTTCTGGGTGCTGTTCTGGAACTGGGCCTGGGTTGAGCCAGTCGGGGTACCCATTTCGCGAAGGCCTGTTCCACTCATGCGCTGGGCTTGCAGCCCGCCTTGGGCGTTTGGTCGATCTCTCTTGCTCCCCATCTGCTTGATCGGCGATGGAGGAGGTGGCTGCGCGGCGTTTAAACGGCTGACGGTGATCGGAGCCTGCTGTTGAGAGGTGGTATTCCCAGGACGATGACCACTGTGCAGCTCCATTTGAGAAGGACCGGGGCGCGCGTTTGGGTTGTGCAAGTATGCGGCGCCATGATTCTTCATCGAGTCCCACCCCTTTCCCGAATCCTTGTTGATCTTCATCCAGTCGTACTCGCCATCCTCGACGTCACCAGCGTTCTTCAAAGCCTGGGTGAAGAGCTCTCGAAGGTAGTCGTAGTCGGGGGTATCTTCGAAGCCGAGGTTTCGGACGTACGTCAAGTATTTGTTAAACTCCTCAGGGAAGCCCTCGCAAAGATCCTTGATGGCAGTAGTCTGCTTCTTTTCCCCTATCTTCTCATACTTCTGCTTGTTAGTGGCAGCCTTCAGGCCCTGCCAGGGAAGGCCACCGCGAAGGAAATACATGAAGACGTGACCAAGGGCCTCCAGATCGTCTCTTCGCGATTGTTCGCGCCCAAGATGGGTATTGATACTCATGTAACGGGCAGTACCGGACAGCGACTTTCGCTCACGGTAGGGAATGTGCTGCTTGGTCTTGGGGTCGCGGTATTGCTTGGCCATGCCAAAATCGACCACGTGGATGACATTGGATGCCTTAGTGCCTGGTCGTCCAATCAGGAAGTTGTCAGGCTTGATATCACGGTAGATGAGGTTCTTTTCGTGTATCGTCTGGACTCGGGAAAGCATCTGCTTGGCGACCATGACAACAGTCTTGATTGTGAATCGGCGTCCGCAGTGGTCGAAAAGATCTTCCAGTGAAGGGCCGAGCAGGTCGATGACCAGAATGTTGTGCAGACCCTCCTGTCCAAAGTAGTAGACATTAGGAATGCCAGCTAGAACAAGCGCGTCTCGTTAGTTATCCAAGTGCCCACGCCATTTGGGGTCAGTGCAAATTGGCTGGCATATAGCTTACGGCAACCGACGAGAATTTTGTACGTGCGGTACTCATCTCGAAGCTGTGGTGCATCACTCTTCCGAGGTTCCTGCGAGACAACAGGTCAGCAAAGAGGTAAAAAAAAAAATTGAATTGAAAATCGAAAATCGAAAGCCACAACGAAGAAAGACGCGATCATTTCCCGCCATTCAGAGTTGAAAGCTATAGACTCGGCTGTGCTACTCACAAATTTGATGGCCACTTGCTGATTGTTGAGCAGGTTGGTGCCCTCAAAGATGACACCAAAGGAGCCCTCTCCGATTTTCTTTCCGACTCGGTAGTGGACGCCGACGACGTTGGACGACGAGGAAGCCATGGCTACGGTGCGCGATAGGGCTCCTCGAGATGTCGCGATGGAGGTTCGGATTGATCAAGGACTGAGGGTGAGAGAAGAACCGTCGACTACTTCCGGTCGGGCGAACGGTCGGCAGACGAGGCTCGGGAGCAACGAAGGCAGCCCCTGGACAGGGGGGGGCGGAAAATTAGAGGGCCGGTATCTGTGGGAAGGGCCAAAAGGATACAAGCAGTCAGCGACGACGTGATGAAACAAGCATTCCGGCGCGGAGCAGCGATGGGGATGGAGGCGAGTGACGGTGCTGGAGAGGATGGCAACGGAGATGCAGAGGAAGAGCGTCGAGACAGAAAAGGACGAAGGAGTGAGTGAGTGGCCGGCCGCTGGGCTGGGGCGCTGGATTTCGGGGCCTGGCAAAGTCTGCTGAGGCGACCAGCAGGGGTTCGGCAGGGGCTGGGCGGGCGGTCAAGCCAACCTGGGGGCTGTCCCGTGTACTGTCCAGCGCTGAGTGGCGGGCGGTCCACTAGCCTGGCCGCGCTGGACCGGACACGCTAGGCGGTGCAGCTGCACAAAAAGTTGTCCACTGCAGCGCCTGGAAGACAGCGCGCCAGCGCCTGCTGCGAGCAGCCCGGGCGGGTGCCAGGCGGGTGCCAGGCGGTGCCAAAGTCGCGGCCCAGACTGGAAGGCCGCCGTCATGGAACCGGCGACACCGCGCCACGCAACGCAGCGCAACGCAACGCAGCGACGCCCACACCGGCAGCCGCGCTCCTTTGCACCGTGGCCTCGCCCGCATCCAGGCACCCAGCGGTTAGCATGTGCAGTAGTGCAAAGTTGGACTCACGCGATTGCTGCTGGATCTGAGTTTGTTTGCCACTGCAGTTTTCGTTGGTTTCGATTCGCAGGGTGCGTGCGGGATGGGATGGGCCGGTCTGGCTTTTGTTGCCTGTGGATGAATGAGTGAATGGCTGGTGGGAAGGAAGCAAGAGGGAGGGAAAAACGCATCAGCTCAATGGAAAGGAGGAGAGGAAAGGGTGAAGGGGAAAATGGGACGCTACCAGGTTGAGACTCCAAGGCTGGGCTTGGGCTGGGGTTTGGTCGCGGTATTTCGGTGCTAGGCTGGTATCGCGGTACCTGCGCTTCACCGACAGGGTACTCGGGCGTGAGGTATCCGCTAGCTGTGGCATGCACCATGGCGATACTTTGATGGACGGTGCTTGGCCGCGTACCAGGAACGCGAACTGGAGCAGGGCCTTGCAGAAGATCCAATACAATGCAAACGAAGCTACCCATGGAGCTTGCAACAACCTTGGTCGCCATGCGACGCTGCAAAGAAGTACCTTTTTTCGGCTTCTTTTTCATCTTCTCTTTTTCTTTGTGCCTTTTGACGTATCACAGCAGTGGCTTGCTTTCTCAGATCCAGAAACGTCATCAATTCTTCAAGGCAGCATGGAGAACCAGGCCACCCGTGGTGCAAAGCGCTGCTCTCAATGCGACGGTTACGGGCACAGGACACGTGCAGCCGGTTTGGAATCTCGCGAAAAGCAAGAAAAAAGGATCAATTTGCTCAATCCACGTTTTCACCACTGCAAAGTGCCCTGCTGCCAGATCGTTGTAATCTACGTAAGCCCTACCAGGCACCAAGATGTCTTTGCAGGCAATAAAACCCGGCATCGTCGCCCTTTTCCGCCATTTCGCTTCCGACAAAGCAGCTTCCTCGTCTGCGTGTTCACGACACGAGCCTGGCCCCCCCTCTGCTGGCGGCGCCGATGGTGATCCGAGCCGGTTCTTGGCATTGGCCGTCGCCCAGCCGAGTGCAGCGAGACGTGTTGCCATTGTCGAATCGAGACAAATCATTCGCCTCGCCCTCGCATTCCATGTGCCCCAATCACTGTTTCCTTTATGCATCCAAGGCTTTTGAGTTCCGGTGTCGTCCAAGCTTGCATTATGGTGACAATCTACACCTGCTACTAGCAGAAACTACTGTGTGGAGAAGCCAGCCAAGTGCAGGCTCTAGCAGCGACGGCCAAGCTTTAACGAAACGGTCCCTGATGCTAGAATCAGCGTCCCAGGCCAGTTAGACGAGGAGCCCCATCCGCGTCTCCACGGCAATGATAGCAGAGGTTTTGCTATACGGAGCTCTTCATAAACCTCCCCCCTGGCTAATCGATGGTGCTAGCTATCCGAGCTTTCTTCGTCGCTAATGACCAACGCTTCAAGTCACTGACTCCTTACCGCCAAATTTGTTTGCTAATTGTTCTCACTAAAATCCTGCCTCTGTCCCTGGATAACGCCGTAATAAAGCGGACATGGGCGACGACACTACGCCGTACCTTGGCTCCTTGGATCTGAGCAAGTGCCCTCTTATTAAAGACTGATCCATATTGCGTTATTAACTGGCGGTAGTGATGCGCTGCTGGAACCTGTCCGGCTCATACGATTTCCGTGGGCATCTTGCCGGATCCGTCCCCCGTGCTTTCACGATACGACGTATGGAGTAGGTAGGTATTGGAATTGGAGGCCATCTTTATGCATCGCGCATCGTTCGCGGTGTTGCGGCAATGGGGCTCTCCCAGAGCGGCCCCCTCGTTAATTGTCCACGTCAAGGCCGATGCGCGCCTGTATTCAATAATCCAGCTCCATCCCCAGCTGCATCTCCAAGTCGCCCATCCACTGAACGCGGCCCCCGAGTCGCATCCTCATCCCCCGCATGCAGCGCCGTCAGCTACGAGGCACTCAATGACTGGCTACCGCTGTGAATAGCACGCTGCGTCTGAGTGCACTAGCCTCGTCACAACGCAGCTGCATATGCGAGGTGCCTATTGCCCTTGCAGTAGGAGTCGAGTCCCCTACAGCATATGCCAATATCTGCTGGCCCGTCGCAATGGCGTGGAGCCCGTGAATCCATTCTTCCACCAGGCACGGCCGAGACCGTCGTATTACATGTCTCTGGGCCAATGGCGAACGCCGACGACTAATGGGTTTGTTTCTTCTTCCAAGGCGACTATTTTCCTCTCCCTTTTTGGGAGTGAATGCGTGAGTAAAACGTACTGGTAGCGAAGTGAAGTATGCAGTCTCCAGCTACCGAGCAACGCCCGAGTCTCAAATTCCTTCGCTGTGCTACATGCGACATAAAAGTGCAACGTAGAGCTGAAAAGAAAAGACTGGGCAGGGCTGCCAGGCACAGAATTATCGTAGAATGCTCGCTACCATTATACAGGTATTTGCGGTGTGCGCTAAATGGCCTCTCCGCGTATTACTACAGCATTGCGACACGATGCATCTGCTCGGCGTGTGAGTCAATAGGTCCATGTGGTTTATACGTTAGCCGATAGATGGGCTACTGCAATGGGATCGATCGATAGTGTCCGATCAATGCTCCGAAAAAAACGTTCGTTCAGTTAAACACCAGACCTTGGCGACTTGGAGTTGAGCCCTGCGCGGGTAGCTTGGCTGTCATGGCTTTACCTGGCTACCCTATAACAATGCTTACAATCGGCGTGTTTTTTTGCGCTCGGCTTTGCATTGATTAATGTTCATGTTGTAATCGAGTGCAGCAATACCACTGCTAAAGAAGGAAAGTGATGTTGGTTTCAATTTTGTTTGGAAAGCCACGGGCAAGCCAAACCCCTTGCAAAGCTATCTCTGTTGTGTCGATACGTGTAATTTGCCTATCAAGGTGCCCTGCGCAGTGACACCCACGCAATGACGATATAGCGATGCGTCGATACCACTAAGGCACATGTAGATAGCTGACAGCCTCTTGCATTTAGGCCAACCAGACTGATCCACCGCCATGGGAATCACTGCAAGTCTCTCCGTCTCCAGACCCCAGCGCGGCGCTACTCCAGCTTAGAAATCCGGACATATCAATGCTATTCGCGGCCGCTTAATTCGAGCACGTCAACGGCTAACGGCTAACGGCTATTTGCAAGGGCGCCAATATACACCTCATGGTAAAAACATGGGGGGCTTTACGGCCTTTGGGACAAAGTTGCCCCGCCTGTTTGACGACAAGAGCGCATCATGGCGGGGATCGCAAATGGATAATACGCACACATATACAAACAGCCTCTGCGGAGGATGAATCCCGCTCAGTGTGTGTATTATTCACCACTATGTGCGCAGATACAATTCTGAATTCCCTCCTTGTGTTTTCCCCCCCACTCATAGTTTTGTAGAATCAAAAGTGCCCCTCAGGAGCTCTCGAGGAGGGGGAGGGGGAAGCTAGGATGGACTGTACATCGGGGTATTTAAACAAGGACGTGTCGCCTGCGAATTGCGAATTCAAAGCTCATTGACTGTTTTTCTCAGCATCACAAGATAACACGACCGAAATCAGACACAATGGCTAAGCCCGACGGACTCCCCGCTATGACATACCGATTCCTGGGACGCTCAGGTCTCCAGGTCTCGTCCATTTCACTGGGAGGATGGCTCACTTACGGTGGCCACGTTGATCGAGGTGCGTAGAAGGAAACCCGGGAGAAGAAATGAGAAAAAAAAAAGGGACAAAAGCGAACAAGATTCACTAACTGTGGGCTATCTATCAGAGGGCACATATGCATGCATGAAGGCTGCGTACGACTCTGGCGTCAACTTCTTTGACTGCGCCGAAGCCTATGCCGGGGGCGAGTCCGAGATTGTCATGGGCGAGGCCATCAAGAAGTACGGCTGGAACCGCAATGACTTGGTCATTTCCACAAAGGTACTGTGAGATCATAAAGAAGCTGCGGGGGAAATAAAAGTCTTGAGAGAATCTGCTGCTAACGCTTGGCCTTGTCTAATGACAGATCTACTGGGGTGGTGCCTTTGGCAAGAACCCCGTCAACAACCTGGGCCTCTCCCGAAAGCACATTGTCGAGGGCGTCAACGCCTCCCTGAAGCGCCTGGACCTCGAGTACGTCGACCTCATCTACGCCCACCGCCCCGACCGCAAGACGCCCATGGAGGAGACGGTCCGCGCCTTCAACCACATCATCGACTCCGGCAAGGCCTTTTACTGGGGCACCTCGGAGTGGACCGGCGTCGAGATCGCCGAGGCGTGGCGCGTGGCCGACCGGCTGGGCCTGATCGGACCGCTGATGGAGCAGCCGGCGTACAACATGCTCAACCGCGCAAAGGTCGAGGGTGACTACCAGTTCCTGTACCGCCAGCACGGCCTGGGTCTCACCGTCTTCTCGCCGCTGTACCAGGGCATCCTGTCCGGCAAGTACAAGAACGGCATCCCCGACGACTCGCGCTTCGCCCAGACCGAGGTGCCCTTTATTGCCGGCTACTGGAAGCGCACCGGCAAGGAGGCCTGGCAGGAGATTATCAACCGCGTCAACAAGCTGGAGCCCATTGCAGACCGGCTGGGCGTCAAGCAGGCTGCCCTGGCGCTGGCCTGGGTGCTCAAGAACGACAATGTCAGCTCTGCCATCACGGGCGCCAGCAGCCCCGAGCAGGTGTATGAGAACATCAAGGCGTTGGAGGTTGTGGACAAGTTGACGCCGGAGATATTAGCCGAGATTGACGACATTTTGGGCAACAAGCCGCCTCAGCTGAATGACAGAGAGTAGATTGAAACATGTGTAAAATAAAAGCAAAAGTAGTCTGATTATTGGGTTTACTAAAAATAGCAAAAAAAGCCAAGCAATATAATGAGTTATGGATGATTTTGGGTACATTTCAACATTAAAACACAGCCTCATAATCACATAGCGTGTTGCCAAGACTGGGTATATGGTGGCACCTTGTGTTATGCTGCACGCCAAATCCTCAGCGTTGACTAATAAGCCCTAGGAATCAATCCGAACCTTAGGAAGCCACAATCAATTCTAATCAACAGATTCAGCATCTCCGGTGTTTAAGCTTATATATTATAAATATTCGTTGTTTCCCCTCATCTCACAACTGAGTTATCCGTGAAAACTGTCTTTGCTCTTTATAGCCAACGTCAACGTTTAAACTCATATTGTGTCTATTTTGCCACCGACTAGATAAAATCCTATGCACCTACAGATATGTCTACCTCACAAGTTTTGAAATGGTTTCCATGGCTGCAGACTCCCGTAATTGCGAGTGCGCCTATGGCGGGCCCTGTTAGTCCAGAACTCGCTGCTGAGGTGACCAAGGCGGGTGGTCTTGGTATGTGATGACAGCCTCCAAAGTTATCATCATTGAATTCAGACATGCGTAAAGCTCAGCAACGACATCACACCGCAAGATGAAATTAAAGCAAAAACAAACAGATAGACAAAAAAAAGGGATCTTTTTTCAAGATGAGAATGCTAACATCCAACTTTAGGCTTCTTGGCTTGCATCGCAGATCTCAGCGAAAACTCATCCCAAGTCATCCGGCTCGATGCCGAGCTCATCAAGATCCGCCAGCTCCTCGGCGACAACGCCACCACGCCCTCCGGCCACCTCCGCATCGGCGCCGGCTTTCTCACCTGCCACAGTTCCGTCGTCAACTTCGAGGCCTCGGCCCTGCCCATCATCCAGAAGCACAAGCCCGCCGCGGTGTGGCTCTTTGCGCCGCACGAGAGCATCAGGCCGCAGAGGGAGATTGTCCGGCTGCTAAAGGGGCTCGAGCTGCCGCCGCGGGTGTTTATCCAGGTGGGCAATGCGACGGCCGCCAAGGAGGCTATTGACGATGGCGCGGATGTGGTGGTTGCGCAGGGAACGGACGCTGGAGGGCATCAGTATGTAAGAGGGATGGGCGTGGTGCCGCTGCTGTCTGAGACGAGGAAGTTGGTGGATGAGGGGGGTTATGATGTTGCCGTCTTTGCGGCGGGGGGGATTACGAATGGGAAGGGAGTGGCGGCTATGCTGGCGCTGGGTGAGTTGAATTTTCTATAAAGTTGTTTATATGATGATGCGAGATGTGCTAACGAAACTATAGAAGCTGATGGTGTGGTAATTGGTACAAGAGTCTGTAACGCCCCTGCAACATACACATCTTTTCGAAAGAGGAAGAAGAGACGGCCAAGAAAATCTCGTTATTATTAGACACGCTGTAAGCTAACAGAATGCTCTATAGTTCATCGTTGCTAAAGAAAGCATCCTCCCCGAATTCCGCAAGAAGATTGTCCTCGATGCCGTTGACGGCGCCCTCTCGACGCTCAAGTCCACCTTCAACGACAAGATTGCCGATTCCGATCTCTGGGGCTCGCTTTACGACGGGAGAGCCGTCGTAGGCCCCATCCATGAAAAGTTTCTCGCCGGGGCGTCGTTTGAAGACTGTCATAAGAGCTTGAAGGATGACTATCCTCCTGAAGAGAGCGAGAAGATGATTAATACTTGGGCGTAAGCTTTCTTTCCCCCCTTTTTTTTTCTGGTGGTCAGTACTGTGAATTTTGCAAGAGACATTGTTGTTGATGAGTTTTGATACGTTCGGATAGAGGCGCCGGCATTGGACTGGTGACAAAGGTGCAGCCTGCGGGTGAGATTGTGCGTGAAGTACGTGAGGAAGCCAAGGAGGCTATTCGCAAGGTTGCAGCTCGTTTCTAGACGTATGAGCGAGCAGTATATTAAAAACAAAAGTCAACGATTATAGTTCAAAAATGTTTTTAAAAAAATCTCAAGCTGGAAAGGCATCCAGCCGAGTATGGTATTCTCGTCTATGCCGACATTCATAAGGCACTACCTATATATATATAGTAAAATCAAAATCCCCCTCTCAGCTCATGCGGCGGGCAAAGAGCAAACAAACAGCGTATCAGTGATAGCTGTGGCTGCAGCTTTAAACAATGATGGTATGATACATTAATAAAACAAAATCAATGCCGTGTGGTATGTTGTTTCTTTTTGTTTGTTTCTTTCTTTCTGTTTCGTATCTTGCAGCCTTTACAACTTGGCCTTGGTCTGAGCCTTCTTCAGGATGGGCTCCATTTTGGTGGCCTTCATGACGTCGCCCTTGACCTTTAGCTTGCCGGACATGAAGAGACGCTGGGCGTTGGCCTTGCCAGTAACGAGCTTGCCGAAATCCTCGTCGGAGAGAGACAGAGTGACTAGAAAGAGAGAGAGCCAGAGGTCAGCATGCGGAGGTTCAATAAAAGAAGGAATATCCCAGATGTCATGTTGGGGGAGCCCATACCGTTGGCGTTCTCGGGAAGGCCAGCGGCAACGGTGCCCTTCTCCTTGAGGTCAATGTGCCAGCTGGCCGTCTCGCCCGCCTTATTCTTGAGGGTGAATGCAAAGACAGCCTTGCCGTTCTTGATGGCGTCCTTGCGGCCGGCTTCATCGCTGCTGAGAGCGGCGTTGATGGCCTCGAAGGCCTCGGAAGAAGGGAAAGCGTCTGTGGCAGCGAGAGAGCGCACGCGCGCGCAACAAATTAGTCTTTGGAGCTTTTTGGCTATTGCTGGCTGGGAATGAATGGGCTTACCGTTCTTGAGAGACATGGTGGGCGAGAAAAGCTGTTGATTGGCAAAGAGGAGCTGGAGGGAGGGTATGCGAGTAGCAACTTTTTGAATAAATTCAAGGAAGAAAGAGGAAAGAGATTTGGTTTAATATGTAACAGGTAGTTGGCTCAGTATTAGCCGGAATGGATGGATGCGTCTGATGGAGCGGACATGTGATGCGAGCCTCGGCCGAATTTGCTGACATCATCATTTCCGGCGGGCCATTGTTGCAGCTCAATTGCTTTGTTGGGACTTGGTCTCTGCTCTGCTCCTCTAGATGGGTGGCACATGTCTGTAGAGATGAGCCGACAAATTGGCTAGCTGCTAGCCCTAGATCAGAGAAGCCCAAAAGAAGGGGATCTACGTAGACGAAAGCAGTTTTGGAGTTCTGCTCTGAAGCTCTTCGTCTGCTCGAGGTTACACGGCGCTTTCTGATTGCTGCATCTGGGCATCTCTTCATCTTACGTGGGGGGGCTTACCCCGGGTGGCGCATGCTTGGGGCCCCGGATCTTTGCACGTGGTAGGTATTTAGAAACAGCATAGCCGAGCGCATTAGGACGGTTCGATTTAATCTCTTGTTCATTTCTAACTTCATGTGACTGAAGAACTAGGCTGAGTGGAATAGCATACATGTAGGCGGGCTGCGAACCGCGAAATGTTGAGATGAGATCGATGCGCCATCTAGGACTAACTCCAGTCGCCATAAAAATACATTTAACATATACAACCTCAAAACTGCGGCCAACATATGCAACGAGAAGAGTCTATATATGCGCATTCAAATGGAAGAGTGATGAAAATAGCGGCTGAGAGGGTCCTTATACGCGCCGTAGCAGGGCATGTGTAAGACCGGAGCCATTACCGACCCTTCACCAAGATATCTGGCGAAATTCGTAGCATCACCATTCACAGTTCCCACTCGGGAACGGCAAAATCGCGTTGTTGGGGCCAATTCTCAGGTCTGCGATGCGTCAATTAGTTATACACGCCTGGTCATAGCTTTTGAAAAAAAAGAAAAGAAAAAAGGAGTAGAGTAGCACGTACCTTGTGAGCAGCAACGTCGCCATGCGTCGCCTCTGCTCCCCCAAGTCTTCAGCCGCCGTCAACCGTAGCCAGTCTCCAAGTTTCGTCTTGAGCTCAGTCTCACTCTTGCCCAGAATATTGATGCCACGGTCAGAACAGGCGATTCGTAGCTCCTCAATTTCAAGGCCCAAGGGACCTCCATCTTGGAGTAGCCGCTGGTCGTCGATTTCCAAGAATATCATGCGCAGTCTGCCTTTGATAGCCCACATGCCTGGGGGAGTGAAGCCCAGGCGATCCCACATCCTGCCTGAGAGATCCAAAGACTTGAGGAGGTGCCGATGTGCCAGGCCCTTTGTGAGTCTGGGACTCAGCGCACCATGAGGGTGCTGGCTCTCGAGCTCGTTGAAAGCAGCTTTACGTCGTTGCTCAGCCTTCTCTCGTGTGATGCTTAGTAGTCTCGGAAATCGGCATGTATAAGGCAAGATTCCGGGCAAGAAGATGACCAACAGAGGTGTTAGATCCTCGGCAATGATGAAGAACAGGGCGAAGAGGGGCAATCGCATCAGATCATGTCTTGTTCGCCATAGCAGCACCCAGTCTGCGCGTGAGAATGTGCTGGGAATATGGTGCGGCTTGAACATTGATGGTCGCTCCTCGTTTGGCAAGGCCTTGACTTTTTCGTTGACTAGCCTGCGGTTCGCCATGATGGCTTTCACGCCATCCTTGAAAAAGATGACATAGGCCTTGCCCAGCTTAAACCAGTACTTGATCTTTGATGACTGGGGTTCAACGGCCTGTAGCGGCGGAGGACGGGTCGAAGCAGGAGGGTTAATAGCCGTATTGATAGGCTTCTGTGGCTTGGAAGTGGGACGAAAGCTCTTGTTGATAGTAGGGACAGCAGCTCTTGTTTGATATGCAGCTCGGCTGGAGTGTAGGGCTCGCGACTGCGCGGCGAGGAGTTGAGGGCTGAAGAGCCATGTTTTTTGCGCTGTTAAGCCGCATCGCTGCGTGACTCGATAACTCATTGCACCAACTGCACTGACTCCGACGCCGTCAAATCAAAAACAAAATGGAAAAGAATGAGTGAGGGTCCGCTATCATGTCTGGAAATATCTAATTGAATGGGAGTTGTGTTGCAGGACGCAGATGGACTAGAAGGAGGCTCGTGTCATAGATTGATCCCGGTGTTTTACCAGCTGCTAAAATCTAGTCGCCTGTTCAGGCACGAATTTGGCACACCTGCCCTCTTCAAAGTGCTGTAAATACGTCGAAGCCAATTGCTATAATGTGGAGAGAAAATGAGACAACCGCTATATCTCAGTATCACATAAATATTATTCTCTGAATTTATTTGTAGCTTGCGGAGGCAGAGACTGATGGTGTATGGTGTGCGATGTCTGGCACGTACATGTAGTGACATCTCGACGCACTCTGGATAGACTTACCGAGGCCACTTGGTAATTTCTCTCGTGCTGGCATGTGTACAGTATGCACGGGGTTAAATTGACAGTACCGATTGTATACCAGGAGAATCATAACGGCGTCTAGAGTTGATATTGAGATTGTGTCATTGCAGCGCTACTGGGTGGTGTAAGGCATGCCTATGCACTTGTCATGGCTATGCAGAGCGCCGTGAACAATATACGTCAATCTCGGGATCGACTTCTAAGCGCCGAATGCAGATTTATACCGATGGCGGCCCGTGGAATCATGTTCCAGGCTTTCCTGCTAAGCGATGCGGCTTGCTTCTCCAGTCTGAAGTGGGCGCTTGCTCACCGCAACCGTCTCGCAAGAAACTGAGAGTTGATCACCGTTGATATCCCTTTTGGGCTCCATACACAATTGTAGAATAGCGACGTGTCAGAAAGAATGATTCGACAGCAAGCTAGAAAGAGTGGCGGCGCTCTGCAAGTCGTTTGTGGGTTGGCCCAGCGTACGATTTACATGTAGCTTACCAGATTAGAAGTGGCCTCTTTTCATAGCAACGACTTCGATGTCGTCTCTAGAATTCAGCAGTTTTCGCTCTTTGTGTTAGCAAGTCGAAACTCCCCCTTCGCTATCCGCGCCAAACAAAGCAATTCTTCAAGACGCAAAGTCTCCACCGGGTAGTTCCGATGGCGTCAATTGCCATCCACTGACTCGCTGTGCCGAGTCTTGCTGAGTGGGTTCCCATCTCGAAGTTTTCGGTGACTAATCAGTCAACTCACTCATCGCCTTTTTCCACATCCCTTCGAGAAAACCGGGCTTGGAATCTCGAACCCAGCGGTTACCGATCTGTGAGATTGAATAGGAGATTTGACAGACGCCAAGAGAAAAAAAGGTTCTTATTGTCGCCAGGGATTAAGGAGAAACACAAGGCAAGGGAAAAAAAAGGAGCCATGGTTCGTTCAGGGTCTCCCGGTGCTAGCGAGCAGCAAGATGGAGAAAGGGAGGCGGTTGTGCTCACCTGAATGCTGCAGGTCCACGCCGATGCGTCCAACTTTGCCGAGGGCGTCACCAAGGATGATGCCTATGAGCAGGTGCTATTACAGGCTGAAGGACTCTTTTACGGGCAACGCAACTGGGTTTGTCAATCTCCTTTATTCTCCCTCTTCACCGCGTCTACGACGGCTAACCAATGGTAACAGGTCTGGTAGGTGATCGGCATCACATCGAAGGAGTAGAGCATCTCATACATGGGCCTCATCGTATTGACATGAGGTGGTTTCTACTAGTAACCTGTCTAACGCAGCCTCACTACTATGGCATGCCTACAAGTCTCTTGGCGCCCCAAGCAATGAAGTAAACTGGGCAGGTGAGTGACCGAGTGACAGTTCATCCACTTCATCTGTATATCCGAGGACTTGTGTTGATTGCTTCATTCTAGGATTTTATGTGCTGGATCCCACAAAAAAGGACCAGCTCATTCTGGGACCATTCCAGGGTAAAGTTGCCTGCCAGACGATTCCCTTTGGACGAGGCGTATGCGGTGCTGCTGCGGCCACCAAGACCACGCAACTAGTCGAGGATGTGGAGAAGTTCCCCGGTCACATTGCGTGTGACAGCGAGAGCAAGAGCGAGATTGTGGTTCCTATCGTATCGGGCGACAGAGTCGTCGCAATCATTGACGTTGACTGCGCCGTCCTGAATGGATTCGATGAGACGGACAAGAAGAACCTGGAGCAGCTTGCGGAGCTTCTGGCCAAGGGCTGTGATTGGTAGACGATATAAAGAGAGTCTTCAAAAGTTCTGCTCTCTTAGTATTACGTGCATTCGGACATCGATGAATCGCTGCTTGCGTGAGAAGGGCCTACCCAGCCACGATCGAGTCTCAATGCATCGGAAAGACTCTTGGGCTGCGTGACGTGCTACCTCGTATCTACCGTAGGTAACGTCGATACGATTGGCGATGAGAATCTGCTAGTCAGCATCCTACTTGGCATTTCGCCAATGCTCTTACAAGCAACATAAATACGGACCCCGGTAGTTGTACTGTTGCATACTAGTACTGTCTACTAGAGAACATGATTCTCGAAGCACGAGTCCCCTTACCCAAAGCAAGCGAAACTGTGACCGCTAGTCTGGCATCTCCCCTTATATATCAGTGACACGGTCGGACTACACGGCCGGACTACACCGTCTATCAACAAGGAGGGACTGCATTTAGGTAAAGAATAATATATCCCGATCCGCAATCTGAGGAAACGGATGCTAGCACGGATACATGACAAGGATGTGGGGGCCGAAAATCAAGAACAAAGACGCTGCCCGTACCCGCTGCTGACGCCTCCTGAGATGCGCAGCGAGGGAGATGCGGTGCCCCAAGTCCACTCTCGACGGCCGTTACGGAGAAGAGTTGCCTGATTTGATCGCGTTTGTCTGCAAGACGGGATTTTTTTTTTCGCGGCTTGGCCTGGATGGTAGAGCAACGTCAGCCGCTGGGCTGGGTTATGGAGCAGAGAGATATTTTGGGGGAGTGATGTGCGTAGAGGAAGAGAACGCGAGTGATGGTGATTACATGTAGGTACGTGTCTACTGTGCGCGGCATCTGTAGTGCTGCATTAGCTGAAGCTGCAACACAGAACAAAGCTCGTCTGGTGAGACCAGACCTTCAACGCCATGTGCATTCCGGCAATGCAGGGCGGCCAGAGGCCATTGATCTCGCCGATCGATCGTCATCTCTGTTTACTGGTCTCAGCCAGAGCACAAGAAGCCTCCGTTGACAGGGCACCGCCCCCAGTCCACGCTGCTAAATGAGACGCTGGGCGGGGCTGAGACACAGCACCCGGGCCACTAGCCCACAGGGCCACAGCGCCAAACAAGCTTTGAGCCAGTGAGGTCTTCAGCGCGTCTAGTGCCCTTGCAGTAGCCGCTCCAGCCACCTCGATTTTGATAGCAACCAGCCACCCAGAGAGCCCTTCATCGTCATCAAAGGGATCACTCATCCCGAAATCAAAGTGTGGACGCAGCCTCTTTTCGGAGCCTCTCGCAGCCCTGAAACCCACGGCGTGCAGCTGTGGCGCCAAGCACCACTTGCGTACGGCATCCCTTTTCTCTCTTTCTTTCCTGCCCCCAACCACGGACGCACGCAAAGCACCGCTGCAGTCCCTGGCAGGCCCGCTGCATCAACAAAGCTGAGCGCTGTGCAGCTCCCTTGGCGGTCGCTAGTTTAGTACATGTAGGTGTTAGCTAGAATAACTTTCCGACTGCGGCACAAGCCTCTTCTTTTAAACTTCTGCATTGCCATGGCCATAAACTAGCATGCGGCTATTTTCTCTCTTCTCTTCGCCTCTCTTCTCTCTCTCTTTTTCATTTTTTATTCTGACATTGTCTCTGTTGACCGCCGATTCCGTCCCGTTGCATTGTCTTTGCTGTCGTCATCGTCTGACCCAGCCTCTCGCAAAAGCTTAATGGTGGCGCCCAATCCCGAGCGTCGCTGATCGCCATACGCTAAGCATACCTGCCTTTCAGCCGATGTAAACAAATAACATGGATCAAGTCTCCAACCTGCACCCAAGAGGCACTCGAGGCAGCGCTCTTGCGAGCCTGCTTCAACCTACCATAGTCATGTCTGCCGCCTCCAAACAGTTTGCTGTGAATGGCCCGCACACGGCAGGACTCTTCGCCGACATGAGTGTTGACGGACCTATCATTGGCACGCTCGTTGCCGTTGTCGACCGCGCAAAGAACTTGCCCAACCGCAAGACCATAGGCAAGCAGGATCCCTATTGCGCTGCGAGACTCGGCAAAGAGGCCAAGAAGACGGCAACGGATGTCAGAGGCGGACAGACTCCTAAATGGTAAGCTTTCCCAGCCTATCCGATGCCCTCTGGGCCAAGGAGCGCTCGCTGACTTTGTATCTGCAGGGACCAAGAGCTGCGATTTACAGTGCATGATTCGGCCGACTACTACCAGCTCAAGGTCTCCGTCTTCACTGACGACAAGAAAACGGATCTCATCGGAGAGGCCTGGATCGATCTCAAGGGCATCATCATTGCTGGAGGAGGCCAGAACGACGTATGGCAGACTTTGACATGCCGCGGCAAGTATGCGGGGGAAATCCGACTCGAAATCACGTACTATGATTCTCGCCCCAAGCCCGACAAGCCTGCTGTCAGAACAAGGCAGTCTATGGGTGCTGAGCATGAGGGCTCGCCGCCTAAGCGCAAGGAGCCTGTGAAAAGGCGTCCTCTACCGACCGATCCTGTCACTGGCGAAGTTACCGCCAATGTCCCATCTCCATCAGACTATCAGTCTCCTCACCGATCTCCTGGCAAGATCAGCTCACACTCGCCATACGGTTCTACAAGCTCTCTTCACGAAACTGCCGAGTACGGTACTCCACAGGGGAGCACTCGATCCCGTCATGCAGACCATTTTTCTCATTCACCCAGTCATTCCGGCTCAGGCCGTGTTGAGGGGCCTCGCCAGCCTCGCCCGACACGGCAGGACTCGTACACGAGAGAGAGAGAAGGCTACAGCCAAAAGATACCCGTCTCACCATATGAGCAGCAAGATCCCCGCGGCAGTGGCTACTCGCTTTCGAGTGAGCCTTATGATATGACTCCGTCAGATGAGGCGGCGCCATTCTCTCCTCTTGGCGAACCCCGCCAAGCAGCTCCTCCGCCGCCGGCTCACCGGTCACGGCATAGCAACAGCCAAGAACGCATGCAGCGGAGAAGCGATGAATCGCCGCAGAGGGGCCTTCCACCCGTATCCATGAGATCTGATGTTTTGAAGAACGAGGCTCATAGAAACTCTACCCCAAATTATCCTGGCCGCCCACAGTTCCGAGCTTACGACCCGGCCATGGCGGCACAGCCACCTATCCAAAGAGCTATTACATACGAGCCACTCAACTCCTACGATGCTTACGACGCTCAGTATCGCTCCATGCAACCCACTGTAGAGGACGTCCCAGAATCACCACCCGGCTCCATGCGGAACAGGGATCGCCGCAACAGTTCGAGAATCGTCCCGCTGGATGAGGTTTTTAACAACGCCCCGATCCCCGCATCCACGAATCTCAGCCACTCTCCGGGAGGAGGATCTCCTGGTTATATGGGTCAATCTCCCGGAGCCTATCCTCCGTATCAAGAGCAGCCCCGGAATCAAGATTCAATATCTCCCCTGTCGGCTAGAGACTATACCGAGAGCCCTGGACAAATTTCACAGTATAGCTATAGCAGTCAAAGCCAACGCCCTAGCCCTAGTCAACAGCGCGAGTACGAGACTACCTATATCCAGAGCTCTCCAAGCTACGGGCTGCCTGCCTTGCCACCCTCTTTGGCTCCGGGGGTAGACCCTACTATGGCTCAGGAGATGTCCAACAGAGCATATGAAGACAGGCGCCACGATGGCCAATACAACAATCAAATAGTACACGCTTCTGTCCGAAGCCGCCATGGAAGTGAGCCGCCGCCGCCCTCACACGAACCGCCATATGGTACCTCACCGCAGGCGTATGAATCATACGACAGGCGAAGATCGGGTAACTATTCCGGTGGGCCGGATCCGCAGGCGCAGGCTCAGGGATATCGAGATCCTTCCCCTAATCCCCAACACAGGATCCGACGCAAGTCGGTCAGCCCTTCCCCCCTTCGTTCTGACCATAGGAGACATTCTGATATTCCTTTTGGTCCTGATTCTTACGACGCCTTCAACCCTGGGGCATCTTCTAGAGATGGATCCCCAGGAGTTGATGCATCGGATCCTCCCTCCAAAATTGTGACCCCAGATGGTCGAGAAATCGATCCATCTGATCATCTACCAGTGGAATCTTGGGCTCCCGAGCCCGAACCAAAGCCTTCTCAAGAGCCCGCGCGAGCAAGGCCAGCTCTTTCCGGAGCGCAGCCAATGCCTCCCAGCGGCCGAAGACCCCTGCGAATAAGCATGGCGAGAACTTCGCAAGCGGTAGTACCATCTAACGCCTACGGATTTACAGAGGGGCCTCGTGCTCCTCCTCCCCCCGCGCAAGGTGGACGGCAGCGACTACAAAAGAAGGCTATGCGCCATTCAATGGGGCCAACAACATCGGCCCCTAACCCCCTCACATCTATGGCGCCAGATAACTTTCAGATTGGACCAAATCAATACGGTTCATCTCGATCACGCGCTGGCGCGTGGGATTATCCAAGTGAAAATTACGCGCCCAAATACAACGGTGGCAATCAGGGACCCCCCATCCCAGCCAAGGTACCACTCCCCATTATGAGTGGCGCCAACGGAGGAGCAGAAGATATGGCCCTGATTCAGGAAATGCAATCGATTGACATTGGCACGGGGCGTTCTAGACGCCGAGGTGGATACTAACCATTTTGATCTATTAACTGTTTTGTACGAGTATTGGATGAATTCGAAATCATATCAATCGGTATTGGGTGAAATTTAGGATTGGCATTTCTGGAATTATCTGCGATATAGGATGACGTTCGGTTTTCTTTCTTCTTTTCACTTCATTTTTTTTTTCTTTTCATGTATTCTGATGAAATGGATTTCATATATGAAGTCATGTGTTGGTATAGGTACCTTAGAAATGAATACAAATTGATGGATAAAATACTGCATCGTTCCGTAGATTTATTCTACTCTGTGATTAAGACATCGAGATGCTGTATTCCGTTGCTGAGGCAGCATGTACGTTTTGTTTAGCGCCTTTAGATGCAAGCTAGCCTTCACTAGGCATGGCTTCACCCGCCCCGCGGTATCTTTTCCGCCATTAAATCTTATCTAATCGCCTAATGCTTGCTTATCGCTGGCAGAAAAAAAAAATCGAGCCTAGCTGCCAACCTCACTGCACTGCTATTTCGATCGTTTGTCAATCGAATTTTGGAGACACAAAGGATCGTGATCAACCACCAAAAAAGCGATTTTTCAACCATACAACAGCACCATACTAAGGCATCTGCGGCGAAATCTCGGTCGGTCGAAGAGATAAATCACAATGGCCTCACAAGTGGCGCCCCTGCCGAGGGTCAAGCTCGCGTCTGGCCCCGCGCCCATGACGGCAGAGCAGCGTTACTGGAAGTCGTTCAAGAACCCTCTTTTGATTCCTTCGCCGACCAATTTCCCCATCACGCACGTCTCAAGCAACAGCGACTCATTTGCCGTGACGACGGGCACCCGTGTGCAGATCTACTCGACCCGCAGCCGGAAGCTGCTCAAGACAATCACCCGGTTTAGTGATGTGGCACGAAGCGGAGAGATTCGCCGGGACGGCCGCGTTCTGGTGGCGGGAGACGATACGGGCAGGATACAGGTGTTTGACGTGGGGTCGCGGGCTATCCTGAGGACGTGGCTGGATCACAAGCAGCCGGTGTGGACGACCAAGTTCTCGCCCGTGGAACTGACTACTCTGCTGAGTACGAGCGACGACAAGACAGTTAGACTGTGGGATTTGCCCAGCAGCGAGCCGACGAGCACGTTTGTGGGCCACTCGGATTACGTGCGGACTGGAAGCTTCATGCCGGGCACGATGGCGAACATGGTGGTGTCTGGAAGTTACGACTCCACGGTTAAGCTGTGGGATCCGCGAACGGGCAACAACTCTGCCGTCATGACGTTTAAGCACGCCGCTCCCGTCGAGAGTGTGCTTCCTCTGCCGACTGGAACGACTGTTTTGGCGGCCGCCGGCAATGCTGTCAGCGTTCTCGATCTGGTCGCTGCACGACCACTACATCTCATCACAAATCACCAGAAGACAGTTACCTCTATGAGCCTTGCCTCTGGCGGCCGCCGTCTCGTCACTGGTAGTTTAGAAGGCCATGTCAAGATGTTTGAAACGACAGGATGGAACGTTGTCAACAGCATCAAGTACCAAGCCCCCATCCTGTCAGTCTGCGTCATCCCCTCCAACGATTCCTCAGACGACGATCGCCATCTCGCAGTCGGCATGCAGTCCGGCGTGCTCAGCGTTCGCACACGACTTACCGGTACTGAGGCCGCGCGCCATCGTGAGCGCGAGAAGGAAATGCAGGCGCTCGTTGCCGGCACAATTGACTCCCTCGATGCGCAGAAGCAGAAGCGCAAACGCCGCGTCGAAGCCACCAAGCGTCTGGATCTGCTCGGCGAGAGTGCCGACGTTGTCATTGCCAATCAGGGCCGCCCTAATAAGAAGAAGGAGAGACCGTGGCAAGCCGACCTTCGCCACGCCCGCTATTCCAAGGCCCTCGACCAGGTCATTGACCGTTCATCGTCTGAGTACTCCCCCCTAAACGTCCTAACACTGCTGCTTGCGCTTCGTCATCGCAGCGCCATCCGAGATGCGCTGGAGAACCGCGACGAGCAGAGCGTGGAGCCCGTGCTGAAATGGGTGTGCGGACACATTTGCGACCCTCGCTACGTGAGCATCTGCGTGGAAGTCGGTGTTCAGCTGCTGGATCTGTATGCCGAATACGTTGGCGCGTCAGCGGAGCTGCATCAGGGCTTCAGGACTCTGCACAGGAGAGTCAAGCTCGAGGTTGAGAGGGCGCAGATAGCTTGTCAGAGTGGAGGTATGTTGGAGAGCTTAATGATGAGTGCTGTATGAAGACGGGGGAAAATGAGCTTGTGTGAGGCGAGGAGGGACGAGAGGTGGTTGGAAGCATTTTTGGTAATTGTCTGGCGTTTTTTTTGGGCGGCATCATTCTCAAAAGGTTAAAGGATGACTGTTCGTATATATCAAAATCTGGGAACTTTTTTTGTTGTATTATTTTGTTCTATCGAGCTTATAGATACGTTAATGCAATGTGAAGATATTGAGCAAGTAGAACGAGATCGTGTTTTTTTTCACATTGACTTACAAGCGATTGTAAAGCATTTGGGGCAGAAAATAATGATCCAGTATATAGATTTCCTGGCAGATACGTAATATATATATGGATGAATAAGTACATGAGTGACAAGCTTTTTATTTACAAATACTAGTAGGTATGGCTAGTTACACATGCGTCCTCACAATTAAGACGCCCTGTAGGTAGTTTAGCATTGGTACCTTGGCGACGGTAAAAGAAACAGGAGTGATAAAATCTTTTGTAAAAAAATGGTTGAAATAAATCCAGCCAATACCGTCGCAGTTTCGAGATTGGGCCGCGAGGCTGAAACGGTGCGTGCATAACATGGCGTTGCTGTGGGCGGCCAGCAGGCAGCTGTGGTGGTAGGCCTCCCACCTAGCAATGCGACCTCGAATCATTTGCATCTGTCATTTCTCAGGAATTCCTGGGGGCTATATTTTTGTTTATTTCTTGTTTTTCTCCCCCCATCTCTATATTCGCTCATTCTTTTCTTTTTCCATGCTTTTGATTTGACCCAACATTAAAGAATCTGCTGCATCAACGTCAACTTCATCTGGAGAGTCAGGCATCGAAGTGTGCTGATACATTTTGACTACTTCTAATATCGGCCATCTCTTTTCTTTTATTTATCTATATCAAGAGATCAATACCATCACCATTCGTATCCTGCCATGGACCCTCCAGAAACCCCAGAAAGCGCCCTGCGCATCTGGTACACCCACCTCTGGGCCCCCAAAGTCGATCTGATCGGCGATATTGCCGGAAAAGAGCCATTTATCATCCATGGAGAATCGCTAATTCGCTACTGTCTTGAAGAATCGCCGGCTAATTTTCAGGGTGAGTATGGAGGTGCAGAAGGTCTTCAGAGGAGTTTCAGGCGGCTGACAATAGTCCAAATAGATGGATTCCAGCTGCTTCACGCCGTATACTTTGTCGAACGATTTCTCAGCAACTTCCAGAAGAGAGGCTGCGACTTTGATATCGTCTTCTTTCGAAATCTAAGAGATCTTTGTGTCCCTTACCAATCGGGCTTCGAGTATAAATATCAGTTGGCAAGAACAGTCATCATCAAGCATCTCCAAAGACACGCGCGGAAATGCGCAGAAAATGGCGCCAGAGCATCTGTTTTGGAGTTTGATTTATTGTCCAGTACCGAGTTTGAGGAATATCTCCAAGGCTTGCCCATCCATTTCGTCCTGTGCCATGACGGGGTCGAATCAGACGACGTCAAAGATACGGTCGCATTGCGGTATACCATACGCCGCCTGATCTCGCGTGGCAAGAATGTAGCCGTAATCAACGCTCTGGAGTGGAAAAGCTCAAAAGTAAGGTTGATCTCCCTTTTGTGCGAATTCGAGGTACTAATGTGCGTCTTTTCCCAGGCATACGCTCCCTTGCTGAGCAGATCGCCCGCGCCTCTTAGGCCAGTTCCGGTCAAAAAGGAGCGCGACTCGCCATTTACTCCATTGTTTGACCCAAAGGATAACCTTGTACAGCCTTTGAGCACTGAGTATCAAGATCTAACCGTTCGAGAACGTTTGGGCATAGCTGCTTGCCTTTCTCTGCTTCGTGTGCAAGAGGATGGCTTGATAAATGGACAATATCTTGATATGCAAGAAAAAGTTCAGGCATTCTTACTTCATCTTGCCGTACTCAAACACTGCACATTGCTTGAGCGTCAGCATTGGGTCGGCTCACAACGATGCCATTCACACCCTGAAGACACCGAATTCCTGCGTCAGGTCATTGAAATGTCATGGGCATTGCTGGAAAAGGACGAATGGATGACCAAGTTGAACGTGGCTGACGAGAATTGGGATCTGTTTGATGCCATTGATGGCTCCTTGTTTCACTTCATTCTTGAGACTCTGCGGGCTTCAAAGTGGCTTCCGGATCCCATCATTCAGACTTGGCGACATCTTTGGTCAGTGTTCTGTTCAGGAGCCGATGGAAATTTCTCAGAGCAACTGCCCAAGCTTATCTATTCGGAGGATGAGCCACTTTTGAGGGACTCGAATGGTGTGCAGGTCTCGGCTTTGCCATTTAGCCACCCTGTACTCAACGATTTTCTCCAAGATATCAAGTTGAAAGAGAGTCAAGGCATACAAGACAAATCTTCTAAAGCTGTCTTTGAAGACCTCCACCATTGGCATAACACAAAGCCGCTTCTACCAACCAGAAAAATCGAACAACTTGGTTTCTTCGCGAGAAAAAGAAGACAAACGCTTTTGGCCAGCATCGTGGCATATTCTGCGAGTCTGACAAATGCAAAGGGAAAACTCCTTGACCCGGAGGCTATTGTCGTGAAGAAAGACGCAGCGACAAGCAACCCCAAAAACAAGAAGGCAATTGCGAATACTGAAAAGGCGAATAAAGACAAGGAGAAGAAAAAGTCTCAATCTAAGAAGCCAGGACGGCATGGAAATAAGCCCGGTGGCAAAGAGAATGCATTGAGAGCCGCGGAGGAGGTTCGATTGCAGAAAGATTCCACCAAGCGAGACAATACTACCGCACTTTGGAATAAGACATGTCGAGAGCTTGAAAAAGAGCACGATCTGCTTGCTCGATATCTCAAAACTCTGGTATTCCTGACAGAGAGAACCAAAGACGACAACACGGCATTGGGTTACGAAGTGCACCTTTATCTCTGCCATATCCTCGCGCAGTTGTGGGCAAAGGCTCGACCAGAAGCAAGATCAGAGAGTAAGAATGAATAGACTATTTCAAACTGCACAATACCACGCTAACTCATAGAAACACAGAATCATACTTGATTGCGCTTATCTGGAAATGGCTTCAAGAAATACAGGCCGCCAAAGTCTCCAAGACAGTGAATCAGGCAGTGCAGAAGTTGACCAGCTATCTTGCGATACCATTCCCTTTGCTCGAAATCGGCAATCAGACACAAGAGTTGTCTTTCAAATTTGACTATCACTCCTTTAAGAGCATGAAGAAGATCATGCCAAACTATCGCGAGATGCAGCTCGAATACGCGGCCCCCTATATGGATCGAAGATTCGACTCTCAGCCAGACGAAAAGAAAAGGGTGCTGTTTGAACCCGACGGCTGGCAGCGCAAGGTCCTCGATTCAATTGATGCCAATAACAGTCTCCTTGTTATTGCACCAACATCTGCGGGTAAAACGTTCATATCGTTCTATGCGATGAAAAAAATACTTGAAGAGAGCGACGAGGGGGTTCTAGTTTACGTTGCACCGACCAAAGCCCTCGTGAACCAGATTGCCGCCGAAGTTGGAGCTCGCTTCACCAAGTCTTACAAAAATAGAGAAGGAAAATCTGTTTGGGCCATATACACTCGTGATTACAGAATCCAAAACCCAACAGGATGTCAAATATTGGTGACTGTCCCGCATATGCTCCAGATATTGCTATTGGCACCAACAAATGCCAAAGGGCCCAATGCCTGGTCCAGACGTATCAAGAGAATCATCTTTGATGAAGTTCATTGTATCGGTCAGGATGCCGACGGCGTTGTATGGGAACAGCTGCTTCTAGCGGCTCCGTGTCCAGTGATTGCCCTCTCGGCAACAATTGGAAATCCTGAGCCCTTCCGGGAATGGCTGTCGCAGGTACAGCGGAGTAAGGGCCTGAAGCTCGACTTCATTGTGCATACGGCGCGATATTCGGATCTCCGAAAATTTATGCACGTACCCCAAGAGCGCGAGCCATTCCAGGGGCTTCGTCACAATCAATTGCTTCCTGTTCCCGGACTAGACGAAGGTGAAGACTGTTGTACCAGTCTCAAGTTTATTCATCCTGTAGCAGCTTTGACTGAGAGGTATGTATCTTGCAACTACTTGGACAGATTGGAGTTATTAACTTTTTTTTCTTTAGGGCTCGTACAGCGCTCGATGATCTTTCTCTGGAGGCGAGAGACTGTCTCCATCTGTGGAAGAGTATAAAGAAAGTGCTCTCAGATGAAGAAATCGCCAAGCTTGGGGTTCCCGACCCCTCTACCATTCTCCCCGAGACGATAACCAAGTCGGACGTCCTTCGGTTGGAGACGGAGCTCAAACAAGCACTTCGGCGCATCATAGAGACACCAGGCTCGGCGTTTCAGGATATAAGAAGCTCTCTCGAGCCACGTTGGACTAATGCAAGGGCTTTGTCTTCCAATATTGGCGTTAAGCGCGTTGACGATTTGGAAAGCCTCTTCAATTTGGCCGTCGATCTGTATAGCCAAGGTGCTCTACCCGCTCTCATATTCCACTATGATACTCATGGATGTGAGCTTATTATGAAGCTGATGCTTATGAGGCTAGTCGGGGCCGAACAGGAGTGGAAGGAAAAGTCACCTACGTGGACCCAGAAATTAAAAGATTTTGAGGCGTGGAAAAAATCCGAAAGCCTTCGACAGAAGAAGAAGCCGGTCCAGCGAAACAAAGGCGACGCCAGCGATGGCTCCAGGGTTTCCAAGCTAGAGCAGCTGCGCGAGGAGGCAAGCGCCGACATTAGTCCTTGGGAGAGCTTCAAGCCAAATGATCCGTTGGAGCAGTTCAACTTTGCAGACACGAAGAAGATGCAAATGTCTGAGGTGGTTGAAATGATCTCGTCGCTGCGAGGCCAGGTTGCACCGTGGCTGCTGGAGGCTCTTGGACGCGGCCTTGGCGTGCACCATGCCAGTCTGAACCGACAGTATCGCCAAACGTAAGTTGAACATATCCTTTATCAAAGGCAATCTGCTGACAGCTTCGTGCTAGGGTCGAGGTTATGTTTCGTAAAGGGTACTTGAGGCTGGTTGCTGCAACTGGCACGCTTGCTCTTGGTATCAACATGCCTTGCAAGACAGTCATCTTCCATGGCGATTCTGTATTCCTCACGGCTCAAAACTTCAGGCAGGCTTCAGGTCGTGCCGGTCGCAGAGGCTTTGATCTTCTTGGCAATGTCGTGTTCAGCAGAATACCACGAGAACGCGTATATGAAATCATGTCGGCGCGGCTCCCGGGCCTCAATGGACAGTTTCCCATATCTACAACGCTTATCCTCCGATTATTTTCATTACTTCACGGATCTGGCAATTGCGATTTCGCGGTGAACATGGTCAAATCATTGCTATCTCAGACACGTCTATATCTCGGCGGACCGGAATCAGAGATGTCGATCAAGCATCATGTCCGATTTTCCATCGAATACCTTCGGAGACAGGATTTGCTTTCGGCCACTGGCATCCCTATCAATTTCGCCAGTATAATAGGCCACTTATACTTTATGGAGAATGCAGTGTTTGCCTTTCACTCGCTCTTGAGTGGTGGTTATTTCCATGCGCTTTGTTCAGACATACATGTAGACCGCGATAGAGTGCTTTTGGAGATGATGTTAGTGTTGTCACACCTATTTGTTCGGGTACCAGTCAAGCGCACCAAAAGGATGGTTGAGATTGCTAAAACATCCTCGTCTGTCATATTTCTCCCGCCACTGCCGCAGAACGCTGAAACTCTGCTTTTACAACACAATGAAGAAACTCTCTCTATATTCAAGAGATATGTGCAGTCGTATGTCAGCCATAGCCTGAAAGGCAAGAGGGATCGAGTGTTGCCGTTCACTCAAACAGCAGTAGGCCAAGAAGAGCCGGTCCATTGGGTTTCAGCCGATTCTGGGGCTTCCAGAATGGTCAGATCTCCCTTTGTTGCCCTGTCTGGAAGTGCAGATGACTTCAAGACAATTCATGATTTGTGCCAGACTGTTCGTGGAGATGTATTCTTGGAAGAATCAGCCATCCCATCAATCCCCATCTGGCCACACGATACAGACGTGGAGTTTAACGCTTACCTGTATGACTTTTACAAGCACGGCAGCATGGCTGTCCTGGTGAGGGATAACGGTATTCGACGTGGAGACGTGTGGTTTCACCTCAAAGAATTCTCTCGCACGCTGTCTACCGTCATTAGCAGTCTCACCATTTTGATGGATGCTAATGAGATGGCTTCAGAAGAAGACTTTGAAGACTTTGAGAGTGAAGCAGAAATGGCCACTGCGGATGAAGGCACCAGCTCTGATCCTAATGGAGAGAGCAGCAGTGTTGAGACGCCACCGTCTTCTGCCACTCTGTATAGCCAGGATCAAGACGATTATGCAGCGACTGGGGCATATCAAAAGGGCAGTCTTCTTAGAGTACTCCACGCATTCACCATTTTGAGAGAGGAGTTTGACACCAAATTCCGCCGTTTGTGGGCGTAAAAGACTTGTTTCTGAAGGGGCTGTGTTGGAATCTCAAGACAAAAGATTGATGGTATTTGTTCATATCTGAGATTGTAAAGTTTATGTAGGTACCTATGTTTGGAAATTGGCAAGACTATAAAAGTTTGGCTTGAGTCGAAAGTCATTTTTTCGCTCTTTACTCATTGATCATTCATCCATCCTTGGATAGAAGCCGCTCCAACTGTATGTGATATCCGATATATATCGCATGCAGCAATAACGACAATACGATTGCATCCAATAATTACAAGAATCTCGGTGCATAGAGTGAAACAGTGGAATCATATCATATTGAACAGTCAAGCATGACAGCTGGATAAACTTGTCTAAATAAAATGTCTATAGTTTTTACTTTTGCCATTTAATGTATCACAACTTGCCTACTCATAGGCCTAGTATACTTGCAATATTCGCTCGGCAAAAGGCAGTCAAAGCATGCACAGTCTTTGTAGCAGAGACACATGCAAGCATACTAGTTTCATTATACAAGCAGTCCCATCTCTCAGCATCATTCATCTCCACAGCATCTTCATCAGCCAACACTCCAAAGCAGACAGTTGCAAATTTGCAAATCCCAGTCTTTGCTCCTCTCTTCTCTCCAAGCAAATGTTCTCTTCAAGTCATTATCGCAACACTTATCCGGCTTTCCTTTCCTCCGGACTCAGACACTTGAATCGCGTGATGTTGCTCACAAACGCATGCAAGCTGCACAAAACAGATTTCTCAACCAAAACCTGCATCATCCGACTCGCCGCTCTGGCAAGCCCGCAAATAGACGCCTCAAATGTTTCATCAGGATGGAGTGTGACGCAAAAAAAAAGGCAAAATGCTCCCATTGTAGAGCTCACTTTTGCGTCCTCTTGTGTCGTATCTCATGTTTTTTTCCCCCTCATATGCCTCTACCAGGATATCCCAACCGTCGTTAGTGACCCATACTACATGTATACGACACAGCCACCTGGTGTTAGTGATGTAGATCAACTGCTTGCTCTGGCTTGCCCGTAAAGTTTTAGATGATGGCAAAAACAACAAATAAGTGCTCTGTTTTGCGCTCGCTACAGGAAACTAGATGGGGAATACGCGCAAAGTCGTATGTTGTCGTATGTTATTCTACATTCCGATAAGCGCAGAAACTCGGCCCAGCGTCTGCTGAATAACGAGAGATGCAGGATATGCACAAGCGCGGCTAGCTTTTAGCTGTGCATTGTCCGCTTAGTTAATACGATGAAATTGTTTTCAGTATGTACTGGGTCAGGGTCCATGGCAATGTCAGAATGTGATGGGATAGCAGCAGCACCAAGTAGAAGAAACATCTGTAGCAATTGTTAATACTTACTACTACATGACTAAAATGATTCCTTGATTATTCTGCTAGTTAAAAACATAACTGCCCTCAACGAATCCCTTAAACACTGTTGGGTGAATATAAATCATTGCTCTCTGCAGATAATGCCACCTACCACAGAGCCCACGACAGCCTCAACTACACCAAAGGACGGTTTCGCACGATTAGCTAATCCAGCAAGATCCCAACGAGCTGTACCTTTTTTTCTTCTTCTTTACTTTATTGGCCGAACTTTTCTTTTTTTTTTTCTCTCTTCGCCGAATTTACTTTCGCTCCACTGCCCCATAAACGCGATGCCCGATCCGCCGCGCGCCCACCCCCGTATATCCCGCCACCGAAAATTCAACCCCCATTTTCAACGACACGCGGCCGATGTATAAACGGAGGCGCGACGAAAAAAGGCAGACAAACGTGAGTTCTACGCAACACTAATTGGACCGTTACCAAAGGGGTGGGAGATTTCATTGTAGGATTCTAAACCTGGCCGGCTGTATCGTGTATCGTTGCAAAAACCGCTACAGTACACGTATCCAAGAACCCTGATCTCTCGTCAACCCATCGGGGAATTTTGGCTCTCGGCCTATCTCCGCCACAACCCATGGCCTCAAGCTTCAACAAGTCACAACCAACAGGCCGGCGACTCAGACTGGCCTCTGGATTGCCGAGTCCGCAGTTATGCAAAGTGGTGTGATTCCACGGGCCAGGAGTTGACAAGCGGTTCCAGACCGCGCCAATCCCAGTCGAAAACGATCAAGAACAAGAGCACTGGCCATCTCAGGATCCGGGAAATGAGAATCTGGGTATCCAAATGCCCGGTAGCCAGGCAACCCCCTTCGATGGAACCTGATTTCCGTGTCCCTTGTCGACATGGGCCGCAACCCTTATGACGCCATTTTGATTGTAGAACCAGGTGAAGCATCCCTTGTCCTGTCTAGTACTTGTAGCAGTATTGGGTAGGAATACCGTGGTGTTATTATACTTGTACTACGTAGCAGCAGTCTGGACCCAAGGATCGCTCAATCTCGCATGTATCGATAGTACTGTAGCAGCACGGAGTAGCACCCGTAGGATATCATTCAACAATACAGGGGGTTGTTGACGTTGGCCGTGGCAGCACAGCCCTCGGGGTTGATTCGCATCACGTCGTGAAGCGAGGACAGAAAGGACTCCAACATGTACAATACCGCACAAACCATGACCTGAAAACTGCGGGATTTACACCCTTTCATTTTACTTGTACCGAATCTCCGCCAAGCCGTGAGCCAAGGCATCTTCCATGACTTGCCCCTGCCTCCATCCACCCAGATATGCCAGCTGAACGGAGAGGCTCAAATTGTTTTTTTTCCTGTCTAAACCCGAAGCAACGCGGAGCCAGCTCCGAGAATCGACACCGGCTATCCCGTCGCTAACACGGATGGGTACTAAACCGTCGGCATCAGCAAGGATACGCAAGCTGGCAGCTTTTCAGCTCCAACCCCCCCCCCCCCTGGGAGGCGCTTACGATGGCTCTGTCACCATTGTAATGCACGTCTATCACGGCGTATACTACCTACTACACACACTTCTATCAAAATAACCGAGTGTACTAGTTGTTTTGCTAGTGACAATATTCCTTCAGCTTTAGACAAGCAATAGATCGCGAGGCAGTTTTTTTTTTTTTTACTCGATTGTTACATGTAAGAAATAAAAGCTTGGCTATCTCGGAAACGAATAGCACTAGCTAAGCTATTGAGAGAAGGAGATGATCGAATCTAACTAGAATGGCTCATTTAGTCCAAGTCGACCCCGGGATCATCCATTATTAGTAAAAGTTGCGCCTCGGAGGAAAAAAAGACTCTGATCCAATGATTCCATCTCTATCGCTCACGCCTCATCGTTTCCAACTGGTCATGATTCGCAACGGGGGAGTGAGTCGAAAGAAGATAGATCGAGTCATTCTCTGCGCCAAGAAAGAAAAAAAAGGAAAAAAAGGCAAAATCTTACGATTATCCTTATTGGTTTAAGGAACTTACTAGTTTCAGCAGTAGAATACCTCGCTTGTGTATGTCCATGTATATGTTGGTTCTGACGGCACTTGCAAAGCACGGCTCACATTACTACCCGAAATGAGGCCAAGCACAATAGTCCATCTCTGCCATCTTACAGGATCTACTTTCGGCCTTGCCCGATTTCCCCTGCTGTTTTACTCGGGCGATTCGATTTCCCTAGTGCTGCCTGGCCTCCGTTTTGTGTCATAGTGATAGTGATAGCCGACGCAGCACGCACCAAGTAAAATGACTTGCTCGCCGTAGCCTGCAAGACATGGAAACTAGCATCGACTATTCCATGTAAAATTAAGCTTAGTTGCAACCAATCGCCGTAGTCAGAGCATCAAGCGGTATTGGAGTCTGCCCTTTTATACCGAATATCAACAAAGCCTAGCCCAGGACTTACATTCCCCTACAAGGCTGTGTCCTCTACCAGTCGTCTCTTCATCAGGTTAACCACAGAGTTCTAGATCGAGGTATTGGATCAAGGCCCTCTCCACTATCAGAGATTCAACTGGAAATCGCCTTACGCCAAGGCCGAGATGCAAAACGTACAGGTAAGCAGCGTAACATCCGTCAAGTGACAGCCAAAGGCAAACCCCGCAGCTAGCATACGGAGTACCAAGTCCGTTGGATACCAGGTACCTGAGCGTTTCAGATCTGACAAGAGCCCATTTCTTCCAGCAATTAAAAGTCCTATTCGTTCTTAATGCCGGCAGTAACTAACAAAGGCGTTTCTCGTTGTTCGCTGCACGTCAGATCCACCACATACTACTCCAAGTATACCGCATACATACATTGTACAGCCCGTGCATGCAGTCTGCAGCGCTCACATGAGCAAAAATGCTACAAGACATTGGAGTGGCTGAAACCAAAAGGGTCATACTTCCATACAATCCTACCCTTTTCCACCATGGGCTGTTTACAAACAGCGTCAACCGAGTTTCCCAGCCAATCAAAAGAGCGCACACGCATGAGGCGAATGGATGCCCGAATCCTCACATTATGTCATGGGCCAAACCTGCGACTTTGCCAAGCATCGTCAACGGCACAGATCAATGCACGCACCCGCTTCCTCTCGGCTCGGCATTAGTACCACAAACAGTACTACAGTAATGGTATTTGATTCAACTGCTGCCAAGCAAACATCTGCAAGTAGGTATACATTCAACTACCAGTGACATACTATGTAGCAGTCCTATTGTAAATGCAACCCATATACCGCTCCTGATGCTACCTTGCATTACGCCGTATGCATGTATCGAGCGCATCATCCCGTCCTGCTCGGCACATGGGCCTCGTACTCGGCACATTCCCGCCTCCGCTAACCTGCTGCCATTCACCCTTTCACCCATTCATCCTTTTTATGCTCCCATGTCCCTTTTATTCCCGGTCCTTGCCTCAACACCAGACGAATCAACAAAAACTCCCCGAGCAAAAGCAATCTGAGAGTCACCTACTGTACTGGGTAGTATACTAGGTAGTAGTAGGTAGTAGGAGGTAGCATATCACCAAAGAGACCCTTTTTTTTGCAATTTGCGGAGCCTCCCCGCCACGGCACACGGCTCACCCATCCCTTCTCTCTCTTTCTCCTCTTTTTCTTCTTGTTCCCTTGCTTCTTCCTCCATAGTTTCCAAAACACCCCATGTTCCCTTTTTGCCCCATGTCCAGTCGGTCGGGTCAGCTCCAGGCTCCGTTGTTTGTCGTCGCCCCAGTCCCAGCCCAGGCCATTCTTATCAAACCCCCCTGTCTGTCACCTGCTCGTAGCAAGACAAGCAGCACCTGGTATCATCACGTAGGTGGCTTTTCTTTTCTGATACTAATAGGCCTAGGTAGCATTGTTTCTTTTTGTCTTCGTTGTTTGTTATACACACCCCTAAATAATTCTTTTTTATCTCCTTATCAAAACTAAACACCCTAACAACGGACCCAAGTAAAAAAAAAAATACAAGAAACAAGCAAGGGGGGTGTGGTTTAGGCCTTCCCGCCAATATGCAGGTCTCAGACCCATTCTGAATTTTCCCCCAGATGACTTCCCCAGTTGGACCCCGTTGTCTTGGTAAATTCCCCTTAGCCGACACAAACAGAAGAAAACAACAAAGAGAGACATGCTGTCAAGACACACATCTACGACGCCCAAAAAAGAAAATAGCATCCCTGCGTTTCTCAAAGTCCCTCCCCGCACTTTTTCTGCTCTCAAATCCTAGGTACCTACTGTGCATTATTATATACATACATGTAGTATAACATCGCCCTAGCCCTCTCTTGCCATGTCCTCTTTTGTCATCACGCCAATCCGCCCGTTGCTCCGCCCGCCGCAGACCGAAAGACGCTGCGGGTCCCCTCGTAAGTTGAGCCGTGTGTGTGCTTACTTGATGCTACCAACAGGTAGATATGCCCTGCGTACCCTTGCATCCAATGATCGATGCTGCCGAGTCACTCAGGCAATACCTAGTACTAGATAGGCATCCATATGCTGCATAATACTACTACAAAGGGGAATAATCCTTTGAATCGTACTTGTAGCACAAGCAGATTATAGAATGACAGGTACAGCGTACAGATGGTTATGCAGACAAGTGCAGAGACATGATCAGCCCCCAAGGCCAAATCAGGAATGCTATCAAAAGACACAACCCCCCAGCACATGACACTCGGTTCTTTCTGGGAAAAAAAGGCTCGGAACTTGAATGCCGAAAAAAAAAAGGACCCAAATATGTTTCAAGTTAATTGTTTTTCCCATCATGATATGAGGTCAAAAAGACAAAAAAGAGAGAGATGCCGGCGCCGCCGCTGCTTATAGGCACGATTTCGTTATGCATACATCTTTTTCTTATCCTGGTGTTATACTAATGCAATGTATTTATGCGTGTAATCCTCGACATACATACATCCAGATGTAAGTGTCTGTAATAGACAACAGTAGGCAGTAGTAGTATAATACCGGGCACCAATAATATCACAGCGCATGTCATCCTGACGAGAGATGCTCCTTTATTACAGGTGACAAGACAGGCCGCTGTGATCCTCCTCACCCCGGCCCCTGGCCCCTACTCGGTAGGTAGCCAAGATGCCTCTTTCGCACAATTCTTCCTCTCACAGACCAACGGAGCAAAGCCCATATACATAAAATGACAATAATGATAAACATAGAGCGTGTACATATAGTATGTATATCCATCCTTGTTTGCCGTATATTCCTAGTTAGCCCAGCGTTACACGCATGCAGCTAGTAATCCCTTCATCCCCCAGCTTGCTTCTCCCCTAGTCCCACCTTGCTTCCCCCTTCCATTCCGTTTCTCATTTTCTGCTCCAATGAGGTAACTGTTTTTTTTTCCTCTTGGGGAAAAGAAACAGTAAAGTGATAGGCGCGCGGTTGTATGGTCTGCATGCATGGCACAGTGGTATCTCCTCCTCCAAATCCATCTCAAAGAGCTGTGAAATAGTCGTGTATAAGAAAAAGAAGTCGGGAAAATAAGCATTAGGTATCCGACGGCGCCAGTTCCTAAACAAAAGTTTTCGGTACAAAAGTATATGAATATGAAGCAACAATAATACGTTCTCGAGTAATAGCTTCTAGGTTGTCTCAGTTTAAAAAGAAAAGAAAAATGCAAAAGATAATAAACAAGGCGATCTGAAGACCATGCAACACGGTCTATGCCTTTGCGCGTAAGTGATATCCAATGTTAATACGAGTCAAATCGCAGTACGATGCAATCGCTGTGCCGCCAACCGTAAATTTCGGCATATTGCTCCATTCATTCAAACATCCTTGTATTTGCCCATCAAATTGCTTCCCCGGCTCAGGTTCACGTAAATAGGTAATTGAAATAGACAAATATCGCGATCCCAAAACATTTCGAAGTGGCCAGAGGCGCGCCAGTTACAAGAAGCAACGTAGCAAAGCCACTGCCGACTTGCCAAGAATGATATAAAAAAAAATCGAATAAAAATCCAGATAACCGACCAAAAGAAACAGAAAAAAAGTAGACACTTCTTCTTTCAGCTCCTACATGAGATGGGGCAAATGCGCCAGAGGCGACTGTTGTGCTCGAGGCGGCTGTAGGGGCTGTTGGTGAGGCGACTGCTGATGGTGAGGCGATTGGTGTGGCGGTGGCGGCAGAGGTGGTTGGATGCTAGCATCGCCGCCAAGTGGTGGTGCCGACATGGGAAGCTTGGGAGTATGGTGGCCGGTGTTGCTAGAGAAGCTCGAGGCCATTCTTCCATCCGAGGGAAACAGATCACGTTGGAGCCCCTCCAAAATGTGCATATCGATCCTCAGAGAACTCGTGTGCGTCGCAGATTGTCGAAGGAATGCAATCGTCTTGTGAAATAGCTCGCGTAATAGCTCCTTGGGTATGAAGTCGCGCAAGATATTATCCTTGTAGGCGGCAGCTAGGACGAGGAGATTACCCCATTGACTACATAAATATGTTAGTTACACGCCCCCTTTGAAAACTTCTTGTTATCATCTTATAAACTTACGCATGAGCCGTGCCAAAAACGTTGGTAATAATGGGCCGCTTCTCCCCGAGTCCGTGGAATGATCGTGTGCTTTCGATAAGCGCATAGATACCCTTTCGAGCCAACTCAATGAGGGAGCGATCAAGGTCGCTTGACTTCTTCACATTCGGAGGGATGAATGGCGCGATGACCCCATAGCGATACTCTGACAGGACGCCAGCATGTGGGCTTTGGGGGTGGCGTTTCAACTCGTAGGACCACTGCAGAATCTGACGGACAAATGGACGATAGGTAATCATCTGCGCTCCCCAGTACTTGGCTCTGAGGCGCGCCGAAAGGATATCATTGGCAGGGGGGTCGGTCTCGTTAAAGCGGAAGCTGGGCGGAACCCATGACATGCCAGACACGCCATCTGCCACTAATCTCACATTCTTCAGTTTCTCAGGCTTGCTGGAATCATCAGGAGAGTAAAACATGCGATGGATGCTGTTTAGATGCGTTCGGAGATAGAGTTGCGCGGGGTAGCTGTCTACAACCCTCTGATCGAATCCCTGGAGAAGGCTCATGTTGGGTTGAGGCATGTCGTTTTCATACTGCAAAAGGCCAGAGGGCGGGAGTGGAAGCTCAGCAATCAAGTCACTATTGCAAAATTAGCATCGACTTCAGCGAGAGGCTACCATGGCTCTCATGGCTCGGTATGTCGTGTGCTTACCTCTCTAGTTGCAGACACGTCCAAAAGGCGAGTGCAAGCTGGTTGTATTTGCCCTCTTGGATGAATTCCATGTTGGTCTTGATCTTCTTTAGCTTGTCCAAACTCCTATTGTGAATGTAAGCCCTTGTTCAATTGCTCGCTTGTAGTATTTTCAGACGGGAAAAGACTTGACTTACGGTCTCATAAGAACTTGCAACTTGTGGCTTGCTTTGTGGATAAAGGCAAAACTCTCCAACGGTCGCGCGAGCTGGCCGTGATACAACCCAGCAAAAATGTTGGCGTAGACGTTCTTCATATTATTGTACGCGCCGAGGTGGTTTCCAAGAATGTCCGTTGCCAATGCGAAATATTCCAAGCCGGGAATCACCTCGTAGTTCTTCTTCAAGCTGTACCCTGCGCGAACGGCGGCGGTCCCGGACGCACTGGAAGCGCCGTGGATAGATGATCTCCTGCTCTGGTAGCCGCGTTCTTGGTCCCTGGGTGAAGGGAAGCCAGAGGAGTGGGAGTGGTTTGAGAAGGACGGGGGCGAGCCCTGAATAGGCGATGGAGGAACCCCGTTGCGACTAACTGGGCTCCCATGAGGGATTGGGTCGACCGGGAAAATCACGTCAGGAACTTCGTCTTGGTACATACAGATTTTACCAAGGGCCAAGACGATGAGAATGAGCGCGCTATGAATGGAACGACTAGGCTTGCCGAGACGCTGGGAAGATGGCGGTACAGGCACAGCTGGATCGGGACTTCGCTTTCTTTTGGCGCCAGTCATCTCCTGAGGCTGGGGCACAGCGAAAGTCGATGTCAAAGGTTGAGCCTTTACCTTTGGATTCGCAGTAGGGAGCTCGTTGATAAACTGGTGAACCCACTCGTCGAGAACCTGCGGGTGGATAATGGGGTGCATGTTCAAGATGTTGTTCTTGAAGCTTTCCACGTAGGCCGCAACCTTGTGTTCGCTGAAATCTGGGTTTCCGTCAGGGCCAAGCACGCCGCCCCGGTACTCAATCTGATCGCCAGGACTCAGACCGCCTCCAAGCTGACCCCAGTCCGCAGCGGGAGAGGAAGCTATAATGTCTGACATGTTATCATCGCCAATTTCTGCGTTTCCGTGATCGGCAGTCGCCTCTCTAGAAAGTCGCTGGTGAGAGTCTTCGCCTCGCCCGTACACCTTGAGGATTCCGCGGCTCTGCTCCAGACTAATAGGGTACTCGCTGACAAATTTGATGCCCTCACGCTCCAGGTGGGACCGTGTCAGTTCTTTGATCGGATCCCAATCTAAGAGAAGCCCAGCCAAAGTCGTATGGTTAATAGGGATGGCAGGCTCGCCTGGAGGTACAGGAGGGCCAGGTTCTGCTTCTATATCGTCCTCGGTGCCAAAGGCCATGGCCACGGCATCAGTAGACATTGCTTCAGGTACCGTTTCAGTAGACTTTACCGGCTGATCCCGAGACATGTCAGCTACGGAAGAGTGGCTGATCGGTGGCTCTTCTAGCGGCATGTGAGGCGGCGGTGGTGGCGGCGGGCTTGGGTGGGATAGTGGTGCAGCTTCAATCTCCTTTTTAGGAATGGTCCTTGGCGTAAATTCCTCAAAAAACTGTGGTATTCTTGAAAAGGCGGACTCTATCTTGGTCAGTCTGTCGTCAATGTTTCCAAAACGTTCTGACATGAACTGAAGCGTAGATTGCATGCTGTTGATGCCGTCCAGAATGTCTGACTGCGCCTTGTCGGTTCTATATTGGTAAAAGGTCATGTTAGTCAAATCACACTGCACGCGCGAAAAGACGAAAGCTGCAAATTGGGTCAAGACTCACGCTTTTGGCACTGGATCGCGGTATCGACACTCTGTGCCCTTGTCTCTGCACGTTTTACACGGTTTCAGCTCGTCGCATTTAGCTTTAAGCTGCCGACACTGGTCACATGCCTATTAGAGAGAAGAAAGGTCAGTTCCCGAGTTCTCGGTATATGAAAGTTGATTAGATAAGAAATTGCCAAGTCAGACCTGTGAAGCCCTTGTGTTCTTCTTCTTCGCCGCGCTTGAGTAGACGCTGTAGAAGGGCTCTTGGGACTGAAAATTGGGGTTTTGTTCATAAGGCTGTTGTTGCGCGACCGGTGTAGGAGGCCCAGGAGGAAAGCTCGGGGCGCGATAGGCTCCAGGAGTCGGGGGCATAGACGGCTGGTTCTCGTAATTCATGTGTCGTGGAGGTGGCGGGTTATCTTGGAAGGCGGGAGGTGGAGGAGGAGGGTGTTGCTGCTGCTGCTGCTGCTGCTGAGGCGTCGGCGGCTGCTGTTGGGGATGCTGCTGAGGGTGCTGCTGAGGGTGCTGCTGAGGATGTTGCTGCATGTGTTGTGGAGGATATTGCTGCGGTTGTGGCGGTTGCTGCTGATGCTGAGGATGCTGAGGATGTGACTGAGGATGCTGCGGCGGCGGAGGAAGCTGCGGCGGAAGCTGAGGCGGAAGAGAATGAGGTGTCGATATGACCTGGGGTGTCGGTGGATGAGCGTCTGGCGCATGTCCCGTCGAGTTTGGTCTTCGGAGGTCATCACCAGGTTCTCGCTTTACTATGGCGTCTCGTCCGGGATACTGATATTGCGCATGCGCTGGAGACATAGGGTGCTGCGATCCCGGATGCTGAAGCCCCGGGTGGTGCTGCTGCGGCGGCGGCGGCGGCGGCGGTTGACGGTACGGATCCTGCATGGGGGCGAGAGTCTCTTGATCCGAGTGTCGACGATCAATCTCTGGGTGCTGTTGGGCATGCCCGTGGAGTGACACCGGCGTTGGCGCAGGCAGAGGCAGCTCCGGGGCTCGAGGCTGGTATTGATACGGGCTGGCGCTGGCCGAGTGGTGGTGATAGTGGTGGTTGGGGCCTTGGGGAGGCGGCTGCGGCGGCGGCAGCTGGTTCGACGAAGCATGCGGCGCGTGAGAGGGAGGAGGAAGGGGATGATGGGACGACGGAGGAAGAGGTTGAGTATTAGGATGCGGCCGCGTAGCACCAGACGGCTCCCAGAAGCGCATGCGCTTGCTGTCGGGAGGTCCTTGATCCATGCTGCTGGCTTGATGTATAAACAGTACAAGTACAGGCTAGGACACACGGACTCATAATCAGGAACGAGGCAAGAGGTGAAGCAAGGACCACAGAGGGGTGTTGGCCATGGGCTGGAGGCGAAACTCCAGACGCCGGGGGAGTGAGGGCTCGGAAGGTTTGAAGAACGGTGCTTGGTTATTGGATCTTTGGCAGCGGGAGACCGGGAGCCAGGGAGGACATGGGGTGGGTGAGCCTCGCACGATTAGGGCGGCTATGATGACATCTGAGTTGCCGCCGTCGAGGAGCAGAGAAGGCCAGAGCCAGAGCCGGCGGCGCGGTACTTGCGAGGCAGAGCGGAGGGTACGAGCGGTGCAGGTATCCGGGCAGAGAGACGACGTTTGGACGACTCTGATAGACGAGGTGAGCGGCGGGCTATCGACGGCTCGGCCTAGGCCCAACCCAGTTACGCGAACGCGGCAAAGGGGGGCGATCAACCAGGACGCTGTCGTTGGGCAGGATGAAGGAGAGAGGGCGACGACGAGGAGAGGAAGAGAGAGCGCGAGAAAGAGAGAGCGCGTGCTAAGCAGAATGAGCAGAGTGAGCAGAGCAGAGCAGAGCAGAAGCACCCCAAGCTTCACCAGCAGCTCTAGGCCGCTCCGGTAGCCGGCAGGCTGTGGGGACGAGCGGGATACGATGAGAAAAGGACAAGACTCCAGCCAAGGTTCCCGGTACCCAGAACCCTGCAGCCCCAATCCTGCCCGACGGGGAGTTAATCGTCAAGGCGGCTTAGCGAACGAAGCAAAACGGGCAGAGAGGAGGGGGGGGGTGTCAAAGCGGGAGCTCTGCCAGAGAGACACGAGCAGCGAGAGGGTGTTGATAGCAAAGCAGCGTCATCAAGTAGAAGGAAGGGAAACTATGAGATGGAAGCGCAAAAAACTGAACAAGATCCTCAGCGTCCCAAGTCAGGTAGGTCCAGGCCACGGTAAGACGAGACGAGACGAGAGATAGCAGACTGCTGATGTTCAGCACCAGAGTCGCATCCTGGCATGTACCCCGACTCAGCAACGAGCTAATCAGGCGTCAGGCACCCTTTTTTGCCGTGTCGGCGGCCACGCTCAGCGCCGTATTTTTGGCACTCCGGGGGGGGCGCGCGCATAAGGAACATAATGGGTCGCTGACGCCACCTGCAAAAGGCGCTCCCAGGCACTGCAGAGACACAGCAATTAGTGCCCTCATTAGCTGTGGTCCTGGGTACCTCTAGCGGCATGCGGTGGGGCGCGCAGGGTTTGCTTTCATTGCAGGGTTCGCTCTTGGGACTGCGCGAGGAGCTGTGGGATGGGATGATGTCGGCCGTACAGGGCAAGGGGGGGTGGTCTACCGTTCTTTTTTTTTTTTCCTCGTCTTGTCTTGGCTTGACTTGTCTCTGCTGGGTATTACATTCTTGTGGTATAAGCCTGCGGTACGTTGCCAGGGCCAGGGGGGCCTTTGTTGTCGGCACCCAATGGAACAGTTGCCCAGGAACTCGGAGGCGACCAGGGAGGGCATGGACGTGGAAGCGATCACAAACTGGAGATGCACGGATGCGGGCAGGCTGAGACAACACAAAGCCGTGAAAACATGCATGTGCAGTATGTACCTTGGCATATCAAAAAAAGAAAAGAAAGAAAAGAGACAAGAAAGACGCGGCACGGGATGGAGCCTGGGTTGGAGGGGACCTGCAAAGAGTGAGTCGCGTGGACCGTGACCGCCTGCCATTGGCTGCCAGAAACGCTCCCGGGACTCCAACTACCCGAAGAGACAAAATGGTGATACAGCAGCTCCAAATTTCAAAGCTCCGCACGCAGCCTAGTGGCTCGACCGACACGCAGCTCGGTATACTTGTACTTTGGACAGCCCAAGACATTGCTCGGTATTCGGTACATGCAGTGCTGTAGGCACATTTGGCAGGATGCTGAAGCACGGAGCTTTGTGCACGTCCGGGCCACTCTCCGGCCGTCTTGAAGTCGCGTGCTTTGTATTACCGTACATGTACCTGTTTTCTTTTTTTTTTTTTTCCCAAAAGAAGCACATCTCGCCTTTTTTCCCTTTCTTGGATCCATCTCGCTACTTGGCTACCTCACATCGTTAGCCTTTTGCAGGACCAGTACTGGTAATTTGGTCTGACTAATGTCCGTCTGTAATGAGCTGCTGGGGGGGGGCAGCCCTCGCGTTGATGCTGCTTCTTTTTTCCCTTCTTTTTTTCAGTACATGGCGCTACATATTTGACCCTACTTACACCGTGGAGACGCATCATGTAGCACACCGACGGACCTAGCAGGCAAGCAAGCAATCAGGCAATCAGGCAGGCAATAGCGCACCACTAGCATCACGCTTCTTCGTAGGGAGCTCCGGAGATCAAGCCTGCGTCGAGCTACGGCAGAGGCTCCGTCGCAGCCATGTGTGTACGAGTAATATCCGGGCGCCGGAAAGATTCCCTAGGCCAAGGCGGGCTTGCTTTAGAAGCCTCGCCATCTCGTCACCGCCATCTAGCTCCGTGCAACTACTGTAGGCCCATCAACTAAAAAGAAAGAAAAGAGGGAAAGGAGAGTCAGCTCCTCCCAGCTGAGGGAGACCCAAGCCAGCGAGTGGACCGTTCCGAGAGCCAAGTCAAAAACCAGCTGCTTGCTTCGTGATGGTGGCGTGGGGCAAAACTGGAAGCTCTGCTTGCTGGGTGAGCGTCAACCCATTTCTGCGAATAGCGCGGCCAATGCAGCCGCCATGTTCGCGCAAAGAAGCATCGCTGAACCTAAGCTCGGCGGGTCGGCGCACTAGGCCGCTGAGAAGAAAATTCTTGGGTCCTTCCATGGTGTTTTGGCATTGATGGTGATATCAGGAGCCGTCTTGGCTCCATCGGCTTTTCTGCCCAAGCGGGGGATCGAGAATCCGAGACCATGTACAAAGGGGGAATAAGTGCATACAATGAACAATACGAGCATCCGTCATCGAGGCCGAGACTTGGTCATTATACGCGTATAATCCTACAGCTGTGTGCTTACCAGCCTGCGCACTTGGTTCCTCCGCCAGCTACCACGCTCTTTAGCAACGTGGTGGCGTCCCCCGAGCTCTGGCGGTGCCTCTTCCCACTCACTGGTAAAACGACGCCTTCGCCTTTTGGCTTTAGCCACTCCCGCCAGGCTTGTTTTTAGCCCGTGGAAAACGGTCTCTGTGGTTCTAGCGCGGCAGATAGTTCTAGGCAAGGGGGATTCCACGTGAGACGGATATGTCGGGCTATTTAGGTTCTTGGAGTGTTAGGCACTCATTTCCGCTGTATACTGCATCAGACTGCTTCGAGGTACTCGTGACCGCTTGGCAAAATGCGTGTCGCGCGATGTAGTCGTGATGCGGTACCTGGTATGGTATTTGAGTACAGCAGATGATATAGGGCCGTAAGCCGGATTGTGGGTGTAATATCTCCGACTCAAGAGCTCACACGGGCCACGCGTTGGTTGGAGTCACTGAGGGGCTCGTTTTACTTTCCTTCTTTTTTCTGTTCAAGCGTGTCTCTCTTTTTCCAAGGTGTCTCTCAGCTACCCGCTGGCGGTTGTCGACGATCTTTGGGTACATGTACATGCAGCTTCTCAGCCAACCGCCACGCCGCGCCTACTGCTGTTGTACAGGCAAGGGGCTATTTTGCCCCTCTACGCTTTTATTCTTTTCTTAGCGCAGTGCAGCGCAGCGCATTTTGTCGCGTTCATGCAGCTTCATCAAACGGCCCGCAGAGGGCACTATTGCTGTAGCTGTAAGTAGGGGGACGGCAAAAAAAGGTCCGCAGCCAGCTGTGAATATGTACCAGCCAACCAAATTAAACCACAAATGAGAATAATCGAAAAAAAGAAAATATATGCATGAGTAGTAAGTAGTGAGACATTGCTCTTTTAGAAAAAGAAAAAGAAAAAAAGAAAAAAAGAAAAAACTTTTTTTCGCCGCCTCCCACTCGGCGCACCCACTCTGAAACCTTTGCCTGCCAGTCTGGAGCGAACATTTGATTTGACCGGCGCTGTTTCTGCGGCTGACTTGCGCTGTACAGATGACGATGAGCGATTTCAAACCCCCCCTTGTCAAGCTGGCTTTGCAGCCCAATGGCAAAAAACCCAGGTTGGAATGTGTCTGCCGGGCTGTCCGTGCTAGCCGATGCGGCTCGGTTCCCAGCTACCTGGTTATGCCTGGAGACGCTGGACCAGTTGACCAGGTAGCTGAGATGGCCGTGCTGGCAAATCTCTGTGCTGAAGCCGACACAGCCACCACCCATCAGCTGCGTCAGACCCTGCTACTCGTCAATGCGAAATGGCCATCTATTGATATTCCCAGGACAAACCATTGCACATACCCTGCTCTCTCACCTTATTGGCTGAAAATAAAGAATACAGCAATAAATAACCCCAGCCACTTTTTTATGGTAACATTTTTTATTTTTTTCAAGTTTCCTCTCTCCCTTTGAGCACTAACACCAGTATTTTATCATTTTGTCCAGGGTAAGCTTGGTGCGGCAGCCGAGGCCAAATAAGAATAAAAAAAGACCAATCGGCATTGTTCACGACCCTACACACCCGCTGTGAGGGCGCCAATGAAATGCCGGCACACCAAAAAGTAGCCACAACAAAAGAGCCCATACTACTAATTCTCACACGACAAAGATCGCTCTACGATATATCCATGCTCGCGACAGAGAGGCTGTGACTTTGTTTGCTCCGCGGCGGACTTTGCTCGCGCCCCCCGGCCAAGTCCAGTAAAAAGGTTTTCGGGGCTTCCTGTATCCCTGCGACGAAATCCTCCGGGGGTGGCCGTGATAGAGCTACATCGTGCAAACAAACAAATGCTGCCTGCGTGTGTAGTACTTGTACTGTATACTAACGTACATACATGCCCGGCTGTGCCAGATGCAAACTATTTTCTCGCCTTTGTAACCTCTAGAGGCAAAGGGCAAAAGCATACGCCCCCCCTTATTGCCCACGGGGAGCTTTCCAGGATGAGGTCACCAGGAAGCCTCTACTGGCCGACCAGTTCCTTAAGGCTACCATTGCACCGGTACCCTCCATTAGTGAATACGGGCCGAAACCTGCTTTCGTAGAGGCGCAGACAAGGAACTGCCCTGATGCGAAGAGACATTCATGCGGCGGCCAGTTGGACAAGGAGTCTCCCTCGCTGAGGCAAAAGGCCGCTTAGTTGGCATGTTTACTCGGCCATATGCCAAGCGCGGCCGCCGTCATATTCAAACGGGTGTGCGCTAACACGCAATTTGGTGTTGCACAAACGCTTGAGTCAAGTCAATGATACTCGGCCTCTTTGTTTACAACAGCGGGAGTGACCTTGTGTCGCACCAGACCTGTCTCTTGACTGTTCCCCGAGCTGTCTGTCGTATTACTCCAAGTGCTGGGAGGCGGTGTCACCTATCATATTGGCCTTGCCAACGGAACCAACAACACACACACCGAATTGTGGATATTCAACACCGGCAGTGCCAAGGGCATGAAGCAGCCCATGGCGACTTCGTGCCGAGTTGATCCTTGCCATTCTCTTCCTGTGGTGAGAAAAGGGTCTAGCCAGTCTGTCTACCTTATAGGTAGGGCACCTTGTGTAAGTGTTGAGTTCCGCCTGGCCGTGTTCCCGGGTGCATACTGTAACGCGTGGAATTGCCTTGGTGTTACCAGTCTCCAAACTACTACCGTACATGTAATCGGCCAGTAGCAGTGGTACATGAATTTGAGAGCGTGCAAACAGATGAACACTGGCAGTCGGGTGATTGTCTTTCTGACGGGTAGGCTAAGGAAAAGAACGGCGGTTTTGGCGTCCTGTCATGACACATGTCAACCGACAATCGCAGACCGCCAGATCAGCTGTCCTGGCATATACTGCAGACAGGCATGATGTGAATGGATGTCAATAACAGGCACTTTGGACTAGTAGATATTAGCTCCATAATAATAATGACGACAGAAGAAGAAGAGAGAAAAATTTTCTCTCTTCTCCTCTCTCCTCTTCTGGGTCCGCCAGATGGTTATGGCCATTTTTTTGTCTATCCTTCAGCTGGAAGAGCTTGCCATCCAAGGCAAGGGTACATGTAACCAAAGGCCATGACGTTTGTTTCCCACTGTTGCTCCAACCATAGATTTGTTTGACATGTCCGTCATTGGGCTTGGCGGCTGCTACAGATGGAGAGATCAACGCTTCGAATGGTTGCACTTACAAAATTCTGCCCAACAGTACTGCCCACAACCTGGTAGAACTTGATGGGCTAATTAAGCTCCCTTGTACAGAGTTTTACCACAGTGACAGAAGTCCTACGAATAAAGTGAAGCAGGGGCGTGTAATGAGTACTTGCGCCAGCTCGGAGAGTGCCAGGTTCATTATTGGTTTCGCTTCTCTCAAAGCTAGACGAGTGCTAGCAACGAGTTTGGTGGAAAGCTGAGGGTTCCTAGACCCAACGAAGAAGACGGTGGCTGACAGCTGCACAGCTTCGGCCACTTGACGGCATACGGTAACAGCATAGCGGTCGTACTTCTTCTTTTGCCCCAGAGTGAAATGTCTGAATGCTACTTGGTATTGAACTTGAACAGATTCGTCCATGTGTTGGTCCTTCGTCTTCATAACAGGGCAGGCATCCTCCCGAAATGCGACTTTTTGCCTTTTTGATGCGTCTACTAGTGATACATCAAAAATAATAACCTGGGAAATAAAAGGACTCTGCACGTCCAACGCCTTCTCGCTACCATTGCTTGTTTTTTTTCTTTCAAGGTTTCTCTTTTCTCGAAATACTTGGTGCTCCGTTTACCCGTAAACCACATTACACGGTGGTACTGGGTACCTTGTACCTAGCGCCACCCAATTTTTCTTTTCTTTTTTGGCTACTCGTAATATTGCTACCACTAATGGCAAGGTAAAAAGTGGTGATTGCTGGCCACTCACTTTCACTCACCGCATCATTTCCCCGAGCATGGATACCAAGCTGGCCCCATCTCAGGGCCCCAAGTGCGCCGACCCCCCCTGGCCCAAGAAAGAGGCAAAAAGAAATTTTATCGACGATCTATCGCAATCTCGCGCAGAGAGGGCTGCTCATGTGAGGAGAATTGACTTTTTTGAGCGTCTTTTTTCGAAGATATTTCCGACGACACACATACCTGTACTCATACCTACCTACACACCACTCGCGCTTGTAAGGAGAGAATCTCCCTGCAGGAAAAGATTTTTTTCTGTAAACGAACGAATGAATAGACAGATAAAGAAATGAATAGGCAGGGATAAGAAAAAAGAAAGAAGAGAAAAGCTGGGCAAAAGTAACGTGTCACTTCATGTGTCTCATGCAGGGCGGAAATTTGGTGTTTCCCTTTGCTTTCCTTTTTTTTTTCTTTTGCAAGAGCGGGAGAATTCCTTGTTATAAATGTCTCTTCTCTCTGCGACACGGGCCGTTGTCTCACCCAGCTGGGCGGTTCGGGAAAAGAGGAAAAACGAGCACTGCATGGATTATTTACCCCAATTTCAACAATCAGTCCCTTCGGATAATTTCATTGACAGTCTTTCAGAGCCCTGCTTGCCAAGGTATGCAGTATCACCAACTGTTTTGCGAGCAGCAATGCGCTGGCAGTAGAGGTTAAAAGCCGACTTGTCTCTGCTGCTGACAAGCAAGTATCGGATACCTGTAGTGCCTCTCTGCTGGCCAACGGTCCCGTGGCTTATCGCCTGTCAAAGCAGCAAAACCACGTCAATCATAGTGTACGAGTGCTCGTACGCTCACACAGACGCCTTCCAGGTTCCTGCATAGCGCCACCCTCAACGTGTGGCCAGCCGGTCAGCGGTTGTCTTCCCCACGGGCGCAGTGTGAATGCCGTAACTGGCTGGCCTCAGCTCTCGCCTGATTAGCCGGTGCTACCCCAAGCAGGCGTGAATGTTTTGTAATCATGCATACTTGTACACTTGTACACGTGTGGCATGTCCATGTCCCTGATGGCGTCCGGCTGAAGTGACAGAGCTGCTGCTTTCCTTTCCCCTCCGGCTGTGCTCCTGTAACGTTAAAGCGCCATCCGCACCACGGCAGCCGCGGCGTGCCGGACCCGATCCCCATATTGCCGTGCCCATCAGATTTGATGGGATCCAATGACCGCCGCAGAGGCATCAGATATGCTGGAGCCAGCGCTAAGAAACACGAGGCTCGTGCCGTGCCTTTTGCGCTGACTACACGGCTCAGCTGCTAAAAAACTAGCAGAGCCACTTCGTGCAAGTCCATAGGTACATGTAGCTCTAATTGAATGATGGAGGACGGCTGTATGGAGTGCCTGTAGTGCTCTGTTTGAAAACCTAGGCGCCTTGCTTCTATTCTTTTTGTGGAGGCGGCAGGTTTCATGGCAAGAGCCGTGGCACCAGCACCAGCGCTAGAAACGTCATCAGTACTCTGTACCTTTGCATCTCGATAACATCCTCGGGACAAACAACAGCCCAGCCAGGCTTCCGTTGGCTCTCATTCCCAGCATTCCTTGACCACGACAATAGACCAGCTCTGCGCCACTGTTCGAAACGGGTGCAACGCAGCCCGGGCGAGCAGGAAGACAATACGACATACGAGCAGATCCAGGTTCTCGGAATAACTACAGGTAGATGGGCTGCCTAGCCTTAATCCCTCATCCGTCCCAAATCCACTGGCGAGTTCCTTTTTGGCCAACGCTGCCTGTCCTTGGCATCTGCCGTTTTGTCATCTCCAAGAGAGCGAAGCGAGAGAACAGGAGGAGCAGCTACAGCTGGCGAGGGGCTACATCGCCCAATGGCTCGTGGGGGCTGAAAGGTAAACGACCCGGCTTAGCACCATCGCCAAAGAGAGTCACGCTGCACCGAGGACACGGGCTTGGGCCGGCAGAATCCTTCCTGGGGCTATCACCACATTGCATCCGAGCTGCCCAGCTACCGGCCCTCGTGACGCGAGGCCCTTTTTTTCTCTCAGTTTTCTTCGCCTTTTGCTGTACGGCACAAAGTCACCCCATAGCTAGTGCTTTGCCGGGGAATATGCCAGGATCCTGAGATTAGGGGAATGTGACATGTCAGCTCTTCTTCGAGCTATCAGCGCAAAAAGACTCAGTTTTAAAATTTGCATCTCGACAAGAGCACGGCTGGTCACATTAGCGGCATCCCGACTTTTCTTTGGCGTATCCGCCGCCGCTGGCACCCAAGTTCCGTCTCGCACTTGCGAGAATGTCAAACTCGGACGGGTAAAGTCTGTTTGTGATATTTGACAGCTGACACCAAGATTCTTCTGCCGTGGGGAAAGGGAATAGATAACAATGGCAAGGCACATAGCCCCCACGATGTCCAAGCTGCCTTTCTTTTCCCTCTTTGCATTGGAGTCCTACAGTGGCAGTGGTGGTGCCTTCTTTCTGCTCCTTGTGTGGGGGCTAGCTCTTCCGCTGAGGACCGTACTGTAACGAGACGTTTTAGCTTGAGAGTCTGTGACTGCTTTATGGATAGCCGCTACGGCCGCGTACACGAGATTGCTGGGCCTCGCTTCCAAGGTCATATAGCACTATTGCCAGTGCGGTGACATTTGGCGCGCTGGGTTCTTTGTCTCGTTCGATATAGAGTTTGTCCAAGTGGATTTGAGCAGTAGTTGGAACGAGCTCTCACATTGGCTCGGCATACACGCCAGTCTCGGAAATGTACGTGGGATGTTACAACGCGTTGACCGGCATGACATGACACCCAATGGAAATGGAGCTACGCGCTACGAACACGCTCACGTAACGCCCGGGGGAGAAGATCTGGCGACGGGAAGCGCGCGGAAGTCCGGCGCACTGCCTTGCGAGCTGACCGGTGTGAACCGCATCTCTTCGCGACGAGCTTTCTCCTTGGGCGTAAGAAGCACCCAGTCCCATGAGCCAGCATGGTAGCCTTATCCTGGTTACTAGCCGTGAAAGCTGCTCCTTCTGCTCCTATTCTGGACAATGCTCACTCAACTTGAGCAAATAGATTTGGACAATTTTAGCAGTGCATCTTCTGAACACCAACAGTGAGACGCTACAGATGCCGCATGCTAGGTTTCGAGATGGAGGCCCCTAGAAACATTTGATAACGGGATTGTTCCAGTTCCTGTTGATGGCCGCGTCATGTAACCCAACAACGGCCACGCAGTCGGAGTTTATGATAAAAAAAACACCTGCGGTTGTAACTGCCGTAGGGAGCCTGGATACCCTGGGCCTGTTTTGCTTACCGAAGGAGTGTGTCACGTATGATGAGATGGAATCTAATCTAACCGCAGAGAGCGAATCATTACGCTGACATATCATGCATATGGGTGATTTGCGAGTGTGAGAATGAACCGACTCTCCCCGTGAAGGATGAATTTCCCAAACGAAAGACGGTATGTTGGAAAAGGCCGAAAAGGCCTATATGCAGACTTACGGGGGTTGAGACGAATACTACTCTGGTTCTAGGTCGTCAGTTGAGCCAGGGTGATTCTCAAGAAGGTGAGAGTTTGCCAATTAATACCTATTGATTTGATTAGTAGATGGCTGGTGATGGCGCGCACAGACTATTGAGCATCATACAGAGTACAGGAACTTGTAATTACGAGGCACACAAACGCTGACAACTCTCTGATACAAGCTTTCAGTGTTGGCAACCAACGTTGATGAAAAGAGACAGCTGTAGATGCAAAATACGTTGCATGGCATTTATTCGACCAAGTTATTTGAACCTCCTTATCTTTCTTCATTGCCCCTAGGCATCGAGGAACTTTTGCGATTGAACCCGAATAAAACTTGTTTATTCTTCTTTACTTTACGGATTGCTAAACAACATTCAAGGGATACCCCGGACGACGTGTTGGTTGTGCTAGGAATGCCCAAACGTGGTAAGTCAAGCCGTATACGTGCAGAAGCGAGCTTGGCGAGTTAAGGAGTCTACAGATATGAAGGTGGCATATTCTAGTTGGCATGGGTCTACAGAATACTACTTGGTGTTGGTTGTATGTTTGAGTCCCCTATCATCTATCATCTATCGTTTTTCACTTTTTGGGGTTTTCGGCAACACTTTTTATGTAAGGGCCTTGAGCTGGTTTGAATGGAGACCGCAACACAACTGAAACTATTTTCTCTTGGAAACAGAGATAACAGGCCTAAACCCTAGACGAAAGAAATAAGAAGGATACACGAAGGATTTTTCTTATCCTAATTCCTGGTTATCAAGGGAAGAAAGCAAAAGGAAGACGCGAAATTGCTGTCAACTGTTAGGTGGAGAGGGTCAAGAGAGAGCTACTGGGTGTTCGTGCTAGACAGGGCTGGTGCTGGCTTGGAAGGACTTTGCACGCATTCCTTTGGATGATAGGCAAGGCATGGTACCCCTAGCGATGCATGTTGGTATATCAGGCCCTGAGGAAAGAAAAGACAAATAGAAGGGACATGAAATGAGCATGGCAGGGTGTATTCCAAAGAAGAAGAAGAAGAAAAAAAGAGTGGACAAGGGCGGGTTATTGTCACAAAACGCCACTCACAGGCTTGGATATACGGGTTACTCCATGTAGCAAGCACCACGAGCGTGTATAATTTGTCGGTTTTTCTTTTCTTTTGAGAGAGTGGCTTAGAGGAGCTATACTGAAAAGAAACGAGACACCCCCCAGTCCGGGTGTACCCTTGGGCTGCCACACCTTGGGAAAAGTTGGCCGAGAGTAGACGGAGAGGGAAAAAAAGAGGGAGACAGAGATCTTTGGTTGTGAGATAATGGAGGGGGTTGGTTGAACTCGAGAAAAGCCTCATTTTCTCTTCCGTCGGTGGTATGTTTTGCGTAGACCTTGGCGTGTTTATTTCTTTTTGTAGGTAGGCAGCTACATTGGGGTTGAGGCCTACCTGGGTGACATGTGAAGATGTGAGATTTTGTGAGATGCCGGCTATGCGCGACATTTCTCGACAAAGTAGCTATCGGTATACGTAGTTTTCGGTCAGAGAGGGAGAGACTTTTAAAACGAAGGAGGCTGTTCTATTGCTAATGCGTTCTGTTCTGTCGAGGTTACCTACAGGCTAGAGAGAGAAAAGGATCTGCTAATACGCGCGCCAATAGCGAGACAAGACTATTTGACAGTGCTTCTGAACGAGATGTCAAGGTTTCGTTGGCTGCTTGAAAGAGTAATGTTGATATTCTTTTTGATGCAGAAACTTTTCACTGTTCAACCCTTTTGCGCTGGGACATGTCATCTCTCATTAGCAGTCTACTTCCTGCCTAACAAGTCTGTTCATAACGCGACGAGCTGGCAAAGCGTATAAGTCGGGCAAAACCACAAAAATACAAACTGTGTCTGCGTATCATCATGCATGTGCCACCAACTGCACGAGAAAGAAAAATTCCCTGACTAGCCTTGCCATCGTGCATTCGGTGTGCATGCAGGTATCATCACTAGTGCGTTATAATATTGCGTCGTTTTTTTATTCCGGCATGTGTCTCTCTTCGTTTTATTGCCACCAGCACAGGGGGGCGCTTGTGTGACGGCGGAAAGCTTTGCCCAAGTCTGCCTGATTTTAGATGGTTGGGCTGGAATCATTGTCGATCTCCCATAGACTCTTGTTTGCTGTGTGAGGGGGGGAAAGGTAAACAAGGAAACTGTTTTTTTGGGGGCTGTGAGTCGCGCGCCGATCCTTTTTTTTTTTTTTTTTGACCTCATGTCGTCTTTGTTTTAAATTGGATGGCGTTTTTTACTGTCACTCAGCCTCACGGGAAACGGGTTGATAGATTGATGCAAGGATGGGTGCTCCATTTACTTTTTTGTCTTGACACATGCAATGAATACAAAGACTAGAATACAACGGGGTGTCGGTTTAGGTAGTAATGGAAATACTATACGGATACTCCCTCTGTACGAGTATCTGTTATCATTAAGACATGTATGTATCTATCCCGCTGCTGGCAGTAACCCAAGGTCAGGCCACCACTCGATGCATTAGTGATCCAACGGTATGATTGCTGTTACTAAGGAGTTTTACCAGTAGCAGCAAATTTTTGTAGATGCTCTCCGCCTTCATGGGGCGAATGCTACCCAAAGGCAAGATTTGAGTTTCTTAAAGATAGGAAAGATTAGAATACTGCTACAACAACTCCGGCAGAGGGAGATTACACGAGCACGTGAAATGAAATCACAAAGTATAGAGTACTTATCAGCTCGCCTCATTTTAACAAGGGAAATTTCGCGTGACCTCATTTCCAGTTGCGCATTTGGGGTAGGTATTTCTTTGCGTACACGCCATACGGGGCTACCATAGTACGCTTCGAGAGTTCCCACTTAGAATGCAACATCATTCACGCATTCCCGTGATAGACCAACAGCAGCACTGATGGGTGTTTGAGCATCCGACTGTTATTACTGGATAGGACGAGAGGATGTAGAAATGCAACCCGATTGGATGGCGGGTGGGAATGAGAAGGGAGATACTTTGCGCGCTGATCACTGTATACTTGTACCGTGATTAGGAGGCTTGCTGAAATGAAACATGGTGAGAGGCTCTGTTATGATAGATACAACCTTGGTACTAGTACTACTTGAATTCCTGGATATTAATCGAGTACGGCACAGGAGCATCTTAAGTCGTTGCTGTGGTATTTCTAAAAGCCCCCAAATATAGCGTATATATCAGTCATCAGTATCGCCATGGATATATTGCTCTTGCAACTAGCATCAATAGTTCTGAATCGGCCTCTTTGGAAAGCGAACCTTTTGTTTTTCAATCCATCTGCATAAAGCTGTAATTTGGGTCAATCGATGTGTAGATAACCTGTCATTTTATCCCTTGCCCATTGACGCCCAACAGCCCGTTTCTTGGTTCGATAGGGCAGCGAGGCGTTGTGCAACGCCCTGGAAAATGATTGGCGTCCTCGTTGGCTGATGAACGGCGTGACCAACATGCATATATTCAGCACCAAGGAACAGCCTTATTTCCGTGAGTACAGGAAATCCTCCAGGGGTAAATAGGTACAAAATTCGCAAAAAACCCTTGTATGTCGCAGATTTCGCTATTTCCAACACCGAATCAACGCTACCGTCACTCGTCATCTGATGTAAGTCTTCTTCGCTTCCGTGCCGCCTGAGAGGATTCAGCTTCACTGTGCCCAACCACGGACTCGCCACCGGATTCCTGTGCCGTACTGCCTTCACACCAGTCCTGGCCCACGCCGTTGTCGTCATTGCGGTCATGGGTGGCTTCAGTGAAGACGAGATGACCTCGTCGACCGAGAACTTCTCGCCCCGCCTCCTCTAGGAGAATGCCAAAGGCCAACAGTGCCGTCTCATCCATGCTGCCCTCGTCCAAGTTGCGCCCACTTTCCGAGGCTCCCTGGTGGCGGTTCAGCGTTCCGTAAAACTCGGATGAGTACTCGTGAATGGCCTTTAGGAGATCACTCTGGGGTAGAATGCCGCGTCCACCGTTGGGCAGGTCCCACTCGTGCGCGCGGTAGATGTCGTGCTCTGCATACCGCTCTGGTGCGTCTTTGCGGCGGAACAAGACGTCGTCTGGAGCGAGCTTGTAGCTATCTCGCTGGTCGACGACCCTAGGCTGGACAATGCCGTCGCCCTGGGCGTCATCTCGCAGCACTCTGTCATATGTGACCCTTCCTTGCATACAGTTAACTTCACGTGACGGAATTTAATTCCCAGATTCCTGGGAGAGGCTCATTTCGGATCCCCTTGGCTTACCTGCGACGGCGTCGTATACGGTAGCGAGCGTCCGCGGGCCCTGGCGTCGGTTACCGCTAGATGGCTGCGGCAAATGTGACCGGTTACCGAGGTCAGCATCGCCCATGTATTCGTCTGCAGAGTCCATGGCTTTGCCCGTTGTCTCCTGTGTTTTCTCTTTTGGGATGTGTCTTTCGATTCCCGGCGCTCTCGCAGAGAATACGCAGCCCTTGCTCGCCCTCACGGGTTCCAAAGTGATACAAGAAGATGACTAGTCCGCATCAAGCGAAACATGGCAGCTACAGGAGACCGTCCGGGCGAATGAGAAGAAAAGAAGAAGCCCCTGGTCGGCCTCGGAATTGCGCCTGGAATCGAGCCTCAGAAGATGGGAAAAAGAGGCACGAATCGTCGAAACAAAGTTTTGGCGCCAGAGCGTGGTAGCGGTAGCTGGCACTAATTGTGGGGTGCATTAGCCGTTGATTGACCGCCCTCGGTGACATCACGCGGAGCCTGCCGTCACTCAGCTTTTGACTTCACTCACGAACAGCTTCATTCACACTCACATTCACGCATGGCTTCAGCGCTGGATGAAGCTACAGATATCCCTTGACATCTACGCTTGATTCGCTTGCAACCTCATTTCTTTGCTCTGCCGAGAGTGCCTCTTAGATGAATGCAGTCTCGCCTTCTCGCCCGTGAACTCGGCGACCTACCTTGTCGCGACCTCTCGCAGATCACTGCATCTCAGCTGCTGCGCTCCTTCGGCCCAGCTCCCCAGCATCGCTTCAACGGCGAGGTGAAATTGCCTCAAAATGATCAGCAGACCGCGCTGGACGAGGACCGGCCGCACAGGCTGCGCGCCCACGGAGCAGGGGTGAGCAGCCTTGCCCTGGAGAAGTTTGATGGGCGCCTCCTCGTCTCTGGTGGCGCCGACGGATCAGTCAAGCTCTGGGACCTGGAGAGCTGCCCGGGCCCCTACGAGACGCACACCTTTCGCCCCGTAAGCTCCATCAGCCGGTCGACTGGCGGTCCCAGGAGCGGCGGCCACAGCCATGGCATCACCCACCTGGCCTTCTATCCCTTCGACCCGGATGCCTTCCTCTCCAGCTCCTACGACAAGACGCTCAAGCTGTGGGCCACGGCAAGGTCAGCCTTGTCTGCAGAGTTCGACCTCAATGCCACTGTATACTCGCACGCCTCCAGCCCAATAGCATCCCACCTGCTTATCGCGTGCGCCACCCAGCACTCCAACGTCCGCCTCGTAGACCTCAAGTCGGGATCTGCCGTCCAGGCGCTCGTTGCCCATGGCGGGCCCGTCCTCAGCACGGCGTGGAGCCCTCGCCATGAGCACATCCTCGTCAGTGGCCATGCAGACGGCAAGGCCCGCATCTGGGACATTCGCCGTGCTGGTGGCGTTATTGCACAGCTCGACCAGGAGGACTCGTTGGGCATCGTGCACCGCTTCAAGCACGCCACGGCGTCTGGGTCTGATTGGGGTAGCATGCCGCATTTTCGTGCCTCAGCCCAGGCCCACGACGAGGCCGTCAACGGGCTGCAGTGGACCGACGACGGCAGGTACATTGTGTCGGCTGGGCTTGACCGCCGCATCAGAGTGTGGGATACTGATACGGGAGCTAATACGCTTGCCAGCTTTGGGTCCATCGTGCAGAACCAGCACGCTAAGACTGCAAGTTTCCTCGTCACCCCGTCTGGCCTCTCCACGGGCCATCAGCTTCTTGTCTGGCCCAACGACCAGGAAATCCTCCTACTGGACCTCCACGACGGGACCGTTGTTGGACGCCTGCGGAGCCCTGGCTCGACGCACTCCACGGGTGCCCGTGGCTCGGAAATGGGACGCAACCGCATCACAAGCATCGCGTGGCGTAGTGCAGGGGGTGGTATTGGGCAGGCTGGACCCGTCATGGGCGGTGGCAACTCAATAGGAGCCATTTATAGCTCTCATCTGGACGGGCAAATACGGGCTTGGATGCCGCAGCTCCCTGGGCCGGAAGATGCGGACGAGGACGAGGAGATTGGCGTGGACGAAGAGGTAAAGCAGAGAAAGAGGAAAGCTATCGAAAACGCATATAGAAGCCTCATGGGCAAGGAGATTACGTTTACTTGATCTTCGTATTCGATGCGTAAAAGCATCAGGCCATAGGTTATATATAGATCGGCTCTAGTAAGGGAATACAACATGTGGTCAAATTCGGTCTTGTCTATATAAAAGAAAGGAAAAAAAAAAAAAAAAAAAAAAACTAATACCAGAGTCGCCGGCCCTCCATCCCAGACGCCATGCCCATCATAGAGTAACCCTCGTGTAGCGCTGCGTCCAACTAGCGGCAAGACCAATTTCCCATTTTCATACAACAACGACAAAGCAAAGCCAACCATCCGGATAGGCGGCCTCTCTCATCATTTCCCCCAAGGGGGCATTAAACGGAGCGGGTACCCCGTGAAGCACCACGCTCGCCAGCACAGGGTCCCGACTGCTGGGAAACAGCATGGGCATCAGGTCCTTGAGAGCCTGTCCCAGCAGCTTTGGCTTTCGGTCCGGTGTGGCGACAGGGACCAAGGACTGGACGACCTTGAACGATCCAGCTTCACCGGCTGCAAGAGCAGGAGGGGAGGAGCTGCCGCCTCCTGCATTAGGGGGAGGAGGCGTCGAGGGGATGTAGATGCGTATGGGCACATGTTTGAGGGTGGCTGGGGCGTTGAGAAGGCGGGTGTGGATTTTGGAAAATGCAACGTAGTCATTGTCAATGACGGCGTTCCAGAGCTGGGTGGTGTGGTCCTTTGACATTTTCATGATTTGGTTGGCGTTGCCGTAGCGAACGAAGTCGGCCTGGCTTGTGGCGTGAGCATGGTTTCATCTATGGAACTTGGCTGGTTGTATACCGTGCATGAATAGAAAATCAAAGGGACGAAAAGTAATTAAAAGGGGAAGAAATAAATTAGTTTCACTCACCTCTTTGACGCTGTTTAGAAAAGTATCTCCGATATCCCAGGCAACCCCGTCGTCCACAACCAGTCGCCATGGCAGGCTCGGCGCATACAGGTCGGCCAGCAGCCCCACGGCCAGGTTCCTCAGCTGCACATCCTCAAAGTGAAAGCTGGAGCACGGAGCGTCAAAGAAGGCGGAGAGGCGTGGCAGCAGCAGTGACAGGTAGCTGAAGCGGGGGACGCTGGTGATGAAGGGCGTGGTGGGCGAGGATCGGTGAGTAACGTGCAGGGGGATCTGCGTGGCCCAGAGCGTCTGGGCGATGGAGGATGGCGCAGACATGGTTTTGGCTTTGGCTTTGGCTTTGGCTTTGCTTTGTTTGATAGGCTCGGCGGAGGTTATGGCGGAACCATGGCGAGGGAAAAGCAAAGGCACTTGTTTTGTTGCTGTTGTGTGTAGCACGGAGCAGGGCAGAGCACAAGAGTAGCAATGCCCTTGCGTCTACCCACGATCCAGAAGCGAGGTAGCAGTGGACTGAGAGGCCTCAAGAGTTGGGAGCACCGTGACGAATGATGCTATAACCAGTCCTTGGCTGGAAGGTGGAAAGAGATGACGAACGTGAGGCCAATATCCAGGAGCCGGAGCCTTATTGCGGCGGGTGGGGCTGGTGTTGAGATGCAGGCACCAAGACGGCAGGTGGGGTTTGCCGTGGCGCTTGCCCTTTGTTTGCTTCGTCTCACTGCTAAAGTACCGAGTACCTGTGCCTACTTCCATCACGAGACGCGGATCTCGACTTCGCATCTTCTTATCTGGGGACACTACAACGCATACCTACCTATTGAAAGGAACGCACCCTCAAAAAAAACCTCATCTCTGCGTGTTTCATCTGACAAACCGGATTTTCACACCCCCTCAAGCCATCCGTCGGAGTGGAGTCAATTCTCTCTGCCCCTCCAAGACATTGCCAGAACTATCGTTTTCAGCTCCTCACCGGCTGCAAGGCTCTGCTGCACGAACCTTGCTTAAATGCTACCTCAGCCAGCCAGCCGCACGCCGTGGCTGACCGATAGATGATGAAACTGTGTTTGCCTCAGCCGCTGTTGGCTTCTCTTCATGGGATTGGCTGCTAATCATCTGCTCAGCCTGCTTGTACGACTCGCTAGGTATGTGAGGTGGCATCTGTGCGTCTGTGTGTCTGTGCTTTCCATACTCCTGCTATAGCACAGATGGGACTATTTACTTGACATTCCGATGCGACGCAATAGTTGCGAAAGTCGGACAGCCTCGAACGAACTGAGCATCTTCCTTGGTATCTACGACAATTGGGTTCGTTCAAGTCGGTGCTATGGATTATTATTACATGAATACGTCAATTCTTGTTTCTTTGTTCACGTGGGTTGATTAGGTTTGAGATTTGAGTAAATTTGATTTGATTTCATATCAATTCATTATCCCAGCGCTAACATTACAATAATAGTACAAATTGATTCATTACATGACCCATCAATTGAATGTTCCCTGTGGGCTACACTCCACGATGTTGTTCCTGATGCGAGACACTATGCCTTCTTACGACTGGTAAGTCTTGTCGCCTCCAAAGGTCTTGCTGTTATTGAGGTCGCTGTCCACGCGAGGATCGGCCTTGTTCATCATGTCAGACTTGTGGGGGCCAGCAGTGTTGGAAGCTGGGCCGGTAGCGTGGCGCTCAGATCCAAAGCCGGTGCCGGTGCTGCCCATACCGCCATATGCGCTGGTGGTCGTGTCGCTGCCAAGAGTGCCAGTCTGTTGGCCCAAGTTGCGCTCACCAGAGCCCAAGTTACCAGTGCCGTATCCCGAAGTTGTGTCCACGCCGGAGTAGGCACCGGTGCCTGTGCCTGAGCCGAGGCCTGAAGTCTTGCCCATACCAGAGTAGGTATCAGTTCCTGAGCCGAGGCTTGAGGTATTGCCCAACCCAGAGTAGGTGTCAGTTCCTGAGCTACGGGTGCCTAGGCCAGATGTACCAGATGTGTAGTCACCAGACCTGCCGGAGGTGTTGATGCCGCTGCCGGCTCCGAGGGTATCAGTTCCCATGCCGGTACCGAATCCCGTGCCGGTAGTAGCTCCCGAAGTACCAGCAGTTCTGGTGGTTCCAAGATCGTGGGTAGCCTGCTCAGAGCGGAGGCCCATGTTGCGGCTGCCATCGAGATCAGAGTCGATTCTAGGGTCGGCCTTGTTCAGAGCGTCGGACTTGTGTACGCCGGCAGACTTGGAGCCAGGCTGAGTCGAGCTGTATGTGTTTCCAGTGCTAGTGGTTGTAGTTCCAACTCCATAACCGCTGGTAGCTCCAGTATCACGAGTTTGCTTCTCAGAGCGGAGGCCCATGTTGCGGCTGCCATCAAGATCAGAGTCGATTCTGGGGTCGGCCTTGTTCATTGTGTCGGACTTGTGTGCGCCGGCAGTCTTTGAAGCAGGACCGGTCGAACCAAATGTGGTTCCGGTGCCGCTGGTTCCAGTGCTGGAGCCAGTGGTGGTGGTTCCAGTTCCATAGGTAGAGCTGGTGGTTCCAGCATGGGTGGCCTTCTCGGAACGAAGGCCCATGTTCTTGCTGCCATCGAGATCTGAGTCGATTCTGGGGTCGGCCTTGTTCATCATGTCGGACTTGTGCATGCCGGCGGTTGTGGGAGCAGGGCCAGTTGTGCCAGATGAAGTGAGTGTGTCGCCAGCGGTGTTCATGCCCTTGGTGTTGGACTCGCCATAGGAGTAGTTATCTCCACCAGTGGTGTAAGCGCCATCATGGCGGCCCAAAGCCTCGCGGTGATCGCGATCGGAGTCAATGCGAGGGTCGGCAGCATTGGCAGTGCGGGAGCTGTGAGTTCCGTGAGTGCTCTCAGGCTGCTCAGTCTTGTTGTCGGAGTGGCTGGAAAGCTTGTCCTTGACCTTGTCGATGAGTGAAGACATGATGACTGATTATGTTTTGAGGGTATAAAGGTATGTGGGTTTATGATTAAGGTTTGGTTGGTGTTGTGTGAGTGATGTTGTTTGATTGGTGTGTGATGAAGATGGAAAATCGAGAGTAGGATGGAGGAGCGTCACGACTATATAGCACTTGATCCGAATCAACTCTCCGCAAACGAATGGATCGCTGCCTATGATGACATTGTGGCTCATGCTGTGACCTCGACCGATGGCGTTGGACTTTGTGAAGCTCTCCGACCCAATGTTACAGATCTCACCAATCGCCCAGTGCATCGGTATGAGGTAACCGAAAGGCCCTCGTCCATACGATCGTCATTTCTGAAATGTGTGACGTTGCCGTCAACCGTCTTCGTCTCCACCGGAGCATTTGAGCCAGTCCGAGACGCCCTGGACGCAGAGCTCTAGGCTCTAGCCGCACAGCCTCCCAGCTAATGCAAGCAAGGCAACTGGAGTTACATAAACTCAGATTCCCCAAAGGCTAATTACTTGGTAAAAGCGGAGAGACGTTTAGTCCAAGCAAGAAAGCTGATTCGTGTTCTGCGGGGCCTGTTAAACAAGCTCTGCTGGAGTCGTGATGCAAAAAGTGCTGCAAGTAAGAAGCAGGAAGTCGATTGAGTTGTCGATGACGCGTGGTGGCGGGGCGCACGGGCAGTGGAGTGCTCTGTGGGTGCTCTGTGGTGGCGCTCGACAGCAATCATCGTTACATCATCCGCTGAGCTGTGGCTGGTGAGCAGAGCTGCCACAGGCGCGTGCTCTCCCTTTGTTGGTGGCTTGACGAGGTTTTGACGAAAACATGGGATTCGATGCATGTTTGCGTATGAATTGGGCGTTTCGGAGGTTACCCAGGGCACGGCACTTCATCTCGTGATGACGTGGGTGGTTTGGATCTACGGCTGGGGGTTTCCTGCGATTCTTGGAATCTCGATCATGGCGTCGATGGTGCGTGTTGTTTTATGGTCAAGGACTCTGGAGAAGCCTCGAAATTACGAAAAGGGAATTATTAGTCCCGAATCTAATCAATATCATCAGACCCGGCAGATACGATACGCTCGATTTAGATGCTAAGACATGTAGATGATGTTCGACCAAGGGGCACAGCGAGATAAGCAATGATGGCAATAGTAGATTTATTTCATAGTAAATAAAGATTAAGTCGTAATAAGTAATCAAGTGCTAGCTAAGCTGGGTATAGTCATTATATAAAAGAGTCGTCAGAAGTGGTTTTATAGGGAATAACCCGAAATTGAATCGTAATCAAGAGCAAAAGCCAATTTTTCTTTCTTCGCACTTCCCCTGAACATCACACACCTCAACTCCAACCTCCTCCTCACACCGCAACGAACCACAGGCGTCCAAGAAAATGAGAGTGTACTAGTAAGGGTCTCATGAATGATCGTGTTGCCGTATTGGCAGCGCCAACTCCTTGGTAGCCAGCATTTAGACACGGCTTCGGCGGTACCAGCGGCGGCTGTTCTGGCGCTGGGCAGCATCGACGGTAGCGCGGCGTCCATGGCTGGTGACCCAATAGAGTCCGAGCAGAGCAGACACGAGCCAAAGAAGAGCAGACAGGAATGTGAAGGCAATGTCGGCCTTGAACTTGCCGCACTGGTCTCCGGAGATGGGGTGGACGTTGTTCCAGTTGAAGATGTAGCCGCAGGAGCCATCCAGCATCTACAGAAGGAGAGTCAGCTTCTGAGCTCTGTTGTGTTGGATCATACATGAAAGAAAAAAAGACGTATAAACTTACGTTGACCAAGAGGCCAAAGGCGGCCCACCAGCACAGACTGAGGATGATGTCGACGGGCCAGTGCACAAAGGACCACGAGAAGGGGATGAGCCATATCAAAGAAAAGAACATGGACAGTGCCGCGATGACTTCGGTATAGATCCAGCGGCCTTGAGACCAGTTGGACGCATGGCGGTACTGGTGAAGGTGCTGGCCCGTCACTCCGGCGACAATGGTGGCGAAGACGAGCTCTGCCGCTCGGAGGACAATGTTGATGATGCGATCCAACGCCATTGTTAATGATTTCCTTTTATTGGTTGCTTTGTTATGTTATACAGAGCTGAGAGGCAAAGAAAAGAAACGAGGCAGATGGAAAACTGCTTTTCTATAACAGGGAATCGGAAGGATGTAATGTTGATGCTCTAAGGAGACGGATGGTCAAAAGGGAGACTTGGACTTTGTCTGGAGGGACAAAGACGCTGCTCTTTATCTCATTCGCGAATGAGCAGCGCTGCCTCCCATGGCCATTGATCAACAACACCAACTCGGTCTCATCGTCATACGTAGCACGCATGACCCCCCCCCTCCGTGGACGGCAGGACATACGCCATTTCTTTGACTACCGTACCTAAAAGCCGGTTTGCCTCGTCCAACTGGAGGGTTTCCCGATCCAGGCATCACAAAGCCGTGGTTTGCTGCAGCGACATCGCCTGTCCAAACACGGGCAGCCGGCGTTAAGCGAAAAAGAATGCCATTCATACGACCCTGTTTTGTTCTATGCCAGTCAGGCTTTGGAAAACGGCTTTAAAAAAAAAATGCTACGATTGCCTGATTATTCCAAGTGGTTTGATGTATGCCGTGATTCGCAGACAGGATCGGGCAGCGCTGCTTTCAATATGCAGCATTGAATGAATGAGGTCATAGCCGGCCGTTGGTGTGACCCCATGGCGGGCTGTTATTCGCTGGCGCTGACATGGTGTTGCATTTGATGGACAAGAGCCCAACAGTGACGGACTCTTGTCGCGAATTAATTAAGTCTGGGCTGGGCCGTTCCCAGTTTTTGGAGCTAGGACTTGACTTGGGCTCTAAATCCTACGGAGAAAAAATAATACTTGGCGTGACGTGTGAACAGCAGCTTTTGGAGAAGATGCAATCATCATTACTTGATGAATGAGTAAACATGCATAGATATGCATGCAGAGAAGTATGTATTGGCGTAAGAATGAATAAAAAGGAAAACGTCAATGTCAGGGGTTTCGGAGCAGCACGTGCACGTCACGTACCTGCATCGGCGTATCGTCTCGTATCGTGCCTGCCATTAGAGGCTCTTGCCCGAACAAGACGCATTGGGAGCTCTTTCCATAGAATGCTCACAATGTGTTTTCCGTTCATGGACTGCGCGAAATCCATCTTGTTGTAATTCTTAAAATTCATTTTGTAATCTTAAAAATATATAACGTATCTAGGTACGGATTCAGCGAGGAAAGAGCTTACTATCGAGCCATGACCACATCGGCGTCTTTGATGACCGTGAACTCTTTGTCAAAAACTCATTGACGAGCTATTCTTGGCTGACTCTGTACTTTGTTTCACATTTTTCATTGTTCTTCATTTAAAGGTGCCTTCATCGGCGTTTTGGTTCAAGAAGATGGCTCTCCGTGAGATGGCATCAACAAGTCGGCGTCCGTGGCCCATAGCTGCGCAATGCGGTTATATACGAAACAACAAGGTGAAGATGCTGCGTATAATAGGAAAAACGAGCCCAAATTTCATGCCAGTAATTTGCATCCAGTCTCAGCGTCTAATATGATTTTTTGCGTTTATAAACTCATCTTCGGACCAACTTTACCGTCGCCAATGAGAGCCCAAGAATTAGACATCATTCCACCATCAAAAACTCACAGATAGACCATCATGGTCCCAGGAGATAAAAGAAGTAACGCAGTTCCTGCCCTTACCATACCCAAGCCACAAGAGCAGCTACAACAGCCCTCAGAGGCAAAGAAAGAAGCCATTAAGATGGTTGAAAGCGATAATCAGGATGGACCAGAGAGATTTGCATCATGGTATCCCCTTTTACAGAAAGTTAGACGTCAGAACCTCAACCAGCAACCCCACGACCCGGCAATAGCACAAGCATGTCCAGACAAGATTCAAGAAAACGAAGACCCGGATTGGATCCCAAACGATGGCGATAAAGTATGGGTGAACAAGCTCGTCCCTTACCACGAATATCCAGCAGTGCAGTTGAAAAACGGCATTCTCACGCCCCAATTGTCCAGGCCGCCGAGGAATTTGAAGTGGCTGCAAAAGCGACTCCTACAGCCGCGGGTTGATTCCGACTGGACGCTCACAGGGTGGCAGAGATACAAAGCGTACCCCCAATTCAGGCGGCATCGCGAACTCACTAGGGTGGGCATGCGGTATCTGTTCAAGATATTTCCAGAGCGCTCCAGATATCAGAGGGCGTACTATCAGCGCTGGTACGACTTTCCCGAATATGCGCCTTTCGCTCAGGGCCTCGAGCAGCCTTGTCCCGGGTTCATCCAAGGATTCTCATTGGAAGCTTATATAGACACGGATGTTGAGTATCTAAGTGCGGCGGTATGTTATAGATCCGGTGGCCAATCACTTACTCTCCCACACATGGCTGGTGAGTTTGCGGTGGGAACTTTGGAAGCCGAAGAGGCGGCGGATGCACGACATGGCGCGGCGCTTGTTTACATGAGAAACACTACTCTTTTGCATGCCAAAATGAGAAAAGACCCGGAAGATGTGGCGGTGATTATTACATTCATCTCGGATGGGCTGTTTATCCGCTTCTATGCACATTACGAGTCCAAAGCTCCTGATGGTAAGATAGTATATCACCAATATCCTATTCTGGCAGCAAACTTGGCGGCATCATACGACGAGTTTCTCCGAGGTGTTGCCATGCTTCGCAACTGTCAAGACCTTGCTTTTGTTTTGGCCATGGAAACCAAGAATCACCTTGAGCAGTATCATGCAGTCAACGGCATCAATGCTTGGGCTTATCATCTGGAGGACGGCGAACACATACTATCAGAAAGTGAAGACAGTGTGATTGAAGGCGTCGGTGGACAGAAAGATGGAATTAAAAAAGATCAAGCCCAGCAGGAGAAACAACATACATCTCCGGGCACCAAAGACTCAGAAGGTGGTCACAGGGAAACTGCTCACGGAAACGAAGACGAGGACAACAATGGTGCAAGTAACCTACACAAAAAGAAGAAGCAAGATGAAGCCCAACCTCCGACTACTAGAGTGCTCAGGCCTCGAAAGCGAGCGGCTCAAGAAGAGAAAAAGCCACCACCAAAGCCTCGGAAACGAAAAGCCAGTGGAGATGCAGGCAAAAAGCCTCCAAGAAAGCGTCTGAGACCCAAAAGCTGAGCCACTGCATTATAGCAAGAGATCAAGGCCAAAAAAAGAAGAAGCCTCATCGAGACTGGTATGAGTCTCGCAAAAAGGAGGAAAAAAGAATGACACCTGAGGGATTCGAACCCTCGCCTATTTCTAGACCGCGAATAGATTTGATCGAATGCTAGACTCGAACAGGACCTGAACACGGCGCCTTAGACCACTCGGCCAAAGTGCCTTGAGATGATTGGATGCTGGTATCCGTATCAATTTCGATATCTGAACGCTACGCAGGCACCCACTGGTAGGTCGAGGCCGCTTTGCGGAGATTTCACAGGAATCTGAGGCGGCGTTGCGATGCCGTAGGAGCAGGTAATTTTCATGGGGTAGTAATAATAGATTGTTGACGGGATTCCTTTTCCGGGTTACTCTGTGCGGTGTCTTTTCCCGTAAATAGCTCGTAGATGCAGATAAAGTAACAAGATAAAGTTGTCCAGCCGAATTATAAGTCGAATTCTTAATGATGCCAGCAACTCCGTATCTCCACGGGTGGCAGCTCGGAGGCGGAACCCCGCCACCTGTGATATAAGCAACTGGAGCTCCTCCACACCCCGCCATCGAAAAAAAGGGCTCGGCAATCATCGCATCATGTATTTAAGCAGCGTCGATTCATCCGACTTCGCAGCCTATTATGAGAAAATTGCTCACTAAGCAGGCTTTGACGTGAGATTTAAAAAAGCCTTCAAATAAAGACATCTCGCCAGGCTGATCAGGTTTCATGGTCTGCAACTGAGAGAGCCGTGTGATAGATACCCCTCCAAATATCCCACTTATCCACTCAACTCCATTATAATACTGCCATGGCGAATAACACGTCCAAGGAGCGTGGCGTTCGCATAGCCATCGACCGAGGCGGCACCTTTACCGACTGCGTCGGCGAGCACAATGGCGAGGAAATCATCATCAAGCTGCTCTCCGAGGACCCGGCAAACTACAAAGATGCGCCTCTCGAGGGCATCCGGCGCATCATGAGCCATTTCCTCAAGCGGGAGATTCCCCGCGGCGAGCCGTTGGATACCACGCAGATTGACTCCATCCGCATGGGCACCACGGTGGCGACGAATGCCCTGCTGGAGAGGAAGGGCGAGAAGATTGCCATGGTGGTGACAAAGGGCTTCAAGGACTGCTTGACGATTGGGAACCAGTCGAGACCAAAGATTTTCGACTTGGCGATTCGAAAGCCAGATGTGCTTTATGAGCAGGTTGTGGAGATTGATGAGCGCGTCACATTGGAGGACTATGCTGAGGACCCGGAGAGGAAAATCACAGAGGCTGATGTCCAAGCGGGCACAAAGGAGGCCGAGGGCAAGGACCTCGTCAGGGGTCTATCAGGCGAGACGGTCAGAGTGCTAAGACGCCCCGAGCACGACGACATTCGGCAAAAGCTGCAGGAGGTGTACGATTCGGGAATTCGCAGTATAGCCGTCTGTCTCATGCACGGATACACATTCCCCGAGCACGAAGCTCTGATAGGCAGGATTGCAAAGGACATTGGCTTCCAGCACATTTCGCTGAGCCACGAACTGATGCCCATGGTCAAGCTGGTGCCGCGAGCAACGTCGGTTTGTGCGGATGCCTACTTGACTCCCGCCATTCGAAAGTATATCGACGGCTTCCAGGCTGGCTTTGAAGGAGGCCTGGGCACGGAGAGCGTCAAGCATGAGAAGGGAGCCAGGGGCGCCAGATGCGAATTCATGCAGAGCGATGGTGGCCTCGTCGACGTCGACAAGTTTACTGGTCTCAAGGCTATCCTGTCTGGTCCTGCGGGAGGCGTGGTTGGATATGCCATCACGTCTTATGACGAAGAGACTAGAATTCCTGTAATCGGATTCGACATGGTAAGAAAGCCAGCATCTCTGCTTGTATACAGTCGCAATACTGACAACGACAATTCCAGGGAGGCACAAGCACAGACGTATCTCGTTACGGAGAAGGCCGATACGAGCACGTCTTCGAAACAACCACCGCCGGCGTCACCATCCAATCTCCCCAGCTAGACATCAACACCGTCGCTGCTGGCGGCGGCTCCCGTCTCTTCTTCCGCAACGGACTGTTCGTCGTGGGACCCGAGTCCGCCGGCGCACATCCAGGCCCTGCGTGTTATCGAAAGGGCGGCCCTGCCACCGTCACGGATGCCAATCTGTATCTGGGCCGCCTGCTGCCGGAGTTCTTCCCCAAAATATTTGGCAAAAATGAAGATGAGGGACTGGATCTGGAAGCGAGCAGAAAGATATTGCAGGAACTGACAGACCAGGTGAACCAGGAAACGGGAAAGAAACTATCCGTGGATGAGGTCGCATTTGGATTCCTGACTGTTGCAAACGAAACCATGACGAGACCTATCCGGTCCATCACCGAAGCAAAGGGCCACGACACCTCCAAGCATCGGCTGGCGACCTTTGGTGGCGCCGGTGGCCAGCATGCCGTTGCCATTGCAGAATCCCTCGGCGTTGGCCAAATCCTCGTTCACCGGTATTCATCGGTCCTATCAGCCTATGGCATGGCTCTCGCAGACGTCGTAGACGAGCGACAGGAGCCAGACTCATCCGTCTGGAAAGACGATGGAAAAGTAGTCGGCGAGCTACAAGCCAAGATGGAGAAGCTAAAGGACAAGTCGCGCACTGCCCTCAAGGAACAGGGCTTTGACGACAGCGAGATTGTGTTTGAAGAATATCTCAATCTGCGATACCGCGGAACGGAGTCGGCGCTGATGATTATCAAGCCCAGCAAAGAAGAAGTAAGGGCCAGCTTTGACGGCAAAGACTGGGCGTTTGGCAAAGCATTCGTCAAGCAGCACAGGTACGAGTTTGGCTTCACGCTCGACGACCGGGACATCATCGTGGACGACGTGAGAGTCCGTGGTATCGGAAAGAGCTTCCGCCATCAGGAAAAGTCTGTGGACCAGCAGCTCAAGACAATCAAGCGACAGGAAGCCTCTGCAAAGTCGCGGCACGGCGAACAAGAGGTTTACTTTGAGGGCGGCAGAGTCAAGACTCCAGTCTACAAGCTAGAAGACTTGAGCGAAGGAGACGTTGTAAACGGACCGGCTATGCTGGCGGACGGCACACAAACCATTGTCGTAACGCCGCGGACCAAGGCGCTCATTACCGGAACACATGTCGTGCTGGATATTGCAAAGAACGGTGCCAAAGACGAGTATGTTTCTTCCATCCCTTCTCTTAGGACGTCAACAGTACTAATCAATCATTCAGATCTCATCACACCGTCGAAGGCGATCGCGAGGTCGACCCCATCATGCTCAGCATCTTCGGCCACAGATTCATGGCCATTGCCGAACAAATGGGCCGCGCGCTCCAGAAAACAAGCGTCAGCACAAACGTCAAAGAAAGACTCGACTTCTCCTGCGCCATCTTCGACGCCTCCGGCAATCTCGTAGCCAACGCGCCGCATCTCCCCGTCCACCTTGGATCAATGTCTCACTTGGTCCGTCGACAGGCCGAGATCTGGAAGGGCCGCCTAGAGAAAGGAGATGTCATCATCTCGAATCACCCCTCATACGGAGGAACCCATCTTCCCGACGTGACGCTGGTGATGCCCGCCTTTGACGCCAAGGGCGAGAACATTCTCTTCTACGCGGCATCCCGAGCCCACCACGCCGACATTGGAGGAATCAGCGCCGGTAGCATGCCGCCGCACTCTCGCGAGCTGTTCCAAGAGGGAGCTTCCATTATGAGCGAGAAGCTGGTCAGTGGCGGCAAATTTGATGAGCAGCGGGTCATCGAGTTGTTCTACAATGAACCAGCGCAGTATCCTGAATGTAGTGGCACGCGATGCCTTGCTGATAACATCAATGACTTGAAGGCTCAAGTGAGTGCCAACAACAAGGGAATTTCTCTCATTGAGACTTTGATTGAGGAATATGGCGAGGACACTGTTCAGTTTTACATGGTCAATATCCAGAAGAACGCCGAGCTCTGCGTACGTCGACTCCTCAAGGATGTCTACAAGCGGTTCGAAGGCAAAGAGCTGTCCGCCGTCGACCATATGGATGATGGAACTCCCATTCAGCTCAAGATCACCATTGACCCAGAAGCAGGCGAGGCAGAATTCGACTTTGATGGAACCGGCCCTGAAGTGTACGGCAACATCAACGCTCCCGAGGCAATCACTTATAGCGCCATCATCTACTGTCTACGCTGTCTCATCTCCGAGGACATTCCCTTGAACCAGGGCTGCCTGAAGCCAGTTCACGTCAAGATTCCGCCCAAATCTCTGCTCTCGCCGTCTGCTGGCGCTGCAGTCGTGGGCGGTAACGTCCTCACCAGCCAACGTATCACCGACGTGGTCTTTAAGGCTTTCCAGGCTTGTGCCGCTAGTCAAGGCTGTTGTAACAACCTTACCTTTGGCTTTGGTGGAAATCAATCGGGCAAAGAAGCCGTTAAAGGCTTTGGCTACTATGAGACCATTGCCGGTGGCAGTGGTGCTGGGCCAGATTGGGTCGGAACAAGTGGTGTACACGTCCATATGACCAATACACGCATCACAGACTCAGAGATCTTTGAGCGAAGATACCCGGTTCTCCTCCGAGAATTTTCCATTCGGAAAGGCTCCGGAGGCGACGGTCAGCACCGTGGTGGCGACGGTGTTATTCGGGATATTGAATTTCGCATACCCCTACAAGTGTCCATCCTAAGCGAGAGGCGCGTGTATCATCCATATGGCCTCAACGGGGGCGAAGATGGCGATTGTGGACTGAACCTGTGGGTCAGAAGAATAGAGAAGACGACCTGGGAGCAATCTCTCAAGAAGCTTGACGGAAAAGGAGATGTAGAGCAGATTGAATATGAAGAGCGACATATCAACCTAGGAGCTAAGAATTCAGCTGCCATGAAAGCAGGGGAGCGCATCATCATACACACTCCAGGAGGCGGAGGTTGGGGTAAGCCAGGCAAAGAGAGCAAGGAGAGGAAGAGGGCAGACCTCACTGAGAGCTGGAGAAAAGGCAGCGGTGCAGCTAGAGACGAGGCTGCCTTGCAGGCCTAGGACTTCCTGCAAAGCAGATAAATAGACGAAGAGAGGCTAGGTAACAAATAGAACTATTATTACTCACCATGCCTCCAGTGAAGATGATCTCCCAGAGTAAGCTGAGCTAAATCTTTCAAAGGATCCGTAGAGCATTTTGTGCCATCGTCTGGTAAGCAATATTACTGCTAAACCCATTCAGAACTGCCACTTCGTCAAAGTCCCAGATCCACTTCAGAAGTGCGTCTACCAACACCTCTCGATATAGGGTTACATCAGCCGCTTATGCCGCAGGTTTTTGATATGGTGCTGTTGGGTCGAAATTCTTTAGCAAACCAACAGTTGGCCAGTAAAATGGTGTTGTTTTCAGCTTCAGCCCTACAGCTCAGGCTGCCGATCTCCGCTGTGCCGTGGTTGCATCCTTGGCCCCCAAATCCTTCCAAAGCGTAGCTACTGCAGTAGGCAGCATACTACATGTCTTTTACCGGCCTGTGCTAGAACATATGTGCCCTTGCATGCTACTCTCTCGCCAATTACAAGGCGTACCATGGCTTTGGAAAAGGCTCCGCCATGGTTTATGGGTAGGATCGGTGATCGATTCACGATGCCTCAAGGCGGCGTTTCGCCGTAAGGCTTAGTACCCGTGGGAAGATCCGGGCCGTAGTTTTTTTCCCTAGCCCCACAACTACTCCAAGAGACCCATCAAAGTGCTTTGTATTCAGCACTTGGAATCTGTCAAAGAACAATGCCGTAGTGGTTTTGCGTCTGGGTGTTTTGGTGTATAGACTGGAGGCTGAAGGAAGATTGGGTTTCTTTTTTGGCGCCGATAGATTCTGTGCTGTCGGCAAAGTGGTACAGTATATTCCGTTTGCGTGCGTATTGCGCTAAGCAGCAGCGGCATTTGTTGACAAACTCAAGATCCGAATGCCTATCTATACTCCATTATTATTGATGGATCCCCAATGCTACCTCCGTAGCAGCAGAAGCATGGCGAGCTCATGCGAATTGCGAAATGCTCGGAGAAAGATGGTCGGCGGAGCGGAAAACACAGCATGTGCACACACAAACCGCCTGGGTACCCTCTTTGTCTCGGCTAAATTCGCAAATTTGCTTCGTCCCCTTGTTAGATAGCAGGAATCTGCCTCCGCTTCTGCATGTTTTGGCAAGCTTAAGCGGCGTTAGATGCATCTTCTAGCAGCAGCGTTAAGGAATCGTGGTCTCTGATAGGAGCTCTTGGTGACTTTGACGCTAAGCTCTGGGGTAATCCGAGGCTCTTTGGTGTCTTGTGATACATGCTATGCTGCGGCTTACCAGCACGGCACATTTGGCTCAGATTTAATTTCCTTCTCGTCGTTTTAACTTTTGCCCCCTTTCGCATCGAGGTGTTCAGATCCTTGCCTGTTTCTGCACTCAAATCCAGGAACCTAGTCCCAAGACAGTCTTGGTCGCATGAATGATAGACAGCCTGTTTAGGTTTCTTTCCTATACCAGCTGACCAGGAAGTCGGGCATGGCCTCGTTTACACAAAACCAGTGCTCATCCGGTGGACTCGACTCGCAATGAACTGTTCGCCATACGACAAAAACTTGCTCCGCTGGCGACTGGTTGCTTGGCTGATAGAAGCAAAGGCTCCGGCACCAAATGCCGAAACAGTGTCTAGTCGTCTGCCGCGTTGATGTTTCTAAACGCCTTGCCCCTTTCTGTGGGCTCTCCCGGTTATCCCACTTTTTATCGGTGAGGCGATCAGTGGTTTCAAGCTCCACCGCGACGGATCAGTTCGTGTATCCCCCCCCCCCCCACCACCACCAGATACCGCGATGCGGCATCGTCGCCCATCTGCCACCTCAACCGAGGCGCCAGGAAGCTGTGCCCTGGCATCCCCTGCCGCGCAGGCATCCATTCCGTAAACAAAGATGCGCCCATGCTCGGGCTTTTCCGGTCCAAGGTTCAGACAATATGCACATATATGCACGTAATAAGGAACCGTCCCATCCTGGCTGCGGCTACTGCCTTTGCTGCCCTAGCTAGGCACGCACGCATGGTGTGGCCCGCGCAGCGGCATAAGTCAATGAAAAGTGCATCCCGACGCAGGAGAGAAAAAAAAAACGGCCAGGCTCGCCCACGGCACCTCCCCCCTCATTCCCTCCCTTCGTTGGGTCTCTGATGACTACAGTATAAGAAAGAAAGGCGGATCGTGTGCCATATTCTGCACAATTCCGGGTCGTCATCACATATGTATGTGCCCTTTTCCCGCGGCAGGCCAAGACGTCTGTCCATTCGTCCCTCTGTCGCATACGCACGGCAATTGCAGCATGGTGTGTATGGGCAAATGTAACGTCAATGTCGCGGAAAATTGAGGCCCCAGTCTGGTATTTATACGCACATGAACCGCACACTATCCTGCGACATCATTAAAACAATACCACTGCCATCGTGAGATCGGAGCAGAGAAGACAAAAAAGCACGCTACACAATCACGCCTAGCGAGAGTGCGAAAACACATAGGACTGCGGCCTGCATTGGCTGCGAAACGGTAACATTATGATGCGGATTGCAGTCGCCGGCGGAAGGGGCTTCGGGTTTCTGCTGGCGACAGAATTGGCACAGGCGGCGAATGCGTACAACGTTGTTGTTCTATCAAGATCTGTTGGGTTTTCCACGCCACATTTTCCATGGAGCTCGGGGACTTTGCGTGTTAACCCTGCAATGTAGGCAAGGCCCGAATTCGACCAGTTCGACGTCCAAGTTCATGTCGTAGACTACCACGACCACAACAGCCTGGGTTTCGCGCTCCAAGGGGTCGATCTGGTCATATCAACGATATCCGGCACCGAACAGCTGAATCTCATCGACGCTTCCGGGCGCGGGCGCGTCCGCATGTTTGTCCCCTCAGAATTCGAAGGGTCCCTTGGCCGACGGCCCTCACGGAATGATGCCCTAGATCGCGGGTCCTCGCAAGCGCTTGCTCTGCTAAACCAGTGGTCTGAATCGTCACGAATGAAATATACCATTTTTTCATGCGGCCTCTTTATGGAGCGATTTCATCCTTGCGGCATTATCAATACCTTTGGCATTGGTCACGGCTCTGGCGTGGGCGGTCCTGGGGAATTTCTCTTCAATTCTGGCACAGCCACGGCCGAGTATCCGGAACAGGATTCCAAAGGGCATTCAGTGCGCGTCTGCCTCACATCGGTGTACGACGTGGTTCGATACATCGTGGCAGCTGTCGACCTGGGGCCCTCGCACTGGCCCCGAGAGTATACCATGTTCGGGGACCGGATGAAAGTCCGAGACCTCATCACCACATACAGCACCGCTTGCAATGGTTAGTTTGTCATGGCACACACAGCCCGGAATCTCAGTCTCCGAGGGATTCCCATGCCAAAAGACCCTGGCAGGTGACACAGAGAGCTAATGCACATGTTGTTAGCGGTGTTTACACGGCATGTCCAGCAGCCCGCAGAACTCGAAGCCTTTCTCACCTATTATGCTCAACTGGGCGACTATGACAAGGTGGCATACTACCAGAGGCTCCTTGCGACAGCCAACGGGCGATACGATTTCTCACAGGCGACACTAAACGAAGCCGTCAACCGGAGCAATAGCGTCAACGTCCAGCCAGTGACATTCGGCGCCTGGCTGACGAGCGTATGGCAAACATTTTAGCGGAAAGCCATGGCACGGAGTTTTTTCTTTCTTTGCTGTCTTTTTTTGGGGGGGCGGAGGCTTTTCTTCTGCTTTTGATTGGCATGAAAACGACATGGATTGGCGCCGGCGTTGCGTCAGGCTTTGGTTCATCCTGCACCCCCTCGAGGGGAAACACACAAAATCGTCCATGGCATAGTCTGGATACCGGGCCAACGAGCTGGAGTGATATAAAAGCGTCAGACGCAGCATTTATCGAGCACTTGCTCGCAGCGGCCTGTAACTAATAGATACGAAGTGTTCTTCGAGCCTGTCCTGTCACACAAAGAGTAGTAGCGATATGGGGGGGGCAATTGGAAAGTAGCATGATACCCAGCACCAATCTCCGCAGACTACGGCCCAAATTGATCTTGGGAGGTGGCCAGGCCAAGCCGTGCCCTCATACAGTACGGCAGGCAGCCAAATTGGAGTTTCGTCCGATTCGTCTGATTCGTCTGTCGTCCCTCGATGTCTCAGACTCGCAGCCATTCCATCGGGGCGGTGGTCGTAAGCGCTCACCAGCGTCATTCATTAGTCGAATCCGCAAAGGAGTTGCTGGCAGCAAGTCATTGGACCTCCGCCAAGTGCGCGCAAGCCACGGAAGCTGGAAGCGACAGTCTCACACACGCCTTGAAGGACTTTCGAATTGTGAAAGAAGATGCTTTCGGGGAAAATGGAGAGGGAATTACAAAGTTAGAAGAACAAGTTTTTTTCTATGAGGGCAGCTGACAAGCGAGCTGAAAAAAGGCCCTGGCAGATAGTCGCGTTAGCACGGAGCCCGGCAGGGGCCATCGTCTGTACCTGCCGTAGGTGGCTGCTGTTGAGTGCCTACGGTGAGCTCCCGCCTACGAAATATGGGCTGTCCTTGCATGCACCGCTCCTTGGGCGCTGGTCTAGTGCCTGTGCATGTCAGCTCCAGGGCCCACAGCGGTCTTGGCCAGCGATGCTTCGGGGGATTTAGCGGTGGCGGCGGCTGTCGGCTAATTCTGGTGGGTTCAGCTGATGTCGTGCTTGAAGCAGTTGATCTCAATGCTTCAACCCTTGGTAGAGAGCAGTTGAATGGGCGGTAAAGGAATAATGACAAGGAGAGATTGAATAACAGAGAAGTAAAGAAAATGATGCTCTACCAATAAGCAACCCAAGCCTTTTTTTTTTTTTTTAATATATTCTTTTTAGATACTATAGACAGCATTACACGTTCTCCCCAGGGTCATACTCCTCTCCAAACTCAGTCACAATCCAGAGACAAAACTTCTCCCACTCCACCTGCCACTCCTTCAGCCGCTCTGCCTTGATGCCGCTGCCGAGACTCGCCTCCTTGATTCCCTTTGCCCACTCGTCCTGGTTCTGATCCTCAAAAGTAGACCATCGAACGCTGTTTTCCGCCAGGCTGCCCAGACCAGCCAGGCCCAGGTTGCCCCAGCCCTGAAGAGCCTGCCAGAAGTCGTGAGACATGCCGGCGGTGTCCTGGCCCAGCATCGCCGGGTCGTCGTTGCAGAGACTGCACGGAACGCCGCGGGCCAGAAGGGCGGGCAAGGGATGGGCGGTGACGGATCCGCAGAGACGGAGGACCTCGTTTGAGATGGGGCACGACTCGATGAGGATGCGCTTGTCCTTGACCATGTCGATGAGCAGCGGGTGCTTGTACAGGCTGAAGCCGTGGCCGATGCGGCGCGTGCCGAGCAGGATGGCGTCAAACAGGTTGTTGTCCGTGCTGGAGCCGTCCCCGAGCGTCTCGCCGGCGTGGAAGTAAAAGGGCAGGTTGACGCCCTCCTGCGCACACTGCTTCCGGAACCAGAAGAGCTCGGGCAGCAGGTCGGTCAGAGGCTTGCCCAGGTCTTCGGGCCCCACGAGGTCGTATCCCGCGATGAGCTGGGGGAACTCCATCTTGGTCGTGATGCAGTGGTCCATGTTTTCGATGATGCGGCGCGTCTCGAAACTGCGGAGCGTTGTCCAGATCAGGGCGAGGCCCCAGAAGCCTTTGCCCTCCTCTGTGGCCTGGAACTTGGCAACTTCCTCCTCGATGACCCTGCACATGTGGCTGTAGTCTATTTCGGGCTCTTCACAGCGGTCACGGCAATAGTCCAGCGGCCATGTAAACCTGTTTCGGTTAGACTTTGTAACGTTTATAGAACAGAATGAAGATGTATATATAGGTAGGTCAGATGAAAGGGGACAAGGGAGAGAAGACTCGTACCGGAGTTCAGCCCAGTTGACTCCATCTGCTTTGAGAAGGCCCATCAAATGACGCAAAAAGGCACGGAACATGGGCTCATAGTGTATCATGGTGGCAACAACAACAAAGCACTTGGCAAACTTCTCCCAGATGGCGTCGATGCCGTGGTGCTGCTCATGGCTGTCGACGAGTGAAAGCGTGCAGCGGCTCTTGAGCCACTTGAGGAAGCCCGGCCGCCCTCCCTCTGGAAACTCATCGGCCACCTTGGTGAGCAGCAGAAAGGAGCCCGGCTCGTACGCCTCGTGCCATATGGATCCGTTTACAAGCTCCTTGGCCCTGAACCTGAAGCGGACAATGGCATTCTCCCTCGCCTCGTGAGTTTTCAACGACACGTCGCTGGACATGTGCATCCCCGGCGTCTTGAGAAGCTGGTCCAGGATAAAGTCAAAGTCGACCATGGCGTCCATGTGGGCGTGCAGCAGACACCCCTTGGGCATGCGGCGCACAATCTTCCACAGCTTGGTCTGCTCCATGCGGTCCTTGGCCAGCATGAACATCATGCCGGGGAAGATGCTCTGCCTGGTCTCGCGGGCCAGCTGCTCCTCGACGCTGGGCGTCCAGACGGCGGCCTGCTCCTGGGCGCGGATGCGGTCGACAATGGCGCAGGCGCGCCGCGCGATGGGCGTCAGGGCCTTGCGGAACGAGGCATCTGACCTGGTTTCCTTTTCCTTGCCGATGAGCCTCTCGCGGCCCGCCAGATACTGCTGCAGGAAGGGATCCGACTTGGCGGGGAGGTCTTTGGAGAGCTCCTCCCAGAGGTCGTCAGGGATGGCCATTTTTTTTTTAAGGAGTCAAAGATGGTGAATTTTTTTTTTCCAACTGCACGATACCGCCTGTATGTCTGCTGGGCTTGGTAATACACACCACACAATGCAGTTGATAAGAAAGTAGAAAGCGGTCTGCCCCAGAAATGCGGAGTCGTAGACCGTCCGGCTTGTTGGCAGCCTTATGAAGAAAAACTTCGGCGCGGAGGTGGCCAGGGAAGCCGGAGACTACATGTATTAGCTCCGGCTGGTCGGCCGGGGCCGTTGCAAAGGATGCGCGTGATGCAGGCAGACGTGAGTCACGCCCGAGCCGTTGGGAGGGATTTTGGGGCGTTCAATTACGATCGAGGTCAAAAGTACTGCAGTGAAGACGCGTGTAAGTGTGTGCGGTTGTGGCAGCGCGTTGGCTGCTGGAACTGTGTTTGCGAGTGGTTAGGATATTCACGGCTAGACTCGCATGTGGCTGAAGCTGTTAATCCAAATTGAGGTAAAGCCAGGGACACGCGTGGCCATGGTCAAATTTCAAGTGAAAATCAGATGTTGGATGCGGCGCTTTGAGACGTTGATAAAGGAGGAGTAGAAGCCAGGAGAAATTGAATGTCTCATCGCCCCCATGTCCATTATACAGCACAACTTACATGCATATACATGTGCACATGCATCTGCTGTATGCAAATATATAATCTGTTTCTACGTGCACTCCAGGTATATGTATGCAAGAAACAAAGCTTATGAAATTTTCCCGTCACGAATAATCAACGAGATCACTCGCCCGGTTGTTTAGCCGATTCTAAGCTTATGCAGGTGGTCTTTTTGATTCCATCACTCTCAACGACCAACACAGTGAGGCTCATGTCTCTGCCCGCTTATTCGTCTAATCACATCTGAAACCCCTGCATCGCCACGAAATAAAACGGCCCTTTGACAGATCTCCCCAAAGGCCTAGCTAATACCGCTCTATCGCTATAATTCAACTATACTAGATGAAACTCTCATATTGACCAGTCATCTGTCTCGGCAGCCTGTGATGGTGATCTCGCGCCCGAAAAAGGGAGATGCGCTACGGGCTAGCTAGGCCTCCTCTCTGCGCTGATTCGCCAGGCGATCACCAGCACCAAAATCCCACTACATGCCATTTGGGGGATATCACAGTGACTCCATAGCTAGCAGGGCGCTTATAGCTCTTGATCTCATATTTTCTAGCCAGTGGAGCTTTGAGGCTGCCATTCAGTGTCTCGGGATGTGAGATGGGAGTATTCTGTTGGTTCCATCTGGTGAGCATTGTGATGAGAGATGTTGACTTCTTCATTTGGCTACGCCTGCTCATGCCCGTTATTAGTACAATATGGAGCTGTTAAAAAAATTGAAGGAATATAAATTCTATGCTTCTCCCCGTTGTAATCTTCAAAGCGCAGTTCAGTTCGGCTGTTACTGAAATAATCCAAGCGAATCTTGATTATACCAGCATCTCGGTGCATAACCAGTCCATCACTCTCTCAAACACAAAACGACACAATGCTTTCCTCAAAGCTATTCCTCCTCCTCTTTTCCTCACTCACGTCCGCTCTCGTCATCCCCAGAGACTACGACGTCCCAGCCGGCTACTGCTGCTTCACCCTCACCGACCCTTCCACGAGCCAGGTCATCCAGCAGAACAAAGAATACGGCTTCCTCTACTTGGACGCCAGCCAGCCAAAGGGGTGGTACTGCTTCAACTCGGCCAAGTCACAGCCCATCCTTTGGGATGATTTCAACAATGCTTGCATCATTGACTGGGATGGACACTTTCAATGCCTTGATCCCACCCCTGGCGATGACGTGTGGACGTTGGGTCACGGCGGTAGCAGCAGCGATCTTTTGCTACTTCACAACGGCTCTCCGACGTACCAGGCGTGTCCGGACCAGTCTGGGGGTGAATTCATCTCCTCTGGTGGATCTGAAACTGGATGCAGGAATATTCAGTTGGAAGCAACAGGCCTTCAGGGAACATGCTCAGGTTATACTGCTTAGACTCAATTGTTCATCTGCGGCCTCAGACTCGCTGTCACGCATGTAGAGAGATGTGATTCATACCTATCGTGGCGTTTTGTGGTTTCCCTTCATTTATACCCTTTTCATGTATATATTTCACATACAGCTTTCCCATCATGCTGGTCATTCTTTAGATGAACAATTAAAAGTATATATATTCACCGTTAAATTAATACACGTCTGGCCCAATCTTAACATATCCCAAACATCCCTGACCAGAGAAAAAAAAAACCAATCTGATACCAAATCCGACTACAACTTCGGAACAATCTCTCTAGCCACAGCTTCCGCCTCCTCGACGCCATACACAATGGCCAGATCCTTCTCCAGTTCCTCCGCCGGAGTGTCTCTCATGCGCTTCTCCTTTGAAAACTTGTCATCGATGAAGCGGCGGAAAATTTCCTTGACAGCGTCGTTCTGGTCAGTAGCGGCATCAACAAAAAGCAGCAAAGAGATGATAATCTCCGCCACGTCCCATAGAATCTCTCTGCCCTCGCCGACCAAAGCAGCCTGGTCTCTCTCATCGATGTATGCTCGCAGAGCAGCCCACTTCCCTACGGGGTCCCATCCATAGCGCTTGGCAATGTCTTCCTCGTTGAACGAGGAAGACGACTTGATGAAAGCTTCCAGTGCATTGAGTGATTGCTTTCCTGTTTTGGGGTGCTTCAGCGCGCGAATCATATCCGTACACAGGACATCGGTTGTGCCCTCCCAGATGGGCAGGACGCAGCAGTCGCGGTAGAGTCGAGCCACGTTGAGGTATTCCTGCTCTTCATTGACGAGGTAGCCTACGCCACCGAGCGATTCCATGCAAGAGTAGAGCAGCGGGACGGCGGCCTTGCATACATAGGCCTTGGCAAGGGGCACGATGATGCGAAGGAGCGGATCGATATACTGGGCCGGAGGCGTGAGAGCCGCGAGAGCAGATGTTGGCGGCGTTGCTTCGTGCTCAGAAAGGCCAAGCATGTAGCCGCAGTAGTTGCTCATGAGCATCAACCCGTGATACTCGGCCGTCAAGTTGGCCAGGGTGCGCATGTGCAGCGTGCTCTCGGTCAGCTTCATCCGAGCACCGCGGCCAGCTCCGACTTCTCGCCGGCGCGCATATGCCCTTGCAATGCCCAGCCCACGGCCGACATATCCACAGGCCGTCACGGCGTTGTGGATTCGAGTGATGGTTAGGATTGTGCTAATCTCGTTGATGCCCCTGCCTTCTTCGCCAATCATCCAGCCGCGCATGTCTTCCAACACGAGCTCGGCGGTGGGGAGTGATTGTGTCCCAAGCTTGTTCTTGAGTCGCTGGATCCAGACGCCGTTGAGCCGAGTTCCATCAGACTTGGGATGGCCAGTCATTGTTTTGGCCTTGGAATCGTGGCGCCGCATGGGTGCCAAAAAGGTGCTGAGACTGTCTTTGGAAGTCCGGGCCAGCAGGATGGTCATGTTGGAGTCTGTTGCGGATGAGAACCACTTGAAGCCATGAACGCTCCACGGCCCGAGGGGAATTTTGCCTTCTTTAGAAGCAAGGGCACCCTCGGCATCTTCGGGCTGGTACAGAGCAATGGTCTCAGTTTGAGATACATCGCTGCCGCCAGTACGCTCCGTCATCCATTGCCCGCTGGTCCAGGCAACGCTTGGGTCGCGTGAGATGAGACGGCGGTAGGCGTCGTCGAAAACAATGCGCTCCGTCTCGCTGAGACGTCGAGACGCCAGATGCCTCCTCAGAAGAGCAGCGGCACCGTCCTGCATCGCCGAGGGGCAAGTCACGTTTGCAGACGACGCTTCCCAGAGATGCAGGCGCAGATACTGCAGAGGGCGAGAAAAGGCGCCATAAGGGGTATCATAGCCGGTGGCAACGAAGCTATTCGGCGTCGCGTCAGAGGTCAGCAATCAGAAGTTTCACAAGACAGCATCCACGAAATCAACTCACCCTCTGGACAGGCCAAACTTTTGCAGCTCGCGCCATCCTTCGCCAGTCACAAGCTCGCCCTGCAGTCTGCCAAAGGCATCTCGGCCGCTGCCTTTGATGTAGGGCTTGTTGCGCTCGGCATCAGTGATCCAGCCAAACACCTCATCCGAGAGGACATCCCTGCCCAAGGCGGCAACTTCAGCCTCAACTTCGGTAATTACGCTAAATGGAAGAAACACTGCGCAGCATTCAATTAGTCACGTACTCGTTGCGGGCAAAGAAGGCTGTGTTTCAAGCGGCAGGAATGTGTTGTTTGTCTTTGTTTACGTGGCTGGCTCTCACTCACAATTGAAGCATCTGCGAAAGGAAACATCGTCATAAAACTGGTTGGGTAGAATTGGGGGCGGCTGGAAAAACCCCTTGTTTGCCCCTGAGGGCTGCATTATATCTAGGAGAATACAGAGACGGGCGATGTTGCGATAGATACAGGCGCAATCACTCAGATTCAATCAGCAATTCGCGGTCGACGCGCAACAAAATTGGCGTGTTTAAGATGAGATTGTCGGGTTGAGCGCGGAACCAGACAAAGAGGTGGACAGCCGGCTGTTATATGAAACCGCCCGTGTTAGCGTGCAGCTGAAGGCATCAGACGCTGCGGCGATTAAGATTGTCCCCGGCTTATAAGCCTGTATGTATGTGCTCTGGAAGCTCATGTCAGATGCAAGTTGGGCTGAGCCAATCGTGGGCGGGTCGTTATTACGGCTCCCTCTGCCCAGAATAAGGTGGTGTGGAGTCTTGCACAGACGCCAGCCGAGGCTTAGAAACTCCAGACTTTGGGGATTCGCAGCTGAAGATATGGCGGAACAGTTCCGTTGTAAACGGCTGTTTAACGATGTCAAGTTGCGTGAAAATAAGAAAGCTAGAGTCCGAATTATGGAGCAGTGTGATACTGTATGCAAGCTGTCAAGGTTCATTTTGGCAGCTGATGCCCTAAGCTTGTCTGACAAAAGGGAATCTCACCATAGAATCCTCATCTTTACATACTCCATACAGCGACTAGAAGATATACAAATCAGTTGTTTATTGACAAAACTATCATTAACGGTAAATATTAACATGATAAAAAACATTCTACAACTCATCATAGATACCTAAACAATCCTTGATTCTAGCTGTATCCCTCGATTGCTACCCTGCATTTAGCGCATTTCCTCTATATGGACGTGAAAGAAGATATAAAAAGGACACAAAGGGATAACACTAAATGGTCTAATGGTTTTCCTATATTTTGTCGGAATACACCAGCTCTGAGCGTATTCTTTTTGCTCCACGTAGAAGAGAATATGCCAAAATAAGGCACAGCCAGCATGCAAGCGCCGGAATAGCGGCCCCCATCGCCATGCAGCATCCCCGGATTTTCGCCTCTTCGGGATTCACGCTTTTCCATCGACCCACGATCCCCCTAAACGAACAACCTGCATTTTCAAAACCCATGACATTGAACCGTCCGCACCATGGCTGTCAAGTAATCCACCCGGCCCATCCGTCACAATGCGAACATCACGAATATCCAAAGACACCGCAAAGCTGGCGAGACGAGCCGCCGACTCTGCCTCGCCACCACGGCGCACGACGCGATCGTCGCTTGCGCGTTTCGCCCACAATGCAGGCGTCAAGACGGAACAGACGCCGGATATCGAAGACAGCATCACTGACCCGCCGACGAAACGCAGGAGAGGCTCCGATGCCTCCTTCTCTGCCGAATTGGCCAAGGACGAAACCGACTCGGACGAAGACGACAAGCTGAATGCCTTGTTAGCAGCTCCGGCTATCCCTCCCAAGAGCGCACGCCGTGCCCGCAAGCCCGCGCGCAAAGTCTCGGATCCGGACACCGGCGAATCGACAGTCTCCCCTCCGTCTGATTGGGAAGAGATGTACAATGTCGTGAGGAAGATGCGTGCGCCGGGTGGCGCCGCCTACGGGGCTGCGGTGGACACGATGGGCTGTGAGCGCCTGGCGGACAGGAGTGCTTCGCCGAGGGACCAGCGGCTGCACTCGCTGATAGCGCTGATGCTGTCCAGTCAGACCAAGGATACGGTCACGGCGGTGGTGATGCGGAGGCTGCAGACGGAGTTGCCGGCGTACAAGCCCGGAGCGCCGGTGGGCTTGAATCTGGACAATGTGCTGGCAGTAGATGAGAATCTGCTGAACCAGATGATTTGGGCTGTTGGATTCCACAATAACAAGACCAAGTTCGTTCTACGCCGTTGCCTTTTCTTCTACTGTGGCCCTTGTGCTTGGTTTTACACGGCATTATACTAACTTCACTCGTCTAATTGTTCAGGTACATAAAAAGGACTGCAGAAATCCTCCGGGACGAGTGGAACGGCGACATCCCCGACTCAATACAAGGCCTGACATCCCTCCCCGGCGTCGGACCCAAGATGGCCTACCTCTGCCTGTCCGTGGCCTGGAACCGCACCGAGGGCATCGGCGTCGACGTGCACGTCCACCGCATCACCAACATGTGGGGGTGGAACAAGACCAAGAATCCCGAAGAGACGCGGCTGGCGCTGCAATCGTGGCTGCCGCACGACCGGTGGCGCGAGATCAACAGCTTGCTCGTGGGGCTGGGGCAGAGCGTGTGCTTGCCCGTGGGACGGCGGTGCGGCGATTGTGATCTAGGATTGCAGGGGCTTTGTAAGGCGGCGGAGAGGAAGAAGGTCCTTGTGGGGAGGAAGATCAAGGGGGAGTTGATTAAAGAGGAGACGCTGGTTAAGATTGAGAAGAAGGAGGAGGAAGGGGAGGAGGGAGTGAAGAGGGAGAGTGTCGGCGCGATTGTCAAGACAGAGGTCGCTATCAAAGAGGAGATTGAATTCGAGGTCAAGGTCAAGAAAGAGGAAGAGGACTGATAAGGACTTGCGTATGGTCGTATTGGAGATAGACACATGTTCTGCGAGGAAGGAGGCCCGACTTCGCTCGTTGATGAATCACCTTTGGGGCGTGGAGTTTTTGCAGCTCGCCACGTAGCATGATACCACATGTAAGCATATCACTGGCCTCTTTTTTTTTTTTTTTCCTTACTCTCATCACACTGGAGATGGGTATATGTGTAATAGAGCTATATAGAGCCGAGTAACAGAAGCTAGACACGCATCTTTGTGATTTGTCTTACCCCGTGGGTTTGTGCAGTGCTTGTGTTTGAATCGCACCATTCTCACCCTCTTCTTGCATTCTTGATAACTGACTCTTTCATACGTATTATTTGTGTAGTTGGGCTCATGTTTAAATTTTGAGATACGTGTTATACATTTTGATGAGCTGTTTCCGTGAAATCAGTCATGTGAATGGCCAGGTAGCAGTCGTCAGAACCATAATTAATACCATGCTCCATACTAGGCAATTCGCTTGTCCGCGTATTTCTTCTTCTCTTTGTGTTTAATTACTCGCTGTCGTGTCGTTGCATTCCCCCCCAAGTTGATTAGGCTGCGCTTCGGAGGCAGGTCGGTATTGGGCCTGTCCCCCCCATCAGCCGAAATGGCAATCAGCCCCGCCGGCTATATTGAGTCCGAAGTTGGGAGGATTGCAATTCAAATTGACTTGTGCTTTCTTTTTTGCATGATCCTGTCAAAAAGTGTCAATGCCGAGACTCGGCAAATGCGACAAGCGTCATCGTTTACTAAACGTCCCCTGCTCGGGCGAATCTCGCAAGACGTGTCCGCTCATTTTGCTGCTGATCACGCAACAGGACGACTTTCTTCGAATCCCGTAATTATCACGATTGTTCAGTTTGTTTTGTTTAACGAATTTGGGTTTCATCATATTCAAAAATGAACTAATAAAGATCAAACAGCAATCAAATGCGGAAAATGGCTCCTAATATCCCCCTAGATAAAATGCCGAATAGATGATGAAACATGCCTAATACTCCGTGCGATCCAAAAGCCGTAGCTGTTCCGACCGAAACAGTACACCAGTGAAATAGATGGTAGAAATATACAAAAAAGGTAATGGAGGGCACTGATAGCACCATCTCGTCTTGCTTCTCTCTCTCCTTGGGGAGAACGACTGGCTTCCTCTCGCCGTGTCAACCCCTTATCGCTCCAAATAAATGGGAAAATGAATATTCATGTAATCGTGGTCCGTGAGACTGGATTGGGCCGACGAAAGCGCCAAATCAAGGTGTGTGAATGAGAATGGTAGGTGAAATCGAAGTGTATGGAAAACCGTAGGATGTGCGGTAATTAGAGGTCAGGTGGTTTGTTGGGTGATCGCCGTTGGGAGGTTGGCAAGGGTGTGATTTAGACGCCTCGGATGACCTGTGTCCTCTCGGCTTCCAGCTGGGCAGCATTGCGCGCATGAGACTGCTTCTTGCACTAATACAAGCGTTAGATTCTGATGAGGTTGTCTGAAAGGAAATTCAAAAGAGCCAACTTACGTCTTCCAGGCCGCTGCACTTGTGATCCTCTAACAGACGGTGCTTGCCGCAGAAGTGGCCATTGCAGAATGTGCAGTCTCCGACGATGCGCTGGGCAGCCTCTCGGCAGTCCTTGGCGTTGCAACGGAGCTTCTTGGCAGGCATGCTGGGCGATTTGAGAGGAGAAGATGTCTGAGGGTGATCAAGATGTAGCCGAGGCCGGATGTAGTCGTGTCGTGTGATGTGATGCCAACGAGTGTTCTGTCGAGAACGGTCTGTTGAAGTAGTGGCCGAGAGAAGGCCTTCTATTACTAATAGCAAGACACAAGGGGAGGAGCCGACGACAGCGAGTGACGGAAGATTGACGCCGGCAGGCTTGATGAGAATGAAGAAGAAGGAAACCTGGACGTTGAGTCAGCGCCGTTGCGAACAGCGGAATGGCGCGAGGCTTTATATGCGCAATGCAAATGGAGTGACGACCCAAGCGTCAGGCCCAGCAAGGGGGAAAGCGACAAGACATCCCCAAGTCATTCAGCGAGCGAGGCGCCACTCACACCCGGTGGTCCGGTGGAGTACACGCCGCTCTCCAAGTCCCAGCCCAGCGCCGGGGGTGTGTGAATTTGCCTCCCGGACGGATCGCCCCTCTCAGTAGTAGCTTTAGAAGAGAAAAGAAGGACGAGCGAGACTCGGGTGGAATCTCTCTCTCTCTTCTGTCTCTCTAAGCTTCTGCTCCCAAAGGGGGGCGCGGGCATAGTAAGTTGAAACGGGGGGGAATGGGGGCACCATTGCCTGATCCGGGGCTTCTTTTCTTTGGGAGGCTTGACATTTTCCGGCTCTTTGTCTATTTTGTGCTTTGTCTGCTTTTGAAACGTACCTTGAATTTGAAGTCTTCTTCTTTTTGAAATTAAGTGCAGGTGGAAGAGCGGAAATGAATTGATTCCCACTTGGATGATCAGAATGAAGCAATGGTCACCTCGGCTATATCACCAGTCTGCGTGATCAGTCTATACGGCCGTGCCTAGACAATAGCAGAGGAAAACAGCCGCACCGGGGTGTAAGTACAAGCCAGGCAAGGGTCTCTTCTGTTTCTGGTGGCGGGGCCCGTCTGGAATTGCGGCCGGGACTGGAGGGAGCAGCTGAGCCGAAGGCCAAGCCAGTCAGTAGCTGAGGAGGTTGTTCTTTTTGAAGCAAGACGCCCTAGACGTACATGTGCGTGTGTGAGTTGCGGTGACTGACGCTGAGAGAGAGAGAGAGGGAAAAAAAAAAAAAGAAAAAGAAGGGATTTCGAGATGCGGCTGTTTGGCCTCTTTATCTGTGCCGCCCAACTACTAGGTACTACTACTGGTCACCGGGCAGCAGCCAGACAAGAGATACGAAGGCGAGAACGCATTGTCCCATCATTTCCGATTTCCAATCAAAGCCCGCAAGATGCCAGAGCGGCCCTTGATAGCGAATCAGTCGGCAGGTATGTACTAACCGGAGGGGAACTGGGTACGGATACGACAAGTCGCAGTACAACCCGTTGGCCTGTGACCCTTTTATTGCTTGGTCTGGCCTTTTTTGGTCTGATTTTCCCTTCCCGGGGGGCTGGGGCCTAGTACACATCAGCCAGAAGTGACTGTGCGTGTAAGTGTTGCACTATTGAGCCTTTCTCCGAAAGCGGTGTCGGGCTTTGGGTAGCGGGCGTGACGTGATGTCGGTCCTAGTCTAGGTATTTCTATGCTGACTGAAGAGAGCATTCGTTCTACCTAGCGAGGCCCAGATTGGATTTGAGGCGGACGAGAGCAAAGATGAAGGAGGCAAGAGATGAGTGAAGTAGAGGTAGCATTGGCAATGGGACTTCGAGGCCAGAAGCTGCAGTCACTGAAAGAAGTCTGCCCTTGTGCCACAGCATGATGCACGAAATGCCCTCCCCTAGAATCAGTCAAACGTGGTATCGACGATGGACGATGGCTCGACTGCCAAGAGCCGTTTTACTGCTAGAACTGCGACTACTGCCGGGAGCATCAACACCATCGTGACCGACTGCCTTATCTCTACCTTTTGCCGTCTGTACTTGATCCTGCACCGCTCTCGTCGCTCACATTCCCCGACATTTGCACCCCGTTGGGCACCACTCGCCGCCGGTCTTTGGGTCGCCATCTTGCCAACAACGTGATCACACCTTGGTTCTCTCCCCCATCGCTTAAATCCCACCTCTCGATTCCCAAATCCCATCCAATGCTAAGCGCCTAGTCGTAGGAGTCACAGCGAATAACGCTACTCCAAGTGCTACGAGCTGCTAGCGTCCATGTAAGTCCAGAGCAGCGAACACGTATGTAGGCGGTGGATAAGTAGCCCCCCAGGCCATGCCAGGCCATGTATAGTCCACATGTGCATGTGTCTCTGTATGTATGTACATGTACGGCGCAACCCCTTCGGCGGCGCGACCCAATGCATGGAGCCGTATCGATACATCGTGGGGAATCATGCGCCGCCGCAGATGCAAGGCCACTTGTTGGACCCCAACCCAGCGACGGGGGTCCGTCTTCCTATCGCGTCGGCGGGAAGCCTGAGCCTGACTGCTGCCATGCACAAGCACAAGCCGATGCGTGCATGGCTAGCACGGGAACAGCGCAGCATCGCATCGCATCGCAGGCCGTGTATATCAGAGGCCATGTCCATATCACACCCGCCATGGAGCAAGCAGTGCTACGAGGCATCAGACCAGCGGCATGCTCGCGCAGACACGATAAACACAAGGCCGGCCGGAGAATAATGGACTGCAGCCAATTGGCTCCTGCTAGTCATTTCCTCTCCTTTCCCTGCATGCGCATCAAACGAGGGCTCCACGCAACGAAGCGCTGGGGGTTGAGTTGAGTTACACCAAGAACTGAAGCTACGACGGTCGCGTGCGAGTGTAAGTTGCCCGCAGTGGAATGATCCATACAGTATAATTACATGGATCAGTCATGTTCTTCCACCTCTGGCGCTTTCAGCGCGCCGTCGTTACATTGAGAAGCTCTGAAGGGGAAAAAAAATTCCTAAAACGCAGCATCGAATCAAACATGTTCCATCTGGGGGGTTTTCAGAAAATTGGCTGGGCTCGAGATCGACTCTTGTCCAGCCCGTTTCACCTCAGGCGCCGGAAGGTCCCAGAGCCGGAAAACGACCCCCTTCAGATGGCGAGACGTAAGACATCCATGACTTGCCAGACCGTCATGCGGTCGGCGGCTGAAAAGTCGCGCGCGCAAAAGATCAGTCAGTTTCTGTCAGCCTGCTGCTCCCTCGCTAGTATGGCTCTGGCTAACAAGATGGCATGTATCTACAAAGTACATGTAGGGAATTATTCCTGGCGAATCCTCTCCTTGCTTGGGTACTGCTAGGTACGAACACCTGAACACCTGGATAGCCGAGAATACATGATACTGTACTCTCTCATACTCTCTCATTTATCCTATACTGCTCCTCATGAACAAAGATGCTCCCAACGGTAGGTAACATCAGATGGAATCAAGTGAAATTCCAGCAGGCCTGAATGTACTGGGTTCGCCCGCTGGTGGAGTTTAACTGGCTGTGACGTAGCCGCTTGCAAAGTCCCTGGACCAGGCTCCCCGACCGCTTTCCAGGCTGACAGCGCTGACGACTCTCAAGTAAAATGAAGCGAGCTGTGTCTTTGGTCCCCTGTACTTTGTACCTCGAGCAGCAATTAGACAGGTCACAAGTAGGTATTGTTGAGTACAGAATAGTACTGCAAGATACCCCTTGAATAGCTGTCTCGCAGAGTGGTATAAACGGATCTTCAAAGCCAGATATGCATGCTCAGCACCAAGCCAGCGCGCAAAATAGGTCGATGAGCCCTGGGATCAAGCCATTGCTTTTGCTGGCTGGAGCGCGCTTCACTGCAGGGAGCGCATGGAATCCCGGATAATCAAATCACATCTTACGACCAACGCATCCTTTCTGTGAGCATGATTGTTAAGCAGCCAATTCCGTACCGCAGGAAATAATCTATGGGTAAAGTATCCAGCAGCTCATACGGAGCAATTTACCATCGTCAATGTTCCTTTGTAGTTGAACACTTGCCGATTGTAGGTACTTATACGGATAGCCACACATATTAAAACCCCCCCTACATTGCTGCACACGATACAGTCCGTTTTCGTCTTTCTCACCATGTAAATCGCCGCTTTTGGCAACATTGCCCTTTGCACTTCCCGGAATTATCTCTTGCCTCTTTTTCGTTCCCGCTGCCGGCCGGATCCGCCTCCGGCGCTGCCTCCGAAATCAGCACCGCCTCCAGCATTCCGAGTTTGTCGCTCGTGCGTGTGTCTGCCCCAATGGGAACTGCCGAGTTTCGTACGAAATGCGGTCAAATCTACTGTGCTGTGTATGTGAGGCCATTGAGCATGGTGGCAGTGACAGCCATGTCGTCATTCCCGAGATCCGCTCTCACTCGTTTCCGTCAACCGGCGCTCACGCCGTTCGGGATGAGCGAAAGCAAGACTAGCTACAGCAAATTTTTGGAATTCTGTAAGAATGACTTTACGTCGTCACAGGTTTACTCAATCTGTGCTCATTCTTGGTTTCTTACTAAGCATGATGCTGGTTGTCGGAGCGGATCGTCTCCATAGTCTCAGCCCTCGGCTCCACCATTACAGCAACAAAAAAGATATGAATTGTCCACCCCAGGAATCGAACCTGGGTTTGCAGTGATTCAAATGATCCACAAACTGCTGTACTGACCACTATACTAGGTAGACTGTAATATATATTGATTGGTCGCAAATTGATTGATATACCTAGGTGGTGGTGTTGATCAACCGCCTTGCTAGCTTGCCACATATTTGCCAAGGGGCCACCAAAACAGATTTGCCGTAGCACCAAAAAACAGGAGCGAGAAGGAAGGGATGCATATATACCATCAAAAGAGAACTAATTATATATGGTAATGGTACATATTATGTAGGGGCAGTTAAAGATGACTCTGTAGACGCTTCTCGTGTAAGTGAAGATTTTTCACTACCGAGTAGAAAGCAATGTAACAGAAAATGTTACAGCTAGCAATAGTACACAACTATCTTGTTACACGCGGATAGAAAGCCATAATTGTGTCAGTTGTATATACTGAAATGACTGTATATTGCATCTACTGCTTATACTACCTAAAGTGTCTCAACCACCTTAACCGCCTCTACCGCTTATCATGCGATATGCGAGAGACGTGATATCGTGAAGCTCACCCGGGGTGCGATCCTTACGATCAGCAACGTGGGAATACACATGTAGGGTCAAAAAAGCTTGCTCTATCTATGATACGGGATCTGTGTCTACTATATAGGTGTGGATGACCTCATCCATCCATCCTCCCCTGGGGATGTCAGGGCAAGCGTCCCCCAACATCCCCCCCGGCCAAAAAAGGCGATGGTCCCCATCGTTCCATGTCACTGCCTTTCAATGCCAGCGGTTATTATCCATCTAACCTCCGTCTTCCAAGAGACCTATCATATTGATGTATATTGTGGTTCCCATTTCCGTCGTCAAGGCAATTTTGATATCGCAGGTCCCAATTTGTTCTCCAAGCAATTTGTAGTTCCGATGTCGTAGCTCCTTCTGTCTTCCAGGCAAGCGTCCCCCAACACTGCTCCAACTGACTTCAATATCTTCAATATCTTCAATATCTTCAATATCTTCAATATCTTCTAATTTATCTGTCACATAATTCTGCAACCTTGATATCCTTAATCTGTATACCATTTCACTTCATTGCCTATCCCTGTTCAATTGACATTGAGACTACTTTTGCTTACCAAGATAACGATGCTCCGTCCCCTCTTGTCTGTCGATTGCTTGGGTCGATGCAAGATCCCAAGATATAAGACTTTGGTGTAGACTATTTTTCTAATATCGGAGGCTGCATAACTTGCGGTGCATCATACATGTATGTGTACTACTACCCTTGTGCATATCTTTCTCCACCGAGGTAACCATCAAGGTACAAACTGGCTTCTGACATTCTGACTACCCCAGTTCTCTATCTTCATTGCATCTTCTTCTTTTATCATGAAATTAAAATCCTTTTATTTTACAATTTGACACCAAGTGTGGCTCTTGGATCTGGCCCCTCCTTCAGCGCATCCTGTTACAAGGTCCGCGCATCAACAACAGCTCGGATGCAGTCTCCCTGCTTCATCGTCTCAAACGCATTATTAATCTCACCAAGCGTTTTGCGGTGTGTGATGAACTCGTCGACCTTGAGAGCTCCAGACAGATAGTCGTCGACAAGTCCAGGCAGCTGCGTGCGGCCCTTGATGCCGCCAAACGCGCAGCCCTTCCAGACACGGCCAGTGACAAGTTGGAATGCTGAAAAAAAGAACTCAAGTTAGTATGATAAAATCCAATCACCAATAACGGAGCATAAAGGTTTAACTTACGGCGAGTGGCAATCTCCTGTCCAGCAGCAGCGACACCGATAATGATACTCTCACCCCAACCCTTGTGGCAAGCCTCCAGAGCAGCACGCATCACATTGACATTACCAGTGCAATCAAACGTGTAGTCGCAGCCGCCGTCAGTCATCTCAAGCAGCTTCTCGACGATAGTCTGTCCCTTCAAATCATTAGGGTTCACAAAGTCGGTGGCACCAAACTTCTTCGCCCACTCCTCCTTGGCCGGGTTGACGTCCACCACGATGATCTTGCCGGCCTTGTTGACGGCAGCTCCCTGAACAACAGACAGACCAACGCATCCGGCTCCAAAGATGGCGACGTTAGAACCCTCCTCCACTTTGGCGGTGACGCGGGCTGCGCCGTAACCGGTGGTGATGCCGCAACCTAGGAGACAAGTTCGGTCCATGGGTGCGTCGGCTTGAACAGCTACAACAGAGATATCGGCGAGGACGGTGTACTGAGAGAAAGTTGACGTGCCCATGTAGTGGAGGAGATCCTTGCCCTTGCACTTGAATCGGCTGGTGCCATCGGGCATGACACCCTTGCCCTGAGTAGCTCGGATCTTGCCGCAGAGGTTAGTCTTTCCGGACTTGCAGAACTTGCACTCTTTGCACTCGGGTGTGCTGCATGCTAATTAGTTCTCGTCTTCGATGCAGATCATGAACTTGGGGGCGAGACGAGCGTACTAGAGAGCAACGACGTGATCACCGGGCTTCACGTTGGTGACACCCTCACCAACAGACTCGACAATACCAGCTCCCTCGTGTCCCAGGATGACGGGGAAAGCTCCCTCCGGGTCCTTGCCGGACAGAGTGTAGGCATCTACAGCAGTCAGTATTTCCACGTCAACTCCTTGAGAGCTCAGCACCAGTCACGCAACTTACCAGTGTGGCAGACGCCGGTGTAGTAAATCTGCACGCGGACTTCATGGGCCTTGGGAGGAGCAACTTCGACGTCCTCGATGCTCAGCTCCTTGCCAGCCTCCCAGGCTACGGCAGCCTTGCAGGTGATGGTCTGCATCCCTCTCTCATCAGCTTCACAACTTCCAACTTATGGCGGGGCGCAAAGGCCGTGGAGGGGTAGTTTCAGCGAAGTTGCTCACCTTTCCAACAGTCGAGGCCATTGTGTTAGTTCAGCTGGTGAAATGCGGCCGAATGCAGCTTTCTTGATGAGTTGGAGAAAAGCTCAAGTGAGAGATGGAGCTATGTACTATTTATTTATTTACGGGCGCCAGCTGCTTGACCTTGACATAGCTTTCCGATCCCCCGAACGTCACCACTAGAATTCAACATTCATCTTAGCTACCCCGCTGCGGCGCAAGTGGGGGAAGCAAAAAACTGGTGCTTAAAGCAACATGTATTTTATGCGCTTACTCATGCGTCAACTGAATTACTGGGCAATACCTGGGATTTACCCGTCAACGAATCGTATTCTTTGAATGAGACCTGAATTTTCTGAAGGTTGCTACTTGTTCCGGGATCTAACCGGTGTTATGTGCTCATGACATATGTAACTCCGTCATCTCCGTGCTCACAATGAATTGAAAGCGGCGATACTGTCCCTATAGCGGCTATAATTATTGCCGATTTTGAGTAACCTTGGTTGTTCGGCGTTTGGAAGAAAGGGATGACTAGTCAAATAGAAACGCTTCTCAAACATCGGTATTTCGACCCAGATTATGTTTTTGAGTTATGAGACCTGTGAATATTACCAGTAGTCATATAACAAGCGGCAGAAATAGTATAGCTCGTGTAGTACATAGCTTGGATTTCATGCAAACCTTGTACCAAGGTCTTTTACGGCGAACGGCACTCAATTTAACGTGGACAAAAAATAGGTGAAATGAGAATCTAGGGTTTCTTAAGAAGATTGATAAAATTTGATTTTTTTTATGTACTTTCTCTTGTCTTGGCTACTACTCATCGCTGTCGTGAAATGCTGAAATTAGCTGTATCAAGACACCGAGTCCACCTTGGACGCTAGGTGTCTCGGTGAGGCCCGGCTAAATCTCGGATCGCAATCATCCCGGCGCGACAACAGCTCCCAAAAAATATCCAAGACGCGTGCTGGGCTAAACGAATAGAGGGCAATGTTCCTTCACAACTAAGCGTTGCCAATCTACACCTGCATCTGCTGCGAAGCTTGCTCAATACGAAAGACACATGCCGGCCTTTACGAATCCCATCCGCGTTTATGAATAAGTGATACATCGTTGCCATTGATACGAGCATTCTGTTGGACCAGCCGACAGGCCAGCATCGCTCCTCACCATGGCCCACAGGTTCATCATCGATTCCAGTCCCATGGCCAAGGGCTCGCCGTTAACACCAGATAGGCGACGTGTTAATAACTTCTCGCAATTCGAAGACGGCCCATCAGCAGCAGCAGATTTCGGTAGCTCAAGACCTCCGGCGTTTGAGTCTCCGCGACCTTCAATTGGCACGACTTCAAGCACTGGAGGAGGACTGTTTGGCCAACCACGCGGTCAAAATGCTCCTCTGGGCCGAAACTTCAGAGGAAGGCCTTCTGGGCTGAGCCGACAGCTTCGTGCCAACGGTAACGACAAGGAGGACGATTTCGGCGACGGTTTCGACGATGATGAGGAACTTCCCCCTCTGAGAGGAAGTTTGTTTCGAAGCACACCTCAAACAACTAGGGCATCACAAAGAAACGATGATATGGAAGCTGAGGTGGAGCGATATATCGACGAGGAAATGGAGGAAGAATTGAGCGCGGATGCCTCTGAAACTGGCGATATTTTCCTGAACATGCGACACGACGACCGTGCATATGGCCAACCCGTTATTGGCGAGGAGTCAGACCTGATGATGCTGCAAACACCTGCGGCGACAGCTAGAGTGCGCAAGGAAGCTGAGAGCATATTTAGCCAGTCCACTCGCTTTAGGCCTACGAGAAACCACGAGCTTCAATTCGCCACCATTGCCAAAGATATCTATACGTATCAAGAGCCTGCCCGAATCACAGAGAGCCCGGATTTGATCCTAAAGACCGAAAACTTGGTTTGCCAGCTATACAACGATGGGGTTGGCGCGCACGAGGACACGGAAAGACTGGAAAACTCACTTGCCAACATCACCTACCGACTAATCCAACTATGGACAGAGTACACCGAGGAGCTTCCTCCGCCAGAAGGCGAAGATCTGGCCACCATTGGACCGCCGGAAGGCGCCGACCCGTTTGAAAAAGCTGCCTATGTTGCCCATCTGATTCTCCGTATGCACCATGCTCGTTTTGACACAAAAACCGAGGACGACAAGGTACCACCACTGCCAGAAATTCTCTTTGACTGGTTACAAAGCAGCCACAACTTGTTTCCCAACCAAGTTCGAGAGATTTCCCGGTATAAGCCCAGCCCTGCGTGCCACAGCTTGTACTGGCAGACTCTGAGAAATGCGCTGCTACGGGGCGACGTAACCGGAGCACAGCAGCTTCTGAGAAATGCCGGTTGGGAGCATGTTCGCCGAGGGCCTCTGGGCGGCCCAACGTACACTGGCAAGGCTCTTGAAAACGTACGACGATTTGCAGAGGCTACGTGTGAGATGCTTGACCAATGCCCCGCAGCGCGGAACGACTGGGAGATTCTGGATAGTAGCTGGACTCTATTCCGAGTCCAAGCTCGAGGCTCTCTGGATCGACTCACTCTGTTTGCTGAAGGCAAAGATACTAGCCTACTGGATTCTCTCAACGACGGAGTCGACACGTCCATGTCAGCAATGGCCAAGAAAGCGTCGAGCCAGATTCCCTGGGATATTTACGAAAATTTACAGACTGTATATGACATTGTCCTGGGACAGACTGAAGCCATCTTGGAGACGGCACAGGATTGGTGCGAAGCAACAGTTGCACTGTTTGGCTGGTGGGATGAGGGTGTTCAGCGCCCCAAGAGCCTGGTGCAATCACAGTTTGGCGTATCGCCCGGCAGCTTTACAGACTCTGAGGACTACTTTGATCGACTTGTAACGGTGTTCAACGTTGTTATCCAATCTGGCCTGAGCCCTAACACAATGAATCCCGTAGAGGTTGCCCTTGCATCTGCCTTTGAAGGCAACGTTCACGCTGTCATTGGATGCCTGAGAACTTGGTCTCTACCAGTAGCCTGCTCAGTGGCGGAAATCGCTTCTTTGGGCAAATGGCTTCCGCTTCAAGAATCTGCGAAGCCGCTGCCGGCTGATAGTCTGGACATTGACGATTTAATGCTTCTTGGAGTTGGCCAGCCTACTACTGACGATGTCGAGGGCATCAAAGACACAACTCTTGTTATCTATGCGAGAGAGCTGGCAGGAATCGAGCACCTATCGCCACAGCGAGATGGCTGGGAGATGGCCATCCAGGTGCTTGGACGGATGGACGTTCCGGAAAAATCGGAGGAAACAGTTGGTGAATTACTGAGAGACCTTTTGGCAACGTTGGATGAAAACTCTAGCACAACGGTTGATAAGATGTGGAGGCTGTTGAGCGATCTGGGCATGATGAATTATGCTGAGGAGACTGCAGAGGTGAGCAACTTGTTTCTCTCATGTGACTTGAGATTCTTAATTAGCAATGTGATGCTGACTGTATGGACAGACATTTGCCGAGATTTTGTCAAAAGAATCTCACCGATACGGCGAGGCTCTTTGGTATTTTGCGCTATCTCACCGTACCGACCGAGTTCGTGAAGTGCTGAACCTTCTCATGTCTTATTCGCTGGTGCAATCCACAGTATATCCTGCCGAGAAAGACCTTGACGAAGATCTCAAGGGCCTGCTTCGCAACAGATCAGAAACCTTGGAAGAGAAGGCAAAGGTTGATCTGGAAGCCGCCCAGGTGCTCGGGCGCATGCTTAGCGGCTACGCTACGTTGCGCAAGTTCTACGAGATTAGAGACGAGATTGGAAATATCGAAGAAACTTCGCCATCTAGGGCTCTTGCCATGAAGAAGCAAGCCGCGTTCGCGTTGGTGGCTGTCGTCTCTAGCTCAGGCGACAACATCCGCGGCGGGCTCTACGACGAGACGAGAGATGCTGTGGTCAGTGAAGACTTTTTGCTGGCTCTGCTTGGCGAAACAACAGTCTTCATCAACCAGTCGCCCTCTGTCATCTCTCTCGAGCAGCTGGACATTCTGCTCAAGGCGATTGAGGATATTCAAGCGGTGGGCACTAGAGTGTATTCGACGTGTGAAGAGTTTTTCAACCTGGTGCTCGCGTCAGGACATGGTTTGAAGGGGTCTACACCTTCAGACCTGATAAAGTCGACAAGTTCGCTAAGTGGTAGCACATATATGATGAGCGGCAGTTCACTTCTTGCTAGCCATATGCAAAAGTCTATCATGGGAGGAGGCAAAGTGAATAGGGGATGGGATTGGAGGAAAGGCTGGCTTGCTAACACCAAGGGAGAAGATGTGATTCGCAAGCTGAGATTAGGCTTGGCCAAAGACTTGGCGTCACTATGGCTGGACGATGCGGATGGGGTTGCAATTTACTAGAAGAGGGGAAAAAAAAAAGAAAGCAAGGGGACGATAGACCGGGATGGAACAAATGGATATATAGGTACTCCGTACTACATGATGGAATTGGGATTGAGGCGATGATACATGATGTTTAGCAGGGTTGAGATACCCATATAATACTCGAAATGAGAAAGATATGCGGAGACAAGGCGGTTGATTGAGGAATTCTAGCTTCAGTATACTCTCTTATTGAGGACATCATTCAATTCCTCCTATGGGCTAATATAGTGTCAATAGAGCGCCAGCCCCAGCTTTGGTGCAATGACGTGCGCCACTTTGCCCCGATTCTCTCCCGCCACCCGTCTCCAATCCGATACCGCGCATTGCCAATCTCAAAACTTTCACCCCACCAAAAAGTTTGTTCGTGGGAATGAATCACGAGCGCAGAAGATGGCCCCAATTGAACTGGCAGGCCGCTCTGGAGGCGCCATGACTGTGAGTTTCTGGCGTTGAGACAAGTATTAAACTGCAATTATAATAAACGATGAGCTGACTTTGAATTGGCATTTGTAGAGCATTTTGCGAAGAGCTGGATCCGGCTCCGCGGCCGGAGCTCTGAACCGCACATTATGCGCTTCTTCGACCCGGCGATTCTCGAGCGTCAAGTCCCTGCCGCCGACGTACGAGAAGCTCTTCAACAGATACACCGAAGTGCGCCGAGTCCTGGGCAAGCAGCGCCTGACGCTCGCTGAGAAGATTCTGTACAGCCACCTGGACAACGTCGAAGAGTCACTTCTGACCAACACGGACAATGGGCGCAGCATCCGCGGCAAGGCCAATCTGCTGCTGAAGCCCGACCGGGTCAACATGCAGGATGCGTCTGCGCAGATGGCCCTTCTGCAGTTCATGTCGTGCAATCTGGAGAGGCCGGCCATCCCTGCGAGCATCCACTGCGACCACCTGATCGTGGGCGCAAAGGGCGCGGAGAATGACTTGTCGACGGGCATCCAGGCCAACAAGGAGATTTTCGACTTCTTGGAGTCTGCGGCGCGCAAGTACGGCATGGACTTTTGGCCGCCTGGCGCGGGAATCATTCACCAGACAGTGCTGGAGAACTATGCGCTGCCGGGTTTGATGATGCTGGGCACTGACAGCCACAGCCCCAATGCTGGCGGTCTCTGCACAGTCACGATTGGTGTTGGAGGTGCTGATGCCGTTGAGGCCCTGGTTGGCGCCCCGTGGGAGCTCAAGGCGCCCAAGGCTCTTGGTGTTAAGCTCACTGGCAGCCTGAACAACTGGGTTGCTCCCAAGGATGTCATCTTGAAGCTGGCTGGCGAACTGACGGTTCGCGGCGGCACTGGCTCCATCATCGAGTACTTTGGCCCAGGCGTTGACACGCTGAGCGCTACTGGCATGGCTACTATTTGCAACATGGGTGCCGAGGTTGGCGCAACCACATCCCTCTTCCCTTACACTGAAGCTTCTGCTCGTTACCTCGAGTCTACCCGTAGAGGCCAGGCTGTCGAGAACATCAAGGCCCTGCAGAGCTTCCCCGGAAACAGCGCCTCTGAGGACTCCCGCTTCCAGTTCAAGGCTGACGAAGGCGCCGAGTATGACCAGCTCATCACCATCAACCTCTCCGAGCTGGAGCCCCACGTCAACGGCCCCTTTACTCCTGACCTGGCTACCCCCCTGTCCAAGTTTAAGAATGTCGTCAAGGAGCAGCAATGGCCTGAGAAGCTGTCTGCCGGTCTCATCGGCAGCTGCACCAACAGCTCCTACGAGGACATGACCCGCGTGGAGAGTCTCCTCAAGGAAGCTGCCGACGCTGGTCTTAAGCCTGCTGCTGATTTCTACATTACCCCCGGTAGCGAGCAGATTCGCGCCACCTTGGAGCGTGATGGCACTCTCAAGACTTTTGAGGCTGCTGGCGGTGTGTTGCTGTCCAACGCCTGTGGTCCTTGTATCGGCCAGTGGCAGCGTCAGGATGGTGTTACCAAGGGAACCTCCAATGCTATTCTCACCTCGTACAACCGCAACTTCCGCGGTCGAAACGATGGCAACCCCGAAACTATGAACTTCCTTGCCTCTCCCGAGATTGTTACCGCCATGGCTTTTGCTGGCTCAACCACATTCAACCCCATGACCGATACTATCAAGACTCCCTCTGGCAAGGACTTCAAGTTCTCTCCCCCTCACGGTCTTGAAGGCCCCCAGACACCCTTTGAAGCCGGCGTCCCCTCACTCGGTGTCCTCTCTCAGCAGCCCGACCCCAGCATTCAAGTCGCCGTCTCCCCATCTTCCGATCGTCTCGCCTTCCTCGAGCCGTTTGCCCCTTTCCCAGAGTCCGACCTCTCCGGCCTCCGCGTCCTCGTAAAGGTCACCGGCAAGTGCACCACCGACACAATCTCCGCCGCCGGCCCCTGGCTCAAATACAAGGGCCACCTCCCCAACATCAGCACAAACACCCTCAATACCGCCACCAACGCCGAGACGGGCGAGGTCAATGCCGCCTACGACCTCGACGGCTCCAAGCACACCATCCCCGAGCTCGGCCAGCTGTGGAAGGAGCGCAACCAGGAGTGGCTCGTCGTCGCGGAGCACAACTACGGCGAGGGATCGGCCCGTGAGCACGCCGCCCTGCAGCCCAGATACCTCGGCGCGAGAGTCGTCCTGACAAAGTCCTTTGCGCGCATCCACGAGACGAACCTGAAGAAGCAGGGCGTTGTGCCGCTGACGTTTGAGAACGAGGCTGATTACGACAAGATTGGAGCTGGTGACGAGGTCAGCACTGTGGGACTGTATGAGATGCTCCGCAATAAGGGCAAGGGAGATGTTCAGCTCAAGGTCAAGAAGACGAGTGGCGAGGAGTTTTTGATCCCGACGAAGCATGCTGTTAGCAAGGACCAGGCGGGATTCATCTTGGCGGGCAGTGCGCTGAACTTGCTGTCCAAGGGAGTATAAAAGTTGAACCAGGGTTAGGGTTTAGCGACTGGGAGCGGATATGGTAGAATGATTTGAGGGGGATTGGGGATGGGAAATAGGGTATGTATAATGCTATTCTTTGTATATAGCAGTATACCTAGGGCACAGAGCCAAGTTATTGATTTCTTGTATAACTATATAAAATATTGGAATTTAGTTGCAAAGCAGTTATTTGACAAGACTGAAGTTATATAGCGGCCAAGTCTTTGAGCTTAGACAACAAGAGTTCTCAAAGTAATGTGTTTGCATTCTATTGTTAGTAATAGTTTAAGTATATTATTAAAAAAAAAAAAAAATGTTCCTATCTTCCTATTCCCCCTACATACCTAAGCTGCTATAGTATTTAATGTGAAATTTTTTTTGTCTGGGACATTTATATTATATGATTTAAAATAAAAGCATACGAAATAAAAAAGCTAATAAGTAAGACTAGGCTAATACCTGTAGTTTGGAAGCCCTGTACAACCCTGTTTGTTTTCAAGTGTAGAAAGACTTCCAAAAAGCAGAAACTCTTACAAAGTTAGATAAATAACTATTTTTGTGTTGTAGGCTTGCTAATGTTACTAGGTCAACATTATCTTCGTAACATAATTATTTTGTAAGTTGCTTTTCAATAACAAGGCTATAGAACAATAATGAGTTATTAACCATTTATTTCCGAGACAGGTTGATGTACGATACTGCTTGAAACAAGCCCGTATTTTGCGCAACTGTAAAGTAATTACTGGCTTTAAGTTGTCATATGTTACTAGGTTGGTAGACCGCTGGTATTCTTACCAATTCTGTAACCATGTAATTATATCCATTTGGCCGTAATATACAATATCTTCCCAGGGGGAGTTGCAACCTGATATTCCGCCAAGATTATAATTAGTTGATTGAATGCATCAAGTTCAGGTCGAGCTACGCAAAGTATTTGTGCCATTGTTAGCCAGAATAAGCGGAAAATCCTCTATTATATCACTGTAGCTAGTAGGCTACTTACTAAGAATTATTCCTTGGCAGATTAATCTTGTATATCTGGATGACGCTAGAAGCACAGCGTATGGCGTAACCGCTAACGCAATCATGGCTAGAATTACATTCATGCTATAACCTAGCCCAATGGCTCGGAACATCGAGCGACGTTCCGCAATCTCACAAGTCCTACTCCCGATATTTTCATGAGCAAGTGAGAAATAGACAACGAATGCTGTCGTGGTAAAAAAAAAAAAAATGTTGTCTATTAGTTACTGGGAAAGCAAGGTCAAAAAGACCCTCATTCAAGCATGGCCTGTCATCTCGAACAACTGGCATCTCGGCATGACTGCCTTTGGGGGACCACCAGTCCATTTCAAGATTGTACGCATCAAAACCACGATAAAGCCAAATTGTAGTCTGACGTTGAAAACAGCTGCATGACAAGTTTGTGCTGAAGCTTAACTGGATCGACGAGCAGCTGGTATGCGCCAATGGAGATAATTTCCAGCTCAATTTAGCAGACTGATAGTTCATCTCATAGTACCAGGAGCTGTTCAGCGTCTCGCAAGCTCTATCAGGACCAGGAAGCACAAAGATGGTTTACTGCATCAATTTGATTCACAGCGGGGTATTCGGAGCCCTGCTTGCATTCTTTCTTTGGAGGTAAAAAAAAAAAAAAAAGTCTAGATTTTCCGTATTGGAGAGACAGTCGTTGAATGGTACTAACCCTTTGCTGTGCAGTTTGCCCGGGGCGTTGGGCATGTTCGCCCTCTCCATTGGTGTCTCCAACATAGACACTGCGCTGCCTCGCGCAGTTTACGCCCTGCTCTCTGGGCTGAATGCCGCGACTGTTGGAATCATCGCTTTGGCTGCGGTTGAACTGTCAAACAAGGCAATTACAGACAGGTTGACTAGGATCATTGTCTTTGTTGCTGCTGCTGCTGGATTGCTATATAATGCGCTTTGGTACTTTCCAGCCCTCATGTTTGCGGCCGGATTCGCTGCCGTTGTACATGACTTCCGCTGGCTTCATCGTCTCGGCCGATTCATCAAAAGTATTCTGACATCCCCGAGCCCATCATCAACAGGAGTGGGGAATGAGGCAGTCGAAAGAGACGGCTGGAGAGGCTCCAATAACTCCATCACAGCTATCACTGACCCTCAACGGCGCACCATACCACAAGAGTATCGACTAAACTTCTCATGGAAAGCTGGAGCTGCTGTCATTGCAACTTTCCTTGCCGCCTTCACCGTGATAATGGTGCTCCGCGGAGTTTTGCACAGCCCTTCTATGCTGTACAAACTCTTTGCCAATCTCTGTCTCGCCGGAACCGTCATTTTTGGCGGTGGTCCGGTGGTGATTCCCCTGCTGCGGGAATATGTCGTGGCCGAAGGATGGGTCAGCCCGCGCGACTTTCTTATCGGGCTCGCCATCATCCAAGCGTTTCCAGGACCGAATTTCAACTTTGCCGTATTCCTGGGAGCCCTCGCCGCGATGAACAATGGACAACCCGCCATTCTTGGAGCCATCATTGCGTTTCTAGGCATCTTCTTGCCAGGGATGATCTTGGTCCATGGCACCATGGGCGTTTGGAAGGTCTTGAGAAGCAAGCCATGGGTGAAATCCGGGTCCAGAGGTATCAATGCAGGCGCAGTTGGTTTCATTTATACAGCCGTGTACCGAATATGGCAAGTTGGATATGTAGACGAGGGCTTCCAGTCCGGGAAAAGCCTGGGCGATGATCCATGGTGGGTGGTTGTCGCAGCGTCGGCATATGTTGGGGGCAGACACTTTGCTCTCCCAGCGCCTCTTGCGATACTTCTTGGTGCAGTGTTGGGACTTGTGAGATACGGAGTTGTAATGAGCTAGATCTTGAGCTATGAGAGAAAGTTGTATTAGCAACCAACATGTATTTGATACAGCACTTTTGATGACAGAACAGCTTTTTATATATTGCGCTTGCAGGGCTTGTCGTCCAGAAATATAAACCATTGAATCGAATATCTGACAAGTCAATGCCACCCCTCCTTGGCCACAAGGCCATCTACTTCTATGAATATAAGAGAATAATAGAAAGAGGAAAACAACCTTCTCCATATGCGCCAATTATTGTCTTGTGCCTCCATAACTCCATTGAACATAGATTTTACAACTGCAAATGCTTCCTCTTATATTAGATCTGTTGCAGCAAAGAATATTGCCAGAACCGATATGTCAGGACAGAGAGCCGGGGAGAATGCGCCAAAGCCAGCACTCGTAGTGAATCAAGCCTGGTAATTTCAAGGCCCGCGGCTCTTTTGTAATGCTAGTTTGGCATCCTCCATGACACGTTCGGCTTGATCCCATGCTGCTCGATTTGCATTCTTGGCTGCGCGCTCTCGAAAAATCCTCTTTGCATGATTCTCTCGGTGCCAGGCACACGCCTTAGCCCACGCGGGGTTCTGTAGAACATCCTCTGGCAATTCCTCGTGAGGAACATCTCCAAAATCGATGACTCGATTGTATGACCAGGGTTGCGGGTCTATGCGCAAAGGTTTTTGATTTGGTTCTTTAGCTGCACTTCGCTCGTCTTCCTCCGCCTTTTCTTTTGCTCGTAGCCACCGTCGCCTTTCAATGACTTTTCCAAACCACGCCTTGCGTCTTCCGCGGGCTTGGATCTCTAGTGCCTTTTTTGTGTGCCACTCCTCAGATCGTTTAATTGGTAAATGAATTGCGGGATTAATTGGCAAATACTGCCTCCGATACTCAACAGGAGGTTTTTTAACCGGCGTTTTCGGTCGGGCTGGAGCCTGTGACGCAACCCCTGGCGGCGGACGGAGCGTAGACTGGCGATATATCATTGCATCAAAGGCGTCTGAGTCAAAGACACGGGCCTTGTCCTTGTTGCGCTCCTCTGCTATCGCCTGCGTTGCCACCAGCACCGTGTGGTCCACCACTGTTTGGTCCACCACTATGAAACCGTCTGTTCCAATAGTGGAAGCTGGACAAGCCATATTCTTCTGTGCATCTTTTGTTGCAGCTGCCAAAGGCTTGGGCTGTTGTGGTTGTTGAGGAATGTCAATGATGGTCTCGTCATCGGAATCCAAGATTTCGATTTGCACACGTGTATGATTTTCAAGCTGGCCCCTATCATTGGTCTGTACAGTCTCTATTGTAGATACCAGCGTATTTGGTATCTGGACTTTTCTCGGGGTACGAGGTTGATTTGCAGCTTGCTCACTACTAGGAACGTGGCTTTGACATTTAGAAGATTTGGTTGGCGGAGCGCTTCCATAGATGGCTTCTTGATAGTTTGAATTTCGTGCTTTTGTTTGCCGTTCTTTTTCCAATAGAGTAGAGCGTCCGTCTCCTTTCTGTTGAACAAGGGAGTCTTTGATTTTTGGCAGCGTATCTGAAAGATCGGCTTTCCTCTTTAAAGGAGATATATGAATTGGAATATTTTCTTTGCTTTGCAAAATTTGATCGGATTTTTGGAATACGTGGATAGTAGGTCCCTCACGCCTATTGTTATTAATCGGCTCCGGCTTTCTCCGGCTTGGCGGTTGAGCTACAGTGATGGAACTTGACTCCTCCGAGCTTGTGTCTCCAGCCCGAGAAGATGAAGTCGCCGTTGGGGGGCCATTAATACCTGTAACAATACTGGACGAAATGGAAAAGGCAGTCGGTGGAGGATTAGGTAAATTCAAAGTCGGTGTCAATCCTTCCTCAACGTCAACCAAGCCGCCGATAAGGGCGAGGTGTTTTCTGGGAAGGGTGTTTGGTGGTGCATATTGGCCCGCTGGCGCATCTCTATTGCGACTTTGATGTACATGTGCAGAATGACCCTGATCGGGCCTCAATGCAAAGTAAGGCTCTCGCGGTTCCGACAGTGCAGACCTTGTCGTGACTGCGTAGGCCGCCGGTAAGAATTCTGTGGCTGCTCGGACCTGCTTTGTCATGACGGGCCTTGTTGTTGCTGGTGACGCTGGATGCGCAAGAACATGGCTTGGGTTTTGTTTTGGGAACTGACGAGCAAAAGCTGAAGCTGGCACCTCCGTGGCATTAGCAGGGTGTGCCAGAGTGGAGTCGTTCCGATATGCAGAAGGCGTGGATCGCTGAAGATTACTCTGTGCGGGACCAATCGTTGTACGTCCGGGGGAGAAGCGCCGGGTCCTCTTTGCCTTGTGTACAGACCGAGGCATTGGCTCAGCGCCAGGAGGCTTGAAAGCAGCATTATGGCCAACCGTCTGGTGTTTAGAGCAGAGAGACTCTGCAAATATGGGCTCTTCGCAGCCCCAAACAGAGCATCCTCCCCTGGCTCTCAGGGCCTCATTTCGATTCATGTCTGTGGACCTTGCTAATCATACAGCAGAATCCGGATGATGTCTGCGAATACCATTCCATGCCAGGTAAGAGGCCTAGGGTTCCGCTTAATGAGGGCTGATGATTTATCATCCAAGATTTTGCGGTGCGGTAGCCAGGGGGCACCGGTGCAAAATTCTAACAAGCAGCCCAACGCGTTGCGTTTGCTAAAATTCATCCGGATAGAATTTATCCACAGCCACCCGAATGGAATTATCAGGTTTGAAAATGGAAATGAAATCCTGCAAATTAGTCAGCATGGCTGTGTGGTGAAATGTCTGCGCAAGAGAAATGATTTTGGGCTCGCTCTTGAAATGTCAGATCTTTTCAGTTTATTTTTGTGACTTCAGGCTAAGAACAGCAACGGTTAAGGAATCAAGCGTCTTCCTGAAAGCTTTTTGCTCGCGTGAACAAGCAGTGTCCGTCGCGGCCTTTGGTCTCAGTCCGTGGAGGCGATGAGGGCAGAGACTCCGTGTGCGACGCGAATATTCTTGATACGCAGCTCTTTTGAAGCCTCCCAGCAAAGAATACGAGACAAGATTCTTTGCCGTGAATTTGGCAAGGGTAGCTGCTTGACGCGTTTCCGTGGAGAGATGAACGCTCAGGAAGACACAGGAGACCAAAACCAGGAGGTTCCATTCGGTCAGACCTTTTACCATGGTAGCATCATCCATTATATCGAGCCATCTGCGCAAGGCAGAAAGGGGTAATGTGTATAAAAGTGAAGTGAAACCAAACGACTTACTTTCCAGCCCCGGATCCCACCTCAGGATGCTCACGGCACAAATATCTGCGTTGATTTTCCAGGGGTCTCTGGCAGGCGGGCTTGTCCGCGGTAACTTGAGACTCCAGAGGCCGACGCCGGAGAAGTGCAAGGCATCAGGCAAGCAGGCGTCAAGTGCCAGGTTCCAGCTGCGCCGACTCCTCGGCGGTTATGCGCGTTGAGGAAAAGAGAGGAAATGGTGCAAGGCTGGAGCGCCGGCGTCGGTTTGCTGGTCGAAGGCACATCGTTGTCGCTAGTGGCCCAAGCGCCCTTTCAACGGGCACCTAGCTGCTCTGGAGAGGTCGCTAGGCAGAAGTAGCTGTACCTGAATCGTACGGGGCCGTCGACGGCTTAGTAAGAGCGATTGGCGCTGGGTTGGGTTGTCGAGAGGCCGGTATTTCGCATGGCTGAGGTGAATGTGACCTCCATGGAAAGTCGCGATGCAAGACACCGCCGCTGCCTGCTGTCACGGCCATGGCGGAATCAGGGTCGCAGCAGCAGCGGTCAGATTTTAGATGGCAGAGCACGATGCCAGGGGTGCGAAAGTCTAGAAAGATTCTGCAACCCTCGGATCTGCAGCGATGCAGAGGTTTGTGCACCGCCGCGAAGTACTGCTAGGTACTTATACGGGCAAGTCTCAGTCTCAGTTAGGGGCGATGCCTTAGCGGCGCATCAGGCCCTGAAAGCGGCCCTTCTTTAGCGGCGCGAGTCGCTTAAAGCTGTTCGTGCTACGGAGCACAGCGAGCATAGGCGGTGTTTGACACGTGGTAGCGCGGGGAGCTTGCTGGAACTACACGTCGTCGAGATGGTGTCGCAAGCCTCATTTCCTTTGGCGGACATGCAAAGCTCACACTCTGCGCCTCGCCTACCACAGCTCGACTTGCGCATCTGCCGCCCCGGTGCCTACGACTGAATCTCCGTCACATGGACTTTCTCAAGTCTGCCGTGGCCTCGGCCATATCGCAGGGCCCTCCTTTCCCTTACACATTCGGCGACAAGGTCGACGTAGACGAGTCCATCTGGACATTATACAACGGAACAAGGCGGGTGAGCATGTCTACAAAGGGCTGGCCATGCATTACACAGGCTTACCGTTGCGGTTTTAGGAGGATGGATCGAACTGCAGCATCTTCTCATTCGACATCACGGCGAAGAAGAGCCAGCTGCCGCTCGCAAAGAATGCGCTGAGGAAGCTGCGAACATTGCGACACCCGGGCGTTATCAAAGTCCTAGACACTGTTGAGGTATGCGATGCGATGCGATGCGACCACTCTAGCCACGATTCGGAGCTGATTGTCAAGCAACCAGACAGATACATACATCTACATTGCCACCGAGCGCGTTGTTCCTCTTCGATGGCACGTTAAACGGAAGAGCTTAAGTCCCGAGACGATAAAATGGGGAATATACACAATCGCTGTAATATTTTACTAAGAAACCAGCATCTGCAATACCCATGTACTGACTGTTGTGCAGCAAACCCTCAAGTTTATCAACGACGATGCCTCCTCAAAGCACGGAAGCCTGAAAGTCGGCTCAATATATACGTCAGAAAGCGGAGAGTGGAGACTGGGCGGCTTTGAAGTTCTAAGCAACATGAAGGAGAGCGAGACCACGCTTGATGTTAGTTGCTGGATCGTCCAGGTAACAAAGTTACAATTTGCTAACCCTTTGCCCAGAGCTACGGAAGCTTGGTTCCTGACTCTGGCCGATATGCGCCGCCAGAAGTGGCTCAAGGAGGATGGGGAGCGACCAAGTCACATCCTCTTTACGCCCTGGACTCTTTCAACTTTGGAACCCTGATATTTGAAGTTTTCAACGGCGACTTTCTGGGCCCAGATCAGGCTGGCCAAACAAAAAACGTACCCCCTACAATGCATACTGCCTACAGACGCCTTTGCAACGCCAACCCTAAAGCGCGGATAAGTGCTGCCAATTTCCTTGACATGGGGCGCCGATCTGGCTCTTTTTTTGATACTCCTCTGATCCATTTGACGGACGGAGTAGACAACCTGGGAATGAAAAACCCTGATGAGCGAGATGAGTTCCTCGAGTAAGCATTTTCCCTACCATCATTATAACCATGTACTTCCATATAACTTACGGCTTTACTAGCACATTGGAGCAAGTAACGGATGACTTTCCTGAAGAATTTTTCAAAGCCAAAGTTCTTCCGGAATTAGTAAAGTCTGTTGAATTCGGCGGCGGCGGTTCCAAAGCTCTTACTGTTGTGTTGAAAATAGCTGCCAAACTTCCCTCGGATGATTTTGAATCGAAAATCACACCCTTTATTGTTCGCGCTTTTGCCAATCCTGATCGAGGCATCCGGGTATGCCTGTTGGACGGCCTTCCCCTAATCATTGAACAATTGTCGCAGAGAATTGTTAATGACAAGATATTTCCACAGCTAGTAGGTTGCTTGCTGGTCGTTGAAGAGGTTGGGATGCTAATAAGGATACAAGGCTACCGGTTTTACAGACGCAGCCCCTGTGGTTCGAGAACAGACATTGAAATCAGTACTGGTCGTCATTGGAAAACTATCAGATCGAACCATTAATGGCGACCTTCTGAAGCAGCTGGCAAAGACGGCAAACGACGAACAGCCTGGTATTCGTACGAACACAACCATTTGCCTTGGCAAGATTGCAAAGAACCTCGGGACATCCTCAAGATCAAAGGTGCTGATAGCTGCCTTTACCCGTTCCTTGCGGGATCCCTTCGTGCATGCCAGAAATGCTGCGCTTATGGCTTTGGCTGCAACAGCCGAATACTTTACTGAAGATGACTGCGCTATTCGAGTCTTGCCGGTGGTATGCCCAGCTCTGATTGATAAAGAAAAGATGATCCGAGACCAAGCATCTAAAACAATGGACATTTATCTACAAAAAGTTCGCAAAGCTGCTGCTGCTATGCCAGACACCGTTTTGCCGCCACCTCAGCCGGCTGATGCTACCGTTGTGCCAGCAAACACGGCACAGCCAAGTGCGTCTCCTGGAGCCAGCTGGGCGGGATGGGCCATCTCGTCTTTCACAAACAAATTGACTGCCGTTGCTGGAGATATGCAAACAGAAGAGGTACCAACTCCGGCTGCTGTTTCCCCATCGCCCAAGCCCGAGATGAAGAGACCAAGTACCTCATCAGCATCGGCTCTTCACCGTCAAGCTGTGGCATCACCTCCTCCTATAACTTCCGGCCCATCGACTCCTAGCGTTGCCAGTGCAATTGCTGGACAATTCCTACCAGACGACGACGACGACGACGATGCAGGTGATGCATGGGGCGATCTACCGGATGACGATACCTTTGATACGCCTTCTGCCGCCACCAATAAATCTGCATCTGCATCTGCGTCTGTATCTGCAACGCCATTCGGTGAAGATGAGCCCGATTTCGCTGGATGGCTGGCGGCGCAAGCGAAAAAGGGGCCCAGCAAGCCTCTGCCAAAAGGACTTTCAAAACCTAGCACCGCTAAAAAGCCTGCAGCAAAAGCAGCCGCGAAACCTGCGGCAAAGCCTGCGGCAAAGCCTGTGGCTAAGAAGATTGATCTTACACCTAAAGAAACGGAGGAGGATGATGATGGTTGGGGCGACGGCTGGTAAAATTGAGACCGCTGTGCCAAAATGGTGTTTGAGTACATGGATACATGTATATAGAGGTAGGATTTGATGGTCTGCTCCTCAATTATGTAGTGAAAACAACAGAGCCGGCGTTGTAGTTAGAACTGGGATTTGAATATCACTCTTCCTCCTTTACTCTTTTCATGAACTGCGGGTTCTCGGAATGATTTAACCGCGTCTCCTATTTTAGTAAAATAACTTCCAAGTAGAAATACACATGTATTTGACCCGGTATTTCTCTAATTCATCCTCAGATTCTGGGGTTCAATGATTTAAGACATGTCGAAAGAGCTGCCTGCTAAAGCAGCTAAGCTTACTAGCGGCCGCCAGCGCTTTCGGCAAAAAGTCGGCGGTGCAATGATTTACTATCTAAGCTTATCGGCGGCTCCAGTCGAAAAAAAAAAATATATCCCACGCTACCTCACCCAGAAAACGCTCCTTCGTCCGTCTTTCTCCATTGCGATTCAAATCGAAAGATGGCGCAAGGATCAATCAAAAAGTCCAACAAGGCCGCCGCGCCAAAGGCCATCCACTCGAAGCGCCAGGCGTCAAAGGTCACCAAGCCCAAGAAGTCAAAGCCCAGCGCCGACAAGCTCCTCAAGAAATTCACATCAGGCATGGTGGCCAAGACGGAGGCGCTGCTGGGCGAGAGGGCGGGACATCTCGAGCTGATTGGGCCGGGGAAGAAGGGCAGCAAGAAGTTGTCGCAGAAGGGAGGGTCCAAGAAGTTTGGTTAAGAGAGGAGAGAAAGAAAACTGAAGGGACGTGCGAGAATATAGATGGAAGCAAGATGGATTCTTGGCATGGCATGGGGCAGCGCATTCGAACTATGAGCGATGATTTATTTCTACTTTTATCGGCATTGGATTTCTTTTCCTTTTCTTTCTCTTGTACGATACCCGTATTGGGGGCCGGCTTCTTTTTACATTATTTACACTTTTTCGATGTCGAATTCTCTGCCCTCGGCAACAGCGTTCAAAAGCGCTGACACGACTCGAAACTCTCTTTCAATATCGACCATCCAGTTCGAGACGGCGACTCTCACAGCCTTTTCGCCTTTCCAGCTCGTACCGCTCACGTACATCTGCCTCGTTGCGTTGATCTTGGCAACCAGCTCATCATTCAGCTTACCATCTTTCGCCTTGAACAAAACAATTATAAAGACTTCCTCAACGTCACTGCTCTCGTCAGGGAGGAGTTCATAATGCGGCGACTCTCGCAGGAAGATGGCCAATTTCCGCGATAGTTGAGCCATGTTGTGGCATAGCTTGGCATAGCCAGGGCGACCCTGGCTGAGGAGAGCGGCGTAGGCTGGCAGCGCGCGGAAGCGTCTCGAGTTTTCGAGGCCGACGTTGAGAGGAGATGGGATACTGGCTACTGTGCCCGAGGCTAGATATGCGGCGTTTGGGTTGACACAGACGGATTGAAGGATAGACGGGGTGCGGGTGAAGAACATGCCGCTGTCATATGGCTGAGGATTGTTAGCGATACAAAGCTACTTGGTTTCTAAAGAGGGCTGAGAATGAAGTGGAGGATGCAGGTGTTACATACAACGTTGAGCATTTTATGGCCATCAACTGTGATGCTGTCGGCCATGTCGACACCTTGAGCTCGAGTATGAAGCAGGCGATATTCATCTCGGTCCTCTTCCAGGGCCCGGCTGAAGATTCCAAAGGCTGAAATGAGAGAGAAGTTAGTACCACGAGGGTTGTCCCTCTTTGTTTTGGCCATCTTTTGTCCTTGTATATAGGTGTATACAGGAGGCAACGTACCTCCATCCACATGAATCCATGCAGCATGTTGATCTGCTAGCCCTCTCAACCTCTTCCACTCGTCGACATTATCAAGGGCATAGCCACCCGTGTTCACTTCTCCCATGCTAACGGCAATAATGCTCGCCACCCCAGGACGACCCAGTTCTCTCTCCACTGCGTCAAGATCCAACTTCCAAGGCTGGCTTGCGCTTCGAGGAAGCTCCTTGACCGAAGCTCTCCCCAGACCAACTATGCTCGCTGCCTTGGAGAGCGAACTGTGGCCCCCGCTGGTAAGGACTTGAATGTCAGAGACTCCAGCTTTGGCGCAAGCGCCCAGCAAGCCCAGCTCACCCACCGACGCACCTTTTTTCTCGACAACAGCCTCTCGACCACAGGCCAAGCCGAGCACATTGCTGGCCGTGGCTCCGGTGGTGAAGGTCCGGCCTTTCCAACCCGATTCTTTAAGGCGAAGCAGGCCCAGCAGCATCTCCAGAGCAGCATTCTCGACCATTGTGGATACAGACTGCTCAGGCAAATGGACCTGGACATTTTGGTCCATGCGGGAGACGACATTGTCGGCCCATTCAGCCACGGGGAGGGCGCCGCCGGTGACGAAGCCGAAATAGCGGCTCGATTGAGATTGGCCGCATAACGCTGGGACAATGTCTTGTGTGATGTGCGAGGCAACTTTGGTGGCAGGCTGGCCGGAAAGGTAGCTTGGGTCAGATGGATTGGGCAAGGAGGCCTCGGCGGCGTGGATGAGATTGAGAGGCGGGAGGGTGTTGTATTGCTGAGATTGCGGGGGGAGGCCTTGGCGCTCGAGGCGGGCGGATTGGGCTTGGATGTCGAAGAGGTCTGCCATGATGGGAGTTGCGAGTATGATGGGGGTTATGAAGGGTTGGTTATACGTGAGGAATTATATGAGTATCTAGTATATAGGTAGAAACGACGATAAGTTGCTGCCCCACCAATAGTATAGTAGGTGATAGTAATCGATGAAGAAACTAAAAACGACAATGGAGGAACAATAATGGAAAAGAAAAAGAAGTCGAGTGGGCATTTATATCAATTGTGTCCATCGTGAGCAGACACTCTGGGCCATCAGCTGAGTACCATCTTCTCCACTTGGCTCCAGACCGCAGAAATGGATTCGCAAAGTCTTTCTCACGAGTGCTTTGCTCGCAAGTTGCTGCCACGGCTCGCCAGCGTAGGCCTGTTTTGGGCATAACGTGACGGTGCCGGCGTGCTTAGCGCAGGAACCTCGCTGCGGCTGTAGTTTGGCCCGCCAGTCTCTGGAGTCGAGAGATGGAACGAATCAAGCAAGTCATCGAAGTAATGGAAATCCACCAATCATTCGGATGGAAGTTTGTAAACTAGTGGTTTGAGGCTTTTTGCTGATGTAGGGTTTTGTTTGTTTCATACATTTGGCGTGGGTTTGTTGATTATATGATCGAATATTATAGGTGAGATCTGCGTTTTCGTTGTCTGGGCAGTCTGGACAGATTGGAAGTAAAAAGGCAAGCATTTTCTAATCTTGGAGTAAAAAGACCATGTCCTTTCACATCTACCAAGACGTCCTAGCAGGTGACAAAAGAGGAATCCTAAAAATTGTACAACGGTGTAGCAGTCCCTGGTATCCTTGAATATCTATCTTACTATAAGACTATCAGATACAAATAGTCTACAAGGAAGCTAGTATTTCTAGCATATTTGAAATATATTTACTTCATAGACTGTTCCTTGATAAATCGCATAGGAGCAAGAACGTGATGAGGCCAATACTCGGACAACTCATGACAATTGGCTAGCAATTTTCCTATCCGAATCCATCTCTATCCTATCTTATAGTACCCATGTACGTATGTAATCGATATATTTTAACCCTAGGCTACTACTTTACCCAGTTCAGCATGTACATACATGTATAGGAATGCTGCTCCCATTTGTGCAACCCACCCCGAATGCGGCTACTATCAAACTCTTGTGCAAGGCCCGGCTATTCATATTGTTTTCAGAAGAAAATGGACCAAAGCATATAAAAAAATCATTGCACTTTAACACCAAATAGTGTTTTCCTGAATTTGCAGTCACAAATATAAAGCAGCCAACTCCGTCCATGACATTCATATCCTTCAGGGATGTAAAAGAAGCGCGTTGTACACACTGACAAGATAATCACTTGACTGTTCAATCTACGCAGCGTACTTCTTAACCCCTAGGTCTCGTTTCAAACGCCGAATATCACGGATCAGCAACGCATAGGTAAATGGAGGTACCAGCTCAAGCCAATAGAAGGAAAAGAAAATCGGAAAACCCCAGCTATCGCATGTCTTTGGCTGTATCCAATTGTCTATTACCAGAGGTATATATACATAAACGCCCAAACGTGAAATCCGACAAAAGATGCATGTATACAAAGCAAAGAAGATGTATGTTTCCCTTTACAGCTTCGGGGCCTCCTTGACGGTACCAATCTTGTATTTGCCGCCGTACTTCTCCAGCACGCTCTCGTTGTGGTACTTCCAGAACGCCTTGGTCGCGTTCTTGCCGGCGAAGCGCTTCAGGATCTTGGAGCCGCCGGGGTGCTCCTCGAGGAAGTCTGGAGGTTGCGCTCTCGTTAGTTAAAGCCCATTTTTTTTATCTTCTTTTTCTTCTGCTGTACTCGTTCTCTTGCGCGCGCGCGAGAGGGAGAGGATATTAGAAAAAGGGGCAACGCACTTGTGACATCGTAGACGCCGTCCTCGACAATGAGCCAGTAGCCGTTCGCATCATCCTTGTGCGAGCTGACATCGCTTGTGGTGAAAGACTTGTCGGCCATTTTGTTGTTATTTTCGTGGTGCGATTTGAGCTCGGGCGGTGGAAAGGCAAAAACTGGCCAAAAATCGATCTCTGTTGAAATCTTTCGCCAACGTCGCAGAGCAGTATGGGGAGACTGAAAAAAGTAAGATGACAAGTAGAAGAAGACGACGGCGATCGGTAGAAATGCCGGAGCTCACTGGGGAAAAGGGCGCCCCAGTTACCTCGGCACGCACAGCGACAGGCGATAGAGGGTCAGCGCTATGCCTGGTTGGCTCAGTGGACAGGCGCCCCGGATTTGGCGGGTTTGGGGTAACCGGGTGGCCTGACGAATGATGAGGGGCCGATTGCAAAGGTCTCGTGAGCCGAGGTTTGTCATATGCTATAAGAGCACACATCTGCCGATTACATGCACGTTTGACCCCGAGATTGTGGCTAGATGGAATAATATTTATATTCGTGCAGTAGATTGATTGTTCAGTCTGGCACTGCATTTGCAGGTCAGATTGGGTTGATGCTTGGCAAACAATGTCCAATCAATTTAAACCAATGACCCAGTTCCATCATGTGAGAGTGGCATCGCCAAGTTGTTATTCATCTATGAGTGGATTCGAATGTCCAATATGCCATGTAATATCTTCCTCCTATATATCAGAACCTATGTATGTATGCTACAGCTCAATCACAACTGGCCGTCGCTTCCTCAACGCCTCTCTAAACCTGTCTGCAAACGCCGACGTCGTTTTACAGTCGCTCTCCATGCGCTTCTTCATTGCCTCCGGCAGCCACTGCTCGATTTTGGTGATCCGATGCTCGTTCTATTTCGTAACAATGCTCTATTAGCTCTCCAATTTGTTTTCTCAACTTGGAACAATTGATGGTGGCAACGACTGATACATACCGATGGATGCGTGCTAAGCATCTCGGGAACCTCGTGCCCGCCCAGCCGCTGTATTGTCTCCATCCTTTGCCAGAACCCAACTGCCTGTCGAGGATCGTAGCAGGCCTCTGCCATCATCATCAGCCCAATATAATCGGCCTCGCTCTCCTGCTTGCGGCCCATGGGTAGGTAGAATAGCAAATCTTGCAGATAGTATCCTCCAATCACGTTCCATAGGCCGAACAGTGCCAGGCCCGGCAGCGCCCCGGCAAGGAAGAAGAGACTACCGGCCGTGAGGTTGCCTACCCACGCGGCAGAGAGTCGCTCTGCAGCGTGGGAAGCCGTGTTGTGTGCGATTTCGTGACCGAGGACAGCCGCGAGGGCATCTTCGCTGCGGCAAACGTTGAGGATGCCGCTGTGAACAAACACTTTGCCGCCGGGGATAACGAATGCGTTGGCCGTTCCTATTGCATTGCGCAAAACACCATGTATCAGCAGAGAGCGACAATAAGAAACCAACAAGAGGAGCAGCAGAAACTCACGACTGTCCGCAATCACTCGGACTTCCCAGTCTAGATTCTCCATCCCGCTGACGGGAATCAGCCGCTTCATGACCCTCTGGACCAGAATCGTCCTCGGGTCCCAGTCTGACAAGAAATGCCCTCCCTGCTCCTCCACCTGCCTGACAATCGCCTCAGCCGCTCTCGAATAGGCCTGCGCAACCAGCGTATCCGACAGGAAGTTGAAGCGCCTCCGGCCCGTCACTGGCACCGTCTGCGAATTGTACATGTAGAATGCCATCGCAGCAGCCACTGTGACGACCACGAGGGAGCGCGAGCTGCGACCAGTGCCTGCGTTGGTGAACTTGCCCGCCAAGGCATTGGACACGAGGGGCTTTGCGCTGCGCAGGCGCTCGTCCGAATCGTGATGGTATGGGCGATTTCTTCGAGCTGATTGAGACAAGGCGCGCCAATTGCTGCCAAAGCTGATGCTGCCTCTCGGCTTGGGACCAGCGTATCGAGTAGAGGCCAGCAGCGGCACGATTCCCGTGCGAGGGACCTGGTCCGATAAACGGACGATGCCGCTGCGCCGGAACAAGTGCCGGGGGATCATCTCGCGAGACAATTTGCGCTGCTATATTTGTGTGCTGCTCCCCCCAGCCGGTGCCTCCTCCAGGGAAAAGCGGCGTCGCCGGGGGTTACGAAGGTGTTGGACGGTGAGGCGAAAGAAGGGCGATGAAGAAGAAACAAAGTCGAGATGATTCGCAGAGGTTGATGCCTCGCGAGGTACTGCCTAGTTCAGCAGGCCTACCATTGGGACCATTGGGCTTAGTGCCAGGTTGGAGCTGCATACGTCAGTCCACAGGCCTTGGGAAAGGCTCGTAGCGGCACCTCAGTGGCGTGTTAGTGCGCTCGGGTGAAAGCTACAGGGCCAGGATAAGAATTCTCCGATACCTCCAGGCTGTTGCTTTCTGACTGGCCATCTCATCGTCATCTCAACATGTCAAATAATCAGAGCCGCGAGGGCGTATTACTGATTACTTTCTTCAAAGTTTGTCTGAATTACTCCATGTATTCCTTGATTTCTTTATATTGCGGGATTCAAAGTAGCGCAATAGCCTTGTTCGAACAAACTCAGATACAAAAGCAGTAAGGCTCATGCAGCTGTCAAGCTTATTCTAAAATCCGAATGATGCAACCTACCTTTCCCAAGATGAAGCTAGATCCTGTAAGCTAAGGCATCAGCGCCTAAACGACTTGTGAACTCACCAATCTTACTCTTCTCCTTTCTTTCTTTGAAACTTTGCTTGATTCTGGCTCTCATCTTTGCGCAGGCCATAAGCATTGATCAAGTTTAGTTGCGTTCATACAGTTCAGAACTTCCTTTCTGTCTCTTAATCCACCATAGTCTTGACAACATTCATCCGCCAACATGAGCAACTCCGACGAGGCAAATACCCTCAAACTCATCACTCCCACCTTTACACCCTCATCTTCCTCTACTACCGAATCTGCCGGCGTCACCTCCATCATCAAGTCTCTCTCGCTCATTGAGCACGTCGAAGGCGGCTACTTTGCCGTCACCGATGTTAGTAACACTTTCGTCCCATCGCCCTATCCCGAGACGCCCCTCTCGCAGCGCACCATTGATCTCGTCAACGGCCTCCCCGCCGACTATGACGCTTCCAAGCGGCGACTTTCCACTACAATCTTCTACTATTTGACCCCCAACCGGCCCATGGGCTCGTTTCACCGAAACCGAAGCCGCATCATCCACAGCCTTCACCGTGGCCGCGGCCGCTATGTCCTCATCCACCCAGATGGCCGTATTGAATCCTTTATCGTTGGCCACAACGTGGAGCGCGGAGAAAAGCTGCAGTGGGTAGTGGAAGGGGGCGTCTGGAAAGCGAGCTTCCTACTCGCTGATGGTGATGGCCAGTCCAATAGCGATGGTCTGCTCATCTCGGAAACTGTCGTGCCTGGCTTTGAGTACGCTGATCACGAGTTTCTCTCTCAGGAACGTTTGGTCGAAGTTCTCCCCGATAGCAAAGCCAAGGCTCTTCAGTGGCTGGTTAAACACTAGGTTTGATCGCACTACTTACTATAGATCCACGATGATGTGGAGGAAATCAAATGCAAGGAAGAAACATTGAGACCATTTATGAAATCATCTCTATTGAAAAATAAAACGCTCAGATCCAAGGGACCCCTTATCGGAGGTTATAACCAGCCTCTTTCATCCCTGTCAAGACAAATTCCAACGCTATCATAACTTCATGCATGGCGTGACATATTGTGTGATCAACATCAAAAGCTGCAGGCTTTCCTCGCCGCACCCGTTCCGGCGGTGTGACGTTTTTCCAAAACATCCAAGCATCCATGCTATTCGAGTGTCCCCATGACCAATGTGTTGTTTTTGAAAACAATAGACAAAGAGAGGAATGTATGATGGGCAATTTCATTTTGCTTTTACCCCGTTCATGTTTCTCCTGGGAACGGCTTTCTGCCCCAGACGATATAAAAAGGCAGGTACGCGTGAATCGAAGAATTGGATACGTCTCGTCGGACTTCAACAAGGGACACCTGTAGCCACCGTACTGTGAGCCGTGTTTTTTGCTTGAAAATTAATCAACCTCAAAGATATCTTACCTCAATCTGTTCGGGAGTTAGCCCGTATATGCGGTTAAACAGGCCCAACGAAAAGGCACTCAATCCCATTTGCATATTCAGCTCCATCATATTGCCAACTTCTTTCAGCTTGGCATCTTTAGCCCAGCCATTCAGTGGGATCTTGTACACACGCTCGTGAACGTCAACGAAACCCACCCGCTCATATATGCTTCGAAGACTGCTTGCTTCCGTCAATGGCCGCCGAGCCTCAGCCGCAGCGTTTAGAAAGTCACGGAACCACAGTCCCAGCGCACTATCTGGCTTGAGAGTGCCGTCATCACAGTGGGGGACGGGATACAATTCCTGAGACTCGAGCCATCCGCCGGGCGTTAGTGTGTCAAAGGCCTGTCGGGCAATCTGAGCCTCAAACGACTCCCAACAAGCACCCGTCGTTCTGGTATGAATGTAGTCGAAAGTTTCGCTGTAGTCCCATGGTTCCGATCTATGGATATAGAGTAGATGGAATCAATTAGCGAGCTGGTAATATGAAGCTTTCAGAGCTGGAGAAGAAGAGTGGTGGTATGAAAAGTAATAGAAGTGGGAATGAATACTCACGAATCTTCCACATAGAATTCGACATTTGCAGGCACGGTCTCGGGTTGAATTGGCGACAAGTCCGTAGCCACAACTTTAGCATTTGGGAAACGATCGCCCATTGCAATGGCCCAGTCTCCTGCGCCGGTAGCAATATCCAAGACGCGTTTAGGAGGATAGTTATTCAGCGGTGCATAATAGAGCCTATTGTTCATGATTTTCATGAACGCCGCATCTTGTAAAGCCAGTCGCTCAATCTCTGGTTTGTCGTTGGGGAAAGCATACGCTAAGCACCGGCTCGAGTCAGTTAAAAGCCCGTAGTGGCCAAGCTGGGTGCATCCGTAGTGCTTGGGAGTTTGTAGTCTCTCACATCCTTCTCTATACGCGTGATAGGTACGGCCAAAATGTCGCGGGAAATTGTAAATGCTTTCAGTCAAAGACATGGACGAGTCCATCCTAGAAGTTTCGATTAACCTTTTCTGAGCAAAAAAAAAAAAGAACAACAAGGTGGAGAAGACGAGTTCAGGGGATAAAATCGGGCGTCGTCTACGTACATGCTTTCGGCCTGGGGCTAGCAAAAGAAGCGTCAACTATCGTCATCAAACCGGCCGAAAGGGAAAGGATCAAAGGCGTAATAACATACATCAGGTTCAATGCAGCTCTCGCCACTTGAACTAGGTGGAGAGTAGTGAAAGGTGAATGGATAGCCTTCCAGCTGTGAGGACGTCTGGCCATTATTTGGCAGTGGATGCGGGTGGTCTCCCATTTTCAACCTGTAGGGTCAAATATCGAAAAGAAGTTATTCAAGATTGTTGACAAGGTAATCTGGGTAAAAGCGAAGTTGAGTCGGAGAGTTGGAAGGAGTGCAAGGGCGTGTCCAGACGAATCAAACAAGGAGGAGAAGAAAATCGAATATAATGGCGCAGCCCAACCAATATGTTGTAAAATCCGTTCTTGGCAAATACCTGCACTCGATGCTCGCAAAAACAAGAAAAAGGGACAAGGACGCTGCAAATGCTACAAACGGTACGGCGCACTAATAACACAAAACACATGCAGAGAGCCCGAGTATCAAAGACGAAAAAGGCCAGAGGTGGCAGAAACAGCCGGGCGGAGCCAGGCCAGGCTGTCTGAGAGCAAATGAACAGAACAGCACGGCCACTGACATGCCCGTAGACTTGTATCCACACTGACAACACCGAACCAAGCAGGCGGTAACGAAAGGGGGACCCAGAACAAAATAGCCGGGTCTACGATGATGCGCAAAAGAGACGATTCACTGCGTGCTACACGTTACGGCACTTGCTGTACGATGGCCGTGCCCTTGTGACAGGGGGGTCGGACAGAGGCCGGTTTCGTTTGCCCTTTTTTTTTCTTTTTTCTTTTTAATTTACTTGTCTTTTCAAGAGGCCCTTCCTAGATGCTCAGCTGAGCGCTTCCAGGACCCAGAAATACCTACGCACGGATGCTTCAGTGCTTCACCAAAAGGGGTGCAAGGCCGTATACAAGTGTGAAACTACAGAGCCTCAAATTAAACATCCATCTCTGCCGGGAGTGGAGGCGAGCCATGTCTAACAACTAGAGCATGCAGAGCTAGACCGCCACGGCAACCCGTTGGCTATTCCACGTTGCCTGTGATCCAAACAGAAAGACTCGAGTCCTGTTCCAGGTCCCGGGAAGCTGGTTGGGTAAAGTGGGGATGTGAAGGGAAGGAAAGGAAAGGAGGTGATGATGATGACTGGAGCAGGCAAAGAGTGAGACGGGCTTCAAACTATCAAAGACGGGATGGGTAACACCAGTATACAGTTTGCTCTTGGCTAGCTTTGTCGTAACCAGAGGCAAGAGAGTCACATACCTACTTGACGAACATTACCTGCATTAGGCCCAATCTCGTAGGCTTCTAGGCAGCCCAAGGGATCCATCCCACGTTGTTAGCGAGCGGGTGGCGGCTAAGGCCGACGGACGGCGCCTCTTGGTCCGCAGGAAAGCCAGAATCCCAGACCTCTGGGACCGGTGGAGAACGGGCAATTATTACATGTACCCGCCAACGGCCTGCTTAGCTCGAGTGCGGTATGCCTCTAGTGAGGGACAAGTATCATCTGTAGGGAGAGAGAGTGCATGTTGTTTACACCTGCTATTACATGTACACTCTTGTAATACTTTGCAGGCCGTGCCCCCCTTCAAAAGGACTGGACTCTGAGCGTTGCATATCAACCACGCCATGGCGGCCGGGGATCATGCGACCCAGACCCAGGGAGCGCGTGTGCTCTCCCGGTTGGTCGGGCAGATCTCAGATGTCGGCTCGACACGCCGCACTTTCGCCGCATGATTTTGAAACCGCCGAGGAAATTTCAAATAGCAACATGAACCTTGGCTACATACGCGCTCTAGGAAGGGCAAACAGGGCATCCTTGTCTATGGCTTCTGTGAATAGGCCCAGCTTTACGGAGCATGGTAAACTCGTCTCTGGGTCTGCATCCAGCCAGTAGGAAGAGGCATAACGGCAAGAGGGTGTGCTGCAAAACATGCACGGAGCCCGACTCGGATAGGAGGAGCAAACGGCTCGGGACCCGGGAGCTGCATTAGCAGCATGCACAAAAGCAGCATCTTTGAACGCTGCTTGCTTTTGCTGTGCATGTACTGTGATCTTTTTCGGTGTATCCTGTGGCTGCTATTGCTTGGATCTGCGAGTCTGTCTTGGAGAAGACCCTCGCGGTGGAAGCACAGGGAGGGTCCGATATGCGTGCTCTGCTCCGTATTAGTCGTCTGCATGCTGTTGCGGCCCCCACGACCTGCAATAACCACTAGTATTAGTACCTAGTTCAAGCCATAAATATGCGACGGCAAAGAGCCGTCCGCGGCGGCGGGCCGGAGGAGATATTTGGGCTAGAGCCAGGCATTGCCAGCTCCCTGGTACTCCGTATTTCGAACATTGAGGTTTGCTACGGCACGTGTAAACATGACTTTACGTACAGTCGTATCCATACGGCTTCTTCCCTGTCCACCCACGTTGAGGAGCCTGGTCAGGTTATGCTCCCTGGCCCAAGTAGTGTAAGTGAATGTGCTTATTTGCCTAGATGGGTCAAACCTTGGCTGCAGGGCGGCTGGAGCAAGGATTCGCAGGCCTAGTTTCCTGTTCAGGGGGGGTGCACGTTCAAACGCCATGCTCACAACAAGGCTTCGAAGCAATTGCAAATAGTAGTACCTATTACTCACCATAATGCACTTTCTTACGGTAGACGTATAATTATCCAAATCGTCCTACATTTCTCCATCTTAAGCGCCCCATACGTAATAGTAGTGAGATTCCCTGAATTGTACAAAATACAGCATAGCATAACAGGGCATCTCACCTCCCAGATTTCTCTCCTAACCAATAGTCACAAATGGGCTTTACAGATGTTCCCCAAGCACAGCATAATATCACATAGTAAGCACTCACGCCATGTACTATTGCTGGCCCCCAAACTGACAGATGGCTTTTCTGTGCGACTACTTAAAAGGCGCATTGCTCTACACACCAACACAAGCACGCATAAACACCAACACAAGCCACACAAAATATCCCGGCCTCAGCAGCGGCGCCCGCTCTGCGGGTCATGGGACGCACAAGTAACTTGTTCTTCTCCCTGGAAAAGATGATGGCTTGAAACACTGGAAGCCGGCAGAAAGTGGCTGTAGCTCGTGTGAACTAGTTGGTACGCGCCAGGCAATCCTTCTTGCCAACACCAAATGCCTGCTTTAGCACTAGAAAGCCTTGCTCCCTTGGATATTCTTTTGCATCCTAAAATCCTTACTCGGAATTCGGCTCCGCCGGCGCGAAACGAAACCCTCTCATTGTTTTCCCCTACTGTGTGGGACATTATCAACTCAAGGAGGCCCGCTGTCGTGGGTGCCAACAGCTCTCTTTGTCGTGTCACCATCTGACTTCCCGACAATGTGGCACGTATTACTACGGAGAATTATTAAAGAAAGCCTAGGATGATGCGAGTAAGATTTATCAGAATAGGTATAACCATAATCATTACCCTGCGTACGTAGTCGATGAACAGAGTTAACAGAACATTAGCGAGGATCTTCTGCTCGCGCCATGTCGTGACGGCCAATTGCTGCAACGCTTTTGAAGGCTCGTAGTATCAGTAATATTTCTTCTCTCTGATCTACATACTTAGCTCATGAAAGTCACGGTTAATGCCATAGGACGCTATTCATGCGCAAGAAAATGCAATACATTCTCCGGCGCAATAGCTATGTGAATAGTATAGCCTCTGATCGGTAAGACGTCATGAAAAGTACTCGTCATAATATAATCGCAAGGGGGTATTTCAGCTGACTCCTCGTTTAGCACTTCTGTGACTCGGGAAGCAAGGACCACCAATTCATAATGATATATGACGAAAAAAGCAAAAATTACTACAAGCATGGACTTGGTTGTATAACAAAAAAAGCAGACCTTTCTGCTCTCCTTCCAGTAAAAGCCCATCCCATGAAAAGAGTGGCAAATTCTGTTGTGCATCCCAACTGATAAAATACCAACTTCTGGGTCGTACAATCTTACATGTGGACTTACTCTTCGTACTACCTACTATTGTGTATCGGAGCCCTCTCTCCCTTTACCATTAAATTGCGGCTTTCGTATTGCCCTCCTCCACATGCATTAACGCATGGATGTTATTGAGGCATTACTGGCCAACCGAGCCCCTCCATGTGACAAATTGCAATTAGTATTTCGGGACATTCCGCCTCAACCTTTGCCCATCAGGAGGTCTCAATATCGTCCGCCGTCTCTGTTGTAATATAGAGTGAATAATAACTGACTTTGATTACACGCGCTATACAAGACAGCACAAGCATACACATACATACATATTCACCGCAAAAGAAACAACAACCAAAAAAAAGAAGCCGCCTAACGTTCTTTCAATTCGAATAATAGTATAGCATTATCATGATTTTCCATCATGATTCTCCATCTTGAAAAACCCAGCTATCCAAACCCTCCCTCCCTCCACTTCAACACACAGAGCGACCCCCTTCTATTCTATAAAAGCAAAATCTGTGTTTCCACAATCTGTGAATTTTTTTTTTTTTTTAGTTGTTTCCGTTTTGCTGCGTCCATCTGAGGGGGTATAATCTAACTTGTGGCCAACCACGACTAGCCATACAAAGGGAAAGGAAGATATATATATGCATATATATAAATATATAAGGAAAGTAGAAGAAAGAAAAAAATCGCAAGTACTTGGAGTTTTCATAAGGGTGTTTGGGGGAGGGGAAAAAACAAAAAGGAAACGCAAAAAACATCAATCCGTTATACTCTTCACTCATTTCTCATTCTTCTTTTTTTATCTTCAATTGTCGCTGCTTTGGCCGGGACTCATGATTCCGCTGACGGGCGTGTCTTCGCCATTGGAGAGGAACGACTGGTCAATCCTAAAGATCCAGTCCGTCTTGTCGCGCTCGCTGCGAGCCGCAAAGAGCCATGTGTTGTCTGTCCCATAAATCGCAAACACAGCGGCTTGCATACGCTCGCTCAGGCGCTGAACTCCTTGTCCCGCAGACGATCCTCCTCCTCCGCTACCGTTGGGCCCGGTCCAAACTGTTGAAATGACCCGTCCTGAAGCCGTCCGTCGGTGGCCTGGCGTAAACTCTGGTGAGCTGCTATTGCCTCGTGCAGGCCTATCGTAATCATCTGGGCCGTGCAAAAGACCAAGCACGCCGGGCTGGCTATCTACGCGCGAATTACGCAGGCTTACAATGCCTATTTCGTCACCATCTGTTGCAGAGTATATGTGGAGGTACGGTCTCCTCAGTTCCACAAATCTCTTTACCCATCGCGTAGATTCATTGTTTGGCACCAGTAAATAACCGCCTTTTTGCACCTTTGGATTTTTGGGAACGCGAGTGATGGTGGTAATGAGTGTAGGTGGCGCAGACTCGGTTGCGACTCCGTTTTCTGGGGGCGTCGTATTCTCTGGGCTCAAAAGCTTTGCGAATGGATCTGGGTATTTCTGCCAAAGCTTCAAACACAGCTCCAACAAGTCCAGTTGTCGTGTATTGTATTCGGAAATTGGAGCAGCAGGTTCTAGACCTGTAACTTCTTGTGGCACCTGTTGGTCGGTAAAGTCGTCTTTCAGAGTTTCGTTGCCAGTCTCTTCTGGGCCAAGTTCATCTCCGTTGATTGACGGAGCTTGAGACGTTACAGGCGTATCGTTGAGCAAATCGTCGTCGTTGGGGACGATCGCTTGCATGATTGGAGACGATTCAGGCTCCGGCTCAGGATCCTCCTGTTCCTTTCCACTGACTGCGGGATCAATGCCATACTGCGCAAGGACGCTAGCTACGGCACCAAGTTCAGCGTTGCGGCGCCTCTTCTTCTTCGAGTGAAGGAAATCGCTGACCAGGGACACGCCTCGAGGGGTCCAACTATGGAGATTTTCCTCGCCCTTGACGTAATCATGCTGACTGCTCATCCTCCACAAGTCGCCTACCCTCTTGATCGGCGCAGGCTTCATGGTCAAGTTAAAGACTCCGCTCGAGGAGCGAACGAATCGCATGTTCTGCCAGAGGGACGTAAAGACAGAGGTTTGCCGAACAAACGTGCGCGACATCACTTGTAAGTTGACTTTTTGTGAAAATCTCATGGGTTCTGCCAACTTCTCCGAAGAAATCTCCCAGGAGATGGTCATCTGAACACGAAATTTTTCGGGCGTTACACGATCAAGAAGAAGTGAATTGTGCTGACTAGAGTCCCATTGGGCATGTACCACAATATTGCGCGTGCCATTGGGGTTCTCGCGGAAGACGGGATTCGACGCAAGCTTGAGAGTGATGTCGCGATCTGTGACCATGTCGGGAGATTTGCCTGCAGTGTCAACGGTTCTAATTTTGCCTACGCGGACAGAGGTAACATCTCCCCATGGCAAGACATCTCCCGAGCTGTGTGAAATTTCAATGCAAACACGCCTCTGCAGACCCTGGTGTAGTTGGAATGTTCCGCTGTCAAGCTCGCTGGATTGGGTGACTTCGACGGCAGCGTACTCTCCGTGCTCATTAAGCTCCATGATCTGGATTCGAGAGAGTAAGTCGTGTTTTTCCTGAGTAAAAAATTGAGACTCATTAATGCGAGCTCCCTTATTGTTGTCCGCAGCAGGGCATGCATCTCTCATGTCGTCCCAGCTAAGGAGCTTATCGAGATGCATTGTCGAAACTTTAGCAAAGATGGCTGCTCTCAGTGTAACCTCTGGGGTAGCAAATAAGGGCACACTCATGCTATGAACGCTCTCAAAGCGTATTGGGCCCTCGTCGAAACTTTGAATCATCTGGGTTGTCGTGATGCCGTCCTCTTCCGAAATTCCGGGAATAAACAGCTGTGCATGCACATCGGTTCCTTCTCGCTCGGCAAAGCCTACCATTTCGTGCATAACGACGTTGAACTTGAGCATGTTGGTAGGGGCCCGGGCATGAGAAGGCTCAATAGACAGTTTGAGCATGCCAACCTCATGAGAGGTGTAAGGGGAAAGGACATCCAGCGCAAAATCCTGCACTCGGCTTTCAAACACAGCTCTGAGAGGAATATCTACCTCGCCCACAAGGGTGTAGGAGGGCATATTTGTCTCCACAAAGGGGTTATCCAGGCTTAGGTGCTGGGCATACTCTGGCTGGTCGAGGTATTGGTGCATTTGTCGCATTATGCGCACCCGGTCATACAGCTTCTCCAGACTCCACAGGCGAACTACAGTATTCTTGTAGTCAATAACGCGGACGCCAATGCAGGGCTTGTAAGCCTCCTCCAGTGCTATATCGTCTCCCTCGCTCGTAAGGCCGTTGAGAACCATGTCATAGGAAGAGCACAAGACGTGTCCCATGTCCACGGTGGTGAATTGGAAGACGACGCTCTCATTAAGCTCGTTGCTCATAATCTGAGCTTCTTTTAGGATGGATGCATTCTGGAGCACGGTCTCGGCCATTTTGACAAAGTGGCGGCTGCGCCATGCCTTGACCGTCTTTCTTGCAATGTCCATCTCGTGATCAGATAGCCTGGGGCTTGCCTTGGGGCGTTTCAGGGGATCCATCTTTTCGATTTTTTCCTCAAACTGTTTGCGCTGTAGGCTGAGTTGTTTCTGCATATCCTCCTTGAGCTCCATGAGCGCCGCTTCCATGCGTGCTTTTTCTTGCTTGATCTCTTCAACTTCCATGTGGGAAACATCTGCACCTCTGAGTCGGTCTCGGAATTCTTCTTTTTGCCTCTCGAATTGCGACTGGAGCTCCTCTCTTACTTCCCTGAACTGGTCGTCTTGGTCCCCCTGCCTTGGTGTCGAGGGCATTGTTAGGGCTGTGTCAAGAGAAAAGTTGTCGATGGTTCCTGTCGACATGTACTTTTCTCGAATCGGAAACGACGTGGCTGATTCCGAATCGTCTCCATCATCGCGCGTAATAACACGCTCTGCTCTCGCCCTTTGGACCTCTTCGAACAATGCATTCAGCTCTTCATCCGTCAGACTGGCAAAGTTATGGTCAGTCCCAAGAATGGCACCGGCAGCCTCTCTCCGCGCCAAGGACCAGTCAGAATCCTTGCCGTTCCGCTGGAAGAAGGCGGGTGAGTCTGGCCGAGACGACTCGCCACTGTCTGAAACTTTGCTAAACGATCTTTCGTGCCCGGGCGTTCGGGGAGTCGATGGTGTCGGGCTCAGCGCTTGCAGCTGACTCGCAGTGATGGACTGCCGCAGCAAGCTTTGGCGGTTGCCGGTATCTTCAGCTCGTTCGGCTCTGGCCTCCATGGGGTGGTTGAACCGGAAGATGTGGAAGTCGCCGAGGATAACACGGAATCCCGAATGGAGCTGCTTCGGCTCTGTGATTCGCTTGCCGTTGACCATGACCGACGCCCCTTCTCTCGGTATGACGGTAACGACGCCGTCAGCATTTTCAAAGATGCAGTGATCGTGCAATATCCTGGTGCCATTCAAGCGGATATTGGCCTGATTTTCCGCGTTTGTGTCAACATTGCCTACGGTGGTTGTCCCAGGTTTGAGATTGTAGACCAGACACTCTGCTAGAAGAGGGTCGTCGGATAAGTTGACAAGATGGGGCATCTTCTTTGGCGTGTGCAGGCCCACGAATCCCTTTTCGATGCTGATGCCGAGTTCTTCCAAAGCCGCCTCACGCTCTTTATGGATTTCCTCCGTCTTCGTTAACTTCTCTTCCCACGTCTGATTCAAGTCTGTGAGTAGCTTCTCGCTTTGGCTCAGTTGTTCCGCAATCTCTGCCTTGGAAACTTTCTTGACCGTACCATCCGATGCCGTGATGCTCACTATCTGCTTCTCCAACGGAGTGCCCTCGTCGTAAACTTCGTCTGGGGGGACGCCAGCACCTCCGGTCGCACCAAGGCTTCCTCCACCGCCAAGCTTGCTCCTCAAAAGAGACAGCTCCTCCTTTAGCTCTCTGATCATACGAGCATTTGCGTCTTCGTTGACCACGGCATGGTTCTTGATTCGTTTTGCAGAGTCAGCATATCGAAGCGTGCTTATTGTCTCATCGTAATTGATATCGGCAGGACTGATGGCTGCAATCATGGCAGTCATACTGTTTCCACCCAAAGAGTCTTTCAGCAACCAGGTGAGTACACTGTCACGGTACGGCACCTGAGAGCCACCCTTCTTTTTCTTGGCGCCGGTAGACAAGTCCGCCAGCGCGGCAATGACACGACCAAGCGTGGAAAGCGATCTGTTGATTTCAGCGCCTTCCTTGAGTCGCGCTCCAGTCGCACCAGTCGAGTTGGCTCTTTCGGAACCGGCCAAATCGACCAGACTAATCTTGGCGACCTTTTCCATCTCCATTTTGGTCTCAGCATCATACTTCTTCTGCGTTAGCATAAGCGTGAAAACAGCATGACTTCGACTGGAGGTTTCGTTCATGTTGGTCGCAGCAACAGTTCTAGCCTTGTTTCCCTCATCCATGAGGTGCTCGATTTCCGCAAAACTCGTAACAACAAGCTTGGCAAGGTCTTCGACATACGGGCCAGTGGACGGGTGTTCTCGAACTTTCAAGTTGCCCTTTGTGGAAGGGTTGAGCAGATCACGGACTCGTTCGTTGTAAATCTCCAGATATGACACTTCGACTGTGCACTTGCTCGGCGAGTCGCCTTGTATCTTTCCTATTCTCTGAAACATTTCCTGGCAAATCATGGGAATGATACCGACTTCTTTGCCGTATCCCATCATGGAGTACGACTTTCCAGAACCAGTCTGGCCATAGGCGAAAATACAGTTGTTGTATCCCTCGAAGGCGTTGTCTAGGAGCGGCGCGCCCAGATCTTCAAACAGGTTGTGCTGGCCGGCATAGTTGGAGTCCTCCTTGTTGAACGACCAGTATGATCTGTCAAAGGCAAAGGACTTGGGAGCGCTGTCTTTGGTCCCCTTGGATAAATGTCCTTCGGGCGGCGTGATGACGGTTTGGTTCCCCCGCATATCCACGATACGCTGGGCTCCGCGGTCGATTTCTGCATTCCAGCCGTTAACTCTTGATTCACCCATCCATATCTGCCGTCGCGCCATGTGCGTGTAGACCCACCTCTGCCATTGAACGGCCGGACTCTCACCACCACCTTGATGTTTCCTCCCCCAGCTGGCGCCATGGCTGCTCGAATATGTGCGGGGACCTAGGTTGGTCCCCTCGAATGCCGCGCGGTTGTGCAGGCAATGCGCCCCGGGTCGGTGAAGGGCAAAAAGTCGTCCAAGGATGTATGCGCGGGGAAGAGCTTCAGCGAAACCGAGTCCCCATGCGCTTCCAATCAAGTGGAACAAAGCAAAGTAAACAGCACGTGTATGTAGCCGTCAAGGCCTTCTGTCCATGCTCGAGCCAAAGGCCTCCCTCGTGGCGGCGGTGGGAGCGCCCCGATTTTCCCGAGGTCGAGGGTTCGCAAGCGGTCGCAAGAAATTCCGCCCTGTCCAAGTTGCGCCGACTCGAAGGCGCTCGGCCGCTGCGTGTGCGATGAGCTCAGGACAGTCGCCGGAACCGCTATTCGTGCCGTCGTCAGTCGTCACCGGATGATGCAGCTTCAGCAGCAGCACAAACGTCGACAGGAGAAACGCGGTCGCGCTGATGGTGCACCTCCTTGCGGACCGACCCTCTATCTCTTCAGCGGTCACTGTGATTGGGGGTGGAGGTGCAGCTGTCAGGGGAGTTCACGTGTGGGTTGTTGATGCGGTCTGCGCTTGTGACGCAGGTGGCATGGCGGGCGCCGCGGATTAGCCGCTGCATTCACTGCGAGCGTCCATGTTATCATGACCTCGGTGCAATTATAGGGGAGACGCAGCCTGCACGTTGGCCCCTAAAGAGCGCATCCCGCTGCTGCATCTCCATCACTAAGCTGGATGCTAACGACTTTTAGGGGCTTCACCTTGATTTGCACATGCGCGCAAAGGCTCCAAAGGAGCAGCCGCCCAATATGTGCGTTTATGCGCCCCACCGTCTCGTGGTCTGACATTCCTCTCTCCGCCTGCTGGCAGCCACTGGTTTGTTTTGTTTGCCGTCAAAGTGTCAATACAAGCTGCCTGGCTAATAGACGGGATCAATGCATCAGGCCTTTTCCTCCTCCACCAAGGCTTAGGCTGTCGTTTGCTTGAATCTCCCCAGGATTCACAGGTGCCCACCAGACCTGGCGGGTTTCAGATGAGGCTGTGCGCATCAAGGCCGGGCCGCTGCATCTTCCAGGCTCTTCTCATATCTCCCAATATCCAAAGGTCCCGTCGACCATACTAACAGCGCTTGAACATGTCTGGGAGACTGGTTGGTCCCTGGTAGTTTTTGCGTGTCCGACTTCTTCCCCTCAACGATATACCCCACGACATTCACCCAGTGCCCGACCTGCGCCAATCCCGGCTGGATAGTCTCGAGAACGAGCTCAATGTCCACCAGCACAGTCTCGTTTGTTCCCGGCGGGAACATGTGTGCCAGAGCAAGGCATGCCGTAGAAGTATCGTATGAGATGACACTGTCATGGGTTTAAGCATAAGATGCCACGGTGCTCGGTGGGATTCATCCTGTTGTAAACATAATACGTACCATCCCAAGAATCTCACTTTGTCGCCAACCGAGCGCTCTTTCAGCTGCGATAACAAGCAGAGCTGCGAGGCCACCGGACCCCACGACATGACTCTGTGGTTCTCAAGAAGCCTTCATTGGAAGCGGCAGAGCCATTCATAAGCTGACTGGCATCTGACATGTGAGCCCAGCTCCTCGTTATCTGGGTCGTATGGCGATTGCGGCGAGGATTCGGTGACTGGCAACTGCCCCGCGCTAGCACGAAGCTCAGTTACGGCTACTGTGTGTAAGTAAACGGTTTACACTGTGCGGATATTCTGTTAAAGCGTAACTGCCCGGTTACACGTTACACAATGTGATACTACCAGGTGCCCTTTTCTCAGCGAATAAATTTCCTCGGCTCACTTTCAATTCCCGTCATACACCTCAAGCTATTCAAGCATTCATAGAAGACATCGCTGCGTCTGTCTTGAACATGTCGTCGTCACCGGAGCCTCGCCCGATACATCTCTACAAAATCCTCTCTTCACATCCCATCGAACCTTTTCCCATTGAGTATCCCCTCTCAGGGCTCGACGCAAAGGATGGATTCGTTCACCTAAGCACGGCAATGCAGGTAATACAAGATTTTTTTTTTCTTTTCTCGCTGCGAGCTTCCTCTAGACATTGCTAGAATTATCTCATCTGATATTAAAAATCTAGGTCCCCAACACGGCCGATTTATTCTTCACTGAAACTCCTACCCTATGGATCATCAAGTTTAAGATGTCAAAGTTGGCGGATCCGATCAAATGGGAAAATGGGTTCCCGCATTTATATGGCAACTTTGGCGCAAGAGATGTTGTGAGCTTTGCGAAATTTGAACGAAGAGAGGGGCAGAGATGGGTTGAGTGGATGCTCGACGTAGAGTGGCTCGAATGGTAATTACTACGTCGCATCAACACAAATAGTATCACTACATGGCACTGTATAAAATTGTTTCACATGCTTCTTTTATTTTACTTTATTTCCGCTCAATGGTTATATATAGAAAGACCCCTAGACGCCAAGATCCTTTTCCACCATACCCCTGCAGATGGGGTGGTAAAAGTCCTTGTACTTGGCAAAAGTCTCCAGGGCGAGGCTTCGATCAACCTTGTTCAGAGATCGGAACAAGGGTCGGACGAACTTCATGCGACCGACCTTGCCAAGCAGATCGGCTGTGCTCTGGTAGCTTGTGCTGTCATTGGCCTTGAGAGCGATCTGCAGATAGGCAAACTGAAGCTCAACATTCTGGGTGTCGAGGAGACTGTAGACCTTACCCAGAAGCTGGGCCCGTTCGGTGCTCAGAGCACCATGCTGCTGCAGCTTTTCAAGGAAAACAATCTTCTGGTTGGAAGAGAACGATTCAACATCCTTGGCGCTGGGCTCATAAGACTAGACGTTCCAAAACGTTAGATAATGATATATAATTGGGGTGTCGAGAGCTTGAAAATCGACATGAGGAGGCAACTTACATCATTTTCCCACTTCGCAGCCAATTCGTAGCATTGACCAGCAAGGGTCATGTCAAACTCGGGCTTAGGGGGCAGGCCTGGAGTGTAGAGCTTGCCTTCCCAGTCAATAGTAGCAACCTTCTTCTTGATATCCTCATCGCCCAGGCCGTTGAAAAAGTCGACAAACGTGTCCCTGAATTCAAAAGAGTCGAGAGACTTTCCAGCCCACTTGGTAAAGTAGTGAGGAATGAACTTATTAAAGTTCTCCCGGCCAACGAGACGATCCAGGTAGTAAAGGAAGTGGAATCCCTTCTCGTAAGCAACGGTGCTGTAAACATCCTCGGGGTCCACGTTATCGTGGCTGATGATGAGTTTTGTGTATTCGTGGTCCTTGCCGAAATGCGCAACAGCATCCTCTGAAATCGATATTAGATCAGTCTGCACAATTGATGACTTATACCATATAGGTCATGCATATGTGTGTGTGAATGCTTACCGAGAGCCTTCCATCCGATGATGGATGAAAAGTCAAACTGGGGCTCGCCGTGGACGGCAGCCTCAATTCGTCGCTCCAGATAGACGGTCCAGCCTTCGTTCAGCCAACTATCCCAGTGTTAGCTCGTCCATCCTCACCAGGTGGGTAAGGTCAAAAGTCATGAAAGAGATACGTACAAGTGCTCCCAGCTGGCGTTGGAAACCAGGTTGCCGCTCCAGCTGTGGGCAAGCTCGTGAGCAATCACATCAACGTTTTGCCTGTCGCCGCTAATGATGGTAGGGGTGGCAAAAGTGTAAATGGGGTTCTCCATGCCTGAGATTAAGGTTAGAATAGCCACTGAAGCTCATCTCATGGGTGTTTCTAACCTCCATAGGGGAAGCTGGGGGGCAGAACAAGCACATTGTACTCTCCCCACTTGTACGGGAAGACAATGCTCTCAGCAATTTCCAGGAACTTCTCCATGTCTCGCTCGAGCTCCCATTTGCAGCCTTCCAGCTCATTGGGACCAGTGACAACCTTGCTACGGGACCCAATGGGGGCAGAGACGATGTCACCAGAGGCAACAGCGAAGAGATATGAAGGGATGGGGACCTTTTGCTCAAACTCATAGACCTTCTCCACGCCGGGAGTAGCTGTGTGGTCGCCAACAGCAACACCAGAAGCAACAACCGGGAGGGTGGAAGTGAACTTGAAGCTGATGGTGGACTTGACATCAGGAGTATCCTGGCAGGGGAAGATGGAGCGAGCATTAATGGCCTGGCACTGCGAAAACATGTACGGATGCTTCTTGTTGGAGGTCTGGGCGGGTGTCAGCCACTGCAGCGCCGTGCACTTGCTCGTCGTCTCCAGCTCAATGGCCAGGTTAACAATGTCGCCCTTGGCCGCGCCATCAGGAACCTGCACATGCAGCGGCGCGCCAAAGGGATCCGAGTGCGGCTTCAGCTCCCACTTGGACTCGGCCGAGTTGACGTTGACCGACGACACCTTGACGAAGCGAGAATCGAGAATGATCTCATTGCTCTGCTTGTCGGTCTGGCTCTCGAGCTGCAGCACCACCGAGCCCTTCAGGCGCTTGTTGTCAAAGTCAATGCTGAAGCTAGCGGTGGTGTGCTTGGTGCGCCAAGCGTCGTAGTTGGACAGCGTAGTGGGATCCCGTTTGGCCATGGTGGTGATGGTAGCGAAGCCCCGCCTGGAGTTGGAGTACAGGTAGCTGGTGGATGTGCGATTCGTGCTGCTGCGCAAAAGACCGACTCTCTTGAAGATCGAGAACCACGACATGTGCTCAAGCTGGGGTTTTTTTTTCTGACAGCCAGACGGAGCGGGCAGCAAAAGGACCGACTCAAGCCGAGTTCAACGTGCCCGTCGAGCTTCACTGGAAACCACTTGCAAAAGGTCCTCGCAATTGCGAGCTCCCATTTGAGGGCCGTCACGTGCGGAACCACTTGCGGGCAGCTCCAGTTCCCACTGTGGGCACTTTTCGGCTCAGCGCATCGTTGGAGGGGTTGATGCTTTGATGCTTCAACTCTGTAACGATGTTTCTTCTTCTTCTTTTTTCAATATGTCGAATTTTTTTTCTGCTAGCTTTCCAGCTGTCTGTTTCTCCCTCGGCGGCATCGAATCGATCTAGATGGAGCTGGTGGCTAACGCAGTTTATGAAACCATCGGCTTCTGGACCGTTCCCCGCTAAAAGCTTCAACGAGGAGCCAGGGCCTGTACCTGTCGTGGACCTGAAACGACGGCCAAGCGTCCATACGAGGGACAAAAGATCCCGTCTGTTTTTGGCCTCATTATTCAATCATTTGATGTTCAGCTGAGCCAGCACCTAGACCCCTAGAATCGCCCTAGTTTAGTCCATCGTCTCGATTAGAGCATGCTTATTAGAAAGAATGGTGATGGAATAAGTAGTAGAAGATTGTGCGGAAGCGGAGCTCGCCTAAAGCCGCTATGCTGCTCAATCTTTGAGGGGAAATCATTGTGTAAGTGTTAGATTGGACAGGTGGCTTATATCTATATCTTTACGGTTGACGCATGTATGCATATTACTGTAAAAATAGCCAAACAAAGGGCATCTTTAACCCCATGCAGTCCTGTAAAGGACTCCGCCATAAGCGACTTATATGACAATTTGTTAAGTATGATGCTGTATGATGAACCAAGTTCTTCGTGGAGAAAGATGTACTTGTATGAGGCTTATTAGCCTTTGAGCAAAATAGCCGCAAAGGGTACTAAACATTAGTAGTAAAACGAGTACACAGGAAGTTTACCAGCCGACCTCATCCATTTGCTTCTGTGAATGAATCAGGGACCACAAAAGCATGCTCATTTTTGCGAGTCAGCTATATCGTAGATATGATCTACATGTTTCTCTATGACTTTGTTGCTGTCTATGATGAAAATTTTCAGAACTTGGTCATGATGAAAAATAGATCTGGGCAAGTACCTGTGAGTGTACCGAGGGATTAACAGTACTTGCCAGTACTTATAAAGATGGTGGATCAATGGAAAGGGAAAGAAAGAACTGAGTAGAACGGGATTGAAGTCTTCGCTTTGGTTAGGTACCAGGTGCCTACTTTATGCTGATAATACCAATAACTACCTGAGTACATCAGTATTATTGGACGACCGAAATACGGATTGTACAATGCATTCCTTACCTAACCTACCTAGGTATCTGACACTGATGCCATGGCTTATTTGCAATGATCACAACTAACGTTATTCAAATCTAGAGCGATAATCTCTCTTCAACTGGGTAGGTACTAGGTAAGTATAGACTTGATGTTTAGCATCTCCGGATATTAGTTGTACTTTAATAAAGCAACGGCCGTCAAGTGGATAGTTTGGTCAAGACATCTCAGACACCTACTCAGATACATGCTTCACCTAGTCATCAAGTATATACTAGTACCTAGCAGGATTTGTCTGTAGCAAGTGCCTTGATTATTATTACCCAGGTACCTAGATATGCTCAAGTCGAAATATCTCAATGTGTTGGGTGGAAAGTATAGCTAGGTACATGTACTCGACACTTAGCCACTGAGTAGTACCTCTACTACTAACAGAGTGGCACGAAAGCAGAACTTTGTCGACGAATCGATGCCAAGTTTCCCTTGCCTTCTCACTGTTCCACTTTCTTTCTGTATGAAAATTTTGCACTGCGCTCATTGCGCACTCGATGCATCATAGCCTCCGTTCTGTTCAATATCTTCCAATCGTCGATATTTCTGTACATGTCTAGAATGAAGAACTCTTCTTAGTTGAGGGGTCAAAGTATTCCGAAAGTGCCGCTAAATTGGACAACATGGCTATTGCATGAACCCAAACTGTTTGTCCAGTGCCAGAACAGCATGGCTACACCAACGAGAGTCTTGATCACATGGAAGAGATACTCGAGCACCCGGAAAACATAATCTTCCAAACGCCTTAACCAACAAGCCGGGCAAACGAGCAAGTGGGCCGAGTAATGGAGAATATGGATACATAGGTCAACGCAAAGACGTGGCAGCAGCGTGGCTGAATTACTAACGGCTCCCCTCCTAGAGAGACCCTTAGCTCATGGAGCAAGTGTTTCATTGTTTTCAGATTTCCGGGCAGTCCGAGGAAAAAAACCAACTCCATTATGCTCAGAAGCAGATATCCGTTGTTGACAGAGTCAGAGACGAGGTATTTTCGATCGATCCACGAGCAAGAAAAGAAATACAGTATGATGGAGCCTTTTTGTTTCAACAAATGGAGACTCGCTTAGCTACAGATGCTCAGGGGAGTCAGTAGTCAATGGGGCATAGCAAGACGAGCAAGATTTTAGCTAGAGGATGGTTACACTATGTATTTGCCACTCTGTAGCCACCTTTTTGAGGAGCAAACATACACTTGCTAAGCACCAGGATCGAACATACAAAGAACAAGGGATGTGAAGACGGGATATATGCCTCTGGTTGAGAATCTAACATGCCATTTAATCGCAAAAGTAGAAGTGCCATTAGCATCTTGATATGCAAAGATGAAGTTATAAATCAAGTACGATTTCCAGCATGTAATTTTCCCTACGACCGTGCTCCTTTTCTTGGCTGTTCCGCCAAGCCTTAGGTACGGTCTCTGGAGAAGACATCGTGGAGACTCGTGCAAAAATCCTTCGCAGAGCCGCAAGCCACGGCGCTGTGGAGTTTGGTTATGTGGATGGAGCTACAGATATGTTGCGTTATATGCAAGATTTGAAACAAGTATAAGATGGGCCAAGCTATGAATTTTTTGTTGAACGGATCTTTTGGCATCTAGCAGCGATGCGGCCGTGCTTGATTCAAAATGTGTAAAATTCAAACAATCAAAGATTGAGCTTCTCTTCTCCTCGCTACGCCATCATCATATGTTTATGCCACAACTAAAGTAGATAGCTAATCGATAGTATGCAGCCACCTGCTACCAATACGTGGAATCTTACCACTTATCTGTTCTCAATGGTGGTTAGTCCATGGGAATACTGGCAAAGAACTGTGGTTCTGAAGAAGTTGAGTTTAGCGAGCTACAGACGCTGAATGGCCTCCACATTGTGGCCGGAGAGTGGGGCCGAGTCCACATTTGGATATCAGATTCAAGGTGGATCCTTGGATCATGGCACGGACATGCCAGTGCCAATGTCGAAGAAATATGCTTCTCTTATTTTTCGTTTCTTCAAAAGGAGAACAAGAATCATGGTGAAGAGAGTGAAATACGAGTCACCCCTAGAGTGTTTGCGGAATAACTTCCCCCGCAGAGAGTAAGCAGGAGTTGTTTCAGGGTTGAAACAAACCTGTTCAGCCCGCAAACCAAATCCGCCTGCGCAAGCACAAGCAGGCAGGATGCCTTGAACAAGGCAAAAATTTTCATCAACGATGATGGTTCATTTCAATAAAGGAGAGATAGGAGGGCATCGAGTTAATTTTCTTCACGTAGTCTAATAAAAGCATCATTGCTCTCCGCAGATGACGCAGACGCATAGCAGTAATTAGCAGTCGGAGATATCCGAGTGGAATCTCTCAACGGAACAAGACCTATCCGGCTTGGAATAGGGCAATGTCATTTCGTTAGTTATTAAATCGATAAAAAGAAAAAGATACTACTGGGAGAGGTAAAGCTCCGAATTGAACTCGGGGTAGCTGCTTGCCGTTTCGTGGACCTGTCTCAGATGTTCTCCACCCCTGTTTTGCTTGGTTTTGCGCAACGGCGATGGCAAGGTGGAGAAAATGCCAAAGCTTGATTATTGTTTAGAAACAACACAAACCTGTTTAGCTGGAGGATAAATCGAGATGTATCTTGGGAATGAACGTCATCGAGCCCTGGCTTGGAGATGGAAGCAGCTCCTGATGATCTGCGCATCCGAAACCGGCATGTAGTGGGCGTAGCATTGAAGAATTGGAAGTGTGATATCACCTGCTTAGACTCATCTCATCACAAAGAACCCCACGAACGTGTTTTAGAGATCTGGGAGGGTGTGCATCAGACGCTGGGCGCAAAGTTTTAGGTTGACTGGAGATGTGACAGAGCCGTGACGGCATGCCATACTTGTCGTTGATGTCTGTCACCATGGCGGTGAAGCGCATCATGATCCTTGGAAACAAGCGGTCCATGCCCAATGCAACCAGGCACATATAGCTGTAATCGAGAATACAAGCGGTATAGTCATCTGTAGCAAAACCGAGCAAGGAGACGCAAAGCCGCCAAGCGTGATTCCTCAAGCCTGCTCGGACCGTAACAGCCCTTTGAAGGGTCCTGTATAGGAAACATTAGCTCAATAGTCTTGTTAGCTCGTATGCGGAGTATACATGTCTATAATGACATGATATCATTCGGTGGCTAATTCTGCTAAGAAAGCCTTGTTCCGCAACATGATGGTAGCCTGATGTTGAAGAGAATGAGAATGCCTAGTCAAGTCAATATTAGAAATACTCATTGGAGAAGCATCACCCGTAAAGCCGAGCCGCTGATGGGGGCGATGTGGGAGAGATCATTTATATAAAAAAACGAAGCTTGAATAGCACAATAGGGTAGCGTTGAGGCTGTAAAGGAGGCAAATCCAACGGAGGATACAAACACAAGATGCACAAGTAGGCTGCAGCCGTCTCCAGGGGCTGCAGTGCGTCCTTGGGGCCAAAAGAACATCCCATCGCAGCCCGTCCCAACGACCAGGCAGTGCCCGCCTCTGCGACCGAGACCGGATGAAATGTGAAGCATATGCCGCCGCC